GTTTAAAAATGTATTAACCCAAAATGATAAGTCAAGCACCACATTTGTTTTTGCTTCAAATATTTAGTAAATATATTATGTTTCCTATTAGCTTAATAATAAATAATCAGAATTATGGTATTAAATCTGCAATTAGTATAGAAATCCAATCTGTTTTATTTGATAAAGTGCTCGCAAAAAGATTTGCTAAAGTATTGCTTACATTTTTAATTTGATTTCGTGTTTTTTAGCTATTTTTATCGCTATTTTATTTCTACTGTGTTTTGTGTGGTTTCAGTGTCAATGCTTAAATGTCAGACAGGCTGATTGGCTTTTGCAGATGGCAGGCTTCGTGAGACTCGTATTGCTTATATGGGTTTTATCGTATTTAATTGGATTTTAATATGTGCGACAATTAGAACACCCTGCACAGATAGCAAAAAATGTGTCACCTTCTCGCTCTTGCTTTTGCTCTCTCTATCGCTCTCTCTCTCCCTCCCTCTATCCCTGATCTTATTGTGGGTTTAGTTAGCTTGTTTGCCTGCTATAAAAATATGTAACATATTGAGGGACGTCGAGCGCTGTGATTGACATGAAGAGCATATTAAATGCAATAAATTCACTTAGCGACAACATGAGATATATATATAAGAAACACACATACACACACACATACACACACACTCATACACATACACACCCACACATACTTGTAAAGTGACTCGCTGACACGTAAATGTCGCTGATATAAATGCAATTTTCATTGACATTGTTGCTCCCGCCAGTATGCAACAAATAAAAACACACACACAGTTTCATATGGCACGTGCTTTCACATGAGTCGCCCTTTCATTGTATTACTTAATGGAATTGCCTGTTGTCTCTCTGTCCAACTGACGCACTGTCGTACGTGTGTTCTATAAAAAGATACCCAGCTCGTGTTAGAGGTTTCAAGACATATTTTTAAATATATACCCTTGGATAAATCTATATACCATAAGGGATATTTATTTTTGATCAGCATCACTTGCCGAGTCGATATATATAAATTATTCTTCAAATAAGTTGAAAAAAATAGTACTCAATAAAGTAAAAAAGTAAACGTAATCGTGAAAGTAAAATAAAATATATATATATGTCTGTATATCCGCCGATTTCTGAGACTTTATAAGTAGCTTACAGTTATTGTGTAGCAAATCCACAATCTCAACTTTGAGCTCAAATAAAATACATCTAAGTAATGGTAATCATAAATTGGAATAGAGTTCATATACGTGTGTAACATGAAACGACTGTCAGTAAGCCATGCATTGTTGTGATTCTCAACTCTTCAATATTGAATAACTGTTATTTAATATAGCTTTTATTTAACAGTTGATTGTAGATTGGAACTAAAACAGGGTATATCAGCTACAGGCAAAAATAAATAAAACAAAAATTGACAAAACCAAAACCATATCGATTTAATTATTTTCTTTTCCTGTTTTCGGTTAGTTAGGCGAGTGCCCATTTAGTCTAGTACCTGAGAGTTTAAACTTCAGGATGTGCAGCCAAAATGAAAACAAGCTGATGTCAAGTTAACTGACTGATTGAGTGACTGAGTGAGTGAGTGAATGATTGAGTGACTGGGTGAATACATGCAAACTCATGTTTGTAAGTAGTAGCCTACTTTGTGATGTCAAAATGTCTGACATACTAGTGAGAATGTCCCAAATTGTATTAGAGTTGTGAGCAATAAATATGTAATATAGCTACAGGCTGAACAACAAACAACGACAACAACACACAACTTGATCATCAGTCAATCAATCAATCAATTGTAAAGTGGCACCTCAAAGAAAAACAGCTCATTAGACAACACGCTCCTTACTCAGTCATTTTCTGTGGTCGCTGCGTGGGAGTTGCTCGAGTTTGGCTCGCGTTCATTCTGCATGTGTGAACAACTTGTTCACTGGCCATTGTCATATATGCCATGCCTAACAGATATAGAAAAAATACAAATAAATAAATACAAAAAACCAACCCTATAACGATATAATGATAATCGCAACTCATACTTAATTGGCCCAAAGCACAACCGCTGCTCGACTGTCGCATATAATTGATATGCTAAGTCAGGGTCTCTCAGTTGATGTCCCTTGGGGTTATGTATTTCTATATTTGTGTATTTGCTTACTTTTGTGCTGAGTAAATTAATTTGATTTCTCAATACAGCACATTGTCCTTACAAATGGCTTTCATTTGCTCAGAAAGCAAGCAAGGAAGTCTGTTGTACAGCATTTTTCATTGAGGGCTTTTACGCGCATTACTTTAATTTCCTGTGCCACATAACACATACCACATCCTGTAATTCCCGTTAGAAAACCCTCGTCACAGACAGTTTGTTTTTATTTTCTTTTTTTTCTTTTTATGTTTACATTTTTTCGGTTTAGTTTTCGTTTTAGGCGTGACTCATGCCAAAAAAAAAAGCGGAAACAAAAACGCAAGTAATTTAATTTAGTCGCTCATAAAACTAAAAAGCCTAGCTAAATGCCGAGTGCTTAACTGTAAATACTCTAACTGAGAGATTTTTATTAAATATAGGCTAGTTCGAATAATTTCTGATGCAAAGATGTCAATAAATGTTGTATGGAAAATTATGGAAATATATAGCTTTTTACATGATTCCGCAGTTATAAATTAAATATATGTTCCGATTCCAGCTCAAATTGTGCCTCTCAGCTTCGGATTGATTCTCTGTCTATGGATTATTAAACTTTTATCAGGTATAGCCCACAACAAGCACGTCAGAAATGTAGTAAAGAAAACTTAGATTCTGGTTTTGAGTTTTTAAAGAATTAGGGAGGTTCACATTTCGGTTCAAATCCCAGTTCTAGATCTGAATTAAATAGTTAGCTTAATTTCCTTGTTTCACTCAGTTAGTTTCTGTTAACTCTTGTATTTGCGAAATGAGCCCTAAAACTAAACAACTTCACTTTATTATATTTAACATCTCTTAACTATATTAGAATACCTTTCAGTTAGGGTAGACGAAGACAAAAAAAAATAAAAGAAAAAAAAAGAAAGAAGAGAAAGAAAACAAACAAAATTTGACATGCGAAGTGCTTTGGGCTTCGACAATGACGCAACGGGAAACTTTAGAAAACAGCAGGCAGCAACTAAGAAAACTGCAAAGAAGAAGAAGAAGCAGCAGTAGTAGCAACTAAAAATATGTACATCAAATATTAAGTATACGCCCCCAAGGGCAGCCAGCAAAAATAATAAAATCGACCAAGGCAAAAAGCACACAAAATTATTAGTTTGCTGCAAAGAATTGGGTGGCAGAACACGCCCAAATATAATAATTGTGCTAATAAGAATAATAATAATAATAATAATGGTAATAATAGTGTGAGCAATTGCCGGCGTAATTAAAATGTAATTAATAATACAGTTTGAGGTTGCAACTAGTTACATTTAATAACTGTAAATTGCTGCATTTAAGACTGTGCAACCTGTGTATGCCCAAGCAGAAGAGGAAGAGGAACAGGAACAAAACCGGCAGGATGTGCGCCATAATGTGCAATGAACTGCTGCGGCGAACGATTTTCAACTCATTTCATAGGCCAACGCTTAACGAGCGGAAGTTGTGGAAGAGGGGTGTGTGTGTGTCGGTGTATGTTGCATTATTAATGAGAACCCTTCCTTTTTGCCTCGCTGCAGATTTGCAAAAACATCGAATGAGGCAAGCAGTAAGAAGCAAACGTGACAGCTCTACTGCAGTGCCACTTAGCAGCGACTTGGTGGCATGTATGGCAGCAACCAGGTTGCAACTAGCAGCAGCTGCTAGCTACAAGTTTGCAAGTGGTTGTTGTTGTTGCTGCTGCTGCTGCATTTGCGTTAGGTAAATATTCGTAGGCCAATGATTTGTGAATTTCCTTGATTACCATTTTACTAGGTCAAACTCGATCAGGTATGCGCACGGGAGGGGGGAGAGGGGGATTTGTTGGGTTGCTTGCTGCATCATATTTATTTTTGATGAGTTGCACGAGGTGCAAGGCTGTAAAACGACCGCATGAAAGTTGTAAATAATGCGAATCGATAAAAGATACAAATAAAAAAAGAGAACGTTGCAGCGCCTGCGAAATACTTTGATAGCATAAGTTATTCCAGCGGATAACAAGTAGCAAAGAACAGTGTGGGTGTATAAGTACAATAAGTACTGTCGTAGTATGCCTTTAAAATCGTGGTATATATAAGATAGTGCCGTTCCTTCGAAGTTTGGTAACTGTAGCTCTTAAATTGCGGGAGATATTTATTGTTTTTAGGGGCGGGGGTATCGATTTTATCAATTTCCTAGCCCAATGGTGGACGTAGCACTCCAATTTTTACATTTTGTCTGACGGGGGCGCACACTATTATGTGTTCCAAGTTTCAAGTCTCTATATAGACATACAGACAGACATCATGACGGACACTGCACAAAACCAATATACTATGATACCTTCAGTATCATTTCATACTTTCACCTCCCAATTGAATTTGAGAATGACTTGGTCTCAAAATAAATACTGCATTAAAATTGGAATCGCGATTCTGACTCAAAATTCATGTATAGATTCTATCCCATAAACTCCAACTGCAAACTTTCCCCAGCTATAACTTGGCCAAAGCGACCTGAGTTTTAAAATTTCGGACTTTTTGATCATGATTTGAACTGTAGATCACAACTTCATTTAAAGCTAAAAACGCGATTCTTGGTTGAAATCCATGTTTAGATTTTAGCCAAACAAATCCACTTGGAAACAAGTTAAAAGTTTTCCTTGCCATAACAAATGATTTCTAAAATCCAAACTGGAACATTTGTCTTCCTTTATGCAGTTCTATCCGGATATATGCCGAAAATATTAAGGATTTTATATGACTATACACATAATAAATTAGTTGAATACACTCAAAAGCCCAAATGAATACCCAATAGAGCCACTTAAAGCCTCAGTTTCTCTCTACGCCACAATATATAAAAACCAAATGGCAAAAGCTTTTCATTCCAACTTAGATGGTTGTATTTTCTTTTTAAGATAGATAAAACAGCTTACGTGCTAACAATACTTAATAGACAGATCACAAGACAACTTACAGCTACAACTACTGCTACTACTACAAAGGATGAGGACGAAACATCCCTGCATTGCGTCAAAATCACGCAGCTCACATAAATCTCAATCTCGCTCTCCCTCAATCTCGGGTAAGGAAGAAAAGAAAAGCGAGTGAGGAATCGGGGACACATTCAACATTTTGTCACGCCAATGCAATGTTGTCGATTTTGTTGCTTAGCGTGTTGTTATCGTCTCCCAGCTCCTGCCGCTCCTTGAGCCTCAGTTGCGCCGATTCCCTGGTGGCATTCTTTGGCATTTTATAGGAGATGGGCAACTGAGGTATTATTGAGCCGGATGAGGATTGAATATGTCGTCCAAATGGCTTCGCATCATTCGTCTCCAGATAGAACTTGCCGCGCAGTCTGTGAAGAATATAAATTAAGAAGTTTCGATGTTATTTCTGATTGGGATTTGCTCACCTTGGATCCGCGGCATAGCCCATGTGAGCAACGCCTTTGTTGCCATTGCGACAGATACCAAAGTTTTGCGAGGGTTCGCAACGTTCGGCGGCAAAGGCCAACGGTTGCCGGATGCTCTCCACAAAGTACTCCCATGCGCGCTGATGACTGCAGCCAACTGCAATACGTAAAAGATAGCGAAACGGTTTTTTAGATGAGTGTGCTCAACAACCATATGTATATACCCCGTAGTCTTAATTTAAGGCAGCAGTAATTTAATGTCTCTTTCTGGTCTCTTGTAATCTTTACATTTTCAGAGAATGACAGATTGAATGTTTTTCCCATTTTAGATGGAGAATGGTGAGAATAGTGAGACTCTATTTCAGAAGAGACAAATATATTTATCTTCAATTAACCTTCAAAATATCTTTAATATCTCTTTCTACTATAATCGCAGATATTTGCTCAAATATTGGAGTTCTTATATCGATTTGCCAAATTTTCTCTGAATTTATACTTAGATGAAAAATTTTATGACTAGCTTTCATATTTTCTGCGGTATCGATAATTATCAGGGTACAAATTGGATTTATATATGACTTTGTCAAAACTGAAGCAATTTTGAAGAATAATGGCTTTTAATTTGGAGTCACGGTTTTAGCTCAGAATTATTGCTTAGATTCAAAACCATAAGTGAAAAAAATAAAATTCGCAGTAAGAATTATCACTCAGCTTTATTTTACTTTGTGAAATGATGAAATGATGCTAATGATTGCTACAATTAAGAGCTGTCCAGCTTTAAGCCGCAGCTCGAATTGCAATCACTTACTAATGATGCCCAGCCACCGATTATTGGCTATTTCCTGTCGTGCACAGCCCGGCTGCAAGGGTCGTCCGCCATTCGGATAGAAGTCTGCATGTCCCATCGCTGTCGGATTGCCCAGAATTCCGCCATCTGTGTGGATCACATCCACAAAGCGGGCATCTGTGGGACCCAGTCGACGATTGGAGCTGTTACCCTCAAAGAGCGGCAAGGCCGGATCCAAAGCCGTTATCCTTGTCAGCTTAATACCCCACTCCTGCAGCTGCTTGCCCGCAAAGCCGGCCACCTCGGCGCCCAAGCTGAATCCAATCAGATGTATGTGCTTCACCGCATACCCCTTGCTCACCAAATACCGCAGGAATCGGGCCAAATATCTCGCAGCCACAGGCAGATTTTCCACGGCATTGGAGTACCAGGGCACAGAGACCATCGCGCTCCAATCCACCAGTATCACGTTATAGTTGCCGCGATGCAAAAATGCTGCAGGGTATATAAAGAAAAGAAGTGAGAACGTGGCACTCGAAGTCAAATAGCCGGCTGCTCAATACTTAATAGAGCTAAATACAACAATTTTGTTTCTGTTGCACACTTCAAGTAAAAAAAGTTTCCACAGTCACAACTTTGTCAAAAATAAATAATCATCTTTTGACCTTTAGATTAAAAGTGTATTTACATTTTAAAACGCCATTTTAGCTCAAAATGAGAGTTCAAATCTATCTCGAGAATGGGATATGGGAAAGGGTCCAGAGAAAGATTGCCCTAGATTAATACAATTCACCTAGAATATAAGGTAGCCAGACAAAATGTGTCAAAACATTCCACAGTTCGAACATTCTGCTTGACATATTTGTCTTTAGACTGCATACGATTATAATCCAAGTATTTAGTCTCCCTTCCTTCGGAGAACCAATACACATTTTTTTTTTGGCCCAAAGGATTGGAGTATATAAAAAAAGAGCGATGATGAGCAGCCATGTTGACATTTTTAGATTGAGGTAAAAATAATTTCGCTTACCATCCTTCATTTGCTGGCTGCTCTGCTGGTCGCCGCTGGCCGACTCGGAGAAGCCGTGCAGATAGATGGCCAACGGGTAATTGAAATTGAAATTGCTTCGCGCCAGTCGAGCATCGTCACTCAACTGCAGCAGCTGGGCCGCGTTGCGGTTTTTCCTAAAAAAATGTCAAGCAATGACCTTTCAATATGCACGAGTCAAGGAGCAAGGACAAATCCACTCACCTCGTGTATAGCAGAAACTTAATGTCCTCGCTTTCACGTATCGCACAGCAGCTGCTGCAGCTGCCCCGCGGTGCAGCACTGTAGAAGATTGGCGATCCAGCTGCAAATAAAATAGAGACAGAGAGAAAGAGAGAGAGAGAGAGAGGGAGAGAGAAAGAGAGAAATTGAGAGCATAATTAATATTTAAGCTAGAGATTTTCCATTACAAATTCCTAATTTGACATGTGAAAAATGGTGCCTGATAGCTAATTGATTTATTAGGCAGCTAATAACAACAAGCCAACAACAGCGCCAACAACAGCGCCAACAACAGCAACCACAACGATGCACATATCATGGCTAAAAAAGCAGCGAGCCAACGAAGCGAGGCACAGCTCAAGTTAGCCGTGGACTTGAATCTGATTGTGACGATTGTGACGAGCTTCCTATAAAAATAAACCAACAAACGTACAACTTTGACAGCACAAAACAACAATAGCAACAACCACAACAACCGCAACAAAACGAGATATATTCATGGCAGTGCGACTAGCAGATACCCTGAAACCAGTGAAACCAATGAAACAAACTTGATCTGATTATAAATTATATTCCAAAATTGCACTCGACTGTTCATACTGATCCAGAATATATATACTTTTTAGGATCTGAGATGACTCTTTCTAGCTGTCACATACTTTGACACAATTCGACATACCCTTTTAGCCATTGTTAATGGGTACAGAGTATAAAAACAAACAACAAACAGCAGCACGTGACGCATTTGCGTATTACGTCTATGCAGAGACACAAATGTTATATGTTCATAACGATTACATGTGTATATATGTTGACAAATGCATATAAAATAGCTTAGGAAACTTGGCGACTAATGAATACACTTCGTTTTACGTTGACTACTTTTGCTAAGTTGAAAATGTGAAGAACTTTAAGCTAAAGTAAAGAAGAATACTCTTTGAAATTAAAGTGTTTACACTTAAGATATTGCCCTTTGCATGTGTGTTGTACGAAGGAATAGCTTGACTTAATAAAATAAATCGAAGTGCTTTTTATTTTTATAAATGTTTTCTTAATTTTTTTCATAATACTCCTTCATATTAACTTACTTATTAACATATCTCATAACTTCTTTTTTCTTGTATTAATAATAATGAATAATTCGAAATAAATAAAACTGAGCTGATTAACTTAAAATCAATAATACATCATGTAATGATCTTCTGAAAATTAATAACTCCTTATATAAAATGGTCAATTTATGTTATTCAAGGAGACTGTTGAATAACCAAATCTCATTTAAAAATTGAAATCTGTGGGAAAATCTTTAAAATCTAAGATTTATACAAATATTTACACAGCAGGTGTCTTTTTTTTTTTTTTGTTTACATTACCAATGTCTTCAATTATTCAGTGTATCCAACGAGTTGTCACAAAAACAAGTTTTTATCGAGTTTCAATTTATCACAAACCCTGTATCGAATAGGTGGGGGGCGGCGACGCTGTTGTTGTGGGGGCGTGGCACTGGGTCAACAATGCAATGTCAATACCTCGTATTGTAGCAGCAAGCGTGTAATCGCTTTGTTTTTTTATTTCGCTTTTGTTTTGCTACTGGAATTTAGCGTTGTTTCTGAATTCATTCCGTTTCGATAAAATGCAGAACTAACTAATAATCATGACCTTAGGCAAGGTCACTTGAAGCGAGTAGCATTTTATGGCGTTCTCTTCTCTACTCTGATCTCGTTCAACACTGTATACCCAATTTTATGTATGTAGTTTAGATATCTGATAAATATGTAAATTTATCACTAGTATACCTTTTTGTTTTCGCTGCAGAGCGGAAGAGTTTTGAATGCCTTACTTTGTTTGTTGTTAACAACTCGTTTTGTTTTTGTTTTTGTTTGTGTTCGCTTTGCTTCCACGTTTCGCGTCTATTTTAGCAGCGTCACGCCGTGCATTTTACTTGATGTCTTTTTTTGTTGCTGTTGTTAATTTAAATGTTTCTTTTATTTTATTTAATTTTTTGTTTCTCAGCTAATTATCTTCCTCATGCTTAAGTTGTCATTGTTGGCTGTCAATTGAATTATCACATTGTGAACTTATGGGTTAAGTTCTAAACATAATATAGCAATATTCTAAGGTAACTGTCACTGGCCATTAAAATGTCGTCGTATATATAATGAGACCGAGGGATGCCCCGAAGTCATAAAACTCAAACTAATTGGGGGGGTTTCTTTTCATTTAAAAATGTAGGTAATTTTTTCTGTGGCGACATATTAAAATGGTCTTGTGATTTATGTGTGGAATCATTTTGCATTTTCCGAAACGCAATAAAATTCTATAGGCTAAGCGAAATATTTTTATTAGCGCTCAGCAAATTTAAGTAAATGGATTTTTTTAATAAATTTCAAAAGGGAATTTACAATATGAAAGGTACTTATTCGTACTAAATTTATTATGTATGCTTTTAACATTCAACTGAACTTTAATGACTTATTTATACTTCTAGCAAAAACTCTCAGCTTTTAGACTAATTTTTGTTATAGGAGCTAAATGATATAGTCGTCCGATTCTGGTACATATATTTCCCACAGCAAAAGGAAATATGCCGAATCTGATCAAGTTGGCATAGAAAACAAATACCAATCGGAAAGCTATACCATTAAACCTGTGTTTCTAATTGTTATCGCATATCGATTACTATCGATCAAATAAAATAGACTTGATCTGCCTATGATAAACAATAACTTATATTCAAAATTGTTAGTCTCTATCAAGAATGTATATATAGTTTATGTGCTCGGATTTGGCACAAGTTTATTATACAATTTTTTCCATTAACTGTACGCCCAATTTTCAACATTAACTAAAAATGCTGTCAGCTGCAACAAGTATTTTCACATTTTTTATACATATGTACATAAGTCCGTCCAGATTACAAATATAAATCTCGCCCCTACAATTTATCGACTACAGACCTTGACTTTATTTACAAGTTAGCACGGATCAGATGTTCCATTGTTGTTCATCGATTGGTCGCTGAGGCAAAAGGCAAAATGCAAAAAAAAGGCAGTCGGCCTTCTTTCACAGCTGAGTAAACCCTCAAACAAGCTAACTGCTTGTCAGTGCTGGGCACAGAGTAACCATGCATCAAATGTCAACAATTGGCACTTCCAATCTTATCTACACACATATTATTTTTAGACCAGTACTGTAGGTATCGTTTTAGTATTTACAATGCACACCACCTTGAACTTATGAACAACATATTTACACTTATCTGACTAAAAGATTTAGTCAACAGTTTCACCAAAGAGATCTGAGAATTTATTATATTTTTAGGGGTGCTAAAAGCTGAGAACACAGAACTCACCCAATATAAATGTAAAAACATTGCATAATGTGGACGCAGCTGACAAAACCATAGCAAAAAAATGTTAGTAAGCTATATACTTAATATCGTCGATATTGAGCCGTTCAATGAACTTGGGACATGCTCATCAGCATATAGATATATATTTTTCGTATATGAATATATGTATATACATTTATATATACTTATACTCGTATATATATATATATTTATTTATTTATTTAACACGGCAAATCGACAAATTTCACACTTTGAGAACTGTTTGTATTTGGATGGACACTACTTCCGCATTTATTGCACGGCGTATTTTGGGCGAGTCTATAAAACACACACACAACAAAAATATGAATACGAACTTAAATTTTTTTTCTTAACCGCCAACAACACTCTGTTCTGAACAAGATCCGTAGACGAACTGAACGCTGCTTGAGACTCACAACGACAACGACAGCGACGACGATGACGATGACGATAACAACGATGACTGGGAACCTTTGAGTTGTCTAGAAGTTGATGTCGGGTTTGCTTGCTTTGATTGCTAATTGGAGTGTCAGCTATCTGTCTCTCTGTCTGTCTGTCTCTCTATCTGTCTGTCAGTTCAATCAATTCGCATGGCTCTGTGCCAAAACAAAAGACTGAGGCAACGAACTTGATCGTCGCCCATTTTCAAAATGGTCCGCCTTAGCCTGTGTGCAAAATATTTAGATTAGCTAATCGCGCATGCCAAATAACACACACTCACACGCACACTCGCTCTTACACTAATCATACACATACACATACACACTCACACACACACACCCACATACTGGAGTGGAAAAGTCGTTGAATTGCTTATTTTTTTTAATTTCCTGATGTGTCGCACGCACCTCGCAAAGTCCGCACAGCATACGAAATGAACTTTTTGTTGAGTCAGTTGAGCATCTTTATGGGTGGGCCACAAAAATAACAAAACAAAACTGCTAACTGCTTAAGAAATTAGGCGTTATATTGCCATAAATCAGTTCAAAAAAAAAAAAAAAAACTGGCAATTACTTAAGAATTGAGACATTAGACAATATGTCGTAGATCGGCCACTAAGTAAAATAAACTTTAGTCTTTTGTCATTATTGTTCAGCGATTTTAGAGAGTGATTCTTTTAAGACACTGTGAGAAATTCAAAACCTTGTATGAAATTAAAAATGTGTAGATTCGCCCTAGCTTTATTTAGTAAGTATCAGCTCTATCGTTGGGTATCTTATATAAGCTGAAAACAAATCTAAGAAATACAGTTGATAAGTGAACCGCAGATTTTTATACAGATATTATCAGATCCACCAAAAAATAATAATTTATGATTTTGATTTTAAAGAAAAGTAAAAATTTATATTTAAATTAGACAGACTTTTTCATATCTACAACAAATTAAAAAAAATATAAACGTGAAAGAATGAAGAAGACTATGATGTATTCCCAATAAGTTTTTTGTGCAGTGTATAATAATATAACCAGCCGGCTCACCTTGACCGAATGCTGACTTTTGGATTCCACTCCAATATGCCAATATGAGATGCTCTCTCAGTTGTCTTCGCCGCTGACAATCATGATGATGATGATGGTACTTATCGCATTTCGTTGACCAGTGGTGACCAACCTCAACTCATCTGCCTCTTCTTCTGTTGTCTTCTTGAACATATTTTCAGCTTTAGTTGCGGGTCAATTAGCGAGATGCCCACTTTTGCATATTAAGAGCATTAATCAAACGCATTCATTTTATCCAAGTTGCGGGTGTCTGTTAACTTTGATTTATGCACAGATTGTAATCTGACGATGAAGACCGGTAGTCAAGGTCAAATACTGCTGATGCACAATATCTAGAAATAGATAGCTTCAAGCACAACTTATGACAGCGAATACAACTTCTAAATGGCAATACTTTGAGGTCTCACGCCGTTTCATATTAGCTATCGTAATTCAATGGCTAATTGGCATTGCAATTCAGTCAGCCTTCATCATGTGTGTGCGTGTGTATGTGTATGTGTTGGCTTTTAGCCATGAACGCCACCAAGTGCAAGGCGATTTCTACTTGTGTTCCAGTGTTCTAGTCCATTGGCCAGGTCGAAGCCGTCCAACAACCTTTTTGTATCGTAAATACGTTTACAACTTCCTCTTGCCTTGAGTTCTCATCACTCTCTTAAAAGGGGTTTATTTCACGACAATAATTGCAATTGATTATTTATATTTACAGTAAGCTCACAATAAGTGCGCTAAAAATAGCCAATAGCTATGCTAAAGCCTTTCAATATGTCATAAAAACCATTAACTGGCAACAAACACTTCGTGCGAGAAATAAATGATGGAGGTTTTTTTCTATTTATTTTTTTTCCTTTTTGGTTTGCCAAAGAGTTAATACTCTTGAGAGTTATAGAAATGAGTATATAGAAACACGAACTATAATTCAATATTTTTTAAGAACCAGTTACAGGAACCTCATAAATTATTAGTCCATATAGTCCATAAGGAAATGGAGTACCCATAATAAATTCGGCATTCATAGAGGCATTTAGTAAAGGGTTCTGAAAAATAAAACGTTATTAAAAGCTTAGTAATTATATTTTGTATAGTTTTCCATTTATTCAAATTTATTTGTTGATGTGTTATTTAATGCAATCGTAGTAGAGTCTAAGCAAACCTAAAGGAATAAATAAATAAAACATAAAAGTTTACTACCCTCCAAAGGCGTATAAAAATATCACAATAAGACTTGCTGACTCACAAAATTAATGATAGCAAATAACAAAAACAAGAAATGCAATTAAAAAGCAACAATAAAAAAATCAAGTCAACAATGCGAATTTTAACAATTCCTTCCAGATTAAAAATTATACAATAAACTATTTATAAATGCATAATAATAAACTGCCTGAGGTCAAAATGCTACCCAAAAAAATAGATATATTTATATTTATATAAATATTTATAAGCAAATATGGAAGGCGTCCATTAAGTGTTTACTGTGTATTGACCAATTTGATGAGCAGTTAGTAAACATATTAAATCGAGACAATTTCATATATTTTGAAAACTTTGCCTTATTTTATGGGCGTGTGAAAAAAGGTTCCGGCTGTGTCCTTGGCAGTAGCAGACGCTGACATAATTTACAGTTAATTAATGACCGCAAATAAATGAAACATAGTTGCATAATTTCAATATGGCCAAAATTTCATTTCGACAGCGAAACACTTTTACTGTTTACTTTTGACTAACAGCTAATAAATATCTATAAAATTAATAGATAATAGCATATTTCAATTACAAAATAAATTCACTTAGAGAGCTTCAACAATAACTAAGCTAATATATTATTTAGATGCTTGAAAAATTTAAATAAGATAAAAAATGTAACAAGTGTAGGTTGCTTAAAATGCAGAATTAAATTAGAGAATAAATGAAAACTAAATGGCATTGGTATTGGATTTCTGCTTAGTATTGTCGAAGTAATGAGAATAATGTTAATAGAATGGGTATTGAAATTGATTCAACTTTAACTAAACCAAGTTGTTATATAGGTGCTTGGAAATGTGAATTGACAAAGAATTTGCTGTTGGATTTTACAGAAAATTTAAAAATAGAATATGGAAGAAAAATACATTATTTTTTATATATTTTAAATTTGAAAGTATAATTAAAGTAGACTACAAATATTGACTAAAATTGCCTTGCAATTGGAAATTGGGAATTGATTAAAATAATATATAAGAACAGTTGCATACGTTTAGGCGGTAGATAATATTTATATAAGAACATGAGAATTTCAACTCTGTCAATAAAATTAACTTCTCTTTTGATACACAGGACAAACTGCTGAGCAAACTTGAGGAGGAGAGTGAACCGGATCCGCCCACCTCGCAGGAGGATGAGTGCGTGATCTGCATCAATGCGCGAGCAACGATGCAAACCTCTCCATGTGGCCATCGTGTCGTCTGTCGCCGCTGCTTTGTGAAGACCATCCAGAGTGCGGTTGCCCAGCGTCTGCTGCCACTACGCTGTGTGATCTGTCGGGCGCGGGTGAATCGGCTGACATCCTCGTCGGGCAGCTGGCGCATCCAGGAGTCGGCGAGCAGCTATTCGATGGGTGCCAAAAGCTGGTCGAGCGCTGGGGTACACGCTGGCGGAGTCATTGCCTCCGCCAGCTCCTATTCGATGAATGACGCGCACAGTGAGCAGCATCATGCCTTCCATCAGGCGACGTTGCGCCGTGCGGCGTCATCACGTGGCGCCCATGGACGCTGCGTTTCGCATTCGGACAGCCTCTATTCGATGAGCTCGTCGACGGGGTCGGTGGGCTCAACGCTATCGGGCTACTCGCACTATTCCAAGACGTCTTCCATATCGAGTAACGGTCCCTGCTCGCCAGGTGTCAATCATCATCATTTGGCGCCACCCTCACCCAACACTCATCACAATCATCATCATCATCAACATCAGCAGCATCATCCACAGCATCATCAGTTGATCTCGCCATCAGGCTCCTCCTCCTGCTCGTCGGCTAGCGTTGGTTCGCTGTCGCCACGGGACACTGGCATTCATCATTCCCATCATGGCGGTTGTCCCAGCGGCTGCTCGGGCGCTGTGCCCCGCAAGCCGCTAAGCACGCTCAGCAATTCCGCGTCCTCATCCAGCAGCAGCAGTGGCAGCGGTTGTGGCAGTGGTGCCATGACACCCACTCCAACGCACACGTATCCTGGTCGGCGGCATGTGAAGAGCCGCATGCTGGATCTCCAGAATCGACTGCCACCCATCAAGGAGTTTCGCAGTCCAGCCAAAGTGCCACATCCCTCGCCGGTACATGTCAGCAATCCGCGTTTTCGGTGCGTACTTTCACTCCGAAAAAATTCGATTCAAATTTCAGTAAATTTCAATCGCCCTACAAAAATATAACATTTTTCATGTATTTTAAAAGTAATTTCAAAATAAAAAAATTATTTTATTTTGTATTTTAATGTTTTAAACATTGGGAAAACGTATTTAAGCCGATTATGTAATTCCTACTCGTTCTCACGCTATCTTTCACTGCCTATCTCTGTCTCTCTCTATTCCCCCCCAGCTATGCCTCATACACGAAATCAAGCAGCCATGAGCTGGCACCACTGCTGCGTGAATCGATATCGCCGCCACCGCCACGGCGTCTCAGTCCGATGAATATACAGTTGAGCTGCACGGCTGGAGCGCCGCTGGCACCGCCGCCTCTTAAGGCGGGCGGTGCCAAGATTTGTCCGGTGAACTCGAAAAACTCGCTGCCCAAGAATGCCTATGTGATGCCCAAGGAAAAGAAGACATCAAATGCTGCCGCCGGAGCTGGGCTGCCAGCCGGCAAGGTGGGGCAAAGTGGACGTGGCACCACCTCCAAGGTCACAACGACTGTGGGCAACTCCTCCACATCCCCATCCTCGTCGACGGCAGGCGTTGGGGGTGTGGGCAACTGTAGGTCACACTCTTCAAGCGCTTCCAGTCGAACTTTTCCTCTATTCTCTAACAACATCAAGAACAACAACAACAATAGCAGCAACATCAGCAGCAGCTATCACAGTAAGTTCTGACCGCACGATAGATGACGCCAGAAATTAATTATGTTCCGCTTGGCCAATTTTTTTTTGGCAGAGGAGAAAGCCGACAACAAGAAGAACGAATCCATGGAGCGCAAGAAGAAGGAGGAGAAACTCAAGATGAAGGCTGAAAAGGAAGCCAGAAAGGTGAATTTCCCTCCACTTTTATTGCTCTCTTTCTCTCTCTCTCTTTCGCCGTGCTTGTTTTGTATGCGCGTTTATTGTTTTGCCGCTTGGGGGCGCCACATTGTTTGTAATTGGCCTCGTTTGCTGCAAAAGTTTTTCATTAAACACGCGTCTTTTGTGACTACCAGGCATAAATTTTACAGCCATGCTAGCAGTTGACAAAGAGGGAGCGAGGAGGGGGAAATCGGTCTGTTGTTGCCAACAAAAAAAGTAGCTCATAATGCCCTTTTTTTAAGCATCTGATTCATTTTTTTTTTTGCTTTCTATTTATTGCAAGTTAATCAAGCAAAAAGGTCGTCAGGCTAACTGATAGACTAGCAGATGCTCCGTAAACTCAAACAAACTCAAACAATTTACAAGAAATTTAAATATTGTCCAACGATTAATATATACTGACCGCAATAGTAGGTACTGATATGCCCTATATAAATAGAGCTGCTAAGTATCAACAAAAATTGTCACAAAAATATAATGTGCAGCTAAATATTAAAAAAAAAAACAGATTATTAAAGCCAATTTTATGCATTTAATTTCATATATTTTCATGGCAAAAGGAGGAGAAAAGAATCGCCAAGGAGGAGGAGCGATTGGCCAAGCTGCATGCCAAGGAGGAGAAGAAGCGGGGAAAGAAGGAGGCCAAGGAACTATTATTGACCAACGATGGCAACAATAAGAAATAAACTGAATTAACCTGCAGAGTTAACATTGAAAATTATGCAAGCGATAACTGGCATCTGTATTATATCAGACATAATATAGACTTGATACACACACATAAATCACACATTCACCCCACATAAAACGAGCTTGATTGTATTTATAGGATATTTATTTAATTTAGTCGTATTTATTAAAAATATCTTCATTTTTTATCGAACACCAGTAAACAAAAAAAAAAAAAAACTATAAACACAAAAAATTGTTTTTTAGTGCAACAATTATAAAGAACAAATTTTTTGTTATTTTATAATTGATTGTTTATACTAATTCGTAGTTGTTTGTCTGTTGTTTTGAGAGACTTATGTGACTCTGGCTTAGGAACAGAGCATTGAAAAAAGTTGTGTCTCAATGTTCGTATATTTTCTACATTTTATTCAACCTGTTTTTGATTTCTCTATTTTTTTTATTAAATCAAGCCTAACAAACTCATCTGTCTCATAAGTTTAAAGGTTGTTCGAAACAATTGTTTTATAATAAATACTAACAATTTCGAGAGATTCTAAGATTAAGGTTCAAATTAAACAAGAAAAAAAAAACAAGATATTCATTTGATTCAAAGTTCAATTCTATGCCTAATAGATTTTATTACCAAAAACCGTAGAGAAAAAAACAGAAGCAGAGCTAAAACAGAAAAAAACGCTGCAGAATAAATTTAAGAACGTCTTTAAAATCAATAATAACATGAAGAAGAAGAGAGAAAGTATTTAGTGAACGTTGACAAAGTTGAAAAAGAATTCTTAAGTAGTTTTCATATTACAAACTATAAACTAATAAAAACTTATTAATAATATATATACACATATATATATATATACTTATATATATATATATATACTATGTATTATATATTATACCACAACTATAATTCTATATAGATTGGAAACTGTTCAAATGGCAAACCTAAAGCAATGTGTATTACAACTTAATTGTTTTCGAATAACAAAAAACCCTAACAAATAAAGACAAGTTATTTAGTTATAGATGATTCCTTTGATTTGGCATCACGCTCCTTCCTTTTCAGGCACTTGTGGAAAATCCGGCCAAAAGTGTATGGCAACTCATCCTGACACCTCAGATTGCCCATCTTGTGTAAGGCCCCAAAGTCCAAGCAATCGATGCGCCCATCCCCATTGCAATCCTGTCCATATTTATACATATATTTCTGAATCGTTTCGGCGGCGCAAATCGGATCATTCACACAATTCGTGAACGCTAAAAAATACAGAGAAAAAACTACGTAAAAAAATAAAAATTTCTAATTCTGATTTTTAATTGTTTTCTATTCGTTGTCCCATTTTATGGTTGCTCTCTCCTTCATCTTGTGCTTTTAAAAATTAAAATTGTGCAATTTGATTCAAAAAGCTTTTGATTCTGATTTTTAGGTTTGTTGTTGTTGTTTCTCACCCTCCTCCGACAATGAGGTGTCATTTGGCAACGTTAGCGATCCTCCCTCCGTCCAGTAGCCCCATGTGATCCTAAAAATGCCGCAGGCGCCATTTACACATATCTTTGTCGCATTGCAGTTGCTCTTCGCCTCGCATAAACATTCCAGACAGTTTTCCGTAACGGGTTTGTCAACAATCAAATCTCCACGAGAGAGAGAGAGAGAGAAAGAGTTAGTTAAGTGGGCAGGAAATGCTTTAGTACAAGTTGCTTAGCATATAAATCACTTGACTCTCGTTTAATATATACGATTCGATACTAAGTTAGTTGGTATTCCAGCGTAGCCGGTTTGCATTCTCATAATAAATGAACAATTGATATATATACTATATACAGATAATTGTCTCACACTACAGCTGCAGTGGTGCGAAGGCGATGAAATGTTTTTAAAAAGGTACTACTGGAAAAAGCAAATTTATCCCTAATAGAGAATATTATCCGATTTCGAATATAATTTTTTATAAATTTTAACCTAAGCCTGGTTTCATATCTTATAATCAAATAATTGAAAATATTTTGGAAATTGTGTCAATTTTTTTCCGATCGCAAACCGAATCGTATTTCGGGACAGTTACGGGTTCGGTAGATAAATAGTAAAGTGTGGTTCCGATAAAGCTTAAGAATATGTTCCAACTTTGTATTGCTTTTCATTTCCGTTATTGAACTATGAGAACTAATTACATCGTTGCCTGTAATTGATGCTGAAAATAATGTTGAATTTTGATTCTGGCTCTGAACTTCAATTGGCTAATTATAAATTTTAAAAACGCTACGAATATTTCTAGGGAGGTTCTACTATATTTGAAGTCCTTTTTACAAATACCATCAGAGCTAGGCTGACTCAGGGGTAATTGCTTACCATCATCAGCTGCACCAATGTGCAACAGGCCGAGTGATATCCACAGAATAAATACGAAGCACGGCAAATAACAGCGAGTGGTAAACATTTTAATTATTTATTTAATTTTTTATAATATTAATATTATTTTATAGGCGTCTCAGGTTATCCGAGCTGTTGAGCTGTGTTGACTCCGCCACGCTTTGAGCACGACTGAGTCACTTTGCTTGCATTGATTATTTTAAAAGAAGATCAAATTCAAAACTGGTAACAATTGTGTATTTTATTGGATGGAAAATCCCACTTGTATATGGATATATACATAATCGACTGTACTTTGTCTGGAATAAATAGTTACAAGCTAATAAATTCGACTAGTGTTGTTATTGTCGCTGGGCTGTTTCGATGCATATTCTGAATATATTCTCGAAGTTGTAGGGCATATCGGCTTTGCAATTGAACGGGCCCATATAGTGTATGGCCGCATAGTCATAGCAATCCTCCTGCTCATCCTCATTACAATCCTGCCCATATTTGAACATATAGTTTTGTAGCGTATCCGCCGCACAATATGGATCACTAGCGCAGTTTGTGAATGCTGTGATAAATATGCAAATAATTTAAATTATTATTAATTAATTTGTAATATATTTGCTGATGTGACATTGATAATATTTGGATTTGATCTGCGTCGCACACTTGACTTTATACTCACAGGTATCTGATAGGGGGGAATCCCCTGCCACCGTTGGACGTCCAGAGTCCACCCATTGATCCCAGGTAAGGCGAAATATGCCACATGCCCCATTCACACAGATACTCGTCGCATTGCAACCACTCAGTGCCTCACACATGCAAAGCAAACACGTCTCCGTAATGGGGCGCTTTCGATACGTCTCCGTTTCTGTCTGCGCCCTAATCTGGGCCACGCCCACAAAACACAGTAGCGACAACAACAACAACAAACGGACACTTTTTATCAACATCATTTTCTATTCAGGTTTTCCGATTTCCGATACGTTCCACGCCTGGCAAGCAACTGATATTGTTTGTAGATTGGTTGTTCAGCTTTATTTGTGCGTCGCAGCGACAATAAGCTCGCTATTTGTCGGGGTTTTAGTATCAACTATATATAGTATATAGTATATAGTATAGTAGTAATATAGTATAGTTCAAGAAAATAAAATAAAATTATTGCGTAATTGTTAATTCGGCCAATTGTTTGGGGAATCGCAATTTGATAACTATCATCATTTATTTATTTATATATTTATTTTATATAAGTATAAAAATATATACAAATATAGAAAAATATCATTTACATTTATATTACAAATGTGCTTTAAAAATATCGCCGAATTTTGAGCAACTTATTGTGATGGAAATTTATTAACTTTTTTACTATTTGTCTCTTTCTTCAGTGATAGATATTTATTAACTTTTTTCAACATTGAAATCTCTTCCAACTCGATATGAATATTCAAATCATGATGAACAAATATGTTCATACCGGCAAAATTGTTAAAAGAACAAAAAAAAACCCTTAATCCTTAATTTTATACACTTTTGTCACTCATCCCCTAATCCTTGTTCCTCATAGTTCTCGATGCAGTCTTCGAAGGTGGTCCGATATTTGTAGGGCATCTCTCTGGTGCAACCATAAGCGCCCATTCTATGTATTCTCGCATAGTCATGGCAATCCATCTCACCATCCCCATTGCAATCCTGATTGAATTTCTTCATATAGTTCTGGACACTGTCTGCCGCACAGTGCGGATCATTTGCACAATTGACAAAGGCCTCCTCCGAATCGGGTTGTTCGCCACCCACCGTCAATTTGCCAGCGTCGACCCAATATGCCCACGTAATCCTAAAGATGCCACAGATACCCTTCTCCTGGCTAGTACAAATTGCAGTTGCATTGCAGCCAGACATTGCCTCACAGAGGCAGGTGAGGCATAGTTCGGTGACTGGCTTATCCAGCACATGGCCTGCAGTCAATCAAATGAATATACAGATATATATCTGCGTATATATATATCCGCTTCGAAAACTTACCCTGTCCACGCACCAAGCTAGGCGATAACAAGCAAGCAAGTAACAAGCATAAGAGCTGTAAGATTTGCATTTTTCAATATACCAGATATATATATATACATGTATATATATATGTCTCCTACTACATAGAGAGAGGGAGAGATATTTGAAGCACGTTCTAACACTTCCGCTACTGGGACGTAAATGCACTCAGCTTCAACGGCAAATCACTACTTATTACTCAGAAAGTCAATGATACCGGTTTTTAGGGCGTCGTGGAGAGACTTAGTCGAATCTGATATGCACTTATAAGAAAATTTAGAGGTTAGAGTGTAGCTCTCTTCAATTTTAAGTATTTAAAAATACTACATTTTTAATAACATCAACAGGAAGCAGCAAAATGCCAACGGAATAATGCCAAGTGTTTGGGTTACATTTGAACGAAATCGAAATGTTTTATAGTTCACAGAAATCAAGTCAAATAAAGAGTTCAGAGGGCGGCCCATATTAGTTAGGTATTAAATAAAACTTAATTTTTTATGTAGACTTTCCAAAGTGCTTTTTACTGCCAGGGTATTTCATAGCGAGAAACTTGAGCAAGGGCTTGAAACAACAGATTATTCAAAGCTTGCGACAGTCATATGGAAGATAAGAAATGCAAAGCTTTAGTCGAGCCTCAAACCCAAAGCTTTAAGAACAACCATTATATCTTCAAGCGCAAAACCTAGCTTATCTTGAAAACAGGTTATAAAACTGATTTCTATGCTTAGATTTCACTCTCAAACTTTAATCTGTGATGATTTCCCTTATATTAGAAATTTTATGTTCATTTATTAAAATAAAAACACTCCTTTGATGTGTAATTGTCATAAAGTTTTTGCACAGTTCACATTCCAATTCGAAATATAAATAATTAAAAAAAATATATATATATATATATACTCGTAGATTAGTAGATTAGCTGTTGGAGGGATTATTTCGAGTTGCGCACATCAAGAGGCGAGAACAAGACCAGGCACTTATCGAGAGCACTCTGATATTGATAACTCAGCTCACCCTTGCAGCCATATCCACCTAGTTTATGGATGGCCGCATAATCGTAGCAATCGATGCCGCCATCTCCATTGCAATCTTGTCCAAACTTGGACATGTAATTCTGTATGGTATTTGCAGCGCAATATGGATCATTAACACAGTTTGTAAAGGCTGGGGGAATAAGAGAAAGAGAGTGAGGGAGATATCAAAGTAAAGAAGTAGAGCAAAAACTTACCATCCTCGGATAGAGGACTCTCATTGTTCAGTGTCAGCTTGCCGCCGTCAGCCCAATAGGCCCAGGTGATCCTGAATAGGCCGCAGACTCCGCCGCCACAAAACTGGGTCTGATTGCAACCACTGATCGCCTCACAAATGCAGCCCAGACAGACATCAGTAACCGGCTTATCTATAATTATTAGGAGTGCAAAGTTTATGTTGATTACTTTACTACTATCAATAATTATTCAAGCGCCTTATCCGCGACTTCTATACGAGTGACCTATAAAACAAATAATATTGTATTGTGTATTGCGAGCATCATTTTGAACAACTTGGGACAAACCGTAGTCGAGAAACTGGAAATTTCTGTCACATTTTTGCACGCACATGTCATCGTCGTACTTGTTCTCTCTCTCTCTCGCACATGTCATCGTCGTACTTATTCTCTCGCTCTCTCTCTCTCTCGCTCTCTCTCTTTCTCTCTCTCTCTCGCTCTCTCTCTCTCTCTTTCTCTCTCTTTCTCTCTCTCTCTCTCTCTCTCTCTCTCTCTCGCTCTCTCTCTCTTTCTCTCTCTTTCTCTCTCTCTCTCTCTCTCCCTCTTTCTGTCTCTCACTCGGTTTTGATTGTAAACAAGCGTGTAACAACAGCTGAGGCTAAGACTGAGCCTTAATAAAATATATACTTTATCGTTACAGTATGCGTATATATATATAAATCTATATATTTGGAATATGATATACAGCAGGCGAATCATAATAAAATTGTGTACGCCCATGAACCGAACGGTTCCGATGTATTATTATTATTATTCTGTTGCTCTCAGACATTGCCGAACTAGTTTTACAACTTTCAATGGCAGGCATTGAGGCATCCACGTTAAAGATTTTATTGTATACATTTTTTTTCTCATATTTTCTTTATATTTTTTAGTAAAAAGTTCGAACTTGTTAGTGGGCATGAGTCAATTTGGCTTGTCAACGACGCACAATCCAAGCAAATTGCGATATTCCTTTTAATATTTCATTGCTTCTGACATTTTTGTGGGCTGTACAAGGTTACAGCTTTTCGAAATGTATGGCAGATGTTTTTCTCGTTAAGTGACTTTTTTCCTTCTTTATATTTATATTTATATAAAATTAATTTTGAGCACATTTTTTCTTACTTATTTTGTATGCAAGAAGCGACCCATAGTCGTTTATTATTATTATTAATTTTTTTTTTAATTGTTACTACTTGAAATTGATTAATGTCACAATTTGAGACCCGTTTGTCTGATGTGACAAACTCGAGCTAAAGAATTACGTTATTTTTGTTTCTTTGGTTTAACATTTTGGGGTTCAACGAACCAACATAAAAAGGTATCAAGTTAGGTAAAAATATGAATAAACTAAGAGTCCATTTTTGTTTTCATTATATTATTAAATGGGATCTCTTTGTTTATTTAATTTTATTTCAATTCTAATTTAGTGCGATGAGTAAACGAATACTTTTTATAATTATACAGAAATGATACATCCAATATGTGTATTAACTGGAAATCGCAGAGATTATCTCACACGAAGGGATATATATATATATATATAAAAGTCATAGGGTAATTACGAGTACTGAACAATGCTTAGGCAAAATGTCATATCACGAAAAGAAATGTTTTTCCCCGGATCTAGCAATAACAGTGATTGCAAAATTGTGTGCGGAAATAATTGGGAAATTCTTCAAAGTGTAAATTGCCTGAGTTTATAATATTATTGGAAAGAGTTCGGAAGATCCTTGAAGGAGATCCCATAAGTATTTATATATTATTGATTAGACATATCTCATTCAACCAACTGAATATATCAGTTTTCTTAATAGCTGGTTTTAATAACATTTTTATGGCTGTATGTTCGGTCATTATAACTGTGAAATATGTTTATAGTTATTGGCTATTATGATCATTGCTGAGCAACTAGTTTCTCAACTATTAAAAATGCATTTAAACGCAGGCAATAAATTTAGTTCCGCTTTATGTAACAAGTCTATTAATATCGGAAGTATTTGGCCACAATGACACGTAACTGAAATCATCTGTCAATGCCCCCCTAATGATGATGAGTTGCCCCAGCTCAATAACACACAACTAAAAATTAACTAAATGTATATATATATGATATATATTTTTTTGTATAGAAAAAAGAAGAAGAAACGCATAATGCGACAAAAATATAGAATCTTGAATTTTTATGAATGCTAATTAGTGTTAATGAAATACACGAATCCGGTGTCAAAGTATATTAGGTATTTCCATATTGCTATTGACAAACATGTCTGTCCGTCCCTCTGTCTATCTGATAGAATCCCAATTCAGAATATTCTGATGGTATTTGACTCACCCTGTGCTTGGATGAGAACCGAGAATGCCAAACACAATATGGCTCCAATTGCCAAAGTGCAGCACAATTTGTTTCCAGCCATAATAATAATAATAATAGCAGCTTGTTCTTTCCACCAAAAATCGACTACAATTAATTATGCAAAATAAGCTCGAAAAAATACGCTGAAGATTTATGCGTACAGCGCGCACTGCTTGAACCGGTCGCGTTTGAGCTGCGCGTTGAACTAAGCTGCGATTCGAACATGCTGCGCTCTTTTGTGCACTGCAAAAAAAAGCTTTTGGCGCTCGCGACTAACTTTGACTCTGACAAATAACTTTGAGCACGAACTTAATAAAAGCACAGTGTCAACAAGTCGGCTGACGAAGAAGAAACACCCTGTAGTCTGACGTGAATTGACAAACGAATAATTTCTTCCCCACTCAAAAAACGTAACAAAACTTCAAATTTTCTTTAGCTACGCTCGAGTTTTATTTTGTGTGTTGAGTAAGAAAAGAGAAACTAAAAAACTCAGTCGTGATCGGATCGTTGCTTAGATCTTGTTGAAGGCCGCAATGTCGACGGACTGAACAAAGTCCTCGAACTCCTCGATCTTCTCCTGGAGCAGATCAATGGACACCTTGTCGTCCTCGATGACGCACATAATCTGCAGCTTATTGATGCCATAGCCAACTGGCATCAATTTGGACGCGCCCCACAACAAGCCATCCATTTCGATGGTACGCACATGTTGCTCCATCTGCTTCATATCGGTCTCATCGTCCCATGGCTTCACATCCAGCAGCACCGATGATTTGGCAATGAGGGCGGGTTTCTTTGACTTCTTCGCTGCATAGGCAGCAACGCGTTCTGCCTTGATGCGCTCAGCCTCGGCATCATCCTCGTCATCGGAGCCAAACAGATCCACATCATCATCATCATCGGCAGCGGGGGCTGCAACGGTTGGTTTGCCGCCAGCCAATTGTGGCAGAGGAGCACCGCTCCAAGCAGCACGTTCGCCGGCCTCGAAGGAGGCAATGTGGCGATACCAGCGTGTAACATGTGCATAATCCCCAGCTGGTGCCTTGCCTAGAGCATCGAACACGGACAAATCGGCTTTACTGGCGGTGTAGCTGCAATAAAAAATATTTATTTGCCGACGTGTTTGCCGTGTTTAACCTAACTTTCAGTTTTTCACTCTTATGCTTACCCGCTGATATAGCTGTTGTCGGCCAGGTAGTTGTTCAGCTCCTTGAGGCCCTGAGGCGTCTTAACATCACCGAAAGCCATTTTAAATGCGTTTAAATTGTGTTTAAACTCGCGTCTAAAAGAATTTGGACCGTGTGCCGTTTGCGAGCGTGTGTGCAAAAGAGCGATGGATGTGCAAGCTAAACGATACTTTGTGCACAACTATTGATTAATCTTAACAAATATCGATATAAAAATACTCTATGCAGTACTGTTTCGATCAGCTGCTTCCGGTTGGCTCTGCTGTTCGGTTGTTTAATTGAGCTAGTTTAAGTTATATTGAGCAAATCTTGTTTTCAATATATTAAACAAATTGCATATAAACTGCAGTTGCAACCACAATACAGCAGCAACGGCATTTCGTATATCAAAATAGCGCTTCCATTGATAACTACTACAACACTATACAGAGGGCTGGAGGGAAGCACCCTGTGTATTTCTGAGTGACGCAGTTACACAACGCCAAAGCAAGAGAAATCCCAAAATTATCAGTCTCTGGACGAGTAGGCCTCGGGCGGCACAACTACAAATAAAGCATTGCACACAGCACGACCCACTCACGAGATTGCGAGTGTGAAGGGGGAAGGTATGTAGTTTTGCTCAGGCCACCCGGTCTCTATTTATAGCTAAAGCAACAACAATATATCTTTATGCTCTCTGCTTATCGATTTCTTCTTCGTTCAGTTCAGTTCACGGACAAGATTTTCGCTTTCGTTGCGTGACAGCGCCCTCTAGAATCCTTTTACTTTCGCTCAGTTGCTGTCAAACTGTTGCAGTCATCATGGTTCTCACTGCGTCCACTTGTCGCACGGAGACGGTTTTCGACTACAGCTGGAAGCATGTAGTCTCTGCCTATTGGAACCGTTACCCCAATCCTTCCAGGTGCGAACACCATCGCTTACATTTTACAGGTCTGTCGATTAACCATACATTTTATGTGCTGCTGCAGTTCTCATGTGCTTACCGAGGACACAATTAGGCGCGAGGTGCGCGATGGTAAATTGTATTCGCGTCGGCTGCTCTCCAAAACAAATCCGGTGCCCAAGTGGGGTGCACGTTTCTACAACAATGTGCCGGTCAAAATTGTTGAGGATTCTGTGTTGGATCCGGTGAAGAAGACATTCACCACATTCACCCGCAATCTGGGTATGAAGAAGATCATGGTGAGTTTGAACTTTGGCCCCCTCACAGTGTGACACAAGTAAAACTGATTGTTGCTTGTAGAAAGTGGACGAAATTGTTGTTTATAGCGAGCAGAGAGATGGTCGCACTTTGGCCGTGCGTCGTGCTTTTATCAGCTCGCAGGTATTTGGCTTCTCGCGTGCGATACGCGCTTTTGGCATTGAGCGCTTCAAATTGAACGGCAACAAGGCATCGAGTGGCTTCAATTATGTTCTGCGTCGCATGTTTCCCCAGCATCAGCTGCAGGCAGCAGCATCAACGGTAAATCCACAACAAAACACAGCGGATGTGGCCTTGGCAACAACAACCAATCACAGCAGCAGCAGCAAATCGGAATCGCTCAAAAGAACAGCCAAAGTTGGCTACGAGTTCTGCAAAAGTCATGCGAGCAAAATTGCCCAATTATTTTCAGTGCGTAACTGAGATTGAAACGTCTCAACTGAAACAGCGGAATCGGCACAAGATGACGGAACGAGAGTCGACTAACGCAGCAGCATATATATATATAACACACTTGTATCTGCATGCACAAATGTATTCCAAACAATCGCATACTGAACTATTTGCTGCATTTCATTCCGAGTGTGTGTAAAGGAGAATGCTGAACACACTCACAAACACTCATACATTAAAGCATCTCCGATCTTTATGGGAGTCTTGCTCGCAGGAAAAAAGAGTAATTTTTTGTTATTGTAAAAATGCGGTCTTTTATGTAATATAATATTGTACATACATACATAAAATAAATGAGTAGGTTAAAAAATAAAAAATAAAAAAATATTCAACTCCGAATACATAAATCTCGACGAGTACATCGAAATCATTCTGCAGCGAAGCGCAACGCGATCTGCCAAACAGAAGGCTCTCCTAGAAAAGTTGGAGCAAAAGGCTCAGGAAGATATGATTGCGCTGCCCGTGCACAAGCAAATAATTCAAATCTACTCCAAGGTCTACTAATAAGAAAAAGTAACCAAAATTCAAAGTAATTAATAATAATAATTAAGAAACACATTGTTATATTTTATTTTATTGAATAATTGAAATTATTTTGTTATTTGATTTGAGATTTGAAAGTTAGTGTTTGCACTCGCTAATATATGAAATATGAATTGTGTTGAATATTGTTATATTTGATTTTGTTCATCAATTAAATTTGAAATTTACCCCTCAACTCTTGTCAAAGTGCTTTAATAGTTCGTGTTCGCGTTTGCAGCCCTCGTTTTGAGCAACGTACACTCATCGATAAATCGTTTTCAAGGCAACTCCGTCAAACGCCACTTTTTCCCGCTGCCGTTCACTCATACAGACGCAATACCGCGCGACGCTCTCAGTAAACCAAAATAATTTCGAAAACTCAATAATTAATAATTACAAACGCCGAAAATCAAATTGCAATAGCGGAAACATGTCAAAACCAGAGACAGCTACAGTGGAAGCCAGCGAGGAAAACTCTGTAAGTGCAATTTAAACCAGCAAAGCAACGCTTCCAACAATTTTCGCCACACGAAAGAGAAAATGAGAAAAAGAGTGCGAAAAAAAGACGCCGCATGCCGCTTGACAAAAAATTGCATTTGTGTATTTTTATGTTATCTATTCTAGAATGAGACAACGTCGGAGGCGGCAACAAGCAGCTCGGGTGAAAAAGAGGCCGAGTTTGACAATAAAATCGAATCGGATCGCAGCCGACGCTTCGATTATCTGCTGAAGCAAACGGAGATTTTTACGCATTTCATGACAAATAGTGCTAAGAGCCCCACAAAGCCAAAAGGACGACCCAAAAAGAACAAAGACAAGGACAAGGACAAAGATGTCGCCGAGTAACTATTTAGCTTTGCCTACTTATAATTATAATTATTATTATTATTTGTGATGCAGCCATAGACACCGCAAAACGGAGCAGGAGGAGGATGAGGAACTACTCGCCGAGGATTCGGCAACGAAGGAACTATTTCGTTTCGACGCCTCGCCCGCTTACATTAAGGGGGGGGAGATGCGGGATTATCAGGTGCGTGGCTTAAACTGGATGATCTCGCTGTATGAGAATGGCATCAACGGCATCCTCGCTGACGAAATGGGTCTGGGCAAAACACTGCAGACAATCTCGCTACTGGGCTACCTAAAACACTTCAAGTGAGTCGAATGGAGACTTAACAAATCTTATCATTTACTGAAATGAAACTCCCTTGTAGAAATCAAGCTGGTCCGCATATTGTCATAGTGCCCAAGTCAACGTTGCAGAATTGGGTGAATGAATTCAAAAAGTGGTGTCCATCGTTGCACGCTGTCTGCCTTATTGGGGATCAGGATACGCGTAATACGTTCATACGGGACGTGCTTTTGCCGGGCGAATGGGATGTGTGTGTCACCTCGTATGAGATGTGTATACGCGAGAAGTCCGTGTTCAAGAAATTCAACTGGCGCTACATGGTCATCGATGAGGCGCATCGTATCAAGAACGAAAAGTCCAAGTTGTCTGAGATCTTGCGCGAATTTAAGACAGCCAATCGTCTGCTCATCACGGGCACCCCACTTCAGAATAATCTCCATGAGCTGTGGGCGCTGCTCAACTTTCTGCTGCCGGATGTCTTCAACTCTTCGGAGGACTTCGATGAGTGGTTTAACACGAACACCTGCCTAGGCGATGATGCGCTTGTCACACGTCTCCATGCAGTGCTCAAACCATTTCTATTACGTCGCCTCAAGGCGGAGGTAGAGAAACGACTGAAGCCCAAGAAGGAAATGAAGATCTTTGTGGGTCTCTCCAAGATGCAGCGCGATTGGTACACAAAAGTCCTGCTCAAGGACATTGACATTGTGAACGGTGCGGGCAAAGTGGAGAAGATGCGACTCCAAAATATTCTGATGCAGTTGCGAAAATGCACCAATCATCCGTATCTATTCGATGGAGCCGAACCGGGTCCACCATATACGACAGATTCCCATCTGGTGTACAACTCGGGCAAGATGGCAATTCTGGACAAATTGTTGCCCAAGCTGCAGGAGCAGGGATCGCGTGTCCTTATCTTCTCGCAGATGACACGCATGCTTGACATCCTAGAGGATTATTGTCACTGGCGCAACTACAACTATTGCCGCTTGGACGGACAGACGCCGCACGAGGATCGCAATCGACAGATCCAAGAGTTCAACATGGACAACAGCACCAAATTCTTGTTCATGCTGTCTACGCGTGCCGGTGGGTTGGGCATCAATTTGGCTACTGCCGATGTTGTCATCATTTATGACTCGGACTGGAATCCGCAGATGGATCTACAGGCGATGGATCGTGCCCATCGCATTGGCCAGAAGAAACAGGTGCGTGTCTTCCGGCTGATCACCGAGAGCACCGTCGAGGAGAAGATTGTGGAACGGGCCGAAGTGAAGTTGCGACTGGATAAGATGGTCATTCAAGGCGGTCGTCTCGTGGACAATCGTGCTCAGCTCAACAAGGACGAGATGCTGAACATTATACGTTTTGGAGCCAATCAGGTGTTCAGCTCCAAAGAGACGGACATCACGGACGAGGACATCGATGTAATTTTGGAACGTGGCGAAGCGAAGACGGCCGAACAGAAGGCACAGCTGGACAGCATGGGCGAGTCATCATTGCGCACCTTCACCATGGACACCAACGGCGAGGCGGGCAGTTCATCCGTCTATCAGTTCGAGGGCGAGGATTGGCGCGAAAAGCAGAAGCTAAATGCGCTGGGCAATTGGATTGAGCCGCCGAAGCGTGAGCGTAAAGCGAATTATGCTGTCGATGCCTATTTCCGGGAGGCGCTCCGCGTCTCCGAGCCAAAGGCACCCAAAGCACCACGTCCGCCTAAGCAACCGATTGTGCAGGACTTTCAATTTTTTCCGCCACGCCTCTTCGAGCTGTTGGATCAGGAGATCTACTATTTCCGAAAGACCGTCGGCTACAAGGTGCCCAAGAATACGGAGCTCGGATCGGAGGCGAGCAAAGTGCAGCGCGAGGAGCAGCGTAAAATTGATGAGGCCGAGCCGCTCAGCGATGATGAGATGCTCGAGAAAGAGTCGTTGCTCTCGCAGGGATTCACGGCGTGGACCAAGCGTGACTTCAATCAATTCATCAAGGCCAATGAAAAATATGGACGCGACGACATCGAGAACATTGCCAAGGATGTTGAGGGTAAAACGCCCGAGGAGGTCATCGAGTACAATGCTGTGTTCTGGGAACGCTGTACCGAACTCCAGGACATTGAGCGCATCATGGGACAAATCGAGCGAGGTGAGGGCAAAATCCAACGCCGCCTCTCCATCAAAAAAGCCCTAGATCAAAAGGTGAATATAAAAGAAATATGTATGTGTATAAATATATATTTATATTTATATTTTTATGTATATTTATATATTATATATCTTTATTTATATATCCCCCTATCTCTTTTTTATAGATGGCCCGCTATCGTGCTCCATTCCATCAGCTGCGTCTGCAGTATGGCAACAACAAAGGCAAAAATTATACGGAAATTGAGGATAGATTTTTGGTCTGCATGCTGCACAAGCTCGGCTTCGACAAGGAGAACGTCTACGAGGAACTGCGTGCCGCCATACGGTGAGTTGGAATGTTCTTTTTGGATGAAACCTTCTCTGGTTATATATATATATATATATATATTTATATTTATATTACAGCGCCTCACCTCAATTTCGTTTCGATTGGTTTATTAAATCGCGTACTGCGCTGGAATTGCAACGACGCTGTAATACGCTGATTACGCTTATTGAGCGCGAGAATCTCGAGCTTGAGGAGAAGGAGCGGGCTGAGAAGAAGAAGAAGACACCGAAGACGCCGGGTGGTGGAGGGGGGAGCAGTAACACAAGCACTCCGGCGCCGACGCCACAGGCCAAGTCGAATCAGAAGCGCAAGAACGAAGTGGCTGCCACCAGTTCTAACGCTAAAAAGAAGAAGAAGTAATAAGTAATCAGATCATTATTCAGTTAATAACAATATTATATATTCATTATTATTATTATATAATCAAAGCTTCGCACAGCATTAGTTTGTAGTTGAAATTGAAAATCATGGTTCGATTTGAGAGCTAATCGCATTCATATGCATTGAGTATGTTTGCAGTTCTTATCTCCTCCAGTTACACACACACCATACACACATACTCCGCACACTCACAGACTAAAAATTAATTAAAAAATTAAATTTATTATATATCTATTAATATACTTATAAATGCGCGCCGCTGTATTCTATTCCACTTAATTGTATTTTGCTTTAAGTTTCAATTTATTGTATTTTAATTTTTATGTGTATGGAAAATAATGCAACAAACTGAAAAAAATGCATGACTAATTTCTGACATTAGGGGGTCCAGATTACATTTTATTCTAGAGGGAAACCATAACAAAAAACACAAATTTCGACAAAATCGACTTTGACAAAGATATGGCCATTTAAAGTATCTTAAAAAACAACAAACTCTTATGCAGCATACTTTTATGAGTATATATCTTTTTTTTTAAAGCAGTTTTATTCTAGAGGTCATACCATTTATAAAGAAGAAAAATTGGTCAAAATCTGATCACTTTTGACAAAGATATGGCTTGACTGGTGTCAAAAAATATGTTTTACTCAGGGCTACCAACTGGCCAACTGGACATCCAAATCATTTCGGACAAAACGGGGTTTTTGTGCTTTCGACTTATATTTCACCCGAAAGATAAACTTTTCTGTGTTTGGTTTCTTAAATCCGTGAATGTAATTCGATGGAATTGGATCGTGTGATGCTAACGCACCATGTCCTACGAAGATTTATAAGGATATAGTCGACTTAGAGCCATTTTATGCTCAAAGTATGCTACACATTCATTGCTTAGAGACAATTTAGTCAAAGCAGCAACCTAATAATATTTGCTATCCCGTACAGCAGCCAGCTCCAAAAAGAAAATAAATTAGTTCCATATTTCCTTGCCAACAAAAGTCCGTTTCCTTTTTAAATTATACACAATATTTTTGTGTTATAAAGACAGAGAGGAGGTGGCAATTTTGTGTGTAATAATGTTATTTTCCAGTAAGTTTCGAGCTTCGCTCCAACCACAATCGGGTATTATTAAAATGCTCTAAAGATTGCAAGCATTGTAAGAGATAAGTCAAATCAGCAGAGAATTATCAAGATTGCAACAATTTAAATATTTATAAAGATTTAACATTTTTATTAATTCAATGCGTATAAAAGAAGTTGCTTTAGCTTAATGTATATGATTATAAATTCTATGGATTGCGGTTTAGTTTTTAATACAAATACATATACAGATGTCTGTGTACATACATGTATATATGTGTATATGTACAGATACAACAGGTACTTACTAGGCACACATAAGACAAACATATATGTGCATATATAATCGGTGTTTGAAGTTAAGAATTAATATCATCTTTATGCAATGCAGTCCATCATTTAGCAGGAGCAGCAGCAGCTGCTACCTTTAGTCATGCTCAACATGGCTTGGGAGAATTAGGAGTACCTGCATCTCATTTAATACTACTTTGAGTGTCCACTACGACTTAGTTATCCTTCGGATTGATCATCTCACCAATGCTGGCAGCGGCGCCGGCAACAAGCGCCAGCAAGGAAAAGATGCCCAAAAGAACGTTCTTGATCAGCTTCCATTTGCACCAGCCGAGGCGATCAGGCCACAGATACACAGTCTCAATGAAGCTGGGCACAAATATGCCCAGCAGCGAGAAAAACACAGCGCCCACCAAACTGATGAACGGCTCCAGATTGGGTATGCCAGCGGCGATCCCACCACTTACCAATATTATCCCAGAACGCAACAGAATCTGCGTAATGTTGTGCCTCTCCGGCCGGAAGTGGTGCTGAATCTTGCGCCATAACACCTCATTGGGACTGCAGTGCAAATTAACCCATTAATTCTTGATTAACTCAAATATAAACTCTGCAAAACTTACACATAGAACTGTAGGCCGTAGGTGAAGAGAATGGCCACAGCCATCAGCAGTTTGGCAGTATCTCCCAGCCAGTAGCCCTGGGGCAGATTGAGCGTAATGCTGCCACGTACTTCATCTCCATAGCGCACCTTAAAATTGCATAATAGATTCGCCAATTAAACATTATGAAAATATTCGTGTCGGAATTTTCGGACTGTGGCTTTAGAATTGACAAAACAATCATTATTAATAATCTAACTTAGATGACTTAACTGCATTCAAAGATTTAGACGTAATTCTGAGTTCCTAAAACAACTTTTAGAGATGTGCCCAAATTTTGAAATGCCATATCTTTATCAAAGTGGCACGATTTTAAAAAATCAGAGCTCCCTAAACTTTAAACCTTCATTTAAAGTTGCACACGCGATTTTAGCTCGAAATTCAGAAAGTGTATGAAGGATTGAGCCCAAAACATTCCTATTTTTTTTTTTTATCATGTTTTGACCTCCAGATTAATGCTACACTTAACTTATTAAGATCATCAGGTGTACTTACATAGCCAAAGAATCCAATAATTGCGTAGAGTAAGACGACCGTAATCATTGCCGTATTAAGGACGCCCGGGCAGCCCAAGAACTGTTGCGGTTTCTTCATCGAGTTCTCCACGGGCATAACAGCACCAATGCCCTCCATGGCAAAGATCACTGTGGCAAAGAAGAGAGGAATGTGGGCAGCAGGGGCAATCAGTGGTTTGTTGGAGAAGACAAGCGGCTGATCGAACATATAGTAGAGTGTAATGCCAAAGGTGATCACAATGAAGATGTTCGCCATCAGGGAGAAGGGCACCAGAAACTTGAGACTCCTGATCTGACCGATGAATAGACAAGGTATCACCGTCATTGCAACATAGATGCGGACATTCCATTTGAGGCCCACATCATAGTTGATGACATCGTGAAACGAGGTCGCTATGAACAGCATATAGACACAGGCGGCTGCAAAATATGTTGCCATCAGTCCAATGTCCACAAATTGCCTGCAATAAACATAATGTTGTTGTCAGCATTAGACCCGGAAATACTCTTAAGTCCACAGTCCCCAAATGTCCCGAACTTTTTTGATAAAGTTTTTTTTGCCAAAAAAAAAAAAGAAACCACCTTTCTTTGTGTTACTTAAACATAGTTATCTTATCTGAATTTAAATAATATGATATTGATGTGAATATAAGCTATAACAAGTATCTCATCACTTATGTAGTCAGTTTCTAAACAACATTATTTGTTCAACAGAAGCAAAACCATGACCAGTTCTTTAAACACTTACTTGGCAAAATTGGAATAGGGTCGCAACTTTTTGGGCCCGTACTCGAAGACCTTCTCAGCGGTTTCCGCAAAACCCAATGCGGGAACTTTGGCGTCCAGACATATGTTGTGCGAAGTTTTTACCTAAAAAATGAACAAGAAAATAGGAATAGAAAATATAAAACAAGTTAGAATACTCTAAAAAAAAACAGAGCTCGCATAGGAGATACTGTTAAATACATAAAATATGTTTAGGATCTCGGATCAAGGATCTAGGAAGGGCAATAGTTAGTTTTCAGTAAGTCCTTATATCATATATTATTATTCTTAATCCGTTCATTCTTAGTCAGTTCTATGAGCTATACTTATTCAAGTTCTGTTGGAATAGCTGAATGTTTACCCAAATGGAAATTGCGCACTTGCCGCTCCCATTTTTTGAAATCAACTTATTTATAAACACCTCTATAAAGTACATGGCATCGATCATTATATGTATATGGTTAGGCAATCGGCGACTGCCACTATGCTCAGATAAGGCTACTGATATCTCAATCTAGTCGTAGAAAATTACTTACTTGCACTTTTTGTTGCTTGTTAATCTAATTTGAATCTTAAACCATATATCTGCCCCTCCAGTGGTTCCATATATTTATACATATACATTTATACATATATTTATATAGATTTAGTGGCTAAGAATATCAGTATGACATATATGTTTATTATTGGATTTCTACGATGGATTATTTTTATGATTATAGCGCACAAATTGTCATCTATCCATAAAAACTTCAAATTTATCTGGCTAGGCCATTTTGCGCGCGTTTTTAAGCGCAACCAGCAATTTTTTTTGCGTCTTTATCAAAAAAGCTTTACCAATTGATTACTTTGTCCGGGCCTTGAGCTACTTAAGCCACCGACTAAGTAAATCTCCTCAATTGCGTCAATAGCAACCGAAGCAACCAATAAGCCAGGTGTTAAAAAGCTTTCTGCTTGATTGGCACTACATACCAAAATGTGCACACAGTGGGTGCATAGAAAGCCAACGATCAGTGTCATTATACCGCCAAACAGCAAACCGGCATTGTGAAAGGCCATCGGCATGGCCAGAATACCGGTGCCCAGCGAACTCTTGAGTAGATGGGCCAGAGCACCGCCAGCACTGGCACCATTGGGATCCCGATGCTCAAAAGGATTGTAGGCGGCCTCATCGAGCGACAATTGATCCTTTTCCGTTAAGTTGACCCTGGAAGCACAAATAGTTAATATAAATACTTACTTTTACTTTTTTCAAAAGGGACTACAAACATTTACTTATTATTATAAGATACATTTGACAAATTTAAGTACACTTAGAGATTTCTCGAAGATATGATAATATTGAAAATGTTACTAATAAGAAGAAGCCTACGGAAATCCCAGTTATAAATACGTAAGGAAAAGAAAAGGAAAATGGTTGATGAAATCAAAATTTTCTTACATTAGTCAAAAATATAGTTGAAATTTCCGTAACTCGAATTGGATAGTGACAAAAAATACCTTTTTGATATGAAATCCCACTGAAGGCATTTTTTTACCGTTTGTTTGTTTGTTTCCAAAAATAAATGTTAAATACAAAAAAAAAATCAAATAAAATTCAAAATCTATCATAGCACATCAATTTTCAAATCCAACTTAGTTTGCCTTAGATCAAGAACTCACACATTTACTTTAAGCTATAAAGTTCTCTACTCTAAAAATGTAAAATTACGAAAGTTAAACTAAGATCAAGATCATCTTAATAACAATTAGAATACTGAGCTTGATCTGTGATCTATTTCAGCTCCAATTCTATACTTATTTGAATAAAATAAACATTTTAGGTGATTTACTTACTTTGAGTTGAAGTCATTCAGCGAGAGTGCAGTATTATAAGATGGTGGCGATTGAACTGATTCCGTCCTGGTGACCGAGTCCGATCTGCTTGGCTCGGTATCGGGTGCATATGCCTTATTATCTGTCATCTGCAAAGGTCACATGATACGATAAACTAGTGCTTGAGTATGCTTTATATGATTGGCTACTTTGATTCCGGTTGCCATGGCTAATCCACTCGAGAGATTGTCCAGGCGCATGCCAACCATATCTTATCGTTACAAGTAGCTTAAGTACAGTTAATAGCTGGTAAATGTTTTTTATGGCTCCTCTCAAGTGCAACAACATGACTAAGTTCCACGTGCTTTTGGTTTTATTCAATAAATTGTCCTTACTTGAGCTTCAAAAGTTTTGAAAGTTTTAAAAGTTTTTCATTTGAATTTTATAAAAGAATTTTTTAATGCAAAGTATAAGCCATTTTCTTTACTATAGTTTTTATAGTGAATACTTTAAAAGGATTTTTGTAAAAACAGTAAGTATAAAAGAGACTTTTCTGTAACATTTTAAATATATTTTTGTAATTAAATTAAAAGCATTAAAATTTAGATATTTATCATTAAATGTTTTTATTTATTACTTTATCTATTTAATAAAGATAATTAAATTCAGTTTTGTTGAAAGATAATTATGTTTACTCAAATTATTATGAATGAATTTATCAAAACATTTTTTTTTGCTCTCCTTTTACTTGTTATTTATTTATTAATTAAATTAAATTGTTCAAACAGAATATACTATACTATACTATACATATATGGAATATAATATATTCTGAGTTTTCTGAAAACCTCTAATTTTTACCATAATGTATAAAAACCTTGAGCAAAAAATAAATTATAAAAAGTGTTTCAAATCAGATATTTGGAACACCCAATTATAAAATATAATATAGATACATTTTTAACTTTTTCGCTTGTCCAGGTTTCGAGCAAAATAGAAATTAGATAAAGTTTTGCAATTAACGACGAAAAAAGTGTTTAAATTTACTTTGCCATGTACATTCTGAAGCGGACTGTTTAATATATATGGAGACTTTTTTTTTTATAAATATATTGTGATGATTACTCAATATTCAATTCAACTTTTCACCAAGAAATTCAAAACACTTTTGAATATGTATATAATTTCCTAATTTGCGTAATCTAATTTTTAAGCGACGGAATTTTAAACGAGCCCAGAACTTACGGTTTAGCTATTATTTATATATATTATAATCGAGAACAACTAACTGGTTAGAACCGAACGCGGCCTCGGGCCAAATGCAACTGAAAATTGGGGCCGGCGCCAAATGAAAAAGTGTTAGGAAAGCAAGTCCCCGATGATAAGGTTAACATTGGAGCCAAAGGCAAATACCATGAAGCAGTAATTAATAAAATAAATCAGGCAGCACGTCATAAATATTCAACGCTACCTTTAAAATCAATTACTGATTACTGATAACACCGATAAGCGGAAACTATGGCAGCGCCTGAAAACATCTTAGTATTAATTTAAATATCATCTAAATGCTATCATTTTAATATAATTTTATATTTCCCAATAATTAAATATTACTTTTTAACAACTGCAATTTGTACGTATCTAGCAAAAGATACGATTAACAAGTTGTTCCAAGTATTTAATTTTATTTTCAGCTGATAAGATTAGCGAAGTAAGTGTCACAATTGTGTGCGGCATTGACATCCTTTACAAATGCTATAGCATACATATATATATATATATACTATGTATAGTATCTATATCATTCAGTTACAAAATGCTTGCGTAGTTACAACCTTAATCGATGGGAAATATATATTTACGGCCCGATTAGCGAAATATTGACAAGTGTCACATATTATTTGGGCCCACTGGTCAGTTGGCGGGCGATTATTAATTATTATTTTTTTTATTTTGTCGGATTTTTACGACATCACGCGGATCGGACAAGATCGTGAATCATAACTGACATTTGATTAGTTTTCGATGTTAGATTACTATTGGACTTATTTAGATGCATGATTTGTGTTTATAAGCACTAGACTGGCATTATAATCGCATCACAGCGTTGACTTAATATAATTTGATTAAACATTTGCGTCACTCGTTTTATGATTATGCTAAACTGTCAATGACATCTGGTTTCAGGCACCAGCATATCGCTAATATCTTGACTACTAAAATGAAACGATCGCTAGAAGAGAAAGAAAATATGTATATATGTATATATCTGTGGACTGCCAATTTATTTGTCTGACAGTAAATACAGTTATTTGGAATGTTCGCTAATGATGTTTGTAATGAATATAATTAAGTCTTATCAACATAAAATCAGTGCAGATTTGAGTGCAATAAGCCAATAAATATGAATATGCGATACTTACAAAATTCTTATGAAAATAAACAATTGATTAATTCATTAAAAAAAAAATAACAAACACTGTAATTGTTTTAAAAAAAAAAAAATATTTTAGGAAATACATTTATAAGTATTATTAAAAGCAACAAAATCTGTATATTAAGCATGCACATTTTACACTAAAGTAAAAAAAATAAAATGAAAAAATGTAAGTAGTAATTTAATAATATAAGATGGATTCAAGATAATTTCCTGAACCAACGAAGATTGAGTCTTTGTGAATTTCTTTGATGGTTCCATTTTTCATTTTAATCACAAGATCCACGTCTTTAAAACATCGCCGCTAACCTGCTCCTAGCATTATATAAACAATCTTATGGGAAACTTGCACTCGTAATTGTGGGAAACATAAATGGGCACATTTAAAAAAAAATTGTTAGGTTCATCAACTCTTCCTTTAGGCTTTTTAATTTTCTTTTTTGAGCATCTTGAGCAACGCCCTGCGCTGATTTACCGATAAATGTTAAATGTTGAGTACATTATCAATTAAGATCTGTCAGAGGAGCTTCGGATTTTGGGTCAATGCATTGCATTAAAACCAAATTAAGCAAAAGCCGCTTTTTTTTTGTTTGGCTGCTTTTTTTGCAAGAGTTTCTCATTTCTTGTTTCGCCGTTGTTTTTTTTTTTTTTTTTTCTTTTGCTTTTTGTTTTGATTCCATTCACGTGCTTTGGATATGTTGTTGTTTTTAATACCGTCAATCCACTAAATATGGATAAAAAGGGTATAATGGTTTTGCGCTTGCGTATGTAACAGGCAACATGAAGCAACTCCGACTCCATAAAGTATATATATTCGTGATCAGAATCAACAGCCGAGTCTTCTGTCTGGCTGTATGCCTACGCAGATCTCAGACTCTATAAGAGGTAGAGACTGCAAATGTGGAATATAAATACTCTTTGCAAAAGTCGATACATATCAATTTTTGACAGCAATAACAGCCACTATTTTAAAGGCAGTGGCTTCTTATTGATTTATAATATACATTGATATATTCTTGATCAACTTTCATCAAGATCAGACAAGAAATATCCAGGATATAATCGAAAACGTTTTGCCCCAAAAGAAATGGAAGCACTTCCATAGCTGCTTAAATTTGAGTGTATAAATCTTTTAAAGGCAAATTTACCAATATTCAACAGCTGTGCTCAGGGTATATTGAACTCAGTATCTCGTACTGGTTGTTGTTCTTGCTCTCCGAAACGCGTTGGATTTTTAATAAATCACTACACGCACTTGAGCCTGTATGTTCAGTGTCAAAAGTGATCTAACACACCTCGCAACCCCCGACGGGGAGATCACTTTCGTTAAGCAAATACATTCGTCGCATCTGAATTACTGAAACAGCCAACGTTCCCATTAATAATATTGAACTTGTATGACGAAATCCGTACATGCGGTTTGTAAAGCCTTGTTTGTCTTTTGTAAGTGTTAAGAATTTGTGCAGACATTGGACCTTATATGAAAGTCCACTCGCTAGCAGATAATGCTCAAGTTTATTGTTGTCTTATCTGAAGATCTGGGGATCGCAAATCGATATCTATAAAATTGTTATCATTGAAAATCAACCAATTTAATGCACAATTTGGGTGCAATTTTGTGTCCAGTCTAATAAACCAAAAAAAAAATCCGAGCTTAATTTGTTATTTAAATTTTGAGCGACACATTAATCATAAGTAATGAGATCACTTAAAATGTAGCTAGGGTAAATAAAAAAAAAAAACAATATAAATAAAAAGAACTCTAACAGAAGCGAACGTTACTATTATTTCGATGGAATTCGTCGTGTCCTATTTAATTACAATATTACATGTTTCACACACGCCATTTAAGACTCTAGTTTTTTATAATTTACCATTACCTTTTGTTAATAATCTGTCTGTGTTAATATTTAATATTAAATTTGGCACAATGCTCTTCGTATTTTCTTGTGACTACAACAATTTGTTTGTCCTCCTCCTTAACACCATTTATTATTATTATTTTCTTTACACTTTTCTCAACTTTTGCTTGCGTTAATTAATGCTCTTAAATCGCTACAAAATCGCTTGAGAATGAGTCTTTATTAGGGGTAATTAGCCAAAAGCTAATTTTAATTTACACAATAATTTACAATCCGTTGTTTAGATGCCTTTGTTATAGACAAAAAGAACTGTTTATTTAAAATTAGTCACTTTTTTTTTGGTTTTTAAAAAGACGCGCGCACGCTTTTCCCATCTGATTTTTCGAAAACTTTTGTCGTGTTGTTAACACTCTGCCGATCAGTTAGTGACTGATATTAAGCCAATGTTTCTGCTTGAATTTGTTGCTGCTGCCGACGACAGAGCAGCGCATACCAGAGCAGAGCTGCGCAGCATGCAGCACACATACACACCACACTTACAAGTGTCGTCTTATGGGGGGCAGCAATTAGCGCAAATGGACAATAAAAACAACACCGTGACGCTGGTGAATCGAAATTGGTCTCTCTTTCCATCTCCCTCTCTCTTTTTCTCATACTCTCTTGTGCTTTCTATGTCAAGTTCGGTTTTTGGGCATTGTGGAGCGAGACAAGTCGACGCTGTTTCGCACAGGGTGACAATGCGTTTGATGCATCCGCTGCAACAGACACTAAAATAAAAACCTAGCAATAAACTTAATCAGCATCAAAAGTAGGTAAAACTGTTTTCTCAAAAAAGATTTTCCAAATTAAAACTTATTTATCACGAGTTTTGTCTGTCTTAGCCACTTAATTTTTTCATTTTTGTTGTAGAGCCACCCTGTATGCACAAGAGTCAGGCTGTCTGCCAGCAGGAGCAGCTTCATTACCGTCATCATCAACAAGTTGTTGTTTGTGGAGGAGAAGGTGGAGGAGGAGGAGGAGGAGGGAGGGAGTGCTGTTAGAGTGCATTGAACATTTAAAACTTAAGAATTTGCTAAGGTGCCTTAAAGAGCGCCAGAGCAAGCTGGAGTGGAGGGAGGGTGTTAGGAGTACTGTAAAACATGGCAATTACTTAGTGCGAGTATTGTTAGTACTTTTTATTGTCGCCTTGAGGCGTCTCTTTAAGTCAAATCATGGAGTTTTGTGATTAACTTGTTTCAAGTGACCATTGTTTTTGTTGTTGTTGTTGTTGCACTCGATTTTGTTGTCTGTCCATAAAATATGAAAAGCTCGATTGTTGTTGCTGTTGTTGTTGTTTGTGTGTTTGTTCCATTCAGTGGGGCAGTGGAAAATTTTGGAACGCACAAATTGTGATTGCAACTTTTTCACGTGCTGCGCCTTTTTTAAATTAGTTTCGAGTTCAGTTTGAAACTTAATTAATGCACACTGCTAAATAGATTAGTAGATAGTAGTGAGTTTATTGATGTATGGAAAATTTTACAATTTACAATTTCGGGTTTTGTAATTTAAGTTTTATTTACCTCAAAATGGATTTTTAACGCAATTGTCTAAATTGATTGCTTGTAAATTTGTTGTCTGTTAAATCTTTAATTTGTACAACAACCTATACATCTATAGTACATATAGATACCCGTTAGATATGCGTGAGACGTGGCGTATACGCAACGTGTGACGCAGATGGAGACATACATAGATAATAAATTCATGAACTCACTCATGTACAAAGCAATGCTTTATCAGCTCAAGATGAGTCAAAGGTCAAATATATGTTGGCAAAGATCTGGCAGATATATATATATATATATATATATATATGTCCGCTCAAAATACCTGGAAAGTGTGTTGTGCAGGGTATATACTCCCCCCTCACACCCTCCAGTGGTGCCACCCTCATTGCAATGCAAATCACGAGATCCAAACATAATATTCAAGTTGAGCAAAGATCATTTAAAATGCATAAAACTCGTTTAGCACGTAATATGTTTTTCTTATGTGCCTTATTGTTTTATAAATAATAGTCGATGAGCTTCCGCACCGCGGTTCCGCATTGTGCAATATACCCTAAACCCATTGAATATGCTTATGAAGGGTATCATGGCTGTATGCTTGGGTATGTAGAAAGAGGCACCTCCGACCCATGAACAGCCATCTCCATTTGTCAGTCTCTATGAACAAGCGCATCTCGCAGACTATAAAAACTAGTCTTAAAACATGTATTCTTGCATACCCAGCGCAGATCATGCTTATGCCATTTTATCGATAACTGCCTTAGTTAGCGATACATATCGTTTCCGATAGCAATAACAGCCGCAATTTTAAGCTTCTGCCTGTTGCTGCTAGGCTGCTTGTTGATATACATATAATATTTAACATGTGGGATCAAGGTACTTTTTTTTAGGCTTTTGAGAGTCGAAAGTAGTTGGTTAGTATGCAAAGTGCGCTGTGACATTAGTCGTCGTCGTAGCCGCCTTTTTAGATTGTCGCATCCGATTTGCTACGTGAGTCAAGCAAGCGATTTGCGATGTCAAATCTGAAACATACACAACACACACTCCGCTCCGGCCAGTGACCTTGCCTGGTGTCAGTCAAACACCATGTTAATTGAATGAGCGTTTGATATCTTTATACATTGATATTTAAGGTATATTTATATATTTTTGGGCGGGTGCGGCTTCAATGCATACAAGGGCGTGGCACACATTTTGCAAGTGGGTCAGCAGCTGTGCAGGGAGAAGAAACAACTGATTTTGTTTTGCTAGTCGCTAGTCCTTGAGATTAATTTGCCAAGTGCCGCATAAGAAAAAAAAAAGCTTGCAAAACGCACCCGTATTGTATTTATGTTTGAACATCGCGTTAACGCCTTTTTTAATGAATATTATTGAACATTTTATAATATAGCGTATTTACTTAACGCTTAAAACAAAAGCTCTTTGTTGGCAGTGCCTCTCTAAAAATGAAAGCAACTAAACTGCTAATGCGCTGATGTAAGCTTATGGCTTATTTACATATATACATATATATATCAGACAGCATTTCTAAACAACAAACATAACTGACAAACATAACTGACAGATTGACAATTGAATTAGTTGTTACATATTTAATTGCATTTCAAAATTGTATTTTGGTAACAATAACTAATAAATGCACTTTGGCTTATAATTAGAATTCCCCTCTCACTTGTTATTCACCCTTGTATATCGGCTTGCGTTTCTCAGCGAATGCTGCCAACCCCTCCAATCGATCCTTTGTGGGTATAACCTGGTCATAGCAGACCTCCTCGATGGAGTAGCCCGTGCTTAGATCCACCTGCATGCCCTTGTCTATGGCCAGCTTAGCCATTCTCACGCCCACCGGTCCGTTAGGTAGAATTTCCTCGGCAAGTTTTACGGCCTGCTGATAGGCAGCATCTTTCGTTTCATTCTGAGGCACCACATGATTAACGAGGCCCAAATCCTTGGCCTCTGTTCCATTGAGCACACGTGCCGTAAAAATCAACTCCTTGGCCAGGGCTGGTGAGAGTATGCGGGGCAGTCGTTGAGTGCCGCCGGCGCCGGGTATTATGGCCAGACGCGTCTCCACCAGACCCATTTTCGCATTCGCTGCCGCTGTACGTATATCGCAGGCGAGTGCCATTTCCAAGCCCCCACCCAAAGCAACGCCATCCAGAGCCGCAATCACTGGCATTGGCAGCTGCTCAATGCAGACAAGCAGCCCACGAAGCTGGTTCACAAATTCCTTGGTCTCCTCGGTGGTCATGCCTAAAAAAATAAGAATTCAAAAATATAGGATATAGAAAAATTAAGAAAAAAAGTGAGCTTGCTGGAGATGCCGGGGATTGAACCCGGGGCCTTTCACATGCAAAGCGAACGCTCTACCACTGAGCTACATCCCCCGTCTACCTTTGCGCTCCTTCAAATCGGCACCAGCACAAAAGATTCCCGGTGTGAGGCTGCGTAAGACGACTACACGCGAATCGTTGTCGCGCTTTATCTCCTCGAGGATGTCGCTAAACGTGTTGACCAGGCCACGACTGAATGCATTTTTTGCTGCCGGCCTATTCAGTCCCAGCACTGTTATGCCGGCCTGTTTGCCATCGAGTCGCTCCACAAGCACCTCATTGCCATCGCCCAAAATTGCATCGGTTGCATAGCGGCATCTGCTTGCTGCTGCTGAATTGCGCGTAATTAGCTTTGCCACATGCTGCAATAGGAGTGACATTCTTCTTGCTCAATCTAAAATAAAACGAACCAACCAACAAAAAAAATATGATTACAAAACAGACATCAAAGAACGAAATCGAAGAAGAAGACTCACATAATTTATGCTTGGCCGAAGCTTGAATACCCTTAAGATATATCAACAATTGTAGCCTAACTCAAATTTATTAAAATCTGTAAGTAACAACCCTAATAAATGTGCCTGGATATGAAAATCCATTTATTCAAATCAATTTGCCTTTACAAGTGTTAATAACAACAACTTCATGACAAAAGGGTACACAAACAGTTGCAGGTGCGTCAGTGTTGACAAACATATTGGCCTGTGTGATCAATTTTGCAGCTATCGATAACGACAGATTTGATTCCGCTTAGAAAGCGCTGCCACTTACCAGCAAACCAAGTGCTGCCACTGCGCGCCAAAATTCAAATTACAATAAAAAAATTACTTCACCAGTAAGTTTTATTTAAAAATGTTTGTTATCTTTTGTACATTATTCGTGATGGTAGAAAAGATTTCTTTTTGTTTGTTGATCCATTACAATTTCATTTAAAAAAAAACAAAATATTGCACTTGAGTATAAAATAAATAACATAATTATAGATAGCATAGACAGATTTCGGTTTTTGTGAGTTTACGATTTTCATTTTCTTGCCGACTTCATTTCTTGTCGATTTTTAGTGTTAATAATGCAAATTATGTAAAATAATTATTTCGATTCGTATTAATTAATGTAGATTGTAGATTTTTACAATTTCCTAATGCTACGATCCGCCACAACTGAGTTAAGTTTCGTTCTGTGAAAAGAAAAATGAGATATATTAAGAATAGTTAGAGAATTATCAAACATACATTGAAATACAAAAAGATTAAAGTACAAAGCAATCATTGATAGTTAACACACATAAAACCAAATGTAGAACAGGCGGCCTAAATAAATCAAGAGAAATAGAATTCGATCCAAATAACAATAGCATTTTAAAATTGTTAGAAAATCCTGCGCATAGAATTATGTGTTAATTGGCTAAGGTGACAAAAAAAACTTAAGTAAAACTTCATGCAGATGAAAGGCTTACCCATTTTCCTATATTCGACAAACAATATTCAAGTCAAATTAAGCTTTCATCAGAATTTCAACCTAAAAATCTATTTTCTGAATATTCTTGTTTTCTTTGCACACTTTGTACTTGGCGTCAAAATTACATCTTGGCTTAAACTAAATTCACTTAAACTTTTGTTGTTACCTTTGCTCAACTTGCTTAAAATTTTTTTTTACTGATCACTAGGCATCCTGTGTCCATGTTTTGAATACATATTTTTGCGGGTTTTGAGAATGGCAAACCGGTTAAAGTTTGATTTTTGTATGAGTTGTGTGAAATAGAAAAACATCAATAAATGTTAAAAATCATGTAGGTTTTTATGTTTATATTTGTGTGTGTGTGTGGGTGTGTGTTAATATAGGCAGATATTTGTAGTTGGCAAAAAGCATTTCAAATACCAAAGACCGAAATTAATATCGAAAATGAATGCCAAACAATTTTTGTAATTCTGACGCCAATTTTTGCAAAATGTTACAATAACAAAAAGAAAAGGAGGCAAGGAACGTAGCACAGAAATAATTGCATGTAGTAAACAGTATTTAACAGCAGAGTAGAATAGTATTCAAGAATATTGTATTGTATTCAATATTTAGTTGTAAATATATATATTTATAAATTTTTTTTTTTTTTTGCTTCAGTTAACTATGTTCAAATTTCGCTCTGAGAGTACCGGAAATGATGTTCTACATGGCGCCAAAGAGCAGTGGGGCAGAGTTCGGGAGTGTTTTTGTGTATGTGTTTAAAAAAAGAGAAATTGAAAAAATAAAAATAAATTAGTCTTACAAATATAGCAAGGACCAACCACCGAATCGAGTCAAAATAAAAGGAACAGCAGGAGTAGGAGGACTAAGGACTAAGCAAAGATAGAGTGGAGAACCCAACTTACAGTTCCATGGAGAGTACAGTGGGATTGGGGCATGACTGCGGCGCCCTAATGTGGCATTGCTTGTGGCAGATCAGCTGGCAGTCGCGGCACTCATAGCCCTGTTTGCCCGGCCTCCGTGGTATGGACTTCATGCAGATCGAGCATTGCAATCCGCTGCTGCAAGTTGCAAATATATATAAAGAGAGTGTCAGTCAAGGGGAATCCCCAGATTTGCCCTTGCCCATCTGGCTTACCCGCTCAAATGCTTGGCGATAAACGTGTGATCATTGTAAATGTGCAACTTAGTGCCCTTGCGGCGCCAGCGTGGCCTCTGTGCAATCGCCAGCGGCACAATAAAATGCCTGTAACAAATGGATGCTTTTAATAACAAGTGGGTATCGACTCCAAAATATTTTGATACCAATCTTATACAAACTTTATCTGACGTGGACACAGACACGTATATGTTGCGTTGCACAAAACCATCATAGTTTCTTACCTTCGTTAGCTGAATATAATAGGAGGAATAACATGGGCAATAAGAATATTACTCACCGCTTAACGCCATTCTCGATGGTCTCCAGCACCAGTGTGGATGCCTCATGGACATAGGTTTTGTTGCTGGCCGAGGAGAAGCCTGAGATGGCTGAGGATTCTGAAATTGAAGAGCGTCGTGAGTGGTGATCGGTGATGGACGAGCCGATGCCCATACGGGGTCCTTCATTTTTTTTGTGATATTGTTGTCATTGAAACAGTAGTTATTTATGTGGTTATAAATAGTATAAAAGTGTGTTTTGTTCATAGTATGAAAAGAATACATCCATAGCCAAAAAGCGTAGCGTGGCACACACCAAAACACCCGGATTGACCAATCAATTAGTTATTTGCATAAAATTAATTATGGCACATATGAAAATAAAAATACAGAAACAAAATATCCAAATAAATTAGAATAGAAGTGTGCAAAAATATATTTGGAAATAATTTAAAGAGGTGTGTGTTCAGTGTAAAATATAAAGCAATACGTACAAGCATAATATATAAAGTAGATACGGTGGATTTAAAGAAATGTTGTGTACATACAGGTTCGTATTTGTATTTGTATTTGTGCAGGAGACAGTTTGGTTAGCGTTAAGTTTTGGGGAAAAGTTATAAAAAAAAGAGGGAGAAAAAGTAGAACAAACAACAACATAAAGATAAGGACTCAATAAATGGTCTCGATATGTAATCTGACATATATATGCATGTATTTATATGCATCGCCTAACCTAAACATTTAGTGGAAACATTTATTGAATGTGATACGAAATGATTTCGATAAGATACGATATATAGTTAACAGAATATAATGTGCTCATTAGAAATTAATAGCTGCCTCAACTGTAAGGAAAGATAAAAAAAAAAAACTATTCTGATTGTAAAGTTTTCGAATCTCAACTGAGAACCAAATTTTTAAGAAGATGTATTTTGAATATAGACATTGAGCCAGAAACGTTTTCCAACTTTACATGTAGATTGTTTTTTTTATTTTTTGCGAGTTTAATTTTAACAGCAACTTCAAGACAGAATTGCGTTTTCAACTTTGAATGTGGAATTCATTTAAAAAGCGCGGGTTTTAAGAAATCAGTTTCCATTTGGAAAAGTTATGGCTTGGGAAAGTTTTGACTAGTCGCTACAAGTTTTTTTGGGTGCATTACCTGATTTTAAAGTCAGAATCAAGATTTCAACTTTGAATGTAGTATTAATCTGGGAATCAAATCATGACTAAGAAGTCTTAGCTTTCAGGAAAGATATGGCTTTGGGAAGTTTTTACCCTAGGCTCTGTTATTATCCTCCCTTGCTGACAACCACCATAAGCTAACCTAATATTATTTTCTACCCTAATTACGTGTTAAACTATCCAATACAAGCTGTTATCAGAGTTTAAATGAGTTTCAAATAAATGCAGCGATTGTATGTTTTCGGTGGACTTAAAGGTGGGATTATGAGTGGACTGATTGGGTAATTACCAAGTGAATTGCTTTTAGACAGAGTTGCACGATCGACAGATAATGAACGGGAAGATTCACCATTGAGGGTTCCTTGGGCTGTTCTTGTGAGTCCTGTGCCTGTTGTTGTTGTTGGATTGGTGACTGATTGTGATTTATGGTTGTTATTGGGCTGATCTGCCGATAGGGTTCGTGTCTTGGAACGGCTGAGCCGCTTCTTGAGAGTGCCAAAGAAATTACGTTTTTTACTGCGACCACGATCATCCAGCTCCAGGCCAGATTGCTGCAACAGCTGCTGTTGTTGCTGCTGTTGCATGGCGCCATTCCGTTGTAAACTGTTTGAGTTGTGGCCGGTAAGTTGAATGCTGCCATTCAAACTGTAGTCGTTGTGGTAGCCACTGCCATTCGGCGAGGAGGCAGCATTCGGCTGTCCAAACTGCAAAGAGTCGAAGTTAGTTATTGATGATATTTATATATATATATATATATATATATATATATATATATATATATATATATATGTCTGCATGCCATGCTTGCATAAATCATAGAACTCATAGAACCATGCGGAACTCGGCTACACTCAGCAAAACAAATCGATCTGGATTTTAGAAAAGCCTCATGAAAACTGGAACGTTTTTATTGGTTTTGTTTTTTAATTAGAAATGCTTGCCCTAAATGGACAATCCTAAAAATATGGAGTTATTTTTGTAGAATATTTTCCATTATTAAGGAATGCATTTTTTAAGCGTAGAAATGCAAACTATAATTCTTAGAAAATACCCCTTTTTGAAGTTCAGAAAGTAATATGAAATTTAAAAATAATAAAATTCAAAGCGATTTTTTTCTCTGAGTGTAGTTGTACTCACCTCGGCTGTGCTCTCCTCGTTACCTGTTGTTGTGCCACCCGTCGGGCTGTCGGCCGGGCTGGCGGCCCGTGGCTCGATTTGGGCGCTGGCTGCCTCGTTGGCGGCACGCTCGAAAGCCTGGGCAACGGCCTGATCGAGCTCTGTGGGAGATTCGATGACTTCGATGTGACCATCTTTGTTCAACTCAACCTGGTATTGGTGGATGATGTTGAGTTGAGTTGATTGGTTAGAGAAGCGCAGGGTTAGGCAAATAAACGATCAATAAACAGAACGAGAAACATTTTGTGATTAGATTGACTTGTATATAGTCATCGTGACTGGTGGCTTTATGGTTAATTACTTGACTCTCAACTAAAAGAAACTGAAAACGCTGAAACGGAATTGTGATGTGGCTAAAAGAGTTACCTTGAATGCATTTGGATTGCTCGAGTTCTGCGTGCGGGGAAATGGAAGAAAAAAGGAAAGGTCGCAAATAACAAAATAATAAAATCAAAGAAAGAGAATAATGATCTTTCAGGGGAATGTGGCGTAGGAGATACCTTCTCAATTCTCACACTTACCCGCTGCACACTGTGGATGATGAGGGTGCTCTTCTGTGTCTGTCCACCGTTGGAAGCGCCACCCGAGAGTGCCCCGTCCTGAAGGGCACGCACAGCCGCATCGGCCAGGTCGGCACCGTTGCGTATGTGCTCATTGATGGCGGGTGTGCTGAGACGCAGCGCCTCCTTCAGGCGATTCGGCCGAGAACCGGCCGGTATCTCGGCACCCTCGATGAACACAAAATCAACGGTAATGGCGCCCGCAACCGGATGGGTCTCGTAAGGACGCGGTTGCAACTGCAACAGCTGCGTAGAGGCGGGACCCACGGCGAGCTCATCGATGCCGACGAGGCCGAGGCCAAGGAACTTGGGCGGATCGGATGCAATCACTGAACGGTCGTAGACCTCAAAGAGTATCTCAGCAGATTGTGGGGAGAGTTCGCTAAAGAGTTGACAAATTTGAGTAGATTAATGAGAGGGGTTCAGTTAATGGGGCAATGGTGACCTACAAGAGGAAGTGCTCGTCCCAGTAGGGTTTGCTACCGCGTTGGGTGCCCGTTTGATTCTTCTGCGCCGGCTCATCCATCTCGATGACCACATACGGGTCGTGAGCATCGCGCAATCCATCGCCCTTGACGATCTTCACCAGCAGCCGACGACCGGAGACCATGTGTTGGGCATCACGCAGAATTCCCGACCCCAGGCTGTGATCCATGTTGTACTGTGTTTTTTTTTTTGTTGGGCCGAGCGAGCATGCAATGAGCGACAATGACAAATGGACAAATGAATGAATTAAATCAGATGACCAACTGAAGACTCAGAGAGAGAACACTTAGATCTAGTAGTCGGAGTAGCTTATGAAATTCGCCTTTAGATTTGGGGATGGGGGTATAATAGATCAGGGGGTAAGAGAATGGGTCTGATTTAATTAGTAATTGTAATAATATTGAAAATATTGATTGCCCTGAAAAGAGAGAGCGCAAAATATAACATTTTAACTCAAAAACGCAAATGCTAAAATGTTACACATTTTGTGAAAGGACGAAAGGCGAATTTCATAAACGAAACAAAAAAACAACAAAAAAAATACAAGTGAAGACGAGATTTTTGGCTTTCAAGTCGCAAGAACAATGAGAAGTGTTGTCGATCTTTTAACTGTGTGTGTTTTTATGGATATAAGGAAATTTATAGAGGAGAGAGAGAGAGAGAGAGAGAGAGAGAGAGAGAGAGAGAGAGAGAGAGATACAAGGTGGGGGTAACCAATAGAACGCTATACAGTCTCCGAGTTGGAGAGGTGATTGACAGAGAAACAATTAAAAAAGACATTGACTGTCACACAACACAACACATAACGGAAGAGCAACTGCTTCTCAATGCTCCACACGCTCACCGCCAGCGATTCATAATGGACGGGATATATTACAGGCAAATCCAGTGGCTCCACCTCTGCACGGGGGCAGGTAGAGTAAATGGAGAAATCCACCGGATAGGTGGTTTCACGGAGTGCCGTCGTCAGTATATCACTGATGACTGTCTGCAGCTGCTGCTCATCCTGATCCATTGCCTTGATAGCGCCCACGCTGTTCATGGCAATGCGCACCTATTTTGAAGGAGGAGATAAGCAAAAAATCCTGGTTATGCTCTGATATATGACATAACTGCAGACATCATTGTACTTACGTCCGGATAGCCATCGACACGCATCTCACCCTTGAGCGTATTGTAGTTGATGGGTATGGACATGCGTGCACGGAATCGCGAAACGGTGACCTTATAATGCGAGGTCTCCACCTTGCCCCACTTCTGGCGAAACGTCTTCACCTGAAGCACGGGCATTGCGTCACAATCAAACGTGATAAGCTGCAAGAATTTTTTCCCCATTTAGGTAATAATTGTATGATATACATAAATATATTTATATATATATATATATGTAATATGATATTCGTTTGCTCACCATTTCGGCGGGATTGTGCTCCTCGCAGTTGCAGAAGATGTTGTTGAGGCCCGGTGCCGGGCTGTCGGGCAGAACTCGGACCACTTCCACAGCCACACCATGCTACAAAACAAGGGAAGACACATTGGACACATTAGATACGGTACATTTGGGGTTACGGCGTGGAGCTAAACCTGTTTTCCAGTTTCAAGTTTTTCGGGGGCATTACGTAAGTGGCAATTATAAAGAAGCAGCTCATATTTGTGTGTGTAGTGATGCGGAATATGCCACATCATAAGCCATAGAATTGTGACAAAACTCGAGAATGACTAACAAACCACATTTGGGCAGTACACTCGGAAAGAAATAAGTTGTACTTGTTCTTATTTTATTTTCAATTATTAAGAAATGCACTCTATTTTATTATATATTTTTTTTTAATTTATATGAATTTATAAATGATCTAAAATCTATCTAAACATATAAAAAAAAATACTGAAAATTATACATATCTTTTTCTACATTTTAGAAAACTTAAGAATATAAAACCCGCGCTTTTAGAAATATATTTTGGCGAATTCCTAAATTTTAAGGCGATTGTTTCTCTGAGTGTAGTCACACAAATAAAACTCTGACCTTGGCCTACGTTCGGGGAGAGCGTGTAAAAAGCGACGCTCGAAACGCGTTTTCGATACCGGCCATGGCTGAGTTGCTGAGCCGATGAGCAACTGTCTACCCAATTAAGTCTTGATGGTAGTAAAAGGCCGCTCAAGTTGAAAGTCGAGGCCACTCTAGGGGAGCCAAGTTCAATGCACTGCATTATATGAGAACATCCTAATGACATCACAATTATATTTGTATGTAGATGACTCTCACTCACACTCAGAAAAAAAATAGCTCCGTTTCTTAAAATATCGCCCCGACTACTATAAAGTTTTTCTTGTTGGTGCTTTTTATTTTTCTATATTTTCTATTATTAAGAAATGCATTTCTAACAAGCAGAAATTGAAGGCCCCATTTTTAGAAATATACTTTATGCATTATAACGTGAGTTAACCTGGTCGTCAAAAGTATGACTAATTTCTAAGATTCAGGTCAATTTTGTTTTTCTGTTGATGATGGTAGATGGTCGATGACGATGATGTCAAAGCTGATGTCATGCATTAATGTACTCACCTCCTCGGCGGATATGCGCAGGGTATCGTTAATGGCTATCACCCAGGACATGAGTAGCTCGTTGACAATAACCAGATCGCTGTACAGCCAGCGAAACACTTGACTCGTCCACGTAACGGAGCTCTAAATGGGAAGACAGATAATATAAATACGTATGATAAATATTAACAGGTAGCAGTCATTTGGGATATATAATATAAGTAGTAATAGATAACAGACATTTGGGATAGATATTATAAATAGTAGGTAAATAAATAATAGATATCTGGAATTTACTCACCGTTTCTGGCCCGACCACATTTGAGGGTGGTGGTACGTAGCGTTTCTTGCGATTCTCCGGTCCAGTCGAACTCTGACGGACCACTCGACGACGTGGTCCGCCAGCAGCAGCACCACCTCCTCCTCCACCCATGGGCGATGCTGTGGAACGTCCGCGTCCCGCTGAACTACTACCTGTTAGTGGCTTGGACAGATCATCGATTTTGCTCTTGGTGGCCATCAGTTCGCGTGGCTCGGAAGAACGTTTCTCTGACTTGGCGGCACTGATCGCCGAGGAGGCGCCACCGCCGGGTGCAACAATAGTCTGGCGACTGTTGCTGCTACTGGCTGTGGTTGTGGCGCCCTTGTTGATGAGATACTTGTTGTAGAGCAGCTTGCACAGCCAAACGGAGAAGAGGGCCAGAACGGCCCAGAGGAATATGAACATCGCTAAGGAGTCCATTGTTAAATCACCAAGTCCTTCGAATGAACAGATATAGTCATCGATTTGATCTGCTAGATCCATAGTTCAACATCATTACAACATCATCATTATAATCGTGCCGGACTGAAAGTGGAAACAGTTAAACCCAGTGAATAACTTCGAAAATGATATCGAAACAGTTTGGCACATATAGGCCACATTTACGTGTAAGTGTGTGTATGTTGTGTGTGTGGTTGTGTGTGTCTGTGTAAGCAGTCAAAATCTGTGTATGGCTCGGGGATCTCTCTCGGCCAACAGAAGTCCCACGTCTATTTATAGATATTTAAAAAAATATTTGTTCATTGGGATATATAAAAAAAGCTTAGCACTCACAAAGAAAAACTGTTCAGAAAGTTACCAAATTTAATTTGTGAAATCGTTTTTAAAACTATACAAATTAATATTATATTAATATTTATTAATAATATGCTTAAAGCCCCAAAAGACGGCAAAAAAAAAGATAACAGAAGAAGAAAAACTCAAATGATAAATTGTGCTATGCTCAAAAACCGAACCGAAATGAAACTGAACACAATTTTTGCAGGCCCATCGACTGTGTGTATCCCAAAATGAGAAACGGTTCTCACATCATATATGTATATTCATTCTATCTATCTATCTGCTCATCTGTTGAACTAAGCTAAAGCATGAATGCGCCGACGCACAGAGCTTGCCACACAATTTATCTTAATTGTGTTTCATGCTCCAACTGGGAGAGGCAGATATAGAGATAGGAGTGGTAGAGGGAGGGACAAAGGCAGGGGAGAGTCACGCTGGAGTCGAAGGCGGCCAAGTATTGACGTCATTACTTTTTGAGGTCGCAATGTGTGCGAAGAACAAGCCAAATACATAAAAGTCCAAAGAAACAAAAAATGAAAACAAGCAAAAAATGGATGCCTCGACAAAGATACAATTGAAATACTCTTGAAATACTTGCCGGCATCGCTTTTTGTAAAAAGTAAACTTAAAATGTATCGCATTTAATTTGAAAATAATTTATTGATGCTCTATTTTTATCATTAAGAATTCTATCTTGTCGTCTTGTCTCGTGAATAGCACCTATTTTATCTGTTTGGATTTAAAATTTTGCACCATTCTGCATTTAAATGCAGACACACAAACACACACACAGAAATCTGATAAATATTTATATTTTTATCAAATTAATTTTTAAGTATTAAATTTTATTTTTCATTTAATATCATTTTCTTTCTATTTTTTGTATTAACGAGATTAAATAAATAAATAAATATGCTGTAGAATTTTTAACTTCAAATTGTTACAAATTGCATATCACAGCTGAAATACCCATTGATAGATCATAGAATGAAGCATGTATCTATTGTATGTAAATAAATATATATATACACATACATACACATACAAACGCACACACATTCACTCACACACACATACATACATGAATTCATACCATTCACACACACAGAAAAAGAAATGACGTAATACGCAGCTAGAATTCGTATTTGGAATCGTATTCGAAAGCTTGCCCCTTTTACTTGGGCAACGTGTTTTTTATTTTTATAGACTGCTTAAAAAAACACATATTTTTCATAGGTATTATTATAGTTTACAATTTAGTATAGCAAACGAAATTCATGTATTTACATAAATAAATACATACATACAAATACCTCCTCCTCTCCCCCTTTCATTGTTTAGCACTCGCTGCAGTTAATATTTAAACATTTGCTCAAAAATTGAATTTCAGTAGATTTTGGCAAACGTTTCGTCTGCCAACTGAGCGGATTGCTATTGGACGTTTGCTATTGGCCGTTGCTATTAGCCACTTGTTTTCCAACAAAACAATAGAAATAACATTATGTATTTAGCAGCTTTGCTCCTGAATATATGTACATTGCGAATATATGTTATTAACAGAGCGCACATATCATTGTGTGCCCTTTGGTCTGTTTATATATGCACGCATATGTGTAGAACGTTAAGCGTAAGCATAACTGTGCTTCAGCTGCCTATATGTATATATATTACACATGTGTAGTACGTGTGTGTGTATGCATTTGTTTATATACATGTGCTTAGTCTTCCGCCGCTGACTTTGACTTTGACTAACGACTTGCTTTGGCTTGGCTTGGCTTGGTTAGCTCATCTGGCAACAACATACCCTTTGCACCCGTGCTTTGCCTGTGTCTGTGTATTCGCTGGCGCGTCTATTGACCCCCCACCGTAGGGGAGGGAGGAGGGAGGGTAGGTACGCGAGAGCAACAAGTATTCGTGGGTATTTTTAAGCATAGAACATAGAACAAAAGCAAAAAGCTGACGAAAACATGTTGCGCTGTTTTTGCTTCTGCTTTGGCTTGCCAAGGGGCAGCTGGCAGACCCTCAAAGTGTTGACTGTTAGCAATCGAACAAATGTTCATTTTTTCAACGCAGACGTAGATTTTAAGCCAAATAATTAGCGATATATGTATATATTAAATGTATGTTATGTTAAACAAACATAACACTTATGTTAGATTGCATTTTCATTTAAAATTTGCATTTGCAAAGCTTGTGCATAGGCCGTTGACCTCCCAACAGATGGCGCTTTAATTGCAGTCCATTTACCGTTAGCTATGTTGCATAAGCGGTAATTAAATAATAATGAGAATGAGAACAGTAGAAGTTAACTTAAGTATAATGCAGAAAAATAATTACGGCCCTTTGCTTGTTAAGTTCAAATACATCTTAAATAAAACTCTCGTAATGCGAAAGACAGCTGGAAGGTCATCGGAAGTGAGCTAGAAAGACACTGGAAAGCCGCTGGAATGAGCAACAGTAATTTGTTTAACTGATATGCGAATATTCGCACTTGATATGAACGTGAATTGCTCCTAATGTTTATTAACCCAAAAAAAAATAAAACGAGATTTAACTCGCAGTCTCGGCTGATTCATTCATTGAATTTAGAGCTAAAATGTTCTTATCAGTGCAAGCCTAGCAAAGTAGACTCAGTTATTTACTCTTTTATCGTTTTTACTTTTATGTAAGGGAAATGGGGGGAAATGCTAATGGGTCAGTAACATGTGCGAAATTCATATTTTGATGATGTCATTCACAAGCACACAAATGCCTGTGGCATTATAATTCTGATTGTGAAAACTCAGGCGAAGCTTAAGATTTGAATAAGTTATTTGTTATTTTTTTCGAAGTAAATCAAAGCAGTTTTGGCTGTTGGACACAGACCCAGACCCAGACAAGTCAGGATCAGAGTTCAAGATCGAATTCGAGATCGACGACGATCCACTTTGTGTGACTCTCATCATCATTACGTAACAAATAATATTTGTGTGCGAAGCGAGTACGTAGCGCATTATCATGCATTATTACACATACGACATGTGTGCCAAATACTAATGACGATGGCTTCTAACGCACGCTTTACAACACTGATGCACGAAAAACTGGGCACCTTATCAAAAAAAAAATATATATTTATAAACATAAGTTCAGGCAAGGGTATGTTATCGGCGGTGTAGCCAGAACCCATTAAAATGGGTAAAAAGTACATAATGAAGTTATGCAATAGTATCTAAAAGGCAGAAGGAAGCATTTACAACCCCATTAGGTACATAGAATAGTGATCAGCATCAACCGAAGCGTCGATCTCGCCTTGTCAGTATGAACAAACGGATGTCAGAGACTATAAATCTAAAGACTTGAAAATACTTATATATATATATATATAAGTATATACCTAAAAATCTATATCATAATTCTGAGTTCTGATATCCAGGCATAAGGGTTAAATAAGCGCATGTTAAAATTGTGATCCTGTCGCTAACAGAGCACCGAAAGCTTGTCTGGCTAACAGTGATTCCAGTTCAAATTGTTCATGCTGTTCTTGCCGCTGCTGTAGGTGCTGATTTTTGTTGTGAGCAAAGTTCAGATGCTAACGCTAGCAGACCTTTCGACTTTGCATGCGAACTGAAGCGACTAGTTAACTGCTGTGGCACTGCTATCGATTATCTTGTCTGGGAACCACACTAAACCGTAATGTATATGTGAATTAGCAGCAATGCTTTATATTGTGCTATGTCCTCACAGCTTATCCCCACTCATACACACACAAACACACACACACTTGCACAGAGACTTTGTTTTTATTTTTCGATTGATATTGATTTTGTTTTGGTTTTTTTTTTTTTTGAGGCAAAGTGCCCTTTGCTGACATCAGCTCAAAGTTACTTTGTAAACAGCTGTCGCGTCTCTGAGTGCGCCTCCTTCTCCTACTCCCCCTCTCCCCCTCTCCCTCTCTCTACAATTATTTGACCGACACTTTGCTTTCAGCTCAGTCCACTATTGATATACACTGTGATCTGTTAAGGTATTTGAACTCTGTACAAATGTTTTGACCGCTGTGTTTGTGTCTGTTGTCAGGGCAACCTTAAATTGATTTATTAAATATTATTATTTCAATTTGAGATGCATAAATTCGAAAGAAAATCAAATACATAACTAATGTTTCTCTGTCAGAAAGAGGGAGAGAGAGTAAGAGCTGAGAGCAATACGAGAAAACGACTCCGTTGCGTTTTGGGGGTTGGCCAAAGCGAATGCAACTCGGTTATTAGGTTAACAGACAGACTGACTGTGAGGGACTCTTTTAAAAAAAAAAAACAAAAGAGGGAGTTGAAGGATTTTCCATCTCCAGCTGTCAACTAAATTTGATGAGTGGCAAGGGATTTAGATTGGGATTGGGTCAGCAACCTATTGTCGTCTAATGTGTTAAAAGTTGTTAAACAGTCTAATATATAAATTAATAATAATTAAGGGTGCTACAGCGGAATCTGTACAATAATTTATTATATATATATATATATATATATATATATATATATATATATATATATTTTATTTTTATTAAAGTTTGTAATCGACTTCTTTGCTTCATAATAGAATCTGTAAATACGTTTAGACATACATCTAAACGTACAGCGTATAATTTTTTTGTTTATTCTATTGTTTGTAATTTAAATATGCAAACATGAAAGGCATATTTACATTTTAAATTTTAAGTACAGATTTACTATTTATTATATATATTTATATTCATATTTTGTATTTTTATTTACGTTTTGAGTTGCTGCATATCACAGTTCACAATAAAATATGTAAATACCCCCTCCAAATAAATGTAGAGTATATGAATTCACACCCAAACCTAAACCCAGCCCAACACAGTCCAAAAAGTGGGGGTAGTTCACACAGTTCTCTCTCTACGTACCCCTAAAGGGGGTTGGTTTTCTGCGCTAATTTACTCACCATTCCAAACAGAAGAAGCGGCGTAATTTATTGTTTATTGTGTGTAGTTTGTCGTTTGTTGTTGCAGGATATGCGTTGCAATTTTTCGTACATTTTTTTACACGATACGTAGAATTTTTGGCATTTGTTGTTTTATTTCCATAAATTATTTCGGTGTTTGTTTTAGGGCAAGATGAAAAAAAAAAAACGCGTTTTGTTTGTTAGTTCGCATAAGAATGTATAAATAGAAAATTTGTTGATAATATTTATATGTGTGTATGAGTGTGTGTGTGGGTGCGTGCGTGTTTGTGTTGCGTATGAGTGTGTGTGTGTGGCTGTGTGCAGAGTGCACCTCAGTTGTATGCCAGCAATTTTCGAGTAGAGTCTTGAGCGCCACTTTTTGTGGGTGTAAAGCAATTAAGCTGAATGAGTTTCAGGCAAGTGTGAGCAATAATTCAATGAATGCATTAAAGAAGATTACAACAAAATTGGGCGAAAATTTCAACTCACACTTGTGCCCAAAAAGCTGTTGCGAGTCTCTCGAGAGTAGATATAAAATGTTGCTGTTAACACAATGTTAACAACAAATTTGTACACCAAAAAAACAAAAACCAAAACTTTCAAACACAAATTTGTGACTAAAAATGTTGCCGCTTGTTTTCGTATCACATAAAAAGATCGCCGCTTAGTTATTTGTTGAGCAAGTTTTTTTCAATAACGAAGACTGAGAGGGGCGTGGCGTGGGCACGGGTGCGGGGTGGAGTAGTTAGGCGGGCGATTCAACGTGTGATGAACTTTACAAAAGTCGTAAAATTAACTGTGAAAGAGAAACATTTGTTTTTCGGTTAAGCACACAATTTTTTCTTTTGTTTTTGCATTGCCTTGGCTGGCATTGTTCCAACAACCCAATAAGCTGTTACTGTTGATATTTTTAATGTCGCACTGATAAGTTCGGCGGACAGCCGACGAAATTCAAATTAGGCTTTGCAATCGACATTTTCAACAACACACGCACACACACACATACACATGGGTCGCCACGTTTCTGGGTTACATATGTACATGCACACACACACATGCAAAGCTATGTATTTTAAGCCGCTTTTAGCTCGTAACAACAACAACAAAATCAGCAGCAGCTTCATCATTGAAAACAACATATTGTAAATAGATATGCTTGTAAGCAGTTTGTTTTAACATTTTGAATTTGTATTTTACATTGCATTTATTCGCTTTACATTTGATAATAACAGGCAGTATTTATGTACAAATATCATTTGCAAGTATTTGCAAGCCAAGTACAAATTGTATTTTATTTTTGTAGTTTTCTTACATTTTTTTTTTTGTTTGCTACTTATTATTATGTCGCTGCTGCCAAATTTCACACACACTCACACACATATGCAGAGATACATATGCATTCTGTTGTTGTTGTTAGTGTTTGTTCTTGTTTTAACTTTTTGCATTCGGTTTCGTCAATCTGCTTTCGAATAGGCGCAAGCAACAACATTTGCCGCTGTTTTATTTTGTCCCAGCCGGACTCACACACACACACATGTAGACACACACACAATGTAACAGAGTTCCAATAAGAGTCTGACTACGCAGCACACAACATATGTCGAGCAAATTATTTTTTTTTAATTTCGTGTACTCCAGCTATGGGTAAAAATTTTGATTTGATTTTTGAGGCGTTTTTAGCAAAAAATTCAGTTTTTGCGCTCGTACCACCCGTTCGCGCTCAGCTGTTCAATAAGACTAACAACTCTTCAGTTGGACTTCGATAACGATAGCCAGTTCCAGTTCGAGCTAGAGGTGAGCCAGAGTGGAACTAGTGAGACTCAACAAATTATCGGCTATTTATTTATTGCCATAATTTAAGACATTTTATAAATATACCCGCTCTGTCTTGGAGTAATCAATAAAAAATTATTTTATAATGAAATCCCATTATATTATAATTACCCCACTATATTATCACGTCGCATATTTCAAAATCCAAATATATTATCAAATCGCATTACATTATAAAAAATAAAAAACATTACTTTACAACTCCCAGCGTTATATTATAAAGTCCTATTAACTATATAGGGGTAATAAAACTGCAATTGTTTTTTTTTTTTTTACATGCAAACGCTTGTTGTTTATTTCTCGTTACGTTCTTTGAAATGTGCTTATGCATTTCTATACCGTTCGCTTCCGTTACGTTTTATCCGCTTTTAACTTATGCCACTTAAACGTCTAAAATGAATCCGTTATGATTTTTACTTTGATGTCAAGTTTTTAATGCTGCTGCTGCTTTTGACGCCGAGGCTTGTTTTTCCTCCTTTTTTTTTCTTATATGCATGTATATTGAATAATTGTTGTATATAAGTGTATAATTAAATGTATATATATTTAATTTAATACATACAAATTACGCGCTGACCACTGCACAAGCTTATTTCTTTTTCCATTTCTTGATCATCTCGTGTTTAAAATAGTTTGTTTTGTTGTTGTTATTGTTATTATTATATATTATTAACTTTTTGCAGTTGTTTGCATTTGCAACCAATGAAAACATCATATATAAAAATACAAAAATCATAACATTCTCATATACATCGTTCATATATATATATATATATATATATATATATATATATATATATATCATGTACATATATATATCATGTATATATATATATATGGAACTAGGATTAAATATGTATCTCTAAATCGACCTTGCACACAATCAATATCAAAAATTATTACATATGAAAAAATTAATGTCCATCCCTTATTTTGTTACATAAATAAATGTTACGCTTAATAAACAATTTCACTTCGTTAATTTATATATATATAATATATATATGTATATATATATATATATCTATATGTGTATGTCTTAATAACTAAACTCGTCTCCAACGATTCTCATATTCGTATGTTTTTTGCTTAATAATGCTTCATGTTGCAAGTTCAAGTTGTATAAATTTCACTATTTAGTCTTAATTGTATATGGAAGTTGGAAATTGGTACTCAATTTGTCTTCAGAATCAACTAGGAAAACAATTTGGGTCTCTAAACGGAGGTGTATTTTAAATATTTAACTTGCTACTCGTTATTCATATGTTTATTTATTTATCCATGTATGTTATGAATATATGTATGTATGAATATATGTATGTGTGTATTTATGTATTTGTTTATTTATGCAGCAGTCAATTTGTTTAAATTTACTTTTGAATTTTCGCTGTAGGTAATACATGTGCCTTCTCCTTTTATTCGTTATTTAGAACTTTTATAGATTATCAATATCTGTCATAAGTATTTATGTATGTATATATATATAAAATATGTATATATATATATATATACATCCAAATATATATATATATATATATATATATATATATATATATATATATATATATACAATGCTTTAAAAAAAGTACTGAACACACCACACTCTCTTCCGCTTTAAAATGTTATAAAGACATGTGTGTTGCTTGTTTTTGTTAGAAAAAATGTTCTGTTTAGTGTGTGTCATACACAAAATCACTCTTTCTCAATCGAAACTACTTTTTGTGTTGTAATGAGATCGTGACTTAGGAAATTGATTTTTTTTTTTGTGTTTTTCATTTCATATGGGGAAATTTTGAAGAGTTCTCAAAGAGTGATCAAATGCAACGATTAAATACATAGTTTTGATTAATTAATGTTGACCGTAAAGAGAGCAATACATATATGTAATATATGTGGATTTGTGACTCACGTGTTTTTTTTTATTGTTAATAATACAATACTGCTTATTATTCGCATCTGTTTGTCTATGTGTGTATTGTTGTTGTTGTTGGTATACCTATGTGTAGAATATATAGATGCCTGTTAAAATTGATTTGTTTTTGTTTTTCTTTTTTGTGGGTTTATTTTTGGCTTATGTTTATGTGTTATGTTAAATACGAGTTTTTTCATTTTTTTTTTTTTGGTATTTAAAAAAAGCGAAAATAAAATGCATTTGAAATCAATGCTCGGAGGCTAAGAATGACTGAGAGAGATGGAGATGAGGAGGAAGAACCAAGGATACGCAGACCAGGGCCAAAAAAGACAACGCGAAGGGATTCATTGTTGCATTTCTTGTTCACCTTAAAGTTTTCTTTATACTTATGTAAAAATAATGTACAGTGTTTGTAAGAATTACATACTACAATTTGCACGCACAACTTTTTGTGTTTTGTTTACAGAGTTGTTGCGTGTCACTTAGAAATCGAGATTAGAATTACAATTATTTTGACTAAAGTTCCATGTTGTTGTTGTAAAAAGCTGATACATAATTGCGTACTTCAGTATATATATGTAAATTACACATACATATTTATAGCATATATATATATATATATATATGTATATATAAATTTGTATATATATGTGCATATGCTTGTATATATACCCAATTGGGCGCCATTCAAATATTTAATTTAAATACACAGTTTAAAATATTTAAAATTACACATTTAAATATATCTGACGCGATTTCTCAGTTCGTGATTTGTATGTGCCGATTGCCGTAGACACGTCCACTCTACGCCCCCCACATGGGTGTATGCTCACATTTAGGAGACAGTGTGCTATTGTTGTTGTTATTTCTTATACACGATGCAGAGAGACAGGCAGACAGGCAGGCAGGTAGGCAGACAGTGAGAGGCTGTTTAGAGACTAAGTATTTTGATCTATCTACGATTGAATTCTGATTTGATAGCTGAAAACACAATACAGACGAATGCATATTATAAAAGGGATATATATCAAATGATATCAGATTAGGTTACCGTCTATAATTTCGCTTTTCACTTTCTGTATCTCCAGTCGCATCTCGCGTACTATTTCCGCTTTCAGCGTGTCCAGATCGCTATTGGACAGCGCTAGCGACAGACCATCGCCATTGACCTGCTAAGCAGTTTTTGGTTAGAATAGCACAGTTAGCTGCCCTTGACCAACTCACCTTGAGAATGGTCTCCTCGCTGGCGCTGCCGAAACGCTTTCGCATGGGACGCGGCGATTCTCCGCCACTGTTCGTTGTGTTGTTGCCAGTGACAGCGGCGCTGCCATTGGCTCCGCCGCCTTGCGAATTGGAAGTGGCCCCACCGCCGCCGCTGCCACTGCTTAGCTTGTGTGGCAGAGTATTTGACTTTTCCCATGGCCGCTGCTTGACTTCGGGTTCCGGATCAGGCTGCACATTGTGTCGGAGGGCAGATATATTTATTAATTTACTTATTTAATGACGACTAAAAAATTAAATTAAACTAAAAATAAAATCTAATATTTAAATTTAATTTAGAAATATTTCTAATATTTCTGGTCGTAATGGAAAGTGGACCCACAAAAAACCCATCAGACCAACAAAAAACTAGTTGGTATGAATTAGCTAAGATGCCCAACCTGAAATGCATGCGGAAATGCATGAATTGCACGTATAGAATTGAATTCTTAATGATAAAAGTAAAATACTCTGAATTGATTACATAATAAAGTTTATTGTAATCATCACAGAGTACTTGAAGAGACTAATTCAACGAATACCGAGTAGTACAGCGCTTAAGAGAAAGTGGGCAAGAGTAATGGGCATGTCGGTCGAGAGGGGACAGAAAAATAAATTTGGAAACGATTTCATTATTTAGTAATTTAACTATAAACAAAACACGGATCATTGCATATCGGTGTATGGAGTTAATGCATCCCACTTGCAGCGATAAAAAGAAGCAAATAAAGAAGTTCTTTTGCACAGATTTGGTGAATCGAATATTGTGGAGACCACACACAATATCTGCATTCCAGAATTGGTCTTGGTCGTAAAAATTCTTTTGACCTATGATGGAAGGTCAATAAGGAGTAGCCTCTCAATGAATGGAATAAAAAGTTCTCTTGCACCAATTCAAATTCTCTTTGATATGGCTCTCACCTCCTTTTTCTCGGCTTGCGCACGACGTCGGGCCAGCGTCTTGGCCATTTCGTCCATCATGGAGGCCATGCCGTTGGAGCTGCGTCCAATGGTGCCGTAATTGCCGCTGCCACCGCTGGAAGTGCTGCTGCCGCTGTTCTCCGTAGCGACTGTGGTGGACTACGAGAAACAATCGAAAGATTTGTTAGACACATATCAACTTTTTGCGGGCCTTTACTCACCTTGTTTTTTTTTAGCTTGAACTGTTGCAGCTGCGAGGCCAGCGAGCCCATAAGATCGGCTTGTGGATCATCCTTCTTGCCGACGACGCCGCCCGCACCCATGCCTGGTGGCGGTGGCGGCGGTGGTGGTGCACCTGGCCCCGCTGGACCTGGTGGGCCGCCACCTATGGCAGGTGGCGCCGGTGGTGCCGGAGGCTGTGGCGGCGCTGGTGCTCCGTTAAACAGTTGGGGTGGTGCCGGCGGTGCACCACCGAATGTGGGTGGCGGTGGCGGCGGCGCTGGAGCACCTACTTGCCCGGGACCACCCGTACTGCTCATGCGATTTAGTGGCGGCGGCATTGGAACACCGCCACTAACTGGCTGCTGCTGCATCATGGGCGGTGCCAGCGGCACTTGGCTGTATGGATTCTCCACATGCTGCTGCTGTTGCTGTTGGCCATTGTGCTGAACGTAGCCAGGAGCAGGTGGTGGCTGTGGCATTAGCTGTGGCTGACTGGTGTACACAACACTGTTGGAGCTGGCTGAACTCGGGATATGAGCGGGTTGCGCTGCCCCATAGATGGGTCCGCCGGCTCCGTTTTGATGCACCGGTGGCGGTGGCTGTGTCGGGTATTGATGTATATTAAGATTGGGATTAGAGTTTGAGAGCACATAATGGGGCTGCTGGTACTGCTGGCGGATTGGTAGCGATGGTAGGTGGTTGTAGTGGTTGGTAGTGGGTTGGTACGTTTTTATTTTATTTTTTGTGGGTAGTATTCAAGCCAATTTACAGACGTGCGTATGTTTTTGGAATGCAATGAAACAGAAACAGAAGAAAACAGAAACAGAGGTAAAAAGTAGCAACATAAGCTCCAGCTCAAAAGCTAGCCGATACCCAAAAAACAACACCTACCTGGGGAGGCGCATAGCCCGCTTGCACCAACTGTTGCTGTTGCTGTTGTATGGCATAGACGGGTTGCTGTTGTTGGTATTGTTGCTGCTGCTGTTGCTGTTGTGTCTGGCCTGGTACTGGCGCTACTTGCATTTGTGGATTGACCTGCTGGGGCAGGCCATTGGACGTGGGCCCGTTGGCGGTGGGTCCGTAGTGATTACCTGTTGCCTGTTGCGCCAATTGCTGCTGTTGCTGTTGTTGCTGTGGCTGTGGCGCCGGCGGTGCGCTGAGGGAATTCCTTTATTTGGTGAGCAAATTATGAAGATCGATCGAGCGAATGTGTGTGTGTGTGTATGAGTGATGGGGCATGACGACAACAAACAGAAGTGAGTGTGTGTGTGTGTGTAGTGAAAAAGAGAAGAAAAATGAACGAAATCAAAACACTGATTGATTGACTTGATGATGATATGGAGAGCATCATGCCCTGGTAGTAGAATTAAATCGACGACCCACCTGCTGGTGCGATGATGTCCCTGCTGCTGCGGCGTTGGCGGACTCTGCGGTATATTATTTTGATTCGTTTGCGAGGTGGGCGTTTGAGCCGCGGGCGTTGTGTGACCACCAATGCCGTTATTCTGCCGCAATATGGCCGCATCCTCGCTGGTCATCGTGCGATAACCCATATCCTCCTCGTAACCATTACCATTTGTTGGCTGGCCGGCTGGATTGTTAACTACGCGACCGCTCAGCACCTAGCAGAGATTTCAGACATTAGCAAAGAGGAGAGAGAGAGAGAGAGAGCGACTACGTACCTCCAGGGCATGCATCATGGCGCGCGCAAAATTCTCGGCATCGCTCTGGCTGGAAAAGTTGAGACCATAAACATACTTGGAGTCGCGCCACTGATGAAACGTGGCAGTTGCCTGATTATATTTGAGACCCTTGAGTATGGAGCAATTGATAACGACCTCATGATCCTGCAGCTTGCGACCCACCACACGGAATGTGTTATTCTGCTGATGATGATAAATCTGCACCTTGCTCAGACCCGACGAACTGCCCGACGGCACCCACTTTTTCTGGTTGTCATCGTACACCATCACAGAGGCGCGAGCGCCAATAATGCTTTGCTCACTGCAAACCGAGACAAAAAAGAAGATATGATTTAACCAGAATTAAAGTATAAAGTATAAGGTATGTGACAACAATTAGAGAGAGAGAGAGAGAGAGAGAGAGAGAGAGAGAGAGAGAGAGAGAGAGAGATGATAAAGATATTCCAGGAAGCAACAATAGCGAGAATCGCATAACAGAGAGAGAGAGAGATGATAAAGATATTCCAGGAAGCAACAATAGCGAGAATCGCATAACAATCAGAAAACCATTAGATGATCAATACAAAAGTACGCTTGACTAGATTTCATATCTCAACACTCTTCACACACTCATCTTTTTCTCGACTTTCTCACAGCGTTTCATGCGGCCAACTCCGAGTGCAGTGATCTTGCTTAGCTGAAGCTGGTGTCTGATGCTGAAGCTGGAGCTGAACAGGAAGTGCAATGCGTTCATTGTAGAAACCTATCCCCCTTGTCCTCCTCCTTCTCATCATCATTCTCGCATGAGAGAATTGCGCACCTGTCACACGCAGTCATCATCGCCAGCAGGCCGATTAAATAATTCTAATGAACTTTTACACAACCTTTTACATTTTTTTGTTGTTCTTTTCCTTTTTTTGCAACAGCAGCAGCATTGACAATTATACCGGGAAAAGTAAACACAAACGCACAAGAGTTGAAAAATCACGACAAGAACGATGAGCTGAGAAGCCGCAGTCTTGTTTGCAGTCCGTCGTCAGTCTATCGTTTGAATGTTACTGGGCGAGAGGCTGATGACAGAGAGACCCAACATCAGCCATCAGCAGCAGCCACAACCGCAGCAGCAAAATCAAGTGAGAATTTTGCAGTTGGGAATAAGCGACTGCGCACTAGTCTGAAATACCAATAAGAAATACCAGCTGATAACAGATGACAAATGAATTACAAATCGTTGAAGTAAGTTCCTAGTAATCCACATTCCAAGTTTTCTAACTTTGACTCTTAAATTACGGGAGATATTTGGAGCAGGGTTTCAGTAATCTACCTAAGTTTTGTAATCTTAGCTCTTAAATGCAGTTATATAGATTTACACTTTCAGATATATCAATTTGGCGATTACCGGGAAAGTAGTGGGCGTCGTTCAAGTCGGTTAATATACCTTCCAAATTTTGGTGACTCAAGCTCAAACACTTTAAAAGACTTAGTCATTTTATTTTAGGGGCGACGATGCCGATCTTTGAAGGTCAACCAACAACCTATCAACCAAATTAGGTAACTGTAGCCTTAAAATTGCGGGAGATAATGATTTTATCGATTCTCGAACATTAGGAATGTCGACAAAAAAAAGTTGCATTCATTGCACAAACGCAATATACCTCTTATGCTCGCATTAGCAGGGTATAAAAGGAAAAAACGAGTTTTTCTTTCTTTTTTCTTACTGCAAAATTCTCTCAGTTAACAACTGTGCCTGGCCAAAAGTTGACTAGTTTTGCACTTAAATGGAGCTCAGACAGCGAGCAATGAATAAAGTTGGTGAGTAAGAGGGAGGACAGTAGTCAGGGGGAAGCCTGGCGGGTCCACAGCTGTGCGGCCTTATATAACAAACGTGCTGACTTGGCTTGGTTTGGCTTGGATCGGTTCAAGTGAGCATACGATGCCGTGGAACGAAAGTGAAGTTTATCTGTGCAGAACAGTTGGCAGGCAGAATGGAGGCAAATACACTCAGAAAAACCATCGGTCAGAATACTGGACTTATTTTTAGAAATAATTTTTAAATATAAGAAAAAAGAATTCTACAAAATTGGAAAATTGTCCTAAGTCGACAATCCCAAAAACGTTGTTTTTTTTATTTTCGAAATATGTTCTATAAGTAAATAATTCATTACTAAAAGGTAGAAATGCAAACCCAAATTTTCAGAAAAATATCCTTTCTAAAATGCAGAAACAACTAATGAAATTTACTATACAATCTTTGTACATATGAAATCTTAAAACACTAATGTTTATTAATAATATATATAATAATGTATATAGACAACAAAAAACGAATGTTAATTCTTCGTACACATATGAAAAAACAAGAGAGAATGTTGCAGACGGGCGTAACCGACTGTGAAATACTTTGATATCATCAGTAGTAAAATAAGATATACGCATTTTAGATTTCTAGGGTCGAAGTTCCTGGAGACGGCGGGTGTGGACGTGGCATAAACCGATCTTTGAAGGACATCGCCAACAACCTACCAACGAAATTTATATGTGGCTTTATCCATTGGCGAATATCGATTTTATCGATTTCTTAGCTCCTTAGTGGTCGCACCACTCGAACGTACTGACGCGGGCACAGACCAGTATATGTTCTAAGTTTCAAGTCCCTATCTCTAAGGGTGTCGAAAACAGTTGCGTTCATACAGACGGACAGCCGAACGCGATTTTTTTTACAAATATGCTTTCTGAATAATAAGGTGAGTTACCCTGGGCGCAAAAATTATGATGCTTTTTTCCTGAGTGTACTTACTTACACAACACTCATGCCAATTTGTTTAGATTCACATTCGCAAACATTTCACTGGCTTCACTCTAGAGAATTATGGGGTTGGCTAAACAAATAATCGCCCGTGTTCAAGTAATGAAATTAATGCAAATTGCACTCCCCCCATTCGCTTTAAATACTCCATTATTGGTGAAATTTTCGCTAGTTTTGAAATTTTGTGCTCGACTTGTGGATTAATTCGTGCGTTAAGTTTTCAATGCAGATTCATCATCCAAACTCAACTCAACTGAACTCACAAGCACGAAAGCAATCTTTTTTTTTACATTTTTTAATTGGCGTTAAATTATATACAGTTATCGAGCACATTGACGACGACGACTGAGATGTGGATAAAAAGCAGAACAGGCTAAAATAAAAAGAAAAACCCTCCGCAATCGAGCGATTCTAATTCGATTTTCGAATGTAATCTTTGCTTGTGGTACGTGAGAGATTAAGATTCAGTTGAGATGTTCAATGGAAGATCACATAAGAGATTGAATCACGTTTTCTGGCCAAGATCTGTAACTATGATGGCAACAAGGACGCAGCAGCTGCAGCAGAGTATAAAATAATAAAAAAATACATGAAAAACAAAACATACGTAAAAATCATTGTGGGGCAACCAATTAATTTGTCTTTAACCGAATTATGACGACGCTGTGGTATGCGTTGTATATGTTGTTGTTGTTTTTGATGTTGTTGTTTATTGTGCTTTTGTTGTTGTTGGTGTTGTTGTTGTTGCTGGTGTTGTTGTTGCAGCAGCAAATAATGATGTATGTTGCTGTAGAGATGCTGCTGCTTTGTTGGCGTTCTAATTGAGAACGACTTGGAGGAGGAGCTGGAGAGTCGGGACGGGACAAAGGCCGAGGAGCAATTGACAGATGAAGAAGCTGTGGTGAAAGAATAAGATTGGGATGGGGACGGATGCGGAGACTGTGGCAGGGGCAGGGGTACGCACTTGCGTAGCGTAGAACATAGAATAGTCGATTTTGAGGAGGAGGAAGCAGGGGGGGCAGAGGAAGCAGAGACTGGCTGCGATGTTGAGACAGTATTTGTGTATGATGAAGGCAATGATGATGATGACGATGGAGATGATGATGATGATTTTGATAATGAAGCATCGACATGTTGGCTGCTGTGCATTGATGGAACAACAGCACCCACGCCAGTCTGTACGTACAAGGACTGATCATTGAGTAGCGCCTGCGTCCAGGTTGGCGCCTCATAGATGGGCAGAGTCGTCGTCGTCGTGGCCATGGGCAACTGCAGCACCAGTTGCTCATGCTCATGGTAGACTGTGGCATGTGGATGATGCGGCTGCTGCTGCTGTTGGTAATGATGGTACAATGGATGGCGATAGTCCAACAGATCCAATTGCTGCAGGTCCGCAATGCTGTAGTAATCGCTGCCAGCCCTGACCTTGGGCATGGCTTTACTGTACTGTAGGCTCTGGCTACGCTTGACCATCAGCAGCTGGTCGGGCTCGTGTTGCTTCTCGCACAGTGCGCCGACATTGGACTGCTGCTGTTGATGGTAGGCCAGAATGGGACCAGATGCTGTTTTGACAACGCTTCCATTGGATTTCTTGCTCGTAAATGAGGTTTTCGCATAGAGTTTCTTCATGGCCATTAAAAGCTAGCAAACATTTGCAGAGGCGGCAAAAACACACACAAGACACACGAACACACGCACGCATAGGCGAGATCCCACACACAATACACACGGCGTCTCCACAAATCTCTTAATAAAGTAAATGGAATTTATGTTTATCTTAGCGTTGCTTTTGCTTGCTTTACTTCGCTCCGTTCACACGATAGAAGAAAAAAATCTCACTACCACTGCTGCTGCTGCTGCGGCTGATCGAAATCGAACCTCAATCGAGACTGAACACACCAAACGAAACGAATCGAGGCTCGCGTTAAGCGCCCAGAGAGCTAGCGCGAGAGTGAGCGGCGAGCCAATCACAGAGTTTGGCTGCATTCGCAGAGAGGACTGAATGCTACAAAGAGACCGGAGAGAGCAAGCACAGCACAGAGAGCGCAGAGAGAGCGTGAACTAGGGCTGACGACAAAAAATATGTCTGGCGGCTTTGAACTGGGCTAAAAGGTTAATAATTATGCTTCAAAAACACAATAAAATAATGAGTTGTGCTACATACATAGCAGCTACGTCCGTCCCTTAAGATCGTATAGTCGTCTGCTCGTGAGAGACCATTTCAATTAAAGCCGTGCTCGCAGCATACTTAAACGCGGACTCAGCCTCTTTCAGTTTCAGTTCTTCATTTTGTCAGTCAATCAGTCAGTCTGTTCCATGCTCCTGTGCAATAATTACTTAAGAAACGAGTCCAATATAATTTCCCCGCCAAGCGACGACTATTAAATGCCTTTTTTCTCGTCAAAGCTTTGGTCGACGAAAGTCTTTTGGGGGAGGGGGATACACAGCTTGCGGCATTCTATGAAATATTTATAGAGTCGAACCTGGTGTTGAGTATGCGAGTATCTGAATCAGTTCTAATTTTGTATTCTACAATTCTTAAGCGTACATTTCCAAATAATATGGCATTTGTCTGTTGTGAATGTTATGCTTGTTGCTGTTGCTGTTAGAGCTTGTTATATTGCGCGCGTCTGGTCTTTAATTCTGTCTGATCTGAACTACGATTAGTGAGCAGCTTAATAGCTTTGTAGTAACCTGACTGGGGCCCAGCTCCAGCTCGAACTCAACCTCGAAATCGAAGTCGAAATCGTAACTTCAAACGTCAAACTTTATCTGTAGATCAAACAGTGGCTTAAATGATTTGGCAACTTTTTGGCCACAACGTATAACAAAACAAGAAAATGTTGACTTGGCCCAAGTGAAATTCATTTACAAAAATTCAGATTCGCTTTATATTTAACAGGCAAGAATGCTGTACTAGAGTGTAAACTCCTCGACTATGATGTACCCTGCACTCAACTGTTAAATATATATTAGAATTCGTTGTCGATTATAACTTGGATATTTCATATTCGATGTTGATGAATTTTGTCCAGTTGATCTAAAATATGTCAATGTATAATTAGCTGCTAGTTTTAATCTAAGCGACCTACGACTAAAGCGGCCTTGCTTTTGAAAATCGGTTTAGGTTTGAGGAAGTTATGGAAATGATATATTCAGTATGAAAATCATGTTTCCAAATTAAAGTGAAATATTGAAGCTAGACCATAACCCTAACCAAAAATATATTGCTTTCATATTATTTAGATAATAGACTATTCAATACGTGTAGTTAATGCTTTCACATTATAAACATAGTTTTATAATTTGTCTCAATTTCATTTGATTGGATTAATGAATGTTTGGCCAGCTAAATGCATTTCCATTACGCTTAAAAAATCTGAAAGCGTACTTCAAATCAATTATGTTATTAAACTTGTCCCGAACTTGCCGCAACATCGGTGGGGAAAACAACACTCGTTGGTGATTCATGTAGCACTCGCTTCAGTTAGTCTAGTCTGGCATAGTCTACTTTGGGGCATACCTCATCTGAGCCGGTCGAATTTTCACGGACATTACATAAAAATGGCACGCCCCAAATTAAATGCGCCGCAAAACTGACTGCGTTTTTGCTTATACATCGGTTAAGAATAACAACAACAGCAGACAAAAGCCCTGACTAAGCAAACATGGCAACTGACTATGGCAGAAAGGTAGGAAGCAGCCGGATGTGCCACTCCTCTGCCGCCTAAAACGTAGTCAAATAGTCAAACAAATTACGAGTATTAAACACACGCTGCTGGGAAGCACATTTTCATGACGGCGCATAAGAACACTGGGAGATTCCGTACTTTAACTGCACTCAGAAAAAAAATCGCCCTAAAAACTATAAAGTTTTTCTTGTTTAAGAAATAATTTCTAAATATTAAAAAAAATTACTAAAATTTAGAAAGGATTGCCCTAAATCGATCAGGATAACAAAAAGATGATTTATTCTGTTCAGCCTGAAATTTAGAAATGCAAACCATGGCTTTAAAAACCATAAATTGTAGATTCTTACTTTCTGAATAATATGGTGACCAAACCATGGCGTCATTGCGTATGGCGACTTACTAAAAATTAGGGTGATTTTTTTATATATATAATGAAAAAAAGAGATCCCTATACATTCTTCACATTTACCCATGCCAAAAAATGCAGAATCATCATTGTCATCATATCGTCAATTAAGTTAAGTACCAAATTTATGGACAGACGGCGACCATCGATACAATTCAACCATCTAACTATAATTGAAATGTCCTTCATTTTAATCAAATGCGAATGAAAAATCAAACGACAAATAAATTACAGCAACTTTGCCACAATGTAAAATGTCTCAACTACATAATATTTATTATATATATAGAAAACAGAATGTTTTACTTACGTCATTTTGTTCTGGTTTGTTGTTGTTGATGTTGGATACTCTTCGGGGGAAAATTGTGCGTTACTTCTAGCTATATATGTGGGGAGAAAACTAAGGGCTGGCTTCTTGTGCTTTCCCGGTTTTCCAACCAGGTGCTGCTTTTCTCCTCGTTGATTAATTGTTCTTTATAACAATTATAAGATCTGCAAGTGGAGTGGAAATGAAAGAAACGATATCTAGATTAGAATAGAATGTATACTTCTTCTGAATTTGGCTCTTCTTCTAGATCAATGAAAAGATACCTTGAGACTACAACTAGGCCCAATCAATTAAACAAACGCTTAAAATCAACAGCAAGTGAAAGCCAGCTCATAATAGCGCAATAATATGCACAGCGAAACCGGGCAAACAATACACAGAAATAAAACCATTGAAAGACAATGCGACTTCTTCTGTTTCGTGGCTTATTTACTTTTTCATTCTTTCTTTCTTGAGAAACTTACAAGAATAATGGAGAGCAGCACGGGTAGCGAAAGCCATAATAAATGCTAATATAGCTTCGAATCGGGTCGGTGCATGGCCCCCGGAGAAGGTTCTATCCTAGGCAAGACCGACCAGCGTAAAACCCCCAGGAACAGAAAACGCATAAGCGCGCATAAAGCGCCGCAAAATGTGTCACGCTGCTAAAAAGATGTTGACCCAGTTTTTATCTTGCCTCCCTCCTCTCACCAACCCCCAACCCACTTTAGCATGGCTTGCGTAATAGTTTCACTGCAAAACCTGCCCCATCGTTGTCGTCCTTGTATACAACGACCGCTTTGTTGCCGGAAGTGCTGAATACGATTGAACGCCCAACTGTTATAAATTTGAAGCGGCAGAGAACTTTTTATTATAGTCTAACTCTAACCACTTGCCTGGAAGAGATTAAGCACCCTGGAAAGTTACTTTCAGCAGAATTAGGACCAACTACACTCAAAATAAAGATCACTCTAAATTATAATAAACAGCCCCAAAATAAAAATCGCCCTTAAAAATAGATTTTTTCGTGTTTTTAGAAATAATTTTTAATTATTAGGAAAAAAGTTTCGAACATTTAGAAAAGATTATCCTAAATTGACAATCCCAAAAATATGTAGATTTTTCCTATTTTTTATAGAAACAATTTCAAACTTTTAAGAAAACCCTTTTTAAAAAGAAGAAATGTGAATTCTCATTTTAAAGAAAAACAATTCATTAATCTGCTAAAACTGTTCTAAATTGGAAACGGTACAGAACTTATTACTATGGGCTAACTCTAAGTGTTGTTGAGAGGATAAAATCAAACGTGACAATTGCTATGCATGCAATTCCGTTTGTTGACCAAACACACATCAACTAATCCCGTAAAGCCATTGAAGATCTCGTTGAGCACATGTAAGGCTTCATTTGTCTTGACCCTTGCCAGATGTGAGATGCTCTCCCTCACTCAGGAAGCAGGCAATTAAAACGTTCACAAGTGAAATGTTATCCCACTGAATGAGGGTTTCCAAAAAAACCAACCCCTAAAACCGCCACCCAGTCGTTGTAACTCACCTCCCTCCCACTTCTCGATTAGCATTTGGTTGCCTTTGCATCTAATGGGTAAACAAGTAAGCAGTCCGATCAAAGCGATTTTCAATATGCGCTCAGTTTTGGCATTCAACCCGAAAAGCAACCGACGACTTGATTGTCCGCACTTTCAAGCTTTGAATACATGGCCACAGGACATACTATCAGCAAAAAAAATCGCCATGAATATTGGAAATTCACCATAATTATAGTGGCAAACGTAACTCCAAGGGATTCTCTTTTTTTTTTATATACATACAAAGTTTTTATTTGTTTATATTATATTATTAATAAACATTACGTATTTTAAGATTTCCCATATATAAACATGAAAATTAAGGTTTGTATTTCTGCTTTCTTCAATTGCATTTCTTAATATATAAAAAATTTCTTTTAAAAAAATTAAACAAAAAAATCCCCATTATTTTGGTATTGTCGATTTGCTTTTCTAATTTTTCGAATTTTTTTTCTTATATTTAGAACGTATTTCTAAAAACAAGAAAAATTTAAGTTTTCAGAACGAATTTTTCCCGAGTGTGGGGCACGTTTTTGTCATTGACAAACTGACAAACATATTTCCAGGAATTTCCATGACTCCAACGAGAACTGTTCTCGCTCGGCATTATGTCAGTTAGTCTGCCCGCAAATTCAACCCTGTTACATACCCAATTGGAAATGTTTTGCACTCAAAACAAAAACAAAAAACGACAAAAAAAATTTATACCGCATTGCAAATGGAAATTCCCCTATTTTGGTTGCGTGACTCTTTAGATTTGTCAAAAGCAAAAATTTGACTCATCTCAACGTGACAAACGCTTTTTACGTCATCAAAAGTGGCAATATCTTTAGCCCGATTAGAGTTAAAATAATAATAATCCCAGTTCAAGTTGCTCTTCAATTATCCACATAGTTCTGGTATTATCTGTCTAGCACTCACTTAAAGCCGAATTCATTTTGGCCAAGGTGAGCAGAGCCCAAGACTGGTTTAACAAGTGGCAACTTTGCCTTTGCCATTGTTTCTCTCTGGTTGGGAAAAATAATAGTGCTTCAATTTGGCTTACGGCCCACTTCAAATGTCAACTCGCTGATGGATTTGCCAAACCCGGCTACTGCTGGGATTGACCCAAATCCATAAGACGATCAATCGATCAAGACTACAAAAAAAAGTAGAAAAACATAAGAGACTCCCAGGCATATCAGCAATCAGCAATTCAGTCAAGCGTCAAGTTGTTTTTTGCAGGGCTTCTCTCATCTGCCAATTAATATTTTGCTGGTATCTAAGTTAGTGGCTCTTAGCCCCAACACATCGAAATGTGTTTCGGTTTTGCTTGGGACACACACTCTATTTCGTAGCACAAGTTGCACAACCGAACTCTGTAGTCTGTGCTCATTATTATTATGTACTTGTTGTTTTGCTTCAGTTTAGTGAGGCGAAACAACAAATCTTTTTTCTTTTTGGGAGCCAAAGACTGCCGATTATTAAATAATTAAGGCATCTTCACTCTCAACTGCCTTCCCTTTTCATAACTAGAAATATATTATAAGAAATCCCAATTTCAATTATATTATACGTGACGACAATGAGACTCATACGTTGGCGCCGTTGCACAGAATTAAAATGAGAAGCTGACATAAAACTATCATAATCATAATACAATCAGATTGCTCATGAAATCAGGAAGAGAAGGGCACTATTAGAGGGGGAGGGAGGGGAGAGGGGGAGAAGTACACAAACAAAATGAAAATATTATTTCGACTATAACTTGGGTGTCATGTCTCGGATTTTGATGAGATTTGGGCTGTTGATTGAAAATGTGTCAATGTGTTTGATGTATCAATAAGAAGCCTCTCTTAAAATTGTGTTTTTATTGCTATTGGGAATCGATATTCGAGAAACGCGGGCAGTAATCGACAAAATCGATCTACCTGGGCGGGGTATACGAGAACTTATATTCCAAATTTAAAGTCTCTAGTTCTTACAGTCTCTTTCTGTGGGTTCAGAATATCATAAAAATACAGCATACAGTTTAATCTCAGATACTCCTCCAAGTCAGTGGGTGTCTCTTTTTATTATCAAGGAATATTTGGTTGATCAATTATGAACATTATTGCAATTATAAACTGATCAATCTAACTTAAAGTGGGGTTAGAGCTTTATCAAATATGTTACTTAACGTATTGATAATTAAAATACCCTCTGCATTCGTATAATATAGGATAACAAAACTGCAGGTAAACTGCCAGCAATATTTACTCGTATATACTGGCAAAGGGCAATATTCAGAAGACTTTGCTCTTGTCTCAAGTGCCAGAGAGAGAAAATCTCTCCACAAGTTGCAACCTGCCTCCAAGAGTTGCTAACTGAGCTCATTCTGTATGTGTGCGTGTGTGTGTTTCCATGCAATCAAAACGAAAAGAAAACTTGGCACCGTCTGCTTTTCGTAAGTAAAAAATAAAATTCAAAACAAAAAGAAACCTGCTGCTGGTTGCCTGTGAAATTTTAGATTCAGTCCCATTTCCATTTCCATTTGCAGACCGAGCGGAAGCACTTCAAGTGCCTGCAATTCCTCTATGCGTATAGTCTGAGAGTCTGAGAGGCAGACAAAAAAAAAGGGCTGAAAAAAAGGGCAACTTGCAGCTTATAGCTTGCAACTTGCTGTTTGCAACTATTGACTTAATATCAACTCAGATGGTCAGCTGCGTAGCAAGCAATTCAATTTCATATTTTGCTGCCTTCCATCGCCAAGATTTCTTTTTAATCAGCGTATGGAGCACTTCCGCAGCTGACTGAGTGACTGGGGAAAGGGAATGCGGGGCTAGAAGGTTGGGGGGAAATATATGGTCTTTGGAATATCAGAATTACAATACATATTTATAATGATTATTCATGCAGTTTTTTCCCCCTTCAACGGAGCTTAACTGATTCGTTTTCGATATTTACCTTGAAAGCCATAAAAAAAAAAAAAACAAAAAAAAACATGAATATCAACAAAAATAAAGGAAATTTATTCCAAGAAATTCACACTTAAAAAAATAATAATTTAAAGAAAGTGTGCAGCAATAAATAGGCGTTTTAGTTAGACTTGACTAGTTGAATATATATATTTTAATACCATTAAAGAAATTTGCAGAAATAATTTTGCCTTAAATTGTAATCGCATCAAGCACAGAGCGTTAGACAGAAAAAGAACCGCGGCGAAGAGGGAGGGCGAAGAGAGAATGCGGGCGACTTGCTTTCTTGGTGGCAAGAATCAGTGGCTGTAACACGTAGCAAGCCACAACTTGTAGCAATGTCTAAGTCTGTATTTATGCATTAAAAATGGGAAAAGGGTATAATAATTTTGTGCAAATGCATTTAACAGGCAAAAAGAATCATCTGTGAAATACATATTCTTGATCTGGATCAATAATATACGAGTCGATCTAGCGATGTCTGTATGCCCGTCTGTATAGAAACTTCAAATTTGGAATATAAGATCTCGTATACACCGCGCAGATCAAGTTTATTCCATTTTATCAATAATCCGTTTCGCGAATACCGATCAATATCGAATTCCGATAGAAATAAAAGCCACAATTTTTAAGGCAGTAATTTAATAAATATATAATATACATTGACATATTATTGATAAACTGCTCAAATTTCATTAGGATCGGATAGGAATCACCCAAACTTATAGTCGAAAACATATTCCCATATTGATTCCATTACTAACAGCAGACGCAATAGAGCTGGAATATATTTAACAGCTTGATGCAGAGTATATCGTAGTCGATTGAGCTCGACTTGTTTTCCTTTTTTGTGGAAAAGTATTTAGGCCGTAAACAATTGTTCAACACCGCCAATTGCTTTTGAACACACAATTTGCTTAAAGCAAAGCCGTCTTTGCAATTCAAAACATGCGCCCCTAGGATGCTGCTTCTTACATATAGTAAGTATAGTATAATATATATTTATAAAATTCAATTAAAATTAGATGACATTTTCAGTAACTATTAAAAATGCTAACCATTAATATTATCAGAATTTCAGCTGGTTCGTTATTTATGTCTTTTTTTATTTGGAACTTTTCAGTAGCAATAAGGTTGTTTCTTTTTATCTGAGCACTTACCTTAATTTAAGGTACTACAGAATTTCGCTGAGTGCATTTGCACAGCCAGCGAAAAGTTTGCTATTGCTTTATTCTAACTCAAATATCATTCTTTTTCTTATATACACATTATATATATGTGTTGCTTAGGATTGTAAATTATGATTTTCTTGATATCATATGTGTGCTGCTTGTTGTTTTTCTGTCTGTCTGTCTGTACTTGAGCCAATGCGATGGCCTTCAAAGTCAAAGCAAAACCAAAGCCAAGACAATGGAACGAAACGCCTGAAAAGCTGCCACTTAAGCGAATTTCATTCTCTCCGTTCTCCATTCTCCATTCCCCATACTCGGTCCTCGGTTTTCGTTTGTCGGTTGTGCTTATCTGTGCAGTTCGTATAACTAGTAACTACAATTTATGCCACATAAGCGGTATTTATTTATCACGCATATGAATACATTATGTACTCAGATTCAGACTGAGAGACTCAAAGACTCATCGTGGCATTCATGTGCATAGTGCATTTAATCTGACGCGCTTTCCTCTGCACTAGAAAAAGGCTACCCTAATATTTCATTGCTTGCCATTGCTTTGTGTAGTAAAACACTTCTTAAATGGAAACGGAAATATTATTATATGTGTCTGAATTGACAACGTTGATAAATGTTTTCAAAAGAGCGGTATTGCATTTAGAGTTACTCGTTGAACCACTTTTCCCTACTCCTGAAACAAAGCAAATAAATTTAATGAATGAAAAAACCAAGCAACTTATTAAAACAGGCAGCAATAACAAAGAAAAAACAAAACGTTGACACTCTAATGAAAATCAAAACACGTTTCATGCATCCGACGAACACTCATAAATTCCTATGAATTATGCAGGTGATGACGCTAAAGCGCACCATAAAATTAAATATATATATAGATATATTCAAAGTCTTAAGATTGCTAGTAATTACGTTATCAGACAAAAAGGAAGGAAACTAGCGGTAACTGCTGACTAACTGAGTAATTGACCACCCACTCGTCTAGCATAGTCGAGTTAGAAAAAATAAATACAAAATGGATAAAGAGAGTAGGGTATTATATTTCCCTTTTGCCCGCATAATTTCAAAGCACAGCACAGAGCAGCAAAACAAAAAACAGATAATGTGGATTTTGTTGAATGATGCGTAGCAGCGTATGGGGGACGTAGGGTCACACTGGTGAGGAAATGTTAATTACATTTGCGACAGACAACTACAGTTGAATGCATGCTGCAGCAGCAGCAGCAAGCTAGTTGGCTGCTATGACACGTAGTTTAGTCACAGCAGAGTGAATCAAAGTTGACGTAGCAACTTTATGATTCAGAGCAGTCAGCTGAGCTGCTACAAGCATACATAAACAAATCGAAGGTAAGCCACTGAGGCGAGGTGGTGGAGGAGCGGATTATACGATGAAAAATTAATTGCAGAGATTTCTTAGATTTCTTTTATTTTAAAGTAACGTAAACATGTACATATGAATGTGCGTATAAGCGCACAAAAGAATTTGTGCGCAATGTGTGTGAGTGTGTGTATGTGTATGATATATAAACATATTTAAATTTTAGTTCTTATCTTATCTATAGTTATCTAGTTTCGACCCAATTGCAGTTGCGACTGCTGCTGTTAACTGTGTGGAAGAGGAAGAACAACTCGTCTAAAATTGTTCGACTTATGTGGTTATATGCGCATCTGTGCATTTGTGTGTGTAGTGTAAGCACATGTAAGCACAAGTATGTGTGTATGTAATGTCAACTACTCCGCTGTAAAGGGCAACAGTTTGGTAGCAGCTGCAGCTATGCAACACTGGCCAACAAACACGAAATGAAAAGCACAAAAAAAATGTAATAAACGAATTCAAATTTGCAAGCGCCAATAACAAATAATTTCGCTATACGTTTGTGAACTGGTTTTGGGCTATTTTTTGTATCTGTGTGTGTGTGGGTCTGAGGAAGAGAGAGCTGCGGGTCTTTCGCCCGCTTCATTTAGCAGGCAGAAAATAAAAAGTGAGTCATCTGGCAACTCCAGTGATGCAACTTGCCTGTCATTTTATATGCGGAGGGGTGGGCCGGGGCCGTGTGAGGGGGGGGGGGGGGGGGGGGATGATGGGAAGAGGAGTGGCGACTCTCTGCAGTGCATTGACATTAAAGAAACCAAAGCCACTTGCCCAGGCATAAATAAAGTTCCAAACAAACATGATAAAGATAAAAGCGAAGGAGAAGAGGAAGAAAGAAATAATAACAGCTCCACCCGCGTCGCGACTCTTTCCCACTCTCTCACTCACACACTGCCAAATTGGCTCCCAGAATTTTGTTTGTTTGGCAACATACAAAAAAAAAAAGCTGCACGTTAAGAGAGAGATAGAACGAGCGAGAGGGAGAATGAGCCTGCGCCCAGCAACACACACAAACAAGCACCGCGAAGAACAAGATTAAGAAGGCGGTCAGTCCGAGTGTTGTAGCAGACAGCTCAAAAGGCAATGCAACAAAAAAAAAAACAATTTTAGCTGACGCAGGACACAGCTGCTGGTACACAAACGCGCACACACGAAGGTAAAAAAAATGCAAAAACAGGGTTAGAGACGCTGCAGACAAAAGACAGCTGTTAAACTGAAGGCAGAAAATAACGACAAAATGCAAACTAAATAAATTATTATATGTATATATATTATAAACAAACTGACACAAAAAAACACACACACAGAGACGTATGCGAAAAAAGGGCGTGTTGTGTGGAAGAAGAAGCAGCAAAAAGGGGAGCAGGAATGAAGCAGTAGACGCCGACGTCGCAGCAGCGGAAGTTGTGGGCAAAAACATGCGCAGAAAATATATTCTCAGATGCAGATGCTGCTGCAGTTGCAGTTGTGAAACTATAAAAATAAATAAATGCATGGCAAAACACTTACCACAACATTTTGCTTAATTGCACAGTGAAAACGGCGCGTTTGGTGTTGCTGTCGGCTGCTGCTGCCTTTTCTTCTGCTGCTGCTGCTTAACAGCTACTCCCTTTTTCCTCTGCTACTGCACACACACTCAAAGCGAGCGGCGGCGGGCGACTTATAATCTATTCGCGTGTAAATATCTATTTGCTGCAAGTTGACTTCGGGTGTGGAGTGGTGGGCGGAGGGAGGAGGGGTGTTTTTCTCTAAAGTTTCGTTAATTTTCACTTTTCCTGTTTCTGTGTTTTTGTGACAGCACTCACTCACACAAACAAACTCATACACACATGCACGCACATACACTACGAACTACGAACTCCTTGTCAAGGAGTAGACATCAATTTTTTTTCTTTTTTTTGGCTACTTCGTTTTGTGCTCCGTTTGCCGTTTTCGTTGCAGCTTTGAAAGGAACTTTGCACAATTGTTGTTTTTGTGTTGCATAGATTAATACTAGCGAATGACTGCGATTTTTTTTGTTGCAAGACGTCGCGATTAACGCGAATTAATTTTTAGCCGAACTGCGACAGTGACAACAACACACCAGCGCCATATTTGATCTGATGTAAAAAAAATAATGCATGCGAGCAGCCCTGGTTTAACAGTAACATTTCATTATTAACATAACATTTGTTTAAATGTTTTTAACAGCGTATGCCGTGCAAAGTGCTGTTATTTAGAATTTTTTAGATAGTTTAAAATATACATGTCTTTGATGAATATGATTAGAAGTGGATGTAAATTGGTCGAAATGAAATGAAATTAAAAAATTGGCATTTAACAGCTGTTAACTGGCTGGGAATCATATTACACAGTGCAACGTGATATCGATATTGCATGCATGTGCAGAAGTAATCGATAAGTATATCTTGGTGTGCACACACTTATCGTAGCCGCGCAATTCGCATTGCACTTACAAAAAAATTACAAAGACAAATTCACAATCATTTTTGTATCCTAGAAATTACTATTTTAATTTGTATGCACCGTGCGATCGTAAATTTAGTAACATTACGTCGGTATAAAATTAGATTAAAATACTCCCGTTACAAATACAAAGATGGATGTATGATATTTAGCTAATTATCTTGTCTAATAGATCGCATCGCGGTAGCTCTCCACAAAATGTTGCACCAATCCGGGCATCTCCGGTGCACGGCACAAATACTTGTGCCCGTAACCGTGTCTCCGTTCAAAGCGATGAAATTCCACTGGGCCCCAGGCATGACTACGCTTGTTCAGCGCAATGCGATAGAGTCGATAGCCCAAGTGAAAGGGGACCACAACATCATCCTCCGAGTGGACAATCATAATGGGCTGCGGAAACTCGTCGATATGCTTGTCCGATTCAAAGCGCAACCGATTGCTGTACATCGGCTCCGAGATGGTGAAATCGAACCAGGGCAAACGGCGAAAGGGACGCGAAAAGGGATGCAGCCGAATCTCATCCCGAATATTGGTGAACGGACTCTCGAGGATGACGCCACGTGGCGCACGCCCCTTGAGAGCCGCCAGGTTGGCGCACATGTGCGTCGCCACGCCAGTGCCCAGTGAGTGCCCCCAAATGTAGATGGGATTCGTTGTCAGATTGGCAATGTACTCAAAGACCATCAGAGCATCGCGCACAACGCCATCTTCCGTCGGCGCCACCGGATCCGAGTCCGCATAGCCTCGATAGTCGAAAGAAAAGACATGATAGTTGAGATGTCGCAACAGTTTGTAGACCTCAGAGCGATGTCCACTGCCCCGTGTCGCCGTATTCCCGTGCAGATAGAGAACGACGGTGCCGCCGGGAATGCGCAAGAGACGCTCGTAGAAGATCTGCTCGTTCTCGGGCAGAATTACGGGGAACTCGTTACGCAGAGCAGGCGCCACCTGCTCCAGCTGCTTGTTGTTGTTGTTGCTGTTTGCTTGCTCAACTGTTGACTTGGACTGCTCCCGCTGCAACTGTCCAGCCTGCTGCTCCTCCTGCTCGTAGGCCTCCTCTACGTGAAGTTCGCGTTTGAAGCGACGCACGGCATTCTTGGGCAGCACATGCCATACGCCAATCCTCACACCATCCTCGTCCGCATTATGATCCTTGACGGTGATGTAAAAGTTGCGTGTGGCATAGAGTCCAATGCTCGCTGGTTGCGTGAGATCCAATCCCTTCGGATAGGTGACTAAAAGAAGACGACTTTAATCGAGACGCAACTCCAAAAAAAAGGTAATACTTACTGAATGTGAGAAAGAGTATGCTGCGCTGTAACGTCACGGAGAAGCGAAAGGCCAATGGGAGCAGCACAAAGATGACGAGGAACAACAACAGCGCTATCACCAGAAAGGGCAGTCCAATTCTATGGAGGATACACATCGTTTTTGCGTATTAATCATTTACATAACTACAAAGGATACTACAACTAATCTAAAAACACACTCAAATTTATAAATAATATACGTGTGCATAAATGAAACATTTTTATTTTTGTTTTTGAATCATTCTCCGGATTGCCAAATATGGATATGCTAAATATTTATGCCACGATTCAAGTAAATATATGATAAAATCATTAAATAAAAATAGACAAATATAACAAAAAAAATTATACAATAAATACAAATGTGCATATATAAAAATCAAAATCAAAGCAGGCAATTGTTCTAACGTTCAAATTTTTTAAATTTTTATTTTGTACGGTTCATCGAGCATAAATACTTACAGCCCCGTCAGCCAACTAATGAGGATCGTTCCGGGAATGATTATTGCATAGAAAACTAATTTCAAACAATTGTGAAACTCGTACATTCTTTCCTCTGATTACGATATATATATATATATATATATATATGTATATATATATATATATATATGTTTTCTCTATATATCTATTTCGATTTAGCCTTTGTGTTAATTTTAGCAGAGCCTTTTTAATTGCGGACTTTATTGTGCAAAATAATTGTTTATTTTTTGTGTGTGCGTGGTCACTGATTATTGCAAACGTACTAAGCATCTAGCCGAACGATCAACGGGAAGAGAATAAACAAAGTTACTTGATTATTTTTTTATTAATAGATAATTGCACAACACACAATACAAAATTATGCGTTAAATATGCATGCAAAACCCCAAAAAAATGAGCGAAGCTCAGCCATATAATTAATATTTATGTATATTTATAATTAAACTTTGTACTCTGTTGCAGATAATAGGTTTTCATGTTGCTTTTTTTTTTAAGTGTGACACATTAATGAATGAGTGATTTGTGATAAAGAATCGATAACAACTTTAATTCGCTGACCGATTTTCGCATTCCACAATCAGCAACAAACTACACACACACACGTACATAAAAGATACTCAAATAAACATAAATGAATGTTGTAGAGCCCCAAAGGAAGAAGCTGACCAATGAAAAATAAAGAAGCTTTCTTGAAATCAAAAAATTAATGAAGCATTTATTTACACAAGGAAGCAACACTGGAATTCACCTCTTGAAGAAACGCCGCCTACGCGCAAAAAGCATAACTGCAAATAGTTTGAATGACAGAAAGAGAACAAAACATTTGGTTAGAAAGTTTGGCATTAATGTTAAACAACAACAGCAAAAACAAGAACACGATCAGCAAGTGAGTGAAAGAGAGAGTGTAACGAACAGAAAATCAACAACAGAGCAAAAACCATAATGGTTGACCGATTAATAGGTAACGATTAGATGATTGCGTTTATTGGAAATTATTGGAATTAGAACGAAATAGAGACGGGAATATAAAGGCGAGCCGTGTTTGGTTTCCTCTGAGTGACTAACTGACCTCAAAAACAAAACAATGTGATGCACAAAAAAAACCAACAAGCCGAGGGAGAGCGCAGTTCTACTCTCCACCATCCATCCTCTCTCTCTCACGCCAGCCAGCTGATCGTGAGCATTTTGTTGTTGAGTTTTACTTGAATTAAATTGAATATGAATGTTGTATTTAGTTCATTTGATGCACTTGTTACTTAATACTTCAATTAAAGCTAATTGGACACTTACCGACGTCTTTGGTTCTGTAATTCAAATACAGTTGTCTATTTTGCAATCAAATTATTTTCAGATCCTTCTCATCTAAACCGTAATTTTATGGGGTGTTTTTGGTTTTTTCTTCAACGGCTACCTGTAAATTGAAAAACTATTTTAATTACTTTCAGTTCAAACTTGCCACATCCCAAATTTAATTACATTTATCCTTTAGCATTGGTTATTGAAAAATCACAATTTTTAATTTGTAGTTTAATTATATTTTATATAATCTATGCATAATTACAGACGCGAAATTTGCATTATTGTGAATTGCATTAAAAATATCAAACTCACCAATTACCTATCTATTAATTAATTTCTTTGTTTTCACTTGTTAATGGCAGTGATGCAGTTAATGTATTTAGTAATTGTCATTTATTGGATTATTTTTCTATTACAAGAACGGTTGCCAGTGTGTACACACTATTTACCACACAGCTGATTGTGTTTCCAATCGCATTTGCGATAACATTTTGTTTTTTAACTAGATATCCATAAATGAAATGAATGTGTATTCAAAATGTGTTCACTTGTAATTGTCATTATATGCTTGGCTTGTAGTTTTACCATTACGAATTAATGAACATGACTGTGCCCAGCTCACCCTGTCGCTGGCCGATTAATTTCGTTCATTTCGCTAGTATATTTGCCTTTCGGCATTTTTGCGATTCAAGTTTTTATCTCGCTGTGTGAAAAATAAATATTCAATAATGTTAAGATCAGCTGTGCTTTGTGTTTGTTCGATATCAAACTCTTATAAATGATGAGCGAGCGAAGCAGTAAATATAAACCATTCGAGCTGCATAAAAGATTTCGCTAAAATTTCATTACCAAAAACCAACTTGAATGAGCTTATCGCTTAAAACTATTGCAATCGTGAATTATTAAGTTTATGACTGCTAAACAAACAGTGAAAATGCGAAAAGCGAACTTAATGAACGACAACAGTAAAGGGACTCGGTTCATTTGATCAGTTTAGTATAAAATGTGAAATACAAATATTTAAATTATGTTAGAAACAGCTGAGCCCTGTGCTTGCTCTGTTAGCGTAATGTTATAAATTGTGAGCGAGTGAAACAATAAACAAATACGATTCGAGCAGCATAAGCAAATATTTTCCATAATTTTTCTTGTAAAATCGGTGTTTCTAGAATCTCGCAAATATTCCATTACTAACAAACCATCAAATTCTAATGACAACAAGAACGAGCGCAATGTGTTAAGCAAAAAGTGAAATTGCGAACTAAATGAACGACAGCAGTAAAGGGACTCAGTTCATTTGTACAGTGTAGTAAGTCGTTCGATCGAACGTATTCTGAACAATTCGATACAACTCTAGTTAGCAACGGCAGCGCCGCATCGACAGTGTGAGTGAGTGAGTGCGAGAGGGCGAGCGAGAAGGAGGATGAAGAGTTTGGAGGAAGTAAAATTGGAATATCCGCTGCACTGGCAGATCTGGAATGGCAACGCCGAGAAGCTGCAACAACAATTGCAGACCGACCAGGTGGGTGGTGGCTGATGGCATTGGGTGGGCCTGTATCTACATTCAGCTCTGAGTGGGAGTGGCTGGTGAGGGGCTGTGGACTGGGGGAAGCTACTAATTGAATTAGTGCCCCAAAATGATTCGCTGATAATAGCAATGATAACAACAGAAACAACAAAAAACAATAGCAATATTCTCAGCCAAGTTCAACTTGCAGATTGATAAGGAAAAAATCGATCCACGGGGCCGGACACCTTTAATGATGGCTGTGCGTCTGGCGAATCTGGAATGCGTCAAGTGCCTTTTAGCCGCCAAATGCAATGCGACCTACGAGCACGCAGGCTGGTCAAGTCAGTCCCCAACCCCTCCCTCTAAAATATAACTCCTTAATATATTTTTATATCTGCTGCAGTTGTGCAGGAGGCCGTTTGTACCGGGGATGTGGATATATTGACTGCCATCATTGAGGTTCGGGACTTACAGCGGCATGTGCAACGCGTAACGCATGTGCCGCAACTGTTGCAGCATCTGCTGGACGCACCAGATTTCTACATCGAGATGAAGTGGGAGTTTACGTCGTGGGTGCCGCTCATGTCGCGTCTTTGTCCTAGCGACACTTACAAGGTCTATAAGAGGGGAGCCAATGTGCGCATCGATACCACGCTCCTCGGTTTCGACAATAACACCTGGCAGCGTGGTAATCGCTCATACATCTTCAAAGGCGCCAGTGAGTCCACAATCTATATATGCTTACATGGGCAGTAAAATGGATGTGGAGACAATAACCATTCTTGACTGTTTTTCTAGTTAATTTAATATGCAATTCTTTAATTTTCGGTCACTAACGTTACCAAACAGATTTATCTAATATTCATCATTGCAGAGAATATTGTGTTTTTGTTTTTTTTTTGCCTCATGTGATCCGTGATAGTCCTAATGAACCAATGCAAAGTTTTTCGGCGTCTTCAAAGGAACTTAACTGGAGCGTTTGAGCCGTTGGTGAGGCTACAATTCCCAATTTCGCTTGCCATTGCTCGTAATAACTCTCAAAAGGATCACTTTTAGCCAACACTATATGATTATCGATTATTGGTTGCTGATGAACTTTTATTGAATCCTCCGCGACTTTCAGCGTTTTTTCTGACTTAAGAGCATTTGTAGAGAAGTTTGAGTGAATACAAGTGTTAATTTTTTCCTTCATTTTAGAGCTTACGCCATATCTCCTATCCCTAGTGATGTTCTTGGCATATTTAATGTTATTCGATAGCTCAATTTCATACTTACAAATTTATAGTTAATTAAAAGTAATTGCTTCACACTTATTGTAATGTCCACTTGTGTGTATAATCCTATTTACATATAATTAATTTAGATATACTTTCTCATTAGGGGAAACGGCGACAATGATTGAAATCGATCATGTAACCCACGAGGTTATGGTCGAGCAGATGAGCAGCGATATTGGTGATATTGTGGGCATACCACCGCCCTTGGGCACAGTGCGTGCTCGTCTCGCGGCGCCCGTCATCACCAACAACATTGAGATGGAAAAGATCAGTTTCGAGCGCAACAAATCGGGCATTTGGGGCTGGCGCAGCGAAAAGTCCGAGATGATTAATGGCTACAATTGCAAGGTATATGGCGCCAGCAATGTGGAGTTCGTCACCAAAACGCGCATGGATCATCTCAGCGAGGAGCAGATTAAGGTGAGTTATTCTTTTCTTTCTTAATATATAAGGATTGTCATTCATTATATATTAAATATATATATTTTATATTCATCCATTTTCCTTTGCAGAACAAAACTGCACGGACGCCGCTGCACAGTCTGCTGGGCATTGCTGATGAGGATTACGTGAATGTGCCAACGGATGCGGCAGCCATCAGCGTAAGTATAAATCGCTCACTCTCCTGGGGAGTCTCTTTTACGTTGTAATCTTTCTCTAGATATCCTTGCCGCGTCCCGGTGATGCAGCTCCCGTAGCTGCTCCTCCGCCCGTCTGTAGTAGTGAGAATGGAGATCGTGCTTCGCCAGCGACTGCTCAAGAGGAGAGCAATGGGAGCAGCGTGTCTGGCTCGGGTGCGAGCACACCCCATCTGGTCACAGTGGAGGAGTACTTTAGTCCGGAGGTGGATCTGCACGGACGGGATATTGGCAAGCCAAAGAATTTGAGTACCAAGGTGCAGCGCTTCAAGGCCAATCTGTGGCTGGCCGAGGATCATCCGATACGGCTGCAGGAACAAGTGCTGCCCATACTGGATCTAATGTCCACGATGGCCAGTCCGCATGTGTCCAAATTGAAAGACTTTATCACAATGCAACTGCCCGCCGGTTTTCCGGTCAAGGTGGAAATACCGCTCTTCCATGTGCTCAATGCATGCATCACGTTTGGCAATGTGTTCGCCATGAGGTTGCCAGTAGATCATGTGACAACGCTGCAGGAGCAGGATCGCGTCACATGCCTGGTGGACGATCGCTGCTTTGACATACCCAGCCACTATGTCAGTCGTGGTGGCGATTCACGACGTCAGATGCCTCTCGACGAGGACGACATGCTGCAGTACGCCATCGAGCAGAGTCTGGCGGAGACGAGTGGCGCCGGCGCAGGTGCAGGTGCATGCGGCCTGGACAATGACTCTGACAAGGTGGACATCTGGGAGGTGCTGCGCGGTCAACAGCATGCTGTTGGCTCGGAACTACTACCCGAGGATGACGAACAGCTGCAGCGGTAAGCAATTTAATCGAATAATTATAATTCTGATGTGTCTGTTTGTCAAACAAGTGAGCCTTCATTTAGTGCTAGCGGCAATTCCTGTTCCCGCTCCTGTTGGAATAAACGCACTGTGCTCGTACCTACTCAACCTTATGGACGCCATTTTTCATTGCCTTTTCCCGTGCCCAACTCTTCCTCTCATTTGGCGACTGCCTCGGCGGGTGCGCAGTTCAAAAATGACTTTAGCTACATGAAGAAGATCTTCAAATAGATTACGTTCCCCTCCCTTCCCTAGATTACATTCCTCGGCCAACCTTCCTTCCTCCCCCAACTTTAAGCTTACTGCTAGAAACTTGCAATTTGACCCAAGCTTTGTGTGTGCTTTGCTTTGTTTTTTCCCTTTCCTTCTAGAGTGCTGCACGAATCGCTTTTGGGGGCTCACGGGAATGCGAGTGGTTCTCCCGTCTCCGAGGATGATGATGACGGTGGATTCCGCTATGTAGACTCGGATTTGGCAATGGCCATGCGTCTATCGCAGCAGGAGCAGCATAAATACGAACTGGAACGGCAGCGAGAGCAGGAGATGATTGAGCAAGCGCTCAAGCTCAGCCTGCAGGAGCACTAGCCAGTCCATCCCATCGCATCGCGTCCCATTTAACCAATTAGTTAATCACATCTAATCAATCAATTAAGCTGTTGTCAGAAAAACAGAAGTCTGGCGTCAATCAAAGTGTGCAGCAAAATATTCCTCTTTTGTCAATACCAAAATTGAAATCATAATATATGTAATTCTAGTATGTAAAAATTACGGCTTTGTTGTACAATGATTTTTTTTAAAATTAGTTTTTACTGGTTTCGCTCTCCTAATGATAACATATATTCTTATTTCGATTGTGATATGTAACTAAAACTAAAACTATTTCCCCATCTTCCTAAAAATCCCTTTTTCTGAATAGGGAACGCTAAGGTCTCAACTCAGAACAACTCGTTAAAATGTATTTTACAAGTTGTATATACATATATCGTACCACTTATCTTCCTTACAAACTTAAATCTTAAGTCCAAAGCCAAATTCCTAGGGGAATAACAAGAAAAAACATTGTCAATCGCCGGTCACCAGGGAAACTTTCCTAACACATTCTGATTTCAGTTTATATACTTATCTTAAGCTATGTTTATCAATTTACTAATCAGCATTACCAATATTTTAAATGAGAATTTTTGTGAAATTTAAATACACTACAAAATTTGATAAACCAAAAAGCAAAAAATAGCTAAGCTATATTTATGCTGGTAAAAGGTCACTGTTTCAATAGCGCCTCATCTGTTTGGGATCTCCCTTATTTTTATACAAATCAAAATATACAACAATTATGCTAAAAATAAACAATTACATTTACGCATATTTCATTTAGAGGCTATATACAAAGTCACAGAAAATCTTACAAACACTTTGGGATAACTATGCATCGATCTTCGACAAGCCGAAGCTGGAACCAACTTGTATCTACATTTTATTGGTATATGGCAACTATGGTTTAACATTGTCGAAAAAAATTGTACTCAATTTTAGAAGCAATCCTTCCTCACTATCTGCATTGACAAACAGTTTCTGCAAAACAATATGTCTAAAGAACTTGTGGGATGGTTCGGATGGGGCTGAGCTGAGGCGACCAGGCGAGTCGCGGGTTGCGGTTAGCGAACGGCCTCCCCCGGGAGGTTAGCTGCGTAAATAAGCTGTCCCGGACAAACAGCGGGTACGATAAACTTCATTATACTGACAAGGCACCTGTGTTGGCGCCTTTTACAAGCATAGCCTCTAAGCCATAAAGATGCCCAACTTCTTTCAGATGAACTGCCCCTGCTAATGCAATCTTGCATTAAAAAAAGGCCACATGCTCATAAAATTTTTTTTTTAATGTGAATAAATTAGTCAGAAAAATAAGGAATATAATTATATATAAAAAAAAATAAAATAAATAATAAATATAAAAAACAAACAAGCAAACCGGCGGCAAAAACAGGTGGAATAATCCAACACCGCCACCAAGGAGGAGATTGCCGAGGACAACTGGGACAAATCAGGAACCAAGGAGTGGAATCCAGGGAACATTGAGACGATTCGAATCATCCCAACATACCAATGAGTTTGTTCCCGGCCGATTAATTGTGGAGAATTGGCACGAAGACACAGCTGATCGTCCCTAACACTTTAGGCATCAGTGGTGAGCAATGCCTGCAACAGTGATGCTCATTTTTCCCATCAGTGGTGCACACTTTAGCAGCCGATATAAAAAAAAATCATACATTTTTGTAAACTTTAAGCTAAGTAAATAATTAGTAATATATTACATATTTAACAGAATTTAGTGTTGGCCAATAAAATATTAGAAATTCACAATGAACAATTATTAACTAAGTATATTGTGAATAAAATGGGACATGATTTGTGAATTAAATAGTCTAGTATGAAACGAATGAAGATGAAGTGTTTAATTAATGTGATCGGGTGAGATGAGCGTATAACAAACGAACGAGAATGGAATAATAGTAAATGGGAATTTCTCCGGTGAATATTGACGAGGAAGGGAGGGACACACAGACTGTACAACATCCACACAGCCAACACTGTAGCGAGCGGACTAGGCTGATAGAGATTTTTATTTATTTATGAAAGAAATGCAAATTATTGTTAACTTACCGCCCAATATATCGCGGTCGATCCCCACCTGAACCGATAGCTATCCGGCAGAGCGATATATTGGTGCTTCCGATAGAGAAAGTGTAACAGCTTCGTTAATTACATTTACGATATATCGATATATCGCATATAAATCTGCTAACCTTCACAAAACTGTTAACAAATAGTAAACTGTACATTTTCGTTAATTCTCCCCAAGAGTTATAGATTCTCAGCAAAAAGAATTATTTATATATGTGAATAATACATTAATCTATGTATAAATATTTATGTGCCGCCCCATATAGAAAGTAATTTGAAAATGCATGGGGCTGGAAAACACCGGCCACCATCTGCGACGTGCAGCAGCCAAGAAGACTTGTGTACATATGCAAAAACTAGTGAATACCCCGAATGCTGCATGCTTAAGCAAACAATTTGAATAAAATTGCACGCTGCTGGCAGTAATATCCTCAACATGTCCCTGGCCTTTGACGTGGACAACTCTAGTGGGAACGCAGCATATCACAATTTAGCTGCCAACAGCGTTAACGATACAAATAAAGTGACAGCAACAACCTCACTCTCCTCGTCGCTTCCACAAAGATATCGATTGTGGATGCGACATTGTCGCCTCTACAAGTTAACACTTCTAATTCTGCTACTTTTGGTGCTGCTCCCACTGCTGGCGCATCGCAAGCTGCTCAATGTAAGTTGTGAAATTAAGCTGATACAAATTTATATGCATTCGTTTGATGGGGTGGCAGGTGGAGCACGATGCACCCCAGACAGATGTGCATCGCAGTCGACCACTACTCGATGCCTACGAGGATTTCAGTGCGATGCGGGCCGGCGATCTAAAAATGCGCATCGAGGAAATGCTCCGCATCAAGGCAAGTGTAAATTACATTAGCAAACAAATATTAATTTTTTAATGTATTTTTAGAGCACCGTTTCTGTGGAGCTGCGCGAATTAGAATCGCGTCGCCAGAAGCTGCAGTCTGACATTAGCTTGTACAATCAAAAGATCGAGGAACTGAAGCAGGAGCTATTGCGCGAACAGACCGAACTGGAGCGTCTCAAGATCTCCGTGGAGCAGGCGCAGGTGGCGCAACGCGAAGCCGTCCAGCGAAACACTCCTGATTTGGCTTTGCCACGCACCTTGTTGCCCAGCTATTTGCCACGCAAAATGAATGCGATCAGTGCTGGCGTGGCCGCTTCGTGTGAGATTCATAATTGTTTTGATCACTCACGGTGCAGTCTTACGTCCGGTCTTCCGGTCTATCTCTACGATCCGGATGTTTACAATGTGCAGCATGCTGGCTACGATATCGATGGCTTCCTAAAGACGACCATTAAACAAACACTGGGTTATAATGCGCACATTGTGCGTGATCCGAAGCAGGCCTGCATTTATCTCGTTCTGGTGGGTGAGGCACTGCTGGAGCAGGATCTGCTGCGCAACAATCGCTATGCGGCACAGGAACAGGCCGCTGAACAACAACAGCAGGAGCGTTCACCGTCCAGCGATGATGCTGGGAATCTATCGCCATCTATCGATATGGAGAAGCTGTATAAGTTGCCACATTGGGGCGGCGATGGACGCAATCATGTTTTGCTTAATTTAGCACGTCGCGATCTCAATTCGGCACGCACCAATCCGCTGCTGGAACAGAACACGATGCGTGCCATAATCGTGCAGAGCTCCTTTGATCGTGGCCAGTTCCGGCCTGGCTATGATCTAATTGTGCCGCCCATTCTGGGCCCGCCCGGTGGCGATGTGTGGCAGGAGTGCGCAAGCATGGTGCCAGCTCGACGCAAGTTCTTGCTCACATTTCAGGGTGAACTACGGCCTACTTCGGCAGCTCAACCCGCCCAGCCGCTGGATGACTTCATACTTGATCACCTGCGAGATATGTCGCGTAGTGCCACGCAGGATCAGTTTATGTTGCAATTCCAGTGTGTTCCCGCAACGGAGCAACAAGACGCAGACACCTTGGGCGACTGGACACTTTGCGGCTCGGACTCCTCGCGCAAACAGCTGCTCAAGGATTCCACATATGTGCTAATCCTGCCACCGTTGGGTCAACGAGTCAGCTCCACACTAATGTTGGCCCGTCTCTATGAAGCGTTGCGCTCCGGCGCCGTGCCCGTCATTTTGGGTGCGGATGAGCTGCGTCTGCCATATGCGGAGACCATCGACTGGCGGCGTGTTGCCCTCCTGCTGCCCAAGGCACGCATAACCGAGCTGCATTTCCTGTTGCGTGCCGTTCAAGATGCGGATTTGTTGCTCTTGCGTCGTCAGGGTCGCCTCATTTGGGAACGCTATCTGAGTTCAGTGCAGGCCACGGTGGACACTGTGATAGCCAGTTTGCGGGATAGACTGGGCATACCGCCACGGCCGGTGCCATCGTTTGTCGCCCAGAGTGTCTTCAATAGCACCTTCATACCGTTGAAATCGGAGCCGCCGGTGGGCATGGACACCGAACCTGAAGAATCGCTTGGCCCCATTGAGCCACCCTATGCAAGTCCAGCATTCCGACGCAACTACACCGTCCTACGCATACATTCGCGCGAAGCCTGGAACGATTGGATGGATCCATTCTACCTGTATCCACAACTACCCTCGGATCCAGCTCTGCCGTCCGAGGCAAAGTTCATGGGTTCACATACCGGTTTCCGACCGATTGGCAAAGGTATCGGTGGCGCTGGCAAGGAGTTCAGTGAGGCACTGGGTGGCAATTATCCGCGCGAGCAGTTCACCATTGTCATCCTGACATATGAACGAGAACAGGTGCTCATGGACTCATTGGGTCGCCTATACGGCCTGCCCTACCTCCACAAAGTGGTCGTCGTATGGAACTCGCCCAAGCCACCCTTGGATGATCTACGCTGGCCGGACATTGGTGTTCCAGTCGCCGTGGTTCGGGCGCCACGTAATTCGCTGAATAATCGCTTTCTGCCCTTCGATGTGATCGAAACGGAAGCAGTTCTATCTGTGGACGACGATGCTCATTTGCGGCACGACGAGATCTTGTTCGGGTTTCGCGTGTGGCGAGAACATCGCGACCGGGTCGTCGGTTTCCCGGGTCGCTATCACGCCTGGGACCTGAGCAGCAACAGCATGTGGCACTACAATTCGAACTACAGCTGCGAGCTGAGCATGGTGCTAACCGGTGCCGCCTTCATCCATAAGTATTACATGTATCTGTACACCAGTCAGCTGCCACAGGCCATTCGCGACAAGGTCGACGAGTATATGAACTGTGAGGACATTGCCATGAATTTTCTTGTCTCACATTTGACGCGTCGGCCGCCTGTCAAGGTCACTTCGCGTTGGACGTTCCGTTGTCCCACGTGCCCCGTGTCACTCAGCGAGGATGACACACACTTTCAGGAGCGGCACAAGTGCATCAATTTCTTTAGTCAAGTCTTTGGCTATACGCCGCTGTTAAACACTCAATTCCGGGCCGATTCGATTCTGTTCAAGACGCGAATTCCACATGACAAGCAAAAATGCTTCAAGTACATTTAGTTTCTCAGATTTAGACTCAGACTCCGACTCCACATATCATTCACTAGCGAGCGAGCGTACTTATGCTGACTCTTATATACCCACTCTTATATGGTGATCTTTATATATTATTCTGACTGTTATCTGTAAAGCAGAAACTTAATAAATCAATAATTTATGTTATATGTAAATAGGATATGTCATCAAACAATAGTTGCCATATATAAATAAATTCTAGGTTCCAGCTTCGACTTGTCGAAGATGGATGCATAGCTAACCCAAAGTGTTTGTAAGACTTTTAATATGTGCTAAGCTCTGTGACTTTGTATATAATGAAAATAAATGAAATATACATCAATGTAATTGTTTATTTTTAGCATAATTGTTATATATTTTAATTTGTAGAGATGTATGTATGTAGTTAGTAATGGAGTTTGCCTACAAAATTAGGCGGAACTGTAATTACATTTGTCATGAAAAAAAAATTGTATTTGAACAAAACATTGGCGATCTTAAGTGACACATTTGTGCAAATCAGAGTGCAATCTTATGGTTACTTTACGTATGTACAATGTTTAAAATGAATATTAATTATTAATATCTTTTCAGTATTCACTAATTGTATTTTAACATTTAGCAAGAAAACAACATAATTGCAAAGCCGGAAAATGGCCAAATTGGCAGCACTATGAACGTGAATCAGTTCATTTGTTCAATTCCATGAACCGTTTAAACGAACTCGGAACTGAAGGGAACTACAAATTCCAATCGATGCAATTGTATTTATTTAGTAAACATAATTTAATAATAAACTTGATTTAACTTGACCATGTCCGAAGACAACAGTCAAGGTAGGGAGTACACATTGGAGGCCGACTCTGAGTTACGTTTCGAGATCGAGCAAAAGAATGCCAAGGTGCTGGTGACGGTATGTAAAAAATTATTTATATATAATTTTTATTTATTCAGATTTAAATTAAAATCTATCATAATGTTTTTGGCATAGCTTTTGACTGGCTTTGCAGAGCTATTTGGCACCGAATTGGTAAAGAAAAAGAAATATGAGTTTGGTGTTGGAGCCAAAGTGGCCATATTCACCTACCAAGGCTGTGTAATCCACGTCTCTGGCCAAATGGACGTATGCTACATTTCCAAGGAGACACCAATGGTCCAATACATTAATTGTCATGCTGCCCTGGAACAGTTCCGCCTCGAGGCCGAGCAAAGGGACAAACGCGGTCCGAGCGTCCTCATTGTGGGCCCAATGGACGTGGGCAAGAGCACGCTATGCCGCATCCTGCTCAACTATGCAGTCCGTGTGGGCCGACGACCCCTTTATGCTGATCTTGATGTGGGTCAAGGTGCCATTTCCGTAGCGGGCAACGTGGCCACCATTCTCATTGAACGGCCGGCGAGCATTGAGGACGGATTTGCCAAGACGGCGCCGCTCGTTTATCATTTTGGCCACAAGTCTCCCAGTGGGAATAGTGTTCTCTACAATGCGGTAGTCTCCAAAATGGCTGAAGTTACGCTCCAGTCCCTGGATGCCAATAAGCGCAGTAAGTGCATCAAATACAAAAATAATAGTAACCAACTGAAAATTACTCTGCTACCAAATGGATGGTGGATAAGAAAATATTATAGTCGGTTCTAGTAATCTATCTCCGAACTTTGGTAACATTACCACTTAAATTACCGCAGATTTAGGTCTTTATCGATTTTGGGGGCGCCAGTGAGCGTGGTCCAAAGATTTGTTTATTTTCCCCTTTTAAGGTTATTACTAACAAACGGTGTAAGTGTCCAATGCCGATCTTTGAAGGACGTTGCCAACGAATTACCAACAGAATTTGTTGACCGTAGTCTTTAAATTAAGGCAGCTATGCTGATTATCGATTTGCAATTGTCGATAGCATTCAAAGTTTCAAGGCTCTAGCTTTAAGGGTGTAGAAAAAAGTTGCGCTCAGCAGACTGACAAACAAGATAATGTACTTTAACCTTCGATAGAAGAGTACAAAATAAAAATAAAAAACCATGTTTAATTTCACAGCGAAAAGTTCGGGCATCATTGTGAACACCTGTGGCTGGGTGAAGGGATCGGGCTATGAGCATTTATTGCACGCGGCACGAGCGTATCGTGCTCGTGCCATTTTCGTGCTGGATCAGGAACGCTTGTACAACGATCTATTGCGCGATGTGCCCGCCAACGTGCATGTCGTGCTGCTGCCCAAAAGTGGTGGCGTCGTCGAACGCAGCAAGGGATTGCGCCACGAGTCGCGGGAGCAACGCATCAAGGAATACTTCTATGGCAATGCCCGTACACCCTTCTATCCCTTCTCGTTTGAGGTAAAGTTTCAGGATCTGCGTCTCTACAAAATTGGTGCTCCACCGCTGCCTGATTCTTGCATGCCCATTGGCATGAAGGCAGAGGATAATAAAAAGAAGGTTGTCGCTGTTACGGCAACACCGGCACTATTACATCACATTCTCACGCTGAGCTTTGCAGAGTCGACGGACGATGATGTTATTGGCACCAACATTGCTGGATTCTGTTGTGTGTGAGTTGCCAGCCGATTGAATATTTTTGTGTCGATCAAATGAGTGATAGATTCACATTTACATTTTGTTTACATATAGTACCGAGGTGGACATGGAGCGACAGTCTGTCATGCTGCTTTCCCCACAGCCCCGACCGTTGCCGCCAAATGCGCTACTCTTGTGGTCGGAATTACAGTTTATGGACAATCATGCTTAACATTGGCATGCTACACAATATTAGTTTTAAATCGAAATAATAAATAAATAACAAATACATATATCTAATTTGTAAACAGTATGAATTTTTTCATTTATAGACATGGCAGACAGTTTTGGGACTAATTCTTTCATTAACTTTTATTTAATGTTAAATCAAAATAATGCGCAACAGCATATAACAGAAATGTAAACAACAGTTTGCTGTTAAGGCTGCTGAACTGCTGAATTGGCCATTCGTCTGCTTACGTTTAGTATCGAGTAGTATCGAGCGTGGAGTGGAAGCATCACAGGGTTTAACGAATTAACAAAAAATTCAACAATTAAACAACATCAACAAAATGGCTACCAGTGCGAGTGAACATTCTTAAGACCAATATTTTTGGTTTCGTGTTTGATTAATTATAATTGATTTCGTAGCACTTAGCGTTTGAAATATATATATGCTGCCTGCCAGGCTGTGCTCGTCGCTTGTTGCAGTGTAAAAAAAAACAAGTTTCTGCCAAGTGTAATTTGTACTCAACGCAGCTAAATTTTGATGGCCTGCAATAAACACGCGTAGAACGAAACGAATATATTTTGTTAAATATATTTATTGTATTTATATGCAACTATTTTGTGCGGAAATGCAGTGTACGGCGGCCGAGTGCGACAGTTGCCGGCTTGTTGCGCCAAATATACCCAAATATCTCAGTTAGCCGAAGGCAAAGAACACGCCCCTCTCGCACACACCTCTGACACCCGCTCACCCACAACAACTAACTGTGGCACACATCAGTTTATTGACAAAAAAAAAAACAACTGCGTTTTTAATTTAAAATGTGTATTTAATATTTGTGTTTGCGAAAATTAGAAGCGGTCAGAGAAGGTTTATTTGCCTTTAGGATTTTTTAAGTCAAATGCAATTCCAGTTTTCGGGCCGGGGCGTGTAAAATGACTCGTCGTGGGCCATACACAAGCCATCGTACTAATATTAAGCATAAACAATTGTGCCAAAGAACACAAAGAAGAACAAAATATGCCATTAACTGTTGCAGTAAAAATCGACCCAACAATTATTTGATAAGCCTCTTACTTATCATTGGCTGTTGCATCCCAAATAGTTTCCAGTATAAAAATGGTAAGTGCTATTTTTCTATACATACTAATCACTGCACTTAGATGAAGTTGTTGTTGTGCTTAATTTAAGTTGAGTTGCTGCTGCTGCTGCGAGCACATGTTTCGTAACACTCAGAAATACGAAAGATATTATATGATATTTTTCTTTAATTTCATCAATTTTTTTTTTTGTTTTTCGTTTACTGTTTTTATGTATATTTGATTGACATTAGTTGACATTAAATAAATAATATGTTTAGGTTTTGTTATTGTTATTGTTATTATCTAGCTAAAATTCAAGTCAAAAATTCAGTGTTAACTGTAATTGTAAGGAAACTAAATATAACAATTATAATAATTGGATCACTGTATGTGTTGAGGTCCACCTTTTACATCCGTTAGTGTTGGTGTTGATCAACCAACGATTTCAGCATGAAACAAAAAAAAAACGAGCGGTTTGCTTTATCCATGTATGCATTGCTAACAATTTACATATAAGTATACATACTTACATATATGTATGGGTACATCTGCAACGTGCTCCGCTCAGTTTTGTTTATACCCTGAACGCATTGAAATTGGTTAAAAAGGGTATAATGGTTTCGTTCCAAATTATGTAACAGGCAAAAGGAAGCAACTGCGACCGCATAAGGTATATGTATTCTTGATGAGCAACAATTCTCGAATACGCCACGTCGATCAAGTATTCTTAATTTGAGCGATAACTGCTTTCGGTTCTCGAATATCGATACACGCCGATTTCCGATAGCAATAAAAGCCACAATTTTAAAAGCAGTAGTAGGATAAGAAACACCCAAGTCATAGTCGAAAACATATTTTTTCTGCATGTATAAATATTTCCCGTTAATTACGATTGGCAAATAAACTAGAGTAATATATTCAACAGCTGTATGCAGGGTATATCGAAGTCGAGCTCGCTTTCGACTATATCATTCTTACTTGTTTTTTTTTGCCCTTGCTGTTGTTCATGGTAATTTGTTGTTGTTATCTTTACGCGATGTCTTTGGCAGCCTTACTGCGGCGACGAAGACGTCGTCGACTTCGAGGTATAAACCAGCAACTCGTTAAGAATCGACGAAGATCCTTTCAAAACGAGCATACTGCGTCTTCGGTCACTTTTGGTTTGGAGTTGAAGTTGGAGTTGGTGAACATAATCTTATATATACTGTTCGCTCTTCTCTCTAAATTGTTCTGCTGTCTTATTTTCGATGTTTAAAATTGTGCGCATTTATTATATAAATTATATATATTGTATATCAAAATTTATTTTATTTGCAGCCTAGCCTCAATTTTGATCTTTAACTGTAAGTTTATGGATTTGATATGTACTATTTGAAAATCCTGTTTTGCATACTAATTTATCGAGAATTTCATTTTTTATACAGTTGAGAAACATTTGTAAGTCATTTGTATACTAATATGAAATGTTTGAAACCACATTATAGTAATGAGCTGCAATATAAAAGAACATAAAAAGATATATGTTGGTGTCTTTTATTCAGAACATGCTTATGTGTTCATTGCTGTTTTCTTATTTCAATCGATTCCTTGTTTTACCGTATTGCTGTTAGTTGCTGCTGGACTACCTGATTCAAATGGTGAAAAGAAAGAAAACAGTAAAATAATTGTGTGCTTTTTTAAAGGAGTGCTTGTGTGAAACGAACAAAATAGCTCTGATAATTTCACCAATAAAACATCAAACTTAGTTGAGACAAAATGGAAAATTGTTGGAATATTGAGCAACACAAAATGCTGTTCCTCTCACTTTGTATAGTGATAGTTGCAAAGGCTAATGGGTCAATATACCCTAGTGAATGTGTGTGTTGGGGTTTTTCAGATCTGATTTTCGTAAAGCCAGCAGTCAAGCAACAATCTTGATGGGCAACAGTTGACGCTGAGTTGAGCACGACTCCCAATCTTTACTTTTATCCATGAGAACAACGGTGTAAAATGAAGCAGGCAAGCAGATCGAATAGATGGAGCAGTTTGCAGTGAATACTAACTATCAGCCAACAAATAAGTAACAGCAGCAGCAGAAGAAGTAAGAATGTTGTAATCGAGAGTGAGCGCTGCACTACGATATACTCTGCATCCAGTTGTTGAATATATTATTTTCCCACTCAAATGTATGCATGCTTCGAAGTATTCTCATTTCTTGTGGCTGGCACTGGGACAGAAGAAAAAATAATTTGTATTCACAACTAATGAGATTAATATGACTTGGATATTTTTTATCCAACCTTGTATAAATTTGGGCTGTTGATCGAGAGTTTGTCAATATATATTACATATTAATAAGAAGCTACTGCTTTTAAAATTGTGGCTTTATTGCTATCGGAAATCGATGTGTATCGATATTCGATAACGCGGGCAATTATCGATAACATTAATCAGACTTGATCTGCGCGACATATACGATAACTTATATTCAATATTTGAAGTTTCTAGTTCTTATAGTCTCAGAAAATCGCCACATTTACTGGGCTGTTCTTGCCGATCAAGAATATATATACTTTATGGTCTCGGAATTACTTCCTTTTGCCTGTTACATACTCAAGCACAAAACCATTATACCTCGCTTTGCTGGGTTGAGTGTATAAAAATTAACACAATATATATTGCATGCGAATGGCAAGCAAAGCTGAACTGCCTTGAATGGGTGCTCCTACTGCTGGTGCTGCTGCTGTTTCCTCAGACCAACCCACATCGTTATTATAATATGAATTGTGGGGCTTAGGTTTGGTCTGGCCATGGTTACATCAAGTCGTGCAGCTCGTGCATTTTCTGTTGTTGTTGTTGTTGGTTGGCTGGTTGGTTGACTGGTTGCTTGGTTAGTGAGTGTGTGGGCGGTGTGCAGATATTCTATTATGAGCTCAGCGCACTCATGAGAAACACTATACATAGTCATGTAACTGCTGGCTAACTGCTGAGTTGTCGAAGTGAAGTGGTGCAGCATTTGGTTTTGGTTTTGCTGCATTATCTCCAAACCTATACTGGGCATTGCTCTGAGCTCAATTCTGCTTTTCTTTTTGCATGTCTTACATTTATTTTCTGTCGGCTTGTTCTCACATATGTGAAAGACATCATTATAAGTCAAAACGAATATTTTGTGATGACATATCTGACTTAAATATTTACATGTGTACAGGGTATTTTATAGTCGAGCATTCTTTTGATTTATGTTTGGTAGCATGATGAAGTTTTCCCATTTGTTCCTCGAAGCGTGAACGAAAAGCTGAGTTTTGGCAAGTCTTTGTAAGCGTGCAAATTGCATGCTGTGCTGCGAGTTAATGGCGCTCGGACGAGAAAACAGGAGAATATATGTATATATATATATGCTATATATATGCTCCTGATGCTAACGATATAAATGAAAATCAACTAGTTACATAACTATTTTATTTCAATCCTTTATATTACTAGGTGAAAATATTATTTATGTCGACTTTCAAAGTCTGAAATATGCTCAATGTATAAAGAAATCAATAAGTAGGTGCAATAATCTATCAAGCTCCTCGTACAAAGAGCCTTCTTTGCTTGGAAATCTTCTAATAATTGTAATTCATGAACATAAATACATACATTTAAAACTGCATTCATAAGGCATATGCAATTTATATTTACATACATTTCAGAAAACTTGCTTGAAACTTGTCCAATCTCTTTTTAGAAAAAAAATTCGACTCCCAGGCACACAACCTTCGTTGGCAGTCAGACCCACTTCTGCTGAGTGGCTATTTTGTTTACCAAGCCCATAGCTTCAACTTCCGTTTGCAACTGGCTCAACGCCGGAGATAAACATCCGTCCGGGCTTGGATGCAAAAACAACCAGCAGTTACGAATGCTCACTTCAAGTTCCTTCAGTTATCAAGTCAAGTCAAAAAAACTCAACTAGGAGATACCCTGAACAACCCCAAACGTACCATAATTTTATTACTAATATCCGCCGTATTCATTCTTATATCAGCAATTTCTTGACTTATTTTGTTATTAAATATTAGTATGTTATTGTTTAATAATAATACAAATGCAAGATTTACTATGTTTACTATACAATTTCTAAAAGCTTGCTGTATTTCTTGACTTATTTTATTATTAAATATTAGTATGTTATTGTTTAATAATAATACAAATGTAAGATTTACTATGTTTACTATACACTTGCTGTAGATACGAGAGGTGTTTTACTTATGTAAAAGCACTTATTATAGATACAATTTGTTTTTGTGATAACCCAACTGTACGGATTGATTTCCTTTGCAGTTCACGGATCAGCGTCCTCATCCCCGATGGTGTCCACATCGACGATTGCACAACAACAGTTCATAAACACGCCAGCGACGCTATTGTTCACCACACGGCATGACATTCAGGTGGCCAACATCACGAAGCCAACGGGTGGCCCACAGATCGATGTGCTTGTCAAGGATCTGGCCGAGGCGATGGCCATTGACTTTTACCATTCCAAGAATCTGGTATGCTGGACAGACTGCGGCCGTGAAATCATCGAATGTGCTCAGATGAATTCATCCCTGCCGCTGGCTAAGGCACCCAAGCAAACAATCATATCAACGGGTCTCGATAAGCCGGAAGGACTGGCTATCGATTGGTATACGGACAAGATATACTGGACGGATGGCGAAAAGAATCGCATTGAAGTGGCTACAATGAACGGCCGCTATCAGAAGGTGCTCTTCTGGACGGAATTGGATCAACCGCGTGCCATTGCTGTGGTGCCCGCCAAGCGTCTGCTCATCTGGACGGACTGGGGCGAGTATCCGAAGATTGAGCGCGCCGCCATGGATGGGGATCCCCTAACACGAATGACCCTTGTCAAGGATAATGTGTTCTGGCCAAATGGATTAGCGGTTGACCTGCAAAATGAACTCATCTACTGGACAGACGGAAAGTATCGATTCATTGATGTGATGAAACTTGATGGTAGCAATCGACGCACCATAGTTAACAATTTGAAGTATCCATTTAGCTTAACCTACTTTGATAATCGCCTCTACTGGACAGACTGGTCGCGTGGCTCTCTCAATGCTCTCGATTTGCAGACCAAAGAGCTAAAGGAGTTAATTGATACGCCGAAGGCGCCAAATTCAGTGCGCGCCTGGTCCGCTTCGCTGCAGCCATATGAAAATAATTCATGTGCCCAGAATAATGGTAACTGTTCGCACCTTTGCCTACTGGCGACAAATGCGCAAGGATTTAGCTGTGCCTGTCCTACGGGCGTTAAACTCCTGACTGCCAATAGTTGTGCGAATGGTTCACAGGAAATGCTCTTTATCGTCCAAAGGACGCAGATTAGTAAAATTTCCCTGGATTCGCCGGATTACACGATCTTTCCATTGCCGCTGGGCAAAGTGAAATATGCGATCGCAATTGATTATGATCCGGTAGATGAGCATATCTACTGGTCCGATGTGGAAGCGTATACAATTCGACGTTCACATATCGATGGCAGCAGTATTACGGATTTTGTCACCTCAGAGGTGCGGCATCCGGATGGATTGGCCTTGGATTGGCTGGCACGTAATCTCTATTGGACGGACACGGTAACCGATCGGATTGAGGTCTGCCGTTTGGATGGTACAGCGCGGAAAGTACTCATCTACGAACATCTGGAGGAGCCACGTGCCATTGCTGTGGCTCCCTCGCTCGGCTGGATGTTCTGGAGTGATTGGAATGAGCGCAAGCCAAAAGTGGAGCGTGCCTCCCTCGATGGCTCCGAGCGTGTTGTACTTGTCTCCGAGAATCTGGGTTGGCCCAATGGCATTGCCCTGGACATTGAGCAGAAGACGATCTATTGGTGCGATGGCAAAACGGACAAAATCGAGGTGGCCAACATGGATGGCTCCGATCGGCGTGTGGTGATCAGTGAAAATCTCAAGCATCTGTTTGGCCTGAGCATTCTGGATGACTATCTTTACTGGACAGATTGGCAACGGCGCTCCATTGATCGGGCGCACAAAATAACAGGGAATAATCGAATTGTTGTCGTCGATCAGTATCCGGATTTGATGGGGCTGAAGGTAACTAGACTCCGTGAGGTGCGTGGCCAGAATGCGTGCGCTGTCCGCAATGGTGGCTGCTCTCACCTGTGCCTGAATCGTCCGCGTGATTACGTCTGCCGTTGTGCCATCGATTACGAGCTGTCGAATGACAAACGCACCTGTGTGGTGCCAGCGGCATTTTTACTGTTCTCACGGCATGAGCACATTGGACGCATCTCGATTGAATACAATGAGGGTAATCACAATGATGAACGCATACCCTTCAAAGACGTACGCGATGCGCATGCCTTGGACGTCTCTGTGGAGGAGCGTCGCATCTATTGGACGGATCAGAAAAGCAAATGCATTTACCGTGCCTTTCTGAATGGCTCCTATGTGCAGCGCATTGTTGACTCTGGTCTGATTGGACCCGATGGCATTGCCGTCGATTGGCTGGGGCACAACATCTACTGGTCGGATGCGGAAGCACGTCGCATTGAGGTCGCCCGTCTCGATGGTAGCAGTCGTCGGGTGCTACTATGGAAAGGTGTGGAGGAGCCGCGTTCCCTTGTCCTGGAACCAGGACGTGGTTACATGTACTGGACGGAATCACCGTCCGATTTGATACGACGCGCCACCATGGATGGCAATGACCTCCAAACAATTATTGCGGGTGCAAATCATGCGGCCGGTTTGACCTTTGACCAGGACACAAGGCGTTTGTATTGGGCGACACAATCGCGTCCAGCGAAAATTGAATGTGCCGACTGGGATGGCAAACGGCGACAGATTCTCGTCAACAGCGATATCGATGAACCCTATGCTGTCTCGCTGTATCAAGACTATATCTATTGGAGTGACTGGAACACCGGTGACATTGAGCGTGTCCACAAAGTCACTGGGCAAAATCGTAGCCTTGTCCACTCTGGCATGACGTATATTACTTCGCTGCTCGTCTTCAACGACAAGCGACAGACAGGCGTTAATCCCTGCAAGGTGAACAACGGCGGCTGCTCGCACTTGTGTCTCGCCCAGCCCCTGAGACGAGGCATGATCTGTGCATGCCCCACCCACTATCAGCTGGCCAAGGATGGCGTCTCCTGCATACCGCCGCGCAACTACATCATCTTCAGTCAGCGCAACAGTTTCGGCCGCTTGCTCCCCAATTCCACAGACTGTCCCAATGTGCCATTGCCAGTGTCAGGCAAGAATATTCGAGCTGTGGACTATGATCCGATTACGCATCACATTTACTGGGTAAGAAGACAAGTATTGCCATATAAATGTAATCTAACACAGCAGTATTAATCTCCGACACAAGTTTAATAGTAATATTATAAATTAAATAGCGCAGATAAATCGATGATTTTCACAATGATAAAAATTGGTTATTTTCCCGATTTACGTACTCAGATCGAAGGACGCAGTCATAGCATTAAACGGTCTCTGGCCAACGGCACCAAGACCAGTGTGCTGGTGAACACAGGCCAACCATTCGACATTGCCATTGACATTATTGGCCGCTTACTCTTCTGGACGTGCTCCTACTCGAACAGCATCAACGTAACCAGGTACGCTGCAAAAGAAAAAGAAGAAAACAATCTAAAAATGGGTACTCTACATTATATATATAGTTTTCTGGGCGAATCAATTGGTGTAATTGACACAGGAGACTCTGAAAAGCCGCGCAATATAGCTGTGCATGCGAGCAAGCGTTTGATCTTCTGGTCAGATGTGGGCAGCCATCAGGCCATTATTAGGGCGCGCGTCGATGGCAATGAGCGCATGGAACTGGCCTATAAGTTGGAGGGTGTTACAACGCTTGCTCTGGATCAGCAGTCTGATATGATATACTATGCACACGGCAAGCGGATAGATGCAATGGACATTAATGGCAAAAACATGTAAGTAAATCATTGACAAATATGACCCGTAGCATTGCTTTGCTTACAATTAATTTCCACTTCTCATTTGCAATCAGAAAAACGCTGGTGTCCATGCATATTTCGCAGGTGATAAACATTGCGGCGTTGGGTGGTTTTGTCTACTGGCTGGATGACAAAACCGGAGTGGAACGCATCACGGTGACAGGAGAGCGTCGTTCGGCCGAGCTTCAGCGACTGCTGCAGATCACGGACATACGCGCTGTGTGGACACCGGATGCGAAACTGCTGCGTAGTCACACTTGTTTGCATAGTCGCACGAAATGCTCACACATTTGCATAGCAAATGGTGATGATGTTGGGCACTCACGTGAGATTTGCTCTTGTCCCAAGCATCTGATGTTGCTTGAGGATAGGGAAAATTGTGGTGCGCTGCCTGCTTGCGGGCCGGATCACTTTACGTGTGCGGCGCCCGTGGCTGGTAATAGTGATATGAACAAGGATTGTATACCGGCGTCGTGGCGCTGTGACGGCCAAAAAGACTGCCCAGACAAATCCGATGAGGTTGGTTGTCCCTCCTGCCGTGCAGATCAGTTCAGTTGCCAATCTGGTGAATGTATTGACAAAGCTTTGGTTTGCGACGGCACAACAAATTGTGCCAATGGCCACGACGAAGCAGACTGCTGCAAGAGGCCGGGTGAATTTCAGTGTCCCATCAATAAGGTGGGTATATATGTGTATGTCGAAACTTGTATATAAATATTAACATTAATTTCGAATAATCCAACAGCTTTGCATTTCGACTGCGCTTCTTTGCGATGGTTGGGAGAACTGCGCAGATGGTGCCGACGAGTCTGCGGATATTTGTGTGCAGCGTCGTATGGCGCCAGCGTCAGATAAACGCATCTTTATGATATTGATTGGTGCTACGATGATAATCATATTCTCGATTGTGTATCTGCTGCAATTCTGTCGCACCCGCATTGGCAAGAGCCGCACAGAGCCAAAGGATGACCAGGCATCCGATCCCCTGTCACCGTCGACACTCACCAAATCGCAACGAGTCTCGAAAATTGCCTCCGTAGCGGATGCGGTGCGCATGTCGACTCTCAATTCGCGGAACAGTATGAACTCGTATGATCGCAATCATATAACCGGTGCATCCAGCTCAACAACCAATGGTAGCAGCATGGTGGCATATCCGATTAATCCGCCGCCATCGCCGGCAACGCGTTCGCGTCGTCCCTACAGACACTACAAGATCATTAATCAACCGCCCCCGCCCACACCATGCTCCACCGATATCTGTGACGAATCGGACTCGAACTATACTAGCAAATCGAATAGCAACAATAGTAATAATGGTGGCACCACCAGCAAGTTGCCATCCAGCTCGGCTGCTGTCTGTTTGCAATTTGGCTATGATAGCGAACCGTATCCGCCGCCACCAACACCTCGCTCCCATTATCACAGCGATGTTCGTATTGTGCCGGAGTCCTCATGTCCGCCATCACCATCGTCACGAAGCTCAACGTACTTTTCACCGCTACCACCGCCACCTTCACCGGTGCAGTCGCCAAGCCGAGGATTTACGTAACATTTCGAGTTTTATATGTAAAAAAAAGGAACACAATTCTGCACATTCAACATTAACGAATGTCATCATAATTCTTAGTTATATCTTAATATATTCCTAATCATTTATTAACTGTTTATATTTATGTGTATATTTTAAAGTAAGACGATTTTAAAGGACCGGATCGTGTAAATATCTTTGCAAATAATCTTAAACACTAATATGTACGTATTTCGATCTCGTTAAGTTTCATTTGTCCGGCGAAATTTTTATATTATTGTAACATATAAAATAAAGTTCGTCACCTATAGACTGCAATCCTTTAGGGTAACTAGCTATTATAAACTAGATTTAAAACGAATACTACAAAATAGAACAACCTATTTTTTTTAAGAAAACTTATTCCGCGTGCCAAAATTTGTATAATCCACAAAATATGATTATTTATTCCTAGTAAAAAAATAATTTAGATATGCGCATATATATTTTACCCAAATAAAATTTTGTTTGTTATACTTATTTTGATCTATATTTGTAAATAGCCAATTATTATTATAAAGCAATATTGACAAGATATGCATTCTATTTAATTATCTTCTTCATTGTTATAAACGCCAAAAAGTGCCTCAGTAATGTGTGTTTATTGTTTAATTCCTATACATGATTTATAATAAGCAAGAGAAATGAATAAATATTTATTTAAATAAATCTTGTAATTGTGACAGTATTTTATTTAGTTATGGTTCAATTTAGTGAAAGTAATTATTTAATTATAAAAAATAAATAACAGATCCAAGTAATTATAATCTATAAAATATAAAAAGTGATAACTAATTATGTAAATTCATACTTCCAAATCTTATCGTGAACTACAAAAGTATGAATGATCGATTCAAATGTCTGCTGAAAGTATTCTAATTTTGGTACGAAATGCATCAAGTTGTCGTCTCTTCCGATAAATTAGTTAATTCCTGATCAGCATAAGCTGCCAAGTCTACAGGCATCATTATTGAATAAAATTGTGCTGTAGATGATTTATTTTTCCGTTGTTTCCTATATATTCTTCGAAGAGTCCGTTGGATGCCTGCCAATAATTAGTGTTGGTGTATTTTGTGTCCTTTTTTTTATATATTCAGATACTATAATTTTAAGCAAAGGACGACTGAAACTACTTTTAAATTTATTGGCAATGCCGCCACAAAAATTTCTTATGTCTACTACTGGGTGGTGGGTTTAATTAGATAACATATTTACGAAATTTCGCAGCGCTGGTCTTTATTTATCAAAGTTATTATCTGCATACTTATATCTAAAGTATAATAATATTATATAGTAATAATTTAAAGTGCATTTACAAAATTATATTTAAATGTTGTCGTAGTCTTCATCTAATTCAAAAAGCGATTCAGTTATTGGCGCGGATGTCAAATTGGCCTTTGGAATGATTGGAGCTTTATTCTTTCCAGCGCTGTAGTCGACAGATGTATCAATTTTTGCAATTGAATTATTATTTCCACTGAAGCACTTGGTCTTATCCATCGAAAATATGCCGTAGCTTATCTTCGTTGGGGTGGGTACAGTGCCAGATGCGACAATATTTGTTAGATCAATGTTTATAACTGGTGACGCAATATTTAAGTTTAATGCGGTACTAGAAGATGTGCTGCCGGCATCAACATTTGTTGGGCACAATGGGCTAGTTGTCATTTGGACGTTGCTATAATCAATTTTGACTATAGGCTTGTTCAGCAGCTCGTAGCTGCAAATTGGCGCAGGTATGGCAGTTTCTTGAGGTTCTCGTCTACTACTACTACTACTATAGTGGGCAGCATTGTTGTTGGGTGGCCTGCCACGGGGATTATACGCAGGCGTTGATTCTGACCGTGCCAACTTTGTCGGCAGATGCACTCGCTGCTGTTGGTGTTGCATCTGTGTTTGCATTATGACTGACTGTGGTGCGGTTGGATTATGATTTCGCTTCTGTCCAGCTCCATTCAAGCTAACAGAGCGCACATAGGAGGCATTGTTTCCATTGGGCAATGATCGTATTGATGTTGACGGCAGGCTTAAGTCATATGGCGTATCCGAGTCTGGATATTGTTCTTCCGAACTATGGGCATCATCATCGTTGTAATTGAATGCCGCCTCCTCGGCCACACTTATATCTGGTATATTTTTGACAAGGTCTTTTAGAAAATCGAATCGCTGCTCGGACATGATGCATTGTTTCATGTGGGATGGCGATAGGGTTTTGGCGTTACGCGAATTTGTTATGCGCATCGTTTTGGTTAACAGCGACTCCACGAATAGCTCCAAAGTCCGTGAAATTATAACGGGCACCGCCTGTGCCACCTTACCAATTTCTTCATCACTCTGCATAATTTTCTTAATGCGACCCTGCCAATAAAACGAAAAGAACCGATAAAAAACAACAAATTAATAAACTAACACACGTTTGCATCATATACAAACTGATAAGCCCATCGTCGTGGTGCTGATGGACGCCCAGCATTTACATACAAGCAGAATGCATTTCTGCCAAAAAAGATTCCGGATATTTTACTTACCGCTGGGAAGCGTGCATTATATTTTTTCTTTTTCGACGGCATTTCTACACTTCCAAATAAATCCCTATGCTAATCAAATTTTCCTTTAACTAAGATAATAAGTCCAAATTATAAGTTGCTTGCTTAATTTTTTTTACACAAGAATAGTTCCTAATAGTTAGTTTATTGAGAATGGCAAAAATTCACATAGAAATACTTATGTACGCATTCACCTCGATATGTTGACTATAAATTGTTTAACAATCAGCAAATATTTTTGTAACTGCTTGATACTTCAATTGATATTTCAAAGTTCAAAGATGATGCAGAACTTTTGTATTTCCGATTTCTATTTATTTATTTCCAAAATCTTTTTTTTCTTCCACAATGTGACTGTCGTTTTATTGCTTACAAATTTTAACAGTGTGGCAGCCTGCGGAAAATTCGCTGTGAATGTCAAACGTAAAGTCACATTAATAAATTGATCTCTGTGTCAGCAAATTCCGTATTTTATTCCAATTTATTGTTACAAACTGCAGTGGTTTGCATAGATGCCTAAGGTTAGTAAGGATCCATGCAAACTTTACGCTTGCCGTATACAAAGTTGCTTGAGAGGTATGAAAATAGCAAAATTCGACATATTATGCAATTTGATGCCTGAATTCTGTAGTATGTAATAATAATTTGCTCTTAATATTTGAAATTCAATTGCAGAAAACAACTACCAAGAAGACAGATGTACTGAGGTCCTCGAGGAAATGCGGATTTGCTGTTTGAAGTGGCACAAGAAATCGCTTTGCTGCAGCGGTATTAATTTGGAAGAACCTCGCCTAGAAAAGCCAAAGTCAAAAGGCACTCCCAAGTCGTCTAGCGGGTGTTGTATATTTTCATATGCTTGACTTGCAAGAATATTAACGTCTCTTCGTTTAGTATAACAAATAATGCCAACATCATCAGTGCCACCATATAAGCCACCCAAAGAACTCCAGGATTTGTTGGACAAGCGACAACAAACATATTTGCGCAAGCGGACTGCTGTACTGCCGAAACGCTCTTGGATTCAGCGTAATCCGCGGCTCTTTCAAATTACGTTTTTAACCACATCACTTTTGATATTTTTCTCAAAGCCGCTTTACGACGCCTTTGTGGCAGATCCTTTAACCCTAAGGGGTCCACGTGTACCGCCACATAAACGCTAAGGCATGGAATCCGTGCGCAAAGCCAATACTCGACTTCGTAATTATCCAATACTGCTCACGAGGTGCTCTGAAAAGGCATCTTTGTATGCAGCGTGTGTGTCTCGGGATATTAACGTGCAGCAAAAGATTTGCGAGACCGAGTTTAAGGAGTTTTTAGACTGTATACGTAAAACCGCTAAAGAATTAAAGACAAAGCTGTAAGAACTTTATGTCCAATCCTATTCAAAGTACTTCGATAATGATGGCGCTTAAAAAAAACACTTGGCTACAGAATGGATGCCGGTACCTGTCCCATCTTAGTTTCCGTAATCATCTCCTGATATCTGCTGTGTTGCGACTGGTTCTCATTTTGTATGCCCAACTACACGATGCAAGATCCCTAGTGCCATTTACAGACATAGACTATAAAGTGGTAACGGACGGTGCACGGTTGGCGTTAAATGGAGATACACCTTTTGCCCGGCACACCTACCGCTATAGCCCATTTCTAGCATACATGCAAATACCGAACGTTTTGCTGCATCCCGCCTACGGGAAAGTAATATATGCGATGTTTGATCTACTACTTGGTATACTAATTTATGGGCAAGTACGCTTGGATTTACTGCTGCAGCACCAGAAGGATCGAGACGAGTGTAAACGTACTGAAAAAACAGCACTAATCTCTGCATGCTTTTGGCTCTACAATCCGCTTACAGCGGTAATATCGACCCGTGGCAATGGTGATAGCATACCAAGCTTCTTTGTGTTATTAAGTATCTCTTTACTTATTAGAATGGAACAGCAATTACCAAAGTCTCTAATCATTTTCTGTGCCGGTTTGTCTCATGGATTTGTGGTACACTTACGCATCTACCCGATAGTCTTCAGTTTAGCTTACTATCTGTGCTTATCGACTGGCCCGTTCCCAAAACCATTTAAACTCAATACAATTTTGCCTAACAAGCAGCAGCTATGGCTAGTGTTCGGCACTTTATTGGGATTGGTAACCTTCACTTGGATTTTTTATGCACTATATGGATGGCAATATATTTACGAAGCCTACTTCTACCACCTTATGCGAAAGGATATGCGCCACAATTTTTCGCTATATTTTTTGTTGCAATATCTTAGCAATGCAGAAGACATTGAGGAATCCAGTCTGCTTCTAAAGTGTATTGTGGTAGTTCCGCAGTTGTTACTTCTATTTTATTTGAGCTGGACTTTTGGGCAACATCGGCAGACATTAGCATTTTGCGTGTTCTGTTTGGCCTTTGTTGTTGTCACTTATAACTCTGTGGTCACATCCCAGTACTTCATTTGGTATTTGACTGTTCTGCCGTTATGCATTAAAAACTTGCAGCATCTGTCCTTGGTTCGGTGTGCATCATTACTTTCTTTGTGGCTATGTGGTCAAGTACTCTGGCTTCTGCCAGCATATTTGCTAGAGTTTAAAACTTGGCATACATTTTTTTGGATTGGTGTTCAGGGTGCTGTGTTTTTCTTAATTAATGGTTACATCCTAGTCGAGCTGATAAGTAATTACGAGCATAAATCTTTTAATGCAAGATCTAAAAAATAGTCTAGGAATTAAAGTAAAAGTGACATAAGCAAACTCCGATATCACATATATTATTTATACACTAGCTTAAAATTTTGTATTGATTGTTTTAAATAAAATATAATCATCCCTTAAAAATGGCTTTTGCTTTTGGAATTAGTGTCTAAAGTTCTACAATATGCATCATTAATATTATTTATCAATACATCATATTTTATTGTACTTTTTAAACCAATGTCGCCTGGTACACTTTTCTTCGTGGTTGCGTCCTTGAAAAAAGAAACAACTGAATTATGTGTACGTGTTTTATTTCAATTTATTGAAAAATCTTTGCTATTAAAAGGTATGAAATAATATGTTCCTCTCTTAAAATGACCACTTTATGGTTGGTAAGAGCATGTTGCTGCAACGAACGCAACCTTTGTCATGAATCAAATAGTCTGGAAATTTAGATTCATCTGGATTTTTATTACGATTCCACTCATGGACAAAATATAGTTTAATATGTGGTGGTACGCACATTGCATTTGAATTAACGTGATTTTAATAATTTGCATACATTTCTCCACCTTTAACATTACCCAACCCTGTTACTTTCATTGGATCTGTATCAAAATATATATATTCAACATTTCTACCATAAAAACTAACGTTTAAATCTTCTGAAACTAAACCTATATGTACATATTAAGACGTTGCTGTACCACTTATAGTGGTTCCCGTATCAAAAGCTGTTCTGGTACCTAAAGGTGTTACTGTACACGTCACATTTTTAATTTTTGCCGTTTGTGGCAACATTAAAAACTCTGCTGCACTTAAATAAAATGGAAGAAAATCAACTGGTATTAACGCCAACGGAGTTGTAACTTCTTCCATTGTTGCAGCTTGAATATTTTCTGTACTATAACCATTATAAATTAAAATTCTCGATTTTTTAAATGATACGGTCGAAGTTTCACAAGGCACACTCGGTCGAATCCATGTTATGTTTTGTACAGCGGTAGAGAATTTCGATAATTAGTTCTATTATTTGCCAAGCTACATCCCCACTCAGCATATTTCTATAAGCTAAGTGAATGCCAAATTTGTAATTAACACATGTTTATTTGCAATTTTTTTGTTTTTAATTTTACATATAAAATTGTATTTTAAAAGGATCATTAAGTTGAAGCATCGGCTTTACATATTGCCAATTACGACAATCGCAACATAAAGTAAACCACCATTAAATAATGAAATAAGATTAAGGTAAAAACTAAATAAGACCAGTTTATATACAAAATATATTATACATATTCTTAGGGATGAAGCGTTTTCGTTTAATGCTTAATACGTATTTAGGCTATGCAACATATTTAACTCACAATTGGGTCATTGTTTTTTTAATTCCGGAAATTTAACGCAAATGGAAAAGATTAATGGCACAAAGGAAATGTTTCCGTAATTTATGGTTATGGTTATGCTGTAAAAATTTTATTTTAAAATATGAAAATATTATTTTGGATTAAATTATTTAAATTTGTATGAAACTTGAAATCTGCTTAGTTTGCTATCGGACGTTTTGCTTTGAAAATTTTATATCCCATTTTAAACTCTTGTTTCCCGTCTGATTATCGAAGAAATCTTCGATCTGCTTCATAAGTATGTTTATTGTATTGTATTATAGGTATAATCTCCAGTCAAGTTGAATTACATCAGGTGTTTGGTTTTTGTTATGTTATTTGTGTCTATTGAATGAGACACTTTTCTTTGCCCCCGCTAATATTTACTTGTTCAAGTTCGCGGGCTATTTCGTGGTCGTCCTCAATACTGCCGAAGGATCACAACATCAGCTGGTTTAATAATAATATATATAGAGTGTATACATACGCTATTTCTTGATTGTGTAAATGTTGCACAAGCTGATCCCGTTTATCAACAATAGTCACCAGTTCTTCGAGTAACAGTCGCTCTTTTTCACGTTGCACCTCCGTTTTACGCCAATCCTCAACGGACTGAGCAGCGCGCAGCTCCTGATTAAGCATCGTGAATTTCCGCTCGAGATCCTTTTCTTGTTCGCTAATAGCAGAATTAAAGGTGATTTAGTGGCGATTAAAAAAGTTATCTTCTAAATTTTGTTCTTACAGAATGTTGAGCTGCATCTGCCTTCTCAGAAGTGCATTTTTCTTGTTTACCAATGTAAACCACTGTGAAAGTAATTGCTCCTCAGTTTCTTCAGTTTCTGTGAAAATTAAAAGATTGTTGAGTCTCGCCAAACTCGAAAAAAAAAAAACGAAAAACTAGGTAATACATATTAAGTAAAGATTTAAACAGTCTGTATTATAGAAAAACAGTATGTTTGCGGTTGTATTTTCTCGCCGTCGTGGAGCGCTAGTTTGCGATTAGTGATATTTTCATTGTGGTTATGATTAAAATTTTTAAGAAATTTAGATCAAGGCAGGTCAATGTTTAAACTCCATTTAAAAGAAATGCAACGAGCTGACTGAACAGTAAGGTTAAAAGCAATAACACATAAACACAGATGAATGAGTTGCGGGCGAGCAGGCGTTTAGCTGTGGCGTGCTGTTGCGCGCATTATTGCAAAAGCGGTTAACAACATATTCGGCCTTTAAGACACGACATCATCATTACCATAAAGACCACGCGAACGCTGACGTCGCTGTTTCTGCTGGCTGCCATTGTGGCGATCATGTTGACGCCGAGGCGCTGAGGTTGCTACTAGCAGGGCATCATCATATACACTATAAACTTGCAGGTTATCACAGGATTGCCGGGAGGACGCAACTGAGGCGGAGATACCAAGCAAATGACTACATGGTTCCACGTGATGAACGTGGTGCGGACGTTGGCCAGAACCATGCTGATGATGATTATGGCAATGATGGTCATGTAAGTGTTGTTGTTGTTGACATGTGGGTCGAATAATTGGATAGTTAAGGTTTGCATTTACAAAACAAGAATTAGCGCGTTGCCTTGGCCTTGGCCGTGGTCGTGACAGCTGCATCGGCTGCATCTCGATCGCCTGAGCTTGTCGACGGTGCACTTTGGGGCTGCATGTGCTGGAAGTGTCACTGTGTGTATCTTCGTCGTCATTACTACCACTACCAGTACCACTTACATCACTACCAAATAAGTTTGAATCATCTGAGTCAAGCAGTTTAATGCGAATGACATCACCACCACCGATGCTATTTCGTATTAGTCTAAGGAAAGGATTTGTACCCTTTTGATTATTACTTGGATTACCGCCCATGACTGCCCGCAGTTTGGCCTCGAGACTGCTAGCCTTTTGGTCGATTGCTTCCTGCTCGCGTTCCAGTGCTTCCAGTTCGGACTCAATATATGTGAGCTTATCGTTCTGTAAAACAAAATTTTTAATTGAATAAGAAAAAAATAAGTAATATCTTCGGCAAGCCGAAACTTACATATGCTTAAGTTTGCTTATTTGATTTTTTAAATTATGTTTTTACCGAATTTTACCCCTTAGCGAAGAGTAGTAAACAAATACTATCGTTTAACTACATATCTCCGACGACTTAAGTTGTCAAGCAGACTGACATGAGGACAAAACTATAAAATATTAAGATTGTAATCGCGATATTTTGCAAGAACTATATGAATTAAAAACCAGTACAAACTCTCTTTTCGTGCTTTGGTGAGATCCTTTCGACAGCCGCGTTGAAGGATTGCAAGGGAGTGCTATTGCCATCGCTTAATCTATGACTAGGACTCGCGTGGTTCACGAAGTGCTCGGCCTTATTCCGGTTGAAAGCTATTTGATTTGTAGTGACGTCGACATAGGAATCCCCACCATTGTGTATAGGTGAAATGGTACGTTCGGGTGTGTAGTTGAAACGTTTAGACTTAGTTGGGGTTGTGGGGCCATCGACGCCACTGTTCACTGGTCCGGTCACTTTACTTCTCGTTTCTGATATGAGACGTCGTGCCTGCTCCCGTAATCGCTGCTGTCGCTCCTCCTGTGTTAAGACAGTTATGCAAAAAGTTTAAAATATATTCTCTCGCTTTTAAATTTTAATAAAATGCGGCACATGCAGGCAACGCGCAACTAGCTTTGTGCTACTACTTACATCGTTAGCATCTGGGCGCTCGTTACAGTTCGAAATTTTTAATTTTTCCATCATTAGCTTAGCTTTTTCGCTCATTTCTTTGTGGCGCATTAAAATTCGCTACAAAAATTCAAATAAAAATAAAAACAGAAGCAGAAGCCAAAGCAGTCGCAAAATAAAATGTAAATTAATGAACATCAATAATTAACGTAAACCAAAAAACTATAAATATAATGTTAATTAATAAAATTACCGAGCTTCATCAATTCGAAATATTTGCACCTTCTATGCGGCAAAGAGCAAACTACAGCTAAATAAATTCTTAATCTAAAACTGAGACTACACTTACATTTGTTGCATTGGTATCCAGCGTCAGAGGCGACGTTGGTTCCTTGTTAATCTTTTGTATTTCCTCATATGCAGTGTCGCCGTTACCATCGATCGGCGGAGGAGTCTGGCGACCCAGTAAAGATTTGGTTGTTTGACTTGTCTGTGGCTGTGTTGCATTTATCGAATTTTTATCTTTTGTCGGCGATAAGACTTTACCCAATATACTCTTTGAACTTGTTAGTATAAGATTCTTGACGTCTTTTTTACTCGTCGGTGATATTTGTTGCTGCTGGCTCACGACTTCGTCGTCCAGCGATGGCAAAAGCTGTGTCTTTAGGTGTGAAAAGTTGATAAGGTTCTGCGACAAGTTGTCTGACTTATAATTGCCGATAACATAACTGGACTCGTCCGATGTCGGCCCTAAAAACGTAATAAGAATGTATATAATAAATATATATATATTATTTTTTATGGTTAACTTACCAATTTGCTCTATTTGTAATTGTTTTCCTGTGAAGTGTGCCCGCAATTGATGTAGGTAGGTCATAACTGCTAATTTATCTGGTACTGTGAGTAAATTCATATCTCGTGGCTCGATAACCCGTGGTATTCCCAATGTTTCTGCCGCATCGAAGGCAATGCGGCAGTTACCAACAACATCATGGGCACTCAGCTTCGTCATATCTCTATAATGAACAATTGTGGCCAGTTATTATTTTTTTTTGGTCAGAAGTTGAGATTAAATTATTACTTACATCAAATGCGGCATGAAATTGTTAATTATTGCGCAGAAAGCCATGCCGTTGCGCCAGCTGGTTGTCAAATTGGTAACTTTAACATTTGGATAATTTTTGGTAACCTCTTTGCACCACTCTAACAAGTCTTGGCCAGGTGTGTTATCCTTCAGCGCGATTTTCTCTACTGGATTCAAAGCTGAGTTTTTAATCGTTGCCAAACTATTTATGATTGGTGCAGTCTCATAACTTTTCTTCAAGTTCAAGGGCTGCAGTTCAGGGCGCTTAGTGATGGATACTACAGCCAAGTCCTCTAGTGGTTTGATCTGCTCCTCGACAAACTGGGCTAATTCAGATGTCTTGGTGGTTGTGGAGGTGGTGGGAGTTGTAACACTCGAGACAGCAGTTGATTTACCGACATAAGAATTGGATTTCGGCGACTTCAATATTTCTGCAGAGCTACAATCTTGCTTTTCAAACATAAGAGCTTTGTTCGAATTGCTTTTTTTAATCTTGTCTGTTGCAGCGGCCGTATTTTCTACAGGCGTCGATGTGAGCACTTCATAGAACCTTTCATTGTGATTGAATATCAAGGTTGATTTTTCTACATTTGGCAGATCATCGTCTACACCCTTGGTTGGGGTCCTGAGACTAACATGCTGTGAATTTGATGCACTCGGAGTGTTTAATGCTTCATTTGCTTCAACCAAAATCCGAGGCGGTGATCCTACGACTTTCTGTTTGTTTTCACGATCCGCTTCTAGTTCAAAACGTAAATTATTAAATGACTCAGCCAATGGAGTTGGGTCTTCGGATAATGATGGGACTACCAACAATAACAACACCGAAATATTAACATTTACAATAATTCGATGATCATACATATTCCGTTGTGTTTAAATTTTTGTTGTGACATTACAGCGTAGTGTTGCATTGGAGCAGATTACAGATTACGAACCAAAAAAGAGAGTTTTGAATCACATTTTAGTCAAATAAATATTTACAGTAAATTATAAGACATCTTTTCTACATATACAAACACTAATAGGAGTTGAATTATTATATAAATGACAACAAAATACTAAATCGTACCACTACATTTTATCACAAAAAAACAATGGTTTTTAATCTAAAATGGTAATTCATTTAAACAAAAAGACATACATATATATATTTTAATTATTTGAATGCCTAATCAAATACATTTCTACCACAGATAAAGATATTAGCACTCACCGCTCAGCGGCGTTGGTACATCAGTACAACCATTTAGGCTTGTCGTCATCTGCTCCAACTGTTGAGTGAAATCATATAAGTTATCCGAGATATCTCCAGACATTTCCAAGTCTGGTATATCCTCCAAATCGTCAAGGGGTGCTACATCACAATTGTTATTAACTGACATAAATGAGACAACGCTCTGCATATCCTCATCGCTGAAGAGGTTTCCGAATAAATTAATTTTGCATGTACAGGAGGTGTATAAGGATTTGTAATTAGTACTCACGTTGCCTTTCCTTCTCGCAAAAAGACACAACTGATTGTCAATTCCAAATCAGCGGCAGTTATTTTTCGAGAAACTGGTTTGAGGTTCAATGTAAAACTCTGCTGTGTAGACTCAATACTAGCATATTTACGCATATTGATGCTTGCGTTTGCCAGTACACGCTTTTTGCCCAGTAGTGAAATCTAGAAACATTTATAAAATAATTATATAAACTGGAACGGTTCTTTGCTCGCCTAATAAAATAAAGCGTATGGGTTTACATAATACATATTTTGTGAAGATTTAAATAACCTAACCTATAATATATATACGTACATCTTCGATTACAAATGTCCAATCTTTGTCCTCCAGCTCGTGAGTGCGGGGATCCTTGAATAATGTAACTGATATAGCGTGATTGTCTGGTACTGGCCACGTAATATTGCCCACTAGTGGGTTCATCATGTCTGGTTCCCATGGCAACGGAGAGCTAGCAACACGTCTCGAACGTCTCGTCCACACAACGGAGAGACTTGAAGGGCGCCTAAGACAAATTAAAATAACATATGCAAGCAAATACATATAAAATGTACACAATAATGTATGTACGTTTGTTTAACAACTTTGAGGACAACGTAAAAGCAAAGATTATTTCGCATATACATGTATTATATATATATATATATGTATATATATATATAATCATAATATATATAATAATCATAATATATATAATATAATATATAATCATAATATATATAATATAAATAATATGATGTAATATAAATATATATATTTTTTCTAATCGAATGTGTTTAACAACGCAGAAACAATCATACTAAAATTCAGTAAATAATTTTAAAAAACAATTTTTTATTTGTCTAATTAATTAATTCTAATTAATATTAAGATTTGTATATGCTATTTCTCGCAATTTCAAAAGTAATCACAAAAGTAAATGGCTTTAGGAGCGCAGAAGTTGTTGATATCAACAATGGCTTATTTTCGTTTTAAAGCTGCTGCCACAAGTCATGATGCAGATATGCTTTGACTTAATCATTTACACAAGTATTCGTATATAAATCTTGAATGTGCCAGGAAACAGTTAATGTAGAGTAGTATATCTTGAGTCAACAGGAAATCGAAATCATTTTAATAACACCAAATGCAAAAACGGATATTAAAATTATATATAGTATAGTAATATTGTATATTATATATATATCATGACTGAGTGTCTTACTTACCACTTGGCGGTGGTTTCCAATCGTAGGTCATGATAGGAGGCAGTGAACTGAAATTTCGCCGCACGTTTATTAACTCTCTGCAAACGTTTCCAAACGCTGCCCATCGCGATACAAAGTCAGTGTAGGATAAAATGGATTTTCAGTAAAGGCACGAACTCAATCCACAGTCGTTGATTGGTAAAGTTTGTGCTTCTTTTATTGAGTACAATTATGATGATATAAAATACGTACTTTGGCAGAAATATTTGTCTCTTGTTTTACCTGTTTATCCTGAAGTTCTATCCAAAACAAAACAAAATACACCTCTGTAAGTAATACCCATGAAATATACGTATGATATCACATTTACAAGTCAATATTCTCTTTACTTGATTTAGTTGGAGTTGTTACACTTTTTATTATTATGTAGTTTGCTGTTTTTGCTCGGACCAAAACACATATTTTATTTTGTGAAAAATTTCCTTATTTACAAGAAATTAATCAAATTAAAAAAAGGGAAGAGAAATTGGGAGATATTAGCACTATTATCACCACATTCAGATGTTGGCCAGTTAGAACCCTTAATGAATATCCAACACATTTAATGTAATGAATTCGTTCATAATTGTAAGTGACAACATATACAGACATCAGTTAATAATACATTATGTATCGAATTTACCGCATTTTAAACTGAAATGTCTATGTCAAGTGAATTGTTGTATGAATCTTTGCAGATACAAATATACATAAGAATCTATATCGAACAATCCGACCAATCGGCATTATATGTGAAAACCCTCGCGCAACAAAATATACTCTTTTTCTCTTTATAGCGCATATAATATAAATACACATACATACATATGAATGTACATTTGCATAGATATGTCTCTAAGAATGCACATTTTGTGACCTTTAAATTTGAGTTTGCTGCTTATTATTTGTTTAACAGATAAGGTTGAAAAACTCGCACATCTACATCTACACAAATGATTAGTGTTTATTCATTGCTTGTGTATGTATATTACATCCACTGATATTCAGCAATTTAGCACTTTTAATGAATGTATGTACATTATTATATATGTATGTACATATACGAAAAGTATTGAGTGTACATACGTACGAACATACATGTACATATTGCTTGTGTAAAGCACTACAATGACATCACGCTCTTTAGAGAAAAACTGTATTATATGCTATAGTTGCACATTCCGGCATATGTCAATCCACACCTTGACACATTTTCTTCACCAACGTCACTGGCTTGCCATTATAAAAGCATTTATAACATTATTTATTTTAAATTGTAGCTCTTGGGATCCAAACAGAACACGAAAAGCGGACAGAACGCAAAAATGAGTTGCAAAACGCAAAAATGATTCGATATATATGCTTATTTATATGTATCGATATTTCAACGATATCATGGTCCACAAAAATACTCTGGATAAACAACAAAGAGCAAACGACAAAGTCAACCGCAATTCATTTTTTTATTTATGTATTTAAATCGTTTTGTTTAACAGTAATTACAATTAATTAAAAAATTAAGCGTGGCTGTTGTTTTTAGATTTATATGATCAAGAGAATGCATTTTCAAATTGAATGTGTTGCAGTTAGGAATCTACATATGGATGTGTTGGAGGCATGCGAATACTATTTTGTACGAGTCTCAAAAAGTGTTTTCTTATTTTTTTACGGCGTGGCAGAGGTTTTCGAAAAAACGTTTAGAATTTTTTTTTTACAACTTATACCTTTTACATAAAACCAAGATGTTTAAAAACGTGATAGTTACTTCCGAACGTGCCATGTTTTTAAAATCTGATGCATACACACACTCACACATACGCACATAATTAGTCACGTACACATGCAATATATATATAAAAGCTAAGCATAGATGTAATATATCACAAATAATTTGTAACCATGAATAATTTGTTTTTTTTTTTTAAGTATGAAAAAAAATGATTTGAAATATCAACTACACAACCAATAATTTGCCAGACATTCTCTTTTAAATATATGTTGAGTATACTTAAATAAATAACCTTACTGCCACGCCAAAAACAACACCACACAGTTTTTACACACATACAAAAAAATTAAGTTTTTTTGTTAGCCTGCAATTGTTTGCCTTGTTTGCAGAAGTCCTTGTAAGCACGCTCAGTCTCTTCATCCATTTCTGGGTCAAGCTCCAAGTCGTTATCTCTAACATCAAAATCGTCGCCATCGCTGCCAGGGGCATCATCTTCAGCAGCCAGGAAATCAGTTTCCTCAGCCGTAAGCTCATGGCCATCGGGTCCGTAAAACACTGGTTCATCGCTCAATCGTGGCGGCTCTGGTGGCTTGGCAACAGCATCATCATCACCACCGAGAGCGTTCGAAACCTTTCGCCCCCAATTGTTCTGTTGCAAGGCAATTACATTCGCAGCCATTGCATATTTACCCGGTGACTTGGTCTCGATCGCTTGCAATGCCGTAATAATAAAAATCATGTCCTGTTGGCAATCGGCACTCAGGTCGTAACCGGCCAGCTTCAATGTCTGACAAATGCATCGCACATTTTCGGGGCTCTCGTATGCCAAAAGCTTCCTCAGCGAGTAGACAATATTCACAGCTATAAGCTGGATGCGGGCATCATCGTCGCCACGCAACTGCATATACAATTCAGCTAGAAATAGGGCAGTTTCCCGCACTTTTTGCTGATTTTCAACCGATTGCATATACTTGGCCACCTCGGCCTGGTGATAGTCAAGCTTTAGCTTGAGCAAGGTGTGAAACAAAGAGTCCGGCTTGAGATTCAGCATATGCAGTAAATTATACAATTTAGCTCCCATGTAGCGAAAATTTGGTTGTTCGATCGATTTTTCAAATATATCTTCCATAGCGATTGAGAGTACATGATTATTGCTCTCCATGCCATCGAATATCGTTAGGAAACGTGATGCAATTGTATCAAATTGTCCGGGATTCTGAATGAAAAGTGAATACAATACAAATATGAATAGAATTAAGATTATCTATTAACATACATAACAATTTTGCATTTTTTAAATATTACTCACCTGGTTAAGGCAATGTATTACAGTATCAAGGTATTCTAAAGCAATCGTTTCCATGTCGGGATGCGACGATGCCGACGAAGTTGATACGGATGCCGATGAAGTCGATGGTTGTGGGTGATGCTGCTGCTGTTGCTGGAAATATTGTTGCTGCTGCTGCGGCTGTTGTGCAATTTGTTGGAATGAATTATTTAAATGCGCATGACGTTGAAATTTCGATTGTGATTGTTGTGAGTGCTGTTGGTGTTGCAGTGTCTGTACCTGCTGCTGCTGCTGCTGCGTCTGCTGCTGCTGATGATGATAGTAATTGCCTCCCATTGCACCATTGTGTGACGGCTGTTTACCAATGCGGAGGCGAGCCTGAACCGAGTTGGACAACTGCTGCATATCATTGTTATACTGCTGATTTTGCTGATGATGATTGTAATTTTGTTGGTGTTGATGTTGTTGCTGTTGCTTATAACCATTCACATAACGTTGTTGGTGTTGTTGTGAGTATGGAGCTGGCCCAGATGCTTGATGTTGATATTGCTGCTGATGATGATGATGATGCTGCTGTGGTGGCGGTCCACGCTTACCCATATTGCTGTTACTCGGTTGGTTAGGTACAAAGACAGTCGCGCTAGCGGAAAGCTTTGACTGACCAAAACTACTCGCCACATCGCCACCCATAATCGGTGGCTGAGATGGAGCTGCAAAACTTAGAGGAGGACCGGCTACGTATGCGGCTGGTGCATAGCCAACCGAGGCAAATTCGTTAAACATGTGAGCCTGCTGTTCGAGAGGAATCGCGCCCGTGTGTTGTGGTGCGGCCGGAATTGGGGCACCTGGACCGGGATTCGGTGGGCGCAATTGCTCGTATTGATCCTCGGGTTGGAAGGTTGCACGGCATGATTGCATTGCGGAAGCGGCGGCGTCGTACTCAAAAACTAAAAACAAATACGTATATGAATATGCATGTAAATATACAACATTAATATATAGCGTATATATACATATAAATATATATATATTTGTAAGAAATTTTAAAAATGCAAATCACATTCACGCTCCATTGCGGTTACGTCGAGTGCCGCCAATTCGGTTAAAGCAGCAGCAGACATTTTGTTTCCCTCATTTTAAAATATTTGTATTTTGACGAATTGCAGGAAACTGGCCCCTAATTCAGACCAGCAATGAGGAACTAATATTTTTGTTCAAAATTTACATGTCACATCTATGGCATATTTACTCCATAGCGTACCTTAATTATCGTTCAGAAATTTTACGTATACGTCGATGCTATTTTTTTTTCGTCTTCGTCTTGCTTGCGTCGTCACCTTTGGCTGTCAATTCAACTTTCTATTCCTTTTTCCTAGTACATATATATAAAGTATAAATTTATACCATAATTAATATAAGATACATTCAGATGTATACAATTATTCACTTTAGTTTTATGGTTTACAATTTTTACCAGTATAAGTTTTACTTTTTCTGAAAATTGTATTAAATTATTGCGAATAACTTGTTTTCACCGCGACATCTACATAGAGTTGATATTGAGATTGTATCGATATGTTGTGCAGTTGTATCGAATCGATTAGAAGAACGAAATTGAACGAATAAAGAAGTTCATATAAGTTCAATATCGTTTCGCTTAAGTTCCAATATTGTTAGTATATTGTATACTGAAAAGTATTCCCAAAATCAACTACTCGGAAAATTTAACATCTAATTGAGTTAAATAATGTTGATACTTGCAATAACACATTCCTTTGTTTTTCAACCATAACCAATCACAGCAGATGCGAAGTGTTTTCAGTGTTTCAGATCGTGAAATAGTTCCCATGCATCCCGCAAGAATTCACTCTTTGTGACTGGCCTATAAGACCAAATACCAATTTTTATTTGTTAGTATGTATTGTGAATTTGCTAAATTTCCACTTTTTTGTTGGTATTTTTGCTTTGAAGTAAATGTATTTTTTTTCGGTCACACTGCCAGATCACTAAAAATATATAAACAAGTCACAAATTTGGTTTACAGCGAAATATTATTTGGGTGTTCGATAAAATCTTAAAATCAGAAGAAATGACAAGTAGTTCATATTATTCTTAGCTTAATTGAAAAGATAATATTTGTACATTCATGTACAATCCATGTGCTCATGCCCACTGTGCGTTGTGTGTTCGTATATAAGCAATATCAATTTTTCATCAAGTGTCATCGCAAGTTTTAATCAAATTTGGAATAATTTATATATTCAATCGAAACGAATCCAAAGTAAGTTCAGCAAAAACTTGTACTATTCGTCGATAAACAGATGTACGTATGTTATTGGAGAAGTACACGTGCATAATGTACGTAATGTAAAAGTTCATTGAACTTAGTATTTTATGCACTGTTAATAATTTAAATTTAAATCCTGGTCAATGACTTCCTTCTTCAAAATGTTATATATGATTATAGTGGCCCATTACAAATAAACTTTCTCTCTCTCTGTGCGATTTATGAGAATTGGGAGATATATACCCCATTACTGACAGTATATACACATTATTAAGTTCAGTAATTAGGGAACTTACTAGTCTTGCATGCTTTATATATTTGGAATGCGTTTTATGCACATAATACTTCTCTCATGACTCATGTGCTTAAAGCGTTTATCGCAAATCAAATATAACGAAGTCCTTGTGTCTTTTTAAAGTCGCATTCAAGCACGACCTTGTGTAAAAGTATTGTTTGCCCAAACTAAGCAGCATCAACGTGTCTTAACTGGCGTTTCCTTTTATGTGCTTTTCGCGTTTTAAAAATCTCTCTCTATTTAATTACGTCGTACACCAATATGGATAATATTGTCCGAGTAATTTGAATAGTTGAATGTATATGCAATAGTTTAATGTTGTGTCGATATTGCAGTATTAAGATGAATTCCATTAACTCGTGGGACCAACAACAACATAGCTGCCAGGATATAATACACGTTTTTCGGAAAGACTTCAAAAAGGATTTGGATTGCAGAGATATCGAGGAGTTTTTGCGATCTATATTGAAAAAAACAGAGGTCGATGATATTGTGAAGTCTCCACCAAATGAGCAAACGTATCGCTTGTTGTGGATATTGCGCGACCAACAAAAGGAAATTGTGGAAATGTTTGTCAAGGGACTGAAAGACGCTGAAGACCTCAACTATGGCTTTCTAATGTCTGCCATTCAAAATGAGTGCAGGATTCCGACCGATCGAACTAAAAAATATATTTCAGCAGTTGACCGCCTGTATAATGACAACCATAAATTCACAAAGTATAATGTTCCGAGAATAAAACCATTCTTGGAATTGGAATTGGCTTTACTGAAGCTAAGACCTGCTCAAAACGTTGTAGTCGAGGGCGTCCTTGGGGCCGGAAAGCAGTGGCTTGTTTTAGACGTTTGTTCCTCATTTGATGTTCAATTGAAAATGAATTTCAAGATATTTTGGCTAAACGTACGCGAGTGCTGCACACCTGAGGTTTGTCTACAAATGCTTCAATTGTTTCTTTACCAAATTTCACCTAAAGGGCACTCTAATGTCGACCAAAGCGTGCATACGCGCGTACGCATCGAAGTGCTAAAAACTGAGCTTCAACATTTATTGAAAGAGAAACCTTACCAAAATTGTTTGTTGGTCTTACGTAATGTCAAGAACAAGGAAACGTGGGAAGCCTTTAACCTAGGATGCAAGATCCTACTGACCACAGGATACAAGAGTGTGGCTTCTTTTCTATCGGCACAAACGACCACCCATATCACCCTAAAAGACGCCCTCACCAAATCAGAGACAGAGTCATTATGTGCCAAATATCTCACCGAAAAGCCAAAATTACTAAAAGAATTAAAGGCAAAACTACCTAAACACCAAATAACAAATCCGCTCCACCTGGGTATAATCGTTAAGAGCATAAGCAACGATATTTGTACAATAGACAATTTTAAACAGTAAGTAAATTACACCTACAAATGCACATATTAATAAACTTAAGATATATTTTTAAAACTATTTAAGCGTAAGGTATATAGAGTTGACTGAAAAAATTAAAAAGTCCTTAAGTGTTTTGGATTTCAATGAAAGGCAATTATATGAAGCTCTCTTCATATTTCCTAAGTCCGCCCACATACCTATCGGAGTAAGTACTGTAATCACTTATTCGCAGTTATAATGAGTCTCTTTCAATAATTCCTATTCGTAAACAGTTATTAGGCCTCGTGTGGACGAGTGAAAATCCAATGATTATCGTAAATAAATTCTGCAAGTACTCGTTGGTAAACAAGGATTCAAATAACCTAACAATAACTCTGCCCGGCATATACTCAGAGTTGAACTTGCCCGTGAAAAATGAAGCTGAGCTAAACAGAATAATTATAAATTACTATAAGTAAGTGCTGTTAACCATGACCAATGTATACGTAATTAATTGAAATGTACAATCAATGAATCCGTTTAGCATTCATTTACAGTTTGACCAATATAACGATATGACTTTACCACATCTGGATAGTTATTTTTATAGCCATATCGGCCACCATTTGATCAAACTCAGTAACAGTACCGACCGCTCCAATTTGTTTCGCAAAATCTTTTTGGATTTTCGATTTCTCGATAAAAAAATTCGTAACGAAACAACGCCAAGGAATGCTCGCGGATCAGTTCTACCTACCCTGCAGACTCTAAAGTTGTACAAAGCGCATATAGATAGTAAGTAGACTTAACTGGACAAAGACAATATGTCAAATGCATAACGATCTTCAAAATACGTAGATGATGAACTTATTGATGCTCTTCTGGATTTTTTGCCGAATGTGGAAGAACAGCTGATAAAGTCAAAATATTCAAATCTATTGCAAATTGCATTGATGGCAGATAAAGGTGCGGTTTTTGAAGAGGCACTTCGTCAAGCGCAACGATACTCAAAATACGTTTGGTTTACAAACCGGTAACTATATCTTTATATATTTGTATAAAGTCTTATGAACGTACTTCTATTTTTAGTGGGCGGTTTCACCAGCACCGTCGAATCATAAATTTGGGTAAGGACCAGGTGCAACGTGTAGTCTACCTATACGGTGACTATTGCTTGATGGCACTAAACACAAAGCAGATATTACTTACCGACGTGTCGTTGGAGGGCGATACGACTTATCTATTAAGCGACACAAACAATCCCAGCGATATAATCGAGATGCGCGTGTTTAACACACAAATGCACCTTTTAACACTGCACAGCAATGGAAGTCTAAAGCTTTGGTCACTGCGAGAACTGCTCCGACGTCCAAACAATCCAACTAATTCTCTAGGTTACGATCAAGTGGTTAACAGAGTAATTAATCGATCGCATTCTATCCAGAATATTTTATCATTTTTTCTTCACGAGAAATTTATGGACGGGAGGACCACTCACATTCAACTTCATGTGGCATATAATAATGGAGATATTTGTATATACGATTGGGAAACTAAACGAGAACAATTTAAGCAGTCGTGTACACCGATGTTAAAGACACAGCAGCTGAAATTGCGCTGTTTTTCTTTAATCCTAGATCGGTTTTATGTGCTGTGCACAGCAAACTGCAAGCTTACTGTTTGGAACTTAAACCGACAATCAAAGGATCAGGAACTTGAGTTTCCCAATAACGAGGCACTTTCAATGGAATCATATAATGATCGACTTAACAATGGTAACCTATGCATAGTGTTGCTTATATGTAAATCAAGCGTAAAGCGATTCACATTCCAACAGACCGATGACAACAGTATAAATGAGCCAGACACCAGCACTTTGCCCTCGTTGGAAAGACTCTCGCTCTCGATAACATGTAGTAAACTATCAAAAGATGGCCGTTACTTAGTACTTGGGACCCAAGATGTGGGCCTAATTGTGTACGATCTAAAATTTTCCGATTATGTTCTGATCAGCAACGTCCGTGAGCAAATAATCTGTTTGGACGTATACGATTTGAAGCACCCCATTTATAAATACATTGTCTTATGTGGTGCAGCTGGAACAAATTTCTTACACTTATACATGCTGCGAAATGTTGCAGGCGATCACAACCATGCCATTACATGGGTACACAGTGCTCAGTCTGTGGACAATATCAGTGATACAAATGTACATCTTGAACCTAACGTACACCTGCGACCTCTATTGAAAATGTCTAGTAATGGTACGCTATTCAGCGTAGACTCCAAATCACGTATTCACCAAATACAAACGGCAGTCGGAGAAGAGTTTGGCCGAAGGCACTGTGCCGCGTACTGGTCAACGATTCCAACGCCACAGTTGGGATTCGCGACCCACATAACTGCTTTATACCCTTGCAATGATAATGCAATTTATGCCGGCTACAATAATGGCATAATATATAATATCAGCGACGAAAAAAGGATATCGCAGAACTATATAACTGAGCAAATCGACTACTTGAAAGTGGTCAATTTAAGGACATTGATTGCGTCAACTCGAAATGCTCGTAAGACTTTAATATATTTAATGCCACGAGTAGAAGGTAACAAAACAAGAGAACCAATTTGGTGGAGCGAGTACACAATATATGCGCGACTTTTTGACGAACATTTCTTGCTGCTGTTTTCCAAGAAGGCTCTCTCTGTTTATGTGAGTTGATTGAATCTTTTAATCAAAACAAACAAAAAGTCATAATTTTTTCTCTTTCTTATTAATCAAATGCTAGCATTTAGATTCGCCTAATTCCAAACTACAAATTATTGAAGAACCTGAGGAGGATCTGGTGGGATTTGATCTTAAAAATAAGCTTCTGTTTTTAGGTTTAAGAGACGGCATAATTAAGGTGAGCCCCAAAAAAATTACAGTTTTCTTAAGCTTTAAAAGTATCAATTAATTCTAGCTAAATAATCATAAACACTTGTTTGTAGATTTATAAATTGGACAAAACGGGCGATCAACTGAACATCAAGCAACTCTGCATTGAAAATATAAATAGTCAATCTTTGATTAAATATCTGACAGTTTCTAATGATGGTAAAATGCTTTTCCTTGGCTTGTCGAATGGTCAAATAAAGGTAAATCTGTTACATATGTTGACCCATGCTCAAGAGCTAATTAACTAACTTTTTTCTTATAGCTTTACACATTCAATGATCGCCTAAGCCATATTTACACCATAAAACAGGGACATGAGCCCGGTCATGAAATGAAACTGCGTTTCTCGCCCTGCCTACAGATTCTTGTTAGCTGTGGAGACCAATTGTGTTTTTGGAGCGTGAGACATATGCTTAATAATCAGAGTCAGGCGCAGATTCACCCCAAAGGTTGCGAGGAGGTTGATGCGTCACCTTGCTCGGACCAATCCGTAGAACAGAAATATGTCATGCCATCGGCGGGTATTGTAAGAGACACAGAGACACATTTTTGGAAGGATAAGCGTGGTCATGCCACCTTGCCCGAGTTGCTGTCATCTATAAAATTTGTTGGCAACAAAGCACGTAATTTCTATACGAATGCCGAATTTACCCAATTTCATGTGTTAGACGACGGGGGAGTTTTCTATGACCTTAACGTACTAGAGAAATATTTAAGTGAAAGCTATAAAGAGTCGATTGCGATTGCGAGTTCACGTCACTTAGAAGCACTTGGGCCATTTGTCAGTAATGTGAATGGAGACGACAATGCTGGTATTGATGTAGCTGGCAATGCCCATTCAGAGTCTTTGTCATCTGCTAGTAATTTATATGATCAATTGAATCGGAGGTGACGCCAACCTTGCGCCACATTTTGGTGGAGCACAGCAAATGGTTATCAATTTTTACAAACCGTACTTATAGGATTGTTACTATGCTACCCAGTGATGATAGTATTTGAATGGTTGAAATTGCACTTAAACACGTAAGTTTCTTTTTTCATACGCTCAATTTAAATGATAATCCTTTTGTCTAAAAATAGAAAACAAACAGAGTGATAAAAAGCGAGTGCAATTTTTCGTATTTATTATGTGAATGTATACGTATTTACATTTGTAGTTAGAATGACCGATATCAAACAAAGAGAAGAATATTAAGACTTTTAATTAATATATGTAGTTGCATAAGTTCTAACTAATACTTGTAAGACAATTTATTTTTAAAATAAAGTTTACTAATTTTTTGAAGTTTTTCATTTTTTAAAATTAAAACAAGGTAAGAAAGGTTTGCTTATATAAATATATATATAGATAAATTATTTATTTAATTCCACAGATTTGTTTACAGCGAAGTAGTTGGTGTTTAAATACTTAAAATAACATAGTAAATAGCAATCAAATCTAAATTTGATATGATTCTTGATTGTGTTGCGTTATTGGTTTAAAGATTTGTTATCGGGTTGTTGTCGAAGACGGGCTGTGGGTTCAGAGATATTCGATGCATATTTTGCTGTTGTTTTATATATAAGATAAGATTATATATAAATATTTAAAATAACTATGTATAAAAGGCATCAATGATATTCCTAAAATGACGGGTTTTCAAGGCGATCGGTGTGCCCATATAAGATTTTATTTTTCCCACATTTCTTAAATTGGAATATTTGTGACAACATCGATATTTTCGTATTCATCGATAAGTCGCTCATCTCTAATAACAGTGTCCATTTTGAGTATAACATAGTGTCGATTTAACATTTATTGCGTTCGGCTGTGTGATAAAAAAAAAGAGTTTTTAAGATTAAAAATTTATGAATTAATGTTAATCACTTGATAATTATATATATACATTTGCGCACATACGCATACATATGAAAGTTATGTCAGCCTTATAGCGCGTAAAAGGAAATGAGGCGCAGTGCGCTACCAATTAAATCGAGCCCATAAAAGAAAAAGGCAACAGTCAAGTGCGCGAGTGTGAGTGTATATAAACTAGCATATGAATAAACACATATATACGTATGTATGCATATTTACGTGGTGAGTGTGATGATCCAACCAGAGGTGCGTTCGTGTCGTGCTTTTTTTTGTATTCGTGACACAATATGGGTGTATGTATGTGCTCATCCAACGCAGAACTCCGACTCAAATTATTGGATCGTACTAATTTGTATACATTTATTAACTAATTCGCTATATTGGCATAATATAAAATAAATAAACCGAAATCTAATATGTGTTCTAACTTATATGGTATTGTGTCAAAATATTCGTCACGCCCGCACCTCTGGATCTAGCAGCAACACAGAGCAAAACAATATGGCTGCCGCCGCCACTTGTTGGATGTTATAACGTATTAACTATGCAGATTAAATACTTCTCTTGCTGCAACACCAATTATTTTGGATTCTGCGTGAAATAAATACATAGAATTATTATTTGTTTCTATACATACACACACGTATCTGTATATATATGCATGTGTGTATGTATGTATGTACAATTACCGACCACGTATGTGTGTGCAATCGCTTTCAATTACTAATTTGCGTCCCAAAATGCAATGAGTCCTTCACTCAACGCATTGAGCGCATTAAAACAGTGCATTGATAAAGCATAACTCATATATATATATAATTATATAAAGTATTTTATATATATATATATATTTGTTTTGTCATATTTTTTTTGTTAATTATTTGGGTGCAGCCCTTTTTTTGGTTAAAACCAGTTCCAGGCGATACACGCCTCCACTTACAGTATTTTTTATAGGGTCAGCTAAAACTAATTCGTTTAAATTCAACAACAAAGCGATCGCGAATTGAGCTAAGATTTTAAGATTTTGTAAGAGCTTCAAAAAAAAGGGCGCATTGGCTTGCATTTACTATGCATCTAGTGCGAACAGCCCTTCCAAAAAAAAATTATATTTTAAATCGCACTTAACGTACTAGTGCTAATTTTTACTGCACTCGAAAATATAAAAAAAAAAAAACTGTCAAAACTAAACCTCATCGCGTGCATATTTATATATAGTTTCCTGGCAAAAGAAATTGGGATATGTTTCTAGACGTTTCTAATTGCCTAGAACGTATTGATCGTGTTTCAGATAAGTACAGTGCCTTTAAAGATCCGGATCCACTTTTGATGTTACTTGGATAATATAAAAAGCTTTTTACACTTATGTAAATACGGACTAATTCGGCTATCACAAGTATCTTCTGCGATTCTCTGACAAATTTGGATATTTTCATTGTGAGATTTTCTATGGATGACCCATCAATTAAAAAGCGGTAAGTTCTGGTTCTTGTGTAAGCATAAATCAGGGCAATCCTATCAAGAAATGCTTTTTTAAATTCAATTAATCCAAAAATTTAAATATATACGTAATTATTTACTTTTCCATAAATAAGATATTTATGGAGTGCAAAGGTGTAAAAGGGGGCCGAATAGTATTTTTTTTTTATAAATTTTAATCAAATCAAATGTATACAGCAATGTAAAATTGTGATGTCGAATCAAATAAAATTTATTTTAGTATAAGAGGATGCCAAATTCGTTGTCTCTGGTTTTTATAGGCTCTAAGATCTACCCACCTATAGAGACTATTCAAAAATTAATATATGGACTTCTAGTGGACGCATATATCCACTGCACACATTAAAAGGGTATAAAAATACATGGACGCTCGTCGCAAGCTGCGGGCATTAGAAAGCGGCAGCGTCGCTGCCTCCCATTACTCCGCACTATAGAACAGCTTCTGTGTATATTGTCTGATCGTTATAAAATTTGCGCGGTAATAACAATAAAAGCTAATAGAAACTGGTATAATTCTCTAAATACCAATGTACACACATCGTTTTTCCGTACACCAAATTCTATTCCAAAATTTGCATTTAAATAATAGTTTTTAATTTGAATACTCTGTATCGAAGTGGTTGACTGAATATTATAAATATTTCACAATTGAACATGCAACATGCAGTAGATGACAAACAAAGTAATTCTGACATCTTTTATCAGTAGTGAAGATCAGTTCAGAAACGCGACAACAACACTTAAGGTGCGCAAATGGAAATATTTGTCTTTTTATCCACAATAGAGTGATCTGCTTTCCCGATATATCTGCACATTTATATATTTGTCTCTACCAGGCATCTATATTCTGTTCATATATTATTCCTGCTTGTGAAGTACACAAATTTTAAATAGTAAATTCAAACTAGTGAGTGATATCGACTGTGGGGCTTTAGAAAAACACATTTAATATTATCGATTGTGTCATTGTATCTTTTCTGTCTAGATTGAATGTATATGTACATTTAAGTTCAGATGTAGTATAGTCAATATTGCAACAAAATACGTACAGGAATTAAATTGTATCTATTTTATGGCAATTTAATTTGTGTCCAATTAAAAAAGGTCAAACAGTGGTCATTTTGTTTTGGTGAGTTGATCTCATGGCTTTGGCCGTGGCACTTGTTACATACATGATTTATTTGATTATGAGGTCTTGTGGTGAATAAAAACTAAAACTACAAACCTTACCTACACCCACATCCACACTCATTTAAGAGAATGTGGAGAGTAACAATTGTATTTGTGCATTATGGCATCGAAAAGTACACAGCAGCCATTGTTATGTATTTTAGTGAAAGAAGAGCTTTAGCAGCATTGTATCACATTTTTATTTGCACACGCACACACACATATATTATATGTTTGTTGTAATTGGATTTATGTATATCAGTATATATGTTGTTATTTTTTAAGATTGATCGATGTTGGTAACGACGACCATGAGTACGATGAGGTCGAAGAGCTACCAGAGGAACCAAAATCAAGTCAGGTATTGCAGTCAACGTCAACGTCACAAAATAGTATCAACATTGGAGACAATACTGTCACAGCATCAAGCCACATTTCTGACGTTGGCGGCATAAGAGCCGAGGACTTGCCGCCAGAGTTGCCACCTCCAAAGCAGAAATCTGTAAAGAATTCAAAGAACAAGCAAAAGCAGAAAACGGCAGCCAATAAATCAAAAATACCCCGATCACCATCTTTGGCGAGCAGCTTGAGCAGTTTGGCCAGCAGCTTTAGTGGCAGTCACGGCAATAATAATAATAACAATAATAACGTTCCACCACAAACGCCTCCGTTGCCAACCAGTTATCAACAGCAGAATAAAAATAAAGCGAAACTTATGAATGGTGCGGAAAACAATGGCGGTGCAAGTGCTACGCCAGTGGCTGCACCCGTCACACCCGTAAAATCAAATAATGCATTGCAAGATTGCAAAAGCACTATGGGAATAGGAAGTAATGTCCAATTAAGTCAAGTATTTACCACTGATGGCGGCGATAGTGGCACTAGCTTGGAGGCAAGCCCCTGTTCATCTGGAGCACCCCGTCCTCAGGTACAAATAACTCCGATCGTCCAAGCGACAAAATCATCAACTCCAAACCCAGCATCACCAAAAAATTTTCAGTATTTAACATTAACGGTTCGTAAGGATGAAAATGGCTATGGCATGAAGGTAAATTTTAAATCATAATATAATGTCATTAATGATAATAATAATTTTGGAAAATATTTATTTACTGTTCTTAGGTCTCTGGGGACAATCCGGTTTTTGTGGAAAGCGTTAAGCCCGGCGGAGCAGCACAAATTGCAGGATTAGTGGCTGGAGATATGATTTTAAAGGTTTGTAGTATTGTATTTTTTTATATTCAATTTTTGTTATCTGCCTGATTATTATTTTTTAGGTAAATGGACAAGAAGTGCGGCTGGAAAAGCACCCAACTGTAGTGAGTTTAATCAAAGGTTTGTAAAAAATGGTCAACTTTTCAAATACCGCACGATAGTTTTTTGACGCGTGCTTAAGTTTTACTTTATCGCACTAATGGATGAAATGTAGCTTCGGACAGTTTGTTATTCAAGATTGTATAATAGTACTCATTAGCCAACAGACCATCTATCTGCTTCACTGAAGGACGTTTCAACGTTTATCTGTATAGTTCCGTCTACAGTTGCAGCTCGCATCAGGGTATGGTTTAACTGGGAGCACTAGCAACATATCATCAATGCATCTCTTGCGTTCCGTCTCCTCTGCCTTTTGTTTTTGATACTTCCCGTACTTTTCGCGTGCACGTTGTGCATATTTACTCATGATGCTCGATATCTTTTCCAAAATATATTGTATATACGTGGGACATATGATTAGTATGTCCCCCATCGTCATTAATGCTTGATTATAGCAGTGAATACATATAAACGTTTTTTCTCGCTGGGGAGGAAGTGCTGGTATTCTAATATTGAGGTATTCACACGTTCGTGTGCCATAAGGACGGACACGATTTATTGTTGTTTGATAAAAATCTTGAACCTCGTCTGCTGAACTCCATACACCATAATGTTTTGTGGTCATTATTACACAAAATACGGCTCCTGTGCGCAAAACAAAATCTAATGTCATTTCAAAGCAAAAGGATTTTAATTTCGGAAAAAGACAAAAAAGTTTGGCCCAATCTATATATGTATTTAAATTTGAAATTTTGAGAGTACAATTATAATATTACCAGCCACCTAAGATAAAATTAGTTTCGGTTGTCACAAGTACTGTCGTCCTTGTTCTTAGCAACTCTGATGGAACGATTGGCTTTATTGTATCCAACTTATGCGATGCTCAAGACTGCTGCGATCCAAGAGTAAAAGGTTCTTGAGCTGTGTATACCTTTTGTGTTTGTTCCTTTCAAGCTTTAACTTGGAATATGCGCACTGTTATTTGTATATGACATATTTATATATATGGATATTAATATTTTAACATGCTGGCTCAGCTCAAATAACCATGTGTGGGGCATATAAGGCAGATGTACTCCTGGAAGCAAATCTAAGTGTCAAATAAATTTGTAAGCTACTTTGATGATGATGTATGTGGATAAGTCAATGGTACCAAATTTCTCTATAGAAATATTTTGAATATTCCATAAGAACGTCTACTACTGAGCTGAATCACCATTGAGAAGCCGATCGATAGTATTCTGTACATCATCTTTAAAATGATGGCAGTATATAGGTAATCGGTTGACTGTCAGAAAGCCTTCTTTTAAGCTATCATTCCAAGCTTCGACAAATGTTTCCCGCCATGGCGTCGTGGTTTCCTTGTTGGTCCCAATATATTTGGAGCAATATTTCTGGTGGAGGTCCTGCATGTAGGTCTTTGATTTCAATCTAATATGGTTGTATATTGACGCTGCTGCATCGGGGCCATCCCAAACACCTAGTTCTTTAGTCAGCCAGACGGTGCCAACTAAAATACTTAATTTGATAATCATCACAACAACCATTGATCCGATTACCATCACTCTTCCGCAGTGCAAAAAATGAGTCAAATGTTTGAAAAATGTTTATTTTTGATATAAACTATAATTAATTTTGAAGAAATCATTTCTGTGGCCTACTTTTCATCACTTCAAAAATTGTCGGATGCTTTCTTAGATTGTCTGAGCTACGCGACGTCAGTGATTAGGAAGACTTTGAAATTTCTTAACAGTACTACTCCATGCATCTTCAAAATCTTTACTTCAGGAGTGATCATCCGATGAATTACATTTGCAATCCGGTTTGTTATCTACACCAAATGTGTTCTTGTCGATGCTTTTATTTTTAATTTACTCCAATTTATTAATTTCAACTGCATAATGGTAATGATAAAATGATTCGGAGATTAACACAAATTTCAAAAAATGTAATATGACCATTACCAAAATAGTTGACAAACTATTAATTTAAAATTAAAAATTAATTTTTTTGACTATTTTCGTAACGCCTATCTATCCTCATTTTTATATATTTCTTAAAGCTTCCACAATTGTTGAGCTGGCTGTTAAGCGCAGCCAGAAGGTGGCCAGGCCCACCTCAGTGGGCATTGTTCCGACAACACCCGTACTCTCAGGACGCGATCGCACAGCATCAATTACTGGTCCTCAACCTGTTGACGTACGTAATTTTACCAAAACCCAAATTATTTTCAACATATGCGACAACTTATATTCAAATTGCAGAGTATCAAACGGCGAGAGATGGAATCGTACAAGATACAAACCCTACAAAAAATGTTAGAGCAAGAAAAATTGAATTTGGAGCGCCTTAAAGGTGATACACATAATCCCAGCTATAAACTGTCGGAGGCAAACATTCGAAAGCTTCGCGAGCAATTACGGCAGGTGGGAGCTGAGGTGAGTACAAGTTGTCCGTTACATTGCATTAAAGTAACTGTACATAGATTTATGTATACGTATTCATATACAAGTTTTGTGTGTGTATTCTATAGCGTTATGTATATTTATATATATACGAGGTGTGTTCAAAAAGTATCGCGAATTTTGGAATTTTCGCGGGTTACGTATATTCGAATTTCGATTTTTTTGTAGCGTTATGTTGGTACTCATGTCTCTCACTTATGCCGACAAGCTCGGCCATTTTGAATGTTCACTTAATTGTTGACAGCTGCTTTGCTTGCACGTGTTTTGGATCGTCTTCGATTTTTACCTATTCAAAAAAATGGATCAAAGAACCTGTATCAAATTTTGTGTGAAAAACGAAATTAAGAACGCGGATGCATTCCGAATGTTGATTGTGGCATACGGAGAAGCTACCTTGGACCGAAGCAACTTTTATCGGTGGTACAAAATGTTCTTAGAAGGCCGAGAAGATGTGAACGACGAAGAGCGTGCCGGACGCCCGAGCACTTCAACAACAGACGAAAAAATTAATGGAGTGGAGAAAATGGTATTGGCCAATCGTCGAATCACCGTTAGAGAAGTTGCTGAGGAGCTAGACATATCGATTGACTCATGCCATTCGATTTTTATCAATGATTTGGGCATGAGACGGGTCGCCGCGAAATTCGTACCAAAATTGCTCAATTGCGACCAAAAACAGCATCGCATGAACATTGCTAATGAGATGTTGGACTCTGTCCGCGACGACTCAAATTTGCTCCAGAGGGTCATAACTGGTGACGAATCGTGGGTTTATGGTTACGACGTGGAAACCAAAGCTCAATCGTCTCAATGGAAGCTGCCGCACGAACCAAGACCGAAAAAAGCGCGCCAAGTTCGGTCGAATGTGAAAGTTTTGCTGACAGTTTTCTTCGATTGCAGGGGCGTGGTGCATCATGAGTTCTTGCCACAGGGTAGAACGGTCAATAAGGAATATTACCTGCAAGTTATGCGCAATTTGCGCGAAGCAATCCGCCAGAAACGCCCGGATTTGTGGAAGAACAAAAATTGGCTTTTGCACCACGATAACGCCCCTGCTCACACATCGTTGCTTGTGCGCGACTTTTTGGCCAAAAACAACACACTAATGATGCCGCAGCCACCGTATTCCCCAGATCTGGCCCCCTGTGAAGTGCTTCGAAGATTGGAAAAACCGTTGGCACAAGTGTATAATATCTCATGGGGATTACTTTGAAGGGGACAAAATAGATATTCATGAATAAATAAATAATATCTGAAAAAACACAAAATTCGCGATACTTTTTGAACACACCTCGTATATATATATATTTATATATCCCGTCTGATATGTTAGTTAAATAGTACACACCATCTCTTCATTAACAATCTTGTGCCGGTGGATATTCTTGTGTATCCTTAGATATGCATTGAATATTAAATACACATATGTGTCGTTCAGGCTGTAACGCATTTATATGTGCATACTTCAAAACATCCCGCGAAATATATAGTGACATTAAAATGATCAATGTTTACATGATATTATGTTTGTTTAAAATACTTTAAAACGTCTATATTAAAGATCAGGGCGCAGTTAATGTTGTGGATGAATTCTAACCATTACTTTATTCGCGCTAAATTAAAACCTTTCACAAATTAAAAAACTAATATTACTAAAAAAATGTATAAGAAAGTAAAAAAATTAGTCTAAGAAAGTTCATGTTGAGCGTTGATCAACACATATGCAGGTCCACTGGCACATTTATACATGTATTTTTATGTACTTGTATATATCTGTATATACATATGTTCATATATATACATATTTCTCAATATGTGTGAATTCTTAAATTTGATCAACTTAAATAAATTGAATATGCAGGATACGCCAACAATTAAATGTCAAGCAGCTGCAAGCGACAAAAATACTGAGTTACTAATGCACAATCAAATTCAAAATTTGTCTGCCGTCACCACTCCTCATCACAATCAGCATCATCATCTTTCCAACAACAACAACAATCATCACAGGCAACAGGCTAGCACACCACAGTCGCAATCAGCACAACACTCATCACCCGCATTCCTTTCGCTACTGCCACGTTCTCTTTCGTCTCTTTCGCTGGGCACGCGAAAGAATAAGATTGACAAAGATTTGCTAACCTCGACATTACATAATACTACGGACATCGTACCACATCAGCGAACACCTGATGCTTTTAATCCAATGTCGCAGTCCCTATATCATCACATTCATACGAACATGGCAAACATGCAACCAAATACGCAGCGTAGTTTACAACAGCAGTATGTGTACCAGCAGCAGCAGCGCTTTAAGGAAACTTTGAAATCGACGTCGGCAACAAAAGGTAAAAATAAGTTTACAATATCAAAGAGTTTGATCGAAGAAGACATACCGCCACCCCTACCACAAAGAAATCCAACACGACAACTAGCCTTGGATTTGGGCAAAGCAAACAATATACATCTGTTTTCTCCGGTTTCCGACTTGGATCGTGCAGGTAGTCCACAACGCAATTCCCCACAGTCATTGGCAAATGCTAGCAATAGCAGTGGCTCTCCATTTAACAACAATAATAGTAACAGCAATGTCAAGACAAAGCGATCAAAAGTGAAGACTAAAGCTTTATCGGATCCAAAAATGACAACGCAAATGTTTTTGCAAATGGAAACCACCTGTCGGTCCGTTGCAACTGAAGACATGGTCCATAGTAGCAGCTTCGATGTAGATTGTGTTCCACCGCCACTGCCACCACGGCAGCCTGGCATGCTGTCGGAGGAAGTAAATCGTGGAAGCTGCCATAACCTTAATAATGGACGTCCACAACCAAATTCTCTATGTACTGTTTATAATTACCCACTTGTCTCGACATGTACGGCAGTTCAAAGCGACAATATTAAAGCTGCATTTCCATTATCGCAACGCCCTAACATAGTTAAACAATTGCAGCAGCACCAACAACACCAGCCACTCAGCGGTGTGCCCACTGCAGTAAGTAATCAAAGATCTCTCACTCCCTGTTCATAATTATAGTTGCGATCATTGCTTAAATCGTTTTATCTACATGTACATTAAATGCAGCTTACTTTTTTTTCAAAAATATTCATTGATATTCTCTTAGTTTTTTCTTTTTTTATTGTATCATGTTATTATGTGAGTTAAATTGTTTTGCCTACATCTAAATTCGATTAAACGATATTCTTACTTTCTAAAATATTTATCATTTTCTTTTGGTTCATTTTTTATTCTGAATTCATTAAAAACAGCTGTTAAACACGCCATTAATTTGTTTAATTTTCATCTTTGTTATCACATTACCACGCAAAACTTTTCCTCCCTATTCAATCAATCAAAATAACACATGAAATTTATTACTGCAAATTGAGTCTATAATTTAAATATGTAAATATATGTATTATCCTGATTAGCGTTAAGGGAATTTAAGTTTGGGATATTTACTTGCAGCATTTAGTCGAGCATTTTTGTATTTAGCCTTTTTTAATAATATTATTTTATGTATGTACAAGTGTGCGTGTATATGTATGTTATTAATTATGTATATAAATGTTTTTTGGTATTTCAAAGCTAAATAGTTAATTTTTGTCTACTTTGACTTTATGCACTTTTCACGCATTGTGTAACCATGCAAGTGTGCACATTAGTAACCTTCGATGTATATAAGGATTATGCATCTTCATTGATTTTAAAATGCGAACGAATATGTTACAACTAAACTTAGTGTTTATTTGCAGTATCTGAAAATCTGTTTAAAAGTTGTAATCATAATATTACTTACTAAAAACTGCGCCTAAGATACTTTTATATGCATTATGCACAGTGAATAACAATTTATGGTTAACTGTATACAAATTTGGGACACAATAGTTTTCTTACGTATTTATTTTGAAAAATTTCTTAAACATACATATTATATACGTATATATAAGCAAATATTGTGTATGTGAATAGATACATAACCAATTATTATTATTTATGTTTCTATATATTGCAAGTCTTACTTAAGTCCTGCGTTTAAGATTATATGTATATCTATGTACTTTCTTATTAAAAATTCACATTTTCTTTAACGTTTGATAGGTCCTTGGTCAAACACCCCAATTAAATCAAATGAAACATCGACGCGTTGGATCTTCCCCGGACAACATGCATCCAAGACACCCGGGTAAACATTCAATTTATTATGTTCTTAATTGCATTAGCTTATAAAAATTCAACTCCCCCACTTTAAAAAATGGGCGAAAATTAAAAAAAAAAAAAAAAACATTTGTCCCGGTAGTTCCTTTCAATGTAAGTTAAGAAACTAATTCAATTTGTGTTGTATTTTGATATTACCCTGCAGATAGATTAGTGAAAACCACCTCCGGCTCTTGGGAGATTGTTGAGAAAGATACAGAGGTGACGCCACCAGGTACTCCGCCGCCGCCTTATTTAACAAGCTCGCATATGCCCGTACCTGAAGATCCTAATGAGAACTGCAGTGGTGGCGCGGGAATCTTTATAGAATCACATCACTTTACGCCTATGGCTTGTGCAACGTCACCCTCGCAGCAGCCATTACATTCCAACCGTATACAGGCGTCTCAATCAACTGACACTCAAAAGGAAATTATTTCCATGGAAGATGAGAACTCCTCCGATCAAGAAGAACCATTTATTGATGAAAATGGACCATTCAACAATTTAACACGCTTGCTTGAGTCCGAAAATGTTGTATTTCTAGCTGTTTTCCTTAATTACGTTTTATCAAACTCTGAACCAGCGCCACTTCTTTTTTATCTAATAACTGAATTATACAAAGAAGGTACCTCCAAGGACATGCGGAAATGGGCCTATGAAATACACTCAACTTTCCTAGTGCCGCGTGCCCCTCTATCTTGGTATCGGCAAGACGAGTCTTTAGCGAGGGAGGTGGACAATGTGTTACAGCTAGAGTTTGACAAAGTGGAAATTTTGCGAACTGTATTCTTACGCAGTCGCAAACGCGCCAAGGATCTTATCAGTGAGCAGTTGCGGGAATTTCAGCAGAAACGGACTGCTGGCCTGGGTACCATATATGGCCCCACCGACGACAAGCTCGCTGAAGCTAAGGCAGACAAGCAAAGAGAGCAAATCATTGACAAATATCTAATGCCCAATCTGCAATTGTTGATGTAAGGACCCATTGCCAACGTGTTTTTTCCGTGGAGCTTAACTTTATTTATTTCCACAGTGAGGAAGTTGAAAAGGATTTACCACAGGAAGATGCTCGCAGACTAGCCTTATGTTCTGCACTTTCAACGGTGATACACCGCATATTTACTACTCGTTCGCACCCAAACAGTATTGTGGATCGTGTGCATCATTTTGTTAGCCGTGAAAAGAGTTTTAAGTCTCGCTTGATGGGTAAAAATCGAAAGGTTTGTGAAATTATTCAGACTAGATTGAATTTATTAGATCTAAATACAGCTTGCTGATGAAAATGTGAATATTTTTTCAAGATCTCTTTATCCCCCAAATAGGCAGAAATATTTTTTTTTTAGTGAGTGTCCATTTTTTTTACACTCCACTCAAAACAAGTGATTTTTTTTTTTGTAAAACGAAATTGATCTATTTGTTTGTTTGCAGGCAATGTGAGAATCTCATTCTATACTTGCTAGCGTAGTTTCGATAGAACTTGGCGGGGTATATCATCTTCGGCACTTCGAAGATAACGCTTTTGTTTTTCTTTTAATGTATATTGTGTCCATTTATTTTGACTAGATGATTGTACGTGGTCATCCATTAGTATTACGCCAATACTACGAAGTAACACATTGTAATCATTGTCAAACGATTATATGGGGTGTGAGCCCTCAAGGCTATCATTGCACAGGTAAAGGTCATAATGTTGCGCCACTGTCTTGAGTGTCATACTAATCTCAATTGTGGTTTATTCTTACTTAATTTCAGATTGCAAATTAAACATTCATCGTCCGTGCTCGAAAGTCTTGGACGAAAGCTGCCCGGGACCACTTCCTCAAGCAAAACGACACCCACACAACGACAATAAAATTAGTAAATTTATGGGTAAAATACGACCCAGGACGAGCGATTTTATAGCAAGTGAGTTAAAATGTGCAAAAAATACTTGATATAGCTAAAGGGTTTTTTTTTTGTTAGATGAAAAGCGCGCTCGCCAGGATGAGGAAATGGAAACTGAGTTGAGCAACGGTAAGTGCCGAAGTCTCACGCGAAGCTATTTTAGTTTGTTGTTTCTTAAAGAAAATAATAGTTTCATGCTTCTATTCTAAAAACAAGTTAAACATATTTATTTTTGATAAAGAAATGCGCGCATATATAAAATATGCAAAACAGTTGCCCCTAATTATTTTCTAAGTTTTTAATAAATACAAGTTTTTTTTATTTAAAATATTAAGCATATATAATATATGAAAATATATATCAGCATAGAATAAAAAGTGCTTTATTAATTACAAAAAAAACTCAAACAAATTATGAGTTTAAATACCAGCAATTGAACAGAACGGTGAAAGCAAATGAAAAGTTCTCTCGTTTTTTAAAAACTGTTTTTTGTGCTGTTATCTCTCATTAGTGTTTTATTTCTTGCTGTGAGCACTCGGGACTGAAACGTACAATTTTAATTACGCGATAGGCATTTAAATTATTGTATACTTATGTACACATAGTATACAAGTCCATATAAATAAATAAAAAAGGCATAGTGAATATAATATGAATGCCATTCACTTTAGTGGGCTCAATCAAAGTAGTTGGTTTCTCATAATTATTTTAGTTGTTTGGAAACTTTAACATAGCAAAACTTATGTGCTTCAACAGTATGTATACATACATATGTGAATTGTTTTATAGTCGAAATTTAGTGGAATACAGTGTATCATGTAGATGTGAAACTGTATGTAATAGAAGGCATCTTCGACCCAATAACTATATGTATATATAAAAATGTATATAATTTAACATATACATATATATATATATATGATCGGCATCACCAGGCGAGTCAATCAAGTCCGCCTCCGTGTTCCTCAGCCTGTCTATATAAACACGCAAATATGTATGTATAGAAGCGAGAGATTTTAAATTTGGAATGAAGACTCTCGTATGCTGCACGAAGATCAAGTTTACCTAATCTTATCGATAACCCCCCAATTGTTTCGCTATAATCCATAAGAATTTCGATTTCCATAAAAGACACAATCTTTAAGATACTACTTCTACTAGAAATATACCTCAGTAATGTTGATCGACTGCAGAAATCAAATTCAACGAAAGAAACCCCATTTTCTGTAAGCGTGTATGCATAAATTTGTATAATGCGCGCTAATTTTTCATATTGCAAAATTTATTTCTATTGCAGTGCTTTCATGTGCAACGATTTAATTTCAAATTGTTTTTCAAAGTTTTATTATGAATATGTACGTGCACGCTTTATGAAAGGTAAATACCTATGTACAGGGTATTGACGAGCTTTTCGGGTAGAATACTTCAAGTTGTTTAAATTAACATTTTGTTTATCTTTGGTGAATAATAGAGACAAAAACACATCTGTAAGTGTATGTGTACCATATGTATTCATGCTTATGGGAAAAATTATAAAAAACAAAGCACGAACAGAACAACTGAGTAAAAAACAATCTTAGACAAAACATTTTTGCTTGATATATATTTGTCTGTCTCTATATGCACACGGCGACTTCAACTGTAAGCTTCTGGAATTACAAAATATGTGCCAGTACATATGTAGATTTGCTTAATATTTTTAATTTAATTTTCAAGTAATTGTAAAAGCCAACGTATTTACGAGATTAATATACCTAGAACTTCTAACCCCAGGTGTAAGAAAATTTAATTTTTAGTTTTAATGATTGGCTGAGTAAAACTGCGATAAAGTAAAATACGAAAGATTCGAGCAAGCGGTTTCGTGTGTCAAACAAAATGGATAGCAGCTACCCTGTTATAACAGGCCCATCCGTGCGACGTAATGCCAGCCTTAAGCGGCTATTAAAGTTTTCGTGGGCGACTCAAGGTGAGTGATAAGAAAACGCATTAGCGAAAAAGAAACGAACTGGGAAATTGAAATAGAACAGGCGTCAAGTGCAAATTTTAGAGATGTAACCGATTGAAAAGCTCGTGTATATAATACCAAAACGTTTAGTCGCAAACCACAAAGTTTTTAAATTACCGCTGTAAGCTTTCCAGGTATTTTTGGATTTTTTTTTAACAAAAAGAGCTTTTTATTTTAATGTTAACAGTAGCGTTGTGCTTTCGTTCTTTTGCTGATAGATGACTATAAGTTCAATTGTATAATTTTCCGTGAGTGTGCTGAAATGTTATTGAATTACGGTCAATCTAAAAAATAGTATTAAATTGTTAACAAAACAGTTTCATTTAAAGTGATTAAACTGTGTTTGAAAATTTAAAAACATTTATTATATAAACTTAATACGAATAAACGTAAGAAAAAAGGTAAAAGTGTATTAGAACTAAACATAAAAATATATAGTGTAAAGGAATACACGTGAATAATATAATTTTGATGCCTCAGAAAGCAATATTTAATTTTAAATATTACTTTCATACATTAACACATTCCAAAGCTTCGACCGTATGTACATCGTTAATGCGTTGTGATAATGTATTGTGATATTTTCTTACTTACTCACTTGATTCAAAACGTTCAAGAACAAACTGAATAAATGCCTTATGCTGAATAAATGTCAAAAACTTCAATGAAATTCTTATACATGGGCATGCACATACAGCCTAATATTTATTCAATAATCAAACCATTTGTCAAGTTTTAAAAATAGATTTATGAGTCTGGTTGTTTTCTTTACCAAAGCGTAAATTCTAAAAAAAGTTTTTTTTCGCGAAAGTTAATTAACAAATATGTACATCACGTACAAGATTTACACACAAATTCTTTCAACAAGTATATTCCATGAAAATACGTTATGTACAACTTGAAGGGCAGCAGATAATTGGACAAAATAAATGATTTTCTTCAATATATGCCCTTATGTTTTTGCTTATCGACATAATCTAATTAAGCTATTTAACTAATGTTCTAACATTCTGATTTTTTTCGTAGATCGTGTGCAATCATCGCCGATAGTTCGTCAACCGTCGGATCGCAGGCTAGATGCTAACATATCTTTTCGCTCCAATGGGAATACATCCATTAATTCCTCTGTGCTTAATAATAGTGATTTGCAGACTTCTTTTAACGCTGTCAGCAATGCCAACGAAAATACTACTGGCAGTGGTAGTTTCGCGGGTGTTGCAGACCTTACAACGAGTTCAGGATCAGCGACCTTATCTAATAGCTTGACAGGTGGCATCGGTATGAATTCTACAACCGATTTAAATGCATCGGAATCAACAGAAAGTAAGGATGCCAGGAGAGAATCGTAAGTTGTTGAGCAAACGTATAATACTTGACCAACAAATCGAATTCCAACTCTTGTCAGCTTTCACCCACAACACAAAAGCGCACCAGTTTCTGTTAACCGATCCGAGTCATATAAGGAACGCTTATCAAGCAAGCGGAGCCGTAATAGCCGTCGAAAAACTTCGGACCCCAGCTTATCGTCGCGTGCTACGTAAGTTAAATTATATTACATGACGTAAGTGAAATTTGATGTAGTGGCGCTAGAATTTATCTGACGTGAATTGAAGTGGATACATAATTAATAGAGTCGTTCAAAATCTCGATAGAATTCGCGATTTGAGTTGGGAAAAGTGTAAGATATGTTAATGAAATTGCGTTTACTTAATTCTGAAGAAGCCGAGAGTAGTCCAAAATATAGTAATTTCAATAGATATATTTACGACATACTTGTATATTTTTAAAGGTCGTACCCTTAAAAAAAGGCGAAAGTAGTAATATTAAGTTTTGCAAATGTAAGTTACACGCAGGAGGAAGCATCTCCGACACTATTAACAATGAAATCAATTTAACAGCCAACCCTTAGCAGTGACATCAACTTTATTAGCTGATGGTAACGACAGTGGCAGTGGGTCGTGTATAATAATGCATAATATGTGCTACGTCCTCCTATCACATTTACTTTCCGCTTCTTTTATTAAACTCTCTCGCTTATTGGCCGGGTAAGGGTCGTAATGTTTTCTTACCGGCAATCCCTCGCCTTTAAGTCAACATCGCAAATTATACTTATTGAGTGCGAGAGGCTGCACCTCTTTCGTTCATATATGTATGTTCAGTTTCAGTATTTCCGCTTAACTCAACTAGAACGGTGCAGCAGCGAAGCTCAATACATTCCGGTGAATATACGTAAAAAGCGAAAAAAAAAATTTCAGAAATCTTTTAAAGTTACATGAAACCTTGAAAATAATAATGAAGAGCAAAGCTCGATGTACTCGTAGTAAAAGTTTTAAGGAGATGGTTGGCCTAATTTATGAAAAGTAAGTCTTTTTCTGTTAAGCACAAACTTACATAAGGGTAAAATGACGTTGTGGGAAACAATTTGTAACAGGCATTAATAAACATCTCCGAACGCATAAAGTATATATATTCTTGCTCATTTATTTCATTCTTTTAGTTCGTTTATTCTAAAGTAATGCGAAAAATCTATTCAATTTACAGTGACGAGCAACCGGACGTGGGCATCTCAACTCCCAAATATACGGGAGGATCAAATTCTAGTCTCTCTTCTGGAGGTGACTCTGATAGTCCAAGCATCTCAATGGAACAAGTTACCGGCGGTATTGCCGGTGCAACCGCTGGTATCAACGCCATATCCAGTGCATCTAATTTGCATCAGCATCCACATCCACATCTACTAATACAGCAGCACGCAAGTCAGCACAGCCAGCAGGATTCGTTTCAAGGTAGCGTGGGAAGTGGCAGCAGTGCTAGCAACACAAGCTTCTGGAATGCCCACCAGCCATTGCAGCGCCCATGGAATATCGATAGCGACGATGAGGACGATTTCAACGAAGCCGATTGGAGTTCACTTGTTGCAGTTGAGATGCTTTCAGCGCTATCAGATGCTGAGAAGAAGCGGCAGGAAATAATTAATGGTAGATTAAAAAAGGCATATGTCAAATATCCATGACGATCAGCAACTAATTTCACTTTACTTTACCTTACACTCATGCACAGAAATCTTTCAAACAGAACGTAACCACGTTCGCACTCTGAGATTGTTGGATCGTTTGTTCTTTTTGCCGCTGTACGATAGTGCTTTGCTTTCCCAAGACCATTTACTGATATTATTCCCACCCGCACTGCTATCCCTGCGAGAGCTTCATGGCGCTTTCGAACAAAAGTTAAAGCAACGTCGAGTGGAACACAATCACGTTGTAAAACACATTGGTGATTTGCTGACGGATATGTTTGATGGTCAATCGGGTGAGGTGCTTTGCGAACATGCTGCTCAGTTTTGCGCTCGTCAGCAAATAGCACTTGAAGCATTGAAAGAAAAGCGACATAAGGATGAGCAGTTACAGAAACTGCTTAAAAAATCTGAGTCACATAAGGCTTGTCGTCGACTAGAACTTAAGGATTTATTGCCCACGGTATTACAGCGGCTGACTAAATACCCTCTATTATTCGAGAATCTTTATAAGGTCACTGTTCGAGTGCTACCCGAAAATACTACTGAAGCAGACTCCATCCAGCGCGCCGTGGAGTCATCGAAAAAGATTCTCGTCGAAGTAAATAAGGCTGTGAAGACAGCCGAGGACGCTCACAAGTAAGCAAAGTCTGGTGCTATGGTAAACACACACATATTATATTGTTTTGTAACTCTTATAGGCTGCAAAACATTCAGCGCAAATTAGACAAATCTTCATATGATAAGGACGAGTTTAAAAAACTAGATCTTACGCAACATCATCTTGTACACGATGGCAACTTAACAATGAAGAAGAATCCTAGTATACAGCTTCATGGATTACTCTTTGAAAATATGATTGTTTTGCTTACAAAACAGGTTAGAAAAATTTCTCAATATTTTTTGTATGAGACTAAAACAAAGCGCATCTGCCACCTATTTTCTTGTTTTTATTGTTTTGCAGGACGACAAATATTTGCTAAAGAATCTTCATACGCCACTAGCAGTCAGCAATAAGCCTGTTAGTCCGATTATGAATATTGATTCAGAGACTTTAGTTCGTCAGGAAGCAGCTGACAAGAACTCGTTCTTTTTAATCAAGACAAAGACTTCACAAATGCTTGAACTGCGTGCTCCCAGCAGTTCTGAGTGCAAAACGTAAGTCATTTATTTTTACATAACCTCTCATTTTACCAATTGTTACGGTCACGAACACTTTAGAATGCTTCATATGGACTACAAGGAGTTTGGTTGTTGGTGGTGTTATGTCCGACTTACTTTGCTATCTCAGTTTCCATATAATGTTTGACGCGTGTGCATGTTACTCTGTCATAACGACATAGGCTAGTAAATTCAATATTACAGTTATGCACAGTTACAGTTATGTGTATCTTCTACCTAATAGTGTTTATGTTTCTAATCACAATGGAGATCTCTATGTCAATGTGCAATTCGTATATTTATATAATAGTTATATCTATAAATCAAAAAAAAAAAACCTGTTTAATTCTTTGGCTTATATACGATTATTTTTTATACAAGCTACGCTCTTCCATTTATTAAAATGGCTCCGAAACTTGACCGACGATATCAGTGGAATTACAAGGTATCAAAGATCATGTTTAGAATTAACTGTTTGTAATGTGTCCAGTCTCACAATAAACAGCTCAAGTTTCGAACGAATATTTTATTGAAAAATGCAAATTAAACAAAAGAAGGTAGAGTGCCAAACCGGAAGATACTCTGTGCCCAGCTCAGAAATGCCCTAAGGCAGTTGCATCACTACTACGGTTACGGTCATAGTATCAGTTATAGTTAGTTTAAATGAGTGGGTTATATGGTATACAGATGCGATATAGATATGTTTATATATATATACACTCATGTATGAACACAAAAAACGGGGAGAATGACTGTGACAATGGACTTAACTTACAACATCCCAACAATTGTGACGATTTGTTCAACTACAATAGCTCTGGATAACATATACAGTGCCGCTCAGCTCATGTCTAGCAAAAAATTTAAAGTGCTACAAGATTTAAACAAAGATACAAACGCAAAATGTTTAAATGCCAATTTGTTTCATTTTATATCAAGTTTGAAAAATAAACTTTAGTTTTTATTAAAATATTAATTAATTAATTAAAATTAGTCAAAAACTGAAAACATGTCCAAAATACATGTCAAAGCTATTTTGGCCCCGTCTTAGAAAAGTAACATATTAAGTGTATAAAAACTTAAATAAGGATGTTAATACTTAGTATGATATCTTTTAGCCTTAATAACTTCCCTTAACCTATTATTCATGGAAGATACCAGCTTCCGGGTAGTTTCTAGACTGATTTTGCTCCACTCATCCAGCAAAGCATTCTTGAGATCGGATCTGTGATTCCGGATGTTATGTTCCAGCAGAGACCACAAATTTTAAATAACATTTGAATCTGGAGACTGGACCGGTGGAATTATCATGTGGGGGCAATTCCAGATAAGCCAGGACTGTACTAATCCGGACTTATGCTTGGTTGTTGTTCTGGTCGTGGTCCTGGTAGAACCGGAAAGTACGTCGGATTCCTAGCTTCTCGGCACTTTGGAGTAAATTTTCCTTTAATATATTGAGGTATATTGAGTTTTGGTGAACGTCATCCCAATCCCTTTATTTTTTGCGCATATAAAGTGCTTCTTCCGTGGTACTCGGGCATTAAAGTCATGGTTGCGCAGAACCCGGCGCACAGTTTCCACATTGCACTTTTTCCCCATTTCATCCTCCACCTGTGGAGTCAGTTTTGGAGCCGAAAGCTTGTGATTTTCCCTTATTTTCCTGATGATCCTCCGCTCCTCCTGTTCGGTGAAAATCTTGTTTGGTGCATTTCTGCCCTTGTCCTCTATCCGATTTTCGTCGACGAAGCGCCGAATGATGTTGAATACAGTTGTGGTGCATAGACTTACCATTTTAGCTATTTGGCGATGTGAATATCCGATCTTGAAATGTTCCAGGATGAGATTCCGTTGGTCAATGGTAGTCCATTTGCCCATAGTTCTTGTTGGCTGGTTGCACCCGAGATGCAGGATATAACTAAACTGACTACGAAGGATTGGTCTATTTATACCGAAAATAATCAACTTGACGTAAAAAATCCGGGTTTTATGGCACCCAGGTGTCCATAACGCCCCTGGTCCAAATAATATGTGATCATAAATTAAGGTACTTTTTTACATAACCCGGCCTAGCCAGTGGGGGAACCCCAGTTTATTGGGATTATATATTCATTATGGTGGTTAATATATGTACCTGCCATCGGTCTTTGGAATTTTTGAAAAATATTGGATAATTAGTTTATGGCAGGCAATTAAATTTTTTGCTAGACACTGGGCCTTATGAGCTGAGAGACACATAAATATAATTTAATTATAATAAATATCAGTAATTATTGGCAAATACCCAGAAAGAATACTACTTAGTTGAACAAGAAAATATTGTTAGCTTGCATGGAGTTGCCATGAGATTTATGTTACCGGTCAACATGATTACAGGTTTGCGCCGTAGAAGTATGTGCAGTGGCGGCATAGCCTTACTTGCAAAATCGCTAGACCCAAGTTCATAAAAAAAGAAATGAACACAGTCTAATTCCCAAAAGCAACACTCGGCGCTCTTTGCTACACAGCCGAAACCACAAAGCAATATTTTCTCCATTATGTATATACATATATACAAAAAGGAAATGAAGATGAAGACATATTGTATTTCACAATATTTAATTTGAAATCGTTCTATTTGCAGATGGTTTAAGTACATATCAGACGCTGCTGCGCAACAGCATAAGGCGAGATCTAAAAGTTCCAATAGTCAAGATGTGCCCGGCGATGATACGGTTGTCGTCATAGCATCACAAACCCCCAGGGAGTCAGTGGAACAAACACCAGACCGCTCGCATCCAACAAGCGCCACTGCAACCGTTACCACAACACCTCTGGCACCGCTGCTCCCGATAGCTACAGTCACACCAGCACCAACTGCTAGCCAGAACTATGACAATGATAATTGCCGCCGTGAAAGTGCAAACAATGACAATGCCGGCTATTATAATGTATTAGCTAAGCGACGGCTTAGCCATAACGATACAGGCACATCAATAAGTCGCACCATGTCCACTCGCAGTTGCGGCGAGGCCAACAACAATTATCCGACCGGACTTGGACAGGATTTAAATGCTGTAGCGCTGCGTCACACACAATCCGCACGTGAACCAAACAGCGAAGATCGCGCAATGAACTACGGTTTAGTAGGTGGGCCGTCAAAGCGTGACAGTGCGAGCATCGTCTGCTCTAACAATTCGAACAATACGCGTACATTACTCATGCAGTCACCGCTTGTTGAGCCAACAGCAATTCAAATAAGCATTAACCCGGCGCACACCGCTCAGCCAGTGCTTACGCCTGGGGAGCGATTGCGTCGCCTAGATGCGTCTATTCGCGACGGATTACTGGAGAAGCAAAGAATAATTTGTGATATATTTCGCATGCCAGTGGAGCATTTTAACGAGATTGTTGACATTGCTATGATGCCTGAAGCACCCAAAGATTGCGCTGATATTGCGTTAGCTGCCTATGATCAAGTGCAGGTGTTGACAAAAATCTTAAATGATTACATGCATGTATCACCGGAAATGGAGATTTCGGCCGTATCAACGGCTGTGTGTGACCATTGTCATGAGAAGGAGAATCTTAAAAAAGTCTCGATACAATCTCCGCCGCCGTTGCCGCCACCAAATAAACAACAAGCACAGGCTCAACAGCAAACACCACACTTGAAGAGAATGCCAACACTGAAAGCACATGATGTTGAGGAAGTCGCCATACATGAAGATGATGATGGATATTGTGAAATCGATGAGTTGCGTTTGCCTGCAATTTCAGCAAAGTCACCAGCGTCTACACCGTTGGCGCCGTTTAAATTTTCAAGTGTGTCAGCCACAGAAAATAATTTGACACTGGCTCAGGGAGACGACAATAATATTGATATAGCCAAGCGACAGTGCAACGTTAATGTCGAAAGCATTCCTGAGAAACCCGTCGATGAGCTGCTTATCAGCTCAGACTCTAGCGCAAAGAAATCGGAGCTTGTAGCAATACCAATTGAAGATGTGAGCGTCAAACAAGAAACTGAAATATATCACACAGAGATATCTGAATCCACCGATAAAAAAGAAAAAGTTGAAAAAGACTACCGCACCGTCGATTTTCCGCAAAGTGTAGTAGAATCTGAAGATAAAAGTGATCGCATTGAAATCAATGATGTATATGATAATTTGGTTAGTAGTTAAATCCGCAATAGTTTGGAAAATGCTCTTTTTTAAATTTAAATTTTGTTTTTATCTTAAAAAGGCTGCACTTAATAAAGCGCATACAACATTATCATTGATTAACAACTCCACAAAAATGGCACAGCCCATGATCGTCACTGCGAAGGATGAAGTTTTAAGCTCAACGTCCACTTTCGGATCAGGGAAATCATGTGGACTCAATCGCATACAGCACGCCTATTCTTTAGAGCCGAGCGTTCCCTGTCATGCTCTCAGTACCATTGTAAGTGTGTTGAATGAGCAAATTTCGCTTCTTTTGGTAAGTAAACCGTTATCTTCGCATAATAAAGATGAATTTATATATCTCATTTATACTCGTAGCCCAAAATCAATGAACGCGATATTGAGCGCGAGCGTTTGCGCAAAGAAAACCAACACTTGCGTGAACTTTTGAGCGCAATGCATGAACGTCAGCGAGTTGATGCAACAAAGGTAGCTTGATCTTTAGCATTGTATGAGAAATTAATATATAAGTTCATGGTATAACTTATTTATTTATTTATTACTTAAATATGAATCGTATAAATGTTCGTATTAAATTATCTTGAAGTTGCGGCAAAATTTTTGTTGATTGTTTATTGTCTCCTTTCTTTTTTTTTTTTTAAATCAAGGAAACTCCAACCGATATCCTGACTATTCTGCAAGCAGCTGACGCAGAATTTGAAGATGATATTGATGCTATTTCCAATACATCCCTTACACCGACACCCACGCCGATACCTTCAGCTCCAACTAGTGACAGTGACGTAGACTTGCAAGATCAGCCATCATCTACTGGTTCTGATACACTAGAAACAATAAGCACTGAACGAAATATTGACCGCGAGCTGCCAATCGTACCCGGTTCGCACATGCTTCCGGAAGCACTCTCATTTATAGAGCAGGAAGAGCGCAAAGAAAATAGGATCGAAAATAATTAAGTAAAATAAATTTAAAATACTATAACTAATTTAAAATACAATAAACTTTAATATCTTATTCCTTAGCGGCACGAGGTATCCATGCTTATCTAGCGCAAACCATTCCGCAATCTTTTTAGAGAAGAATATGCCTTGGGCTCATATTATTGTGACTGCCCCCATTCAATGTATTAAGAAAAATATAAAATAGACTAGAAGTTCTTTGATGCATGTATAAACATAAATCTTAACGTTCAGTTGTTTTGTTGTTTGTTTAGCAACGACATTGTCCAATTGAATTGGCAGTGTCGGTGGCAATATAAAAACATAAAAACATCCAACTACTTAATAAAGCTAGATTTGCTTTAAAAAGTTGTTAGCTGTACTGGCTTAAGGGTGAAAATTTGCTTGATTTATAATACGTATGTATATTCCATTTAGTGACATTAAATAATTCAATACAAGTTGATGTTCATAAATTTTCGATATAAACAATAATTGTATATAATATATTATCTATATAATTAATGTAAAATAAAAATGAATGGCATTATATGAAATGTTCGATACATTTATACGCCTATTGTATGACATGAAACTTACTCAAATAACGACAAAGCATTCTTATTTATGTACTCAAAAGATTATATAGTGTTTATGAAAGAAAGTACTTTTTTGCCCATCTAGGATACCAAGAGCTTCCAGTATTATTTTACTGATGTATTTATTTAAGTACTGCGGTTGCCTACAGACCATTTACATTTTTATTTAAGCTCATCCAGAAGCATTTTATTTGATTTGTCCATGAAAGCCAAAATATTGTTTTCTGGCAGTAAGTACCAGGCGAATAAATTAAATAACGCAGAAACAGCAAATACTAATTACATTTTAATTGCATACTTTTACGCAGGCTGAAAAACATGGCTTCGAAAAACGCTCTGCATACTTTCGTAATTAAATTTAAAAATCATTACATCACAAGGAGGGCGTAGAACATTTTGCAGAAATTAAACAGAATATTGTAGCGTTTTAGTAAATAAAGAAATTTATTACTATTAAAAAGTTAACACAAAATTATAACATCTTAGCAGGCACCTGCATTAAACCTTAGGACCTATGCTTAAATTGATTTGATTTCAAGCAAATACACTAATCTCTCATTTAAATAACATTTAACGGTATTTCAATTTGTACAATATATGTAGATGTCTGTATATAGTTCAACAGTATTTTCCTACTTAAATACACATACACATGTATAAAAATTGCACACGATTAGTAAACGCTTTAATCTAAACTATAACTACAATCGGCCACTATTAGCTGCAGGCACTAAGAATCGAACATTTTTAGATTGTCAAACTCATCGAGCGTGTCCTCGGATCCAGATGCCGTCAGATCCGAAAGCTCGTCGAGACACTTTTGTCGCTTACGTACATTCCAATGCAGACCCTCAGCCAGTGAGTCAAACCAATCGGATATCTGGTCCTGTGCGCAAATGCTGGGTACCGGATAAATGGAGGTTGTCACGCGCAAGCTATCACCGTGGTTCAACTCCTGATCGTTCCGGCCATCAAAAGATACACGCGATGTATTCCTACTGTCTGGCGATATTGATATCTAAAGAAAACGACAATACAGGCTCAAGCAAGACATAAGCAAAATATCGTTTTACCTTCAACTCAACGCCGGCAGGGACTACAATTGGCCTAAAACTTAGCGAATGTGGACAGATGGGCGTAACCAGTATAGCCGGCACAGAAGGATGTATCATAGAGGCCCCAGCGGCAGCCGCATATGCAGTACTGCCCGTGGGCGTAGACACAATTAATCCATCACCCTGCACAGATGTAATGTACTTGCCATCCAAGAATATATCAATATTGCTCAGATAAGGTGAAGGTCCTCGATTAATGACCACCTCGTTTAGCACTAGAATGCTGTTTTGACCGGACGGTTGCAGCGCAGCATTACTGCAGTTATTATTGCATGCTGTGGAGTCAGTGAATCCCACGTTACTGTACTGTCGCTGCACGCTGGGCTTAATTACATTGCTGCTTGCCTGCTGCAGTGACTCCTTGCGGCGCTCGGCTTTGCGATGGATTGAACAACGCAGACGACTTCGGAGCGTCAGCGCTGCGTGACCTTCAAGCACATTGGTGACTTGCTCCTGAAAATTATCACACTGAAAGGGTGTCAAAAAGCCGAGCGAACCGAGATAAAAGGCCATAACTGGTGGCACTGATTGCTGAAATAGCTGTGAGGCATACAAAAGCGTGCCATCGCCTCCAAGGCAAACAATAAAGTCAATGCGATCAGTGAGATCATCGCGCCCATCTCTGATGACGAAAGAAAAATAATCATAGTTATTAACATGGCCATATCATTCAATCTGAACTTTTATAATAATTTTACAACTTACTTGAAAGTAACCAACTTTTCGCGCAGTCCCAGAAAACGTGAACGCACTCCACTGTAATATTCATGAACCTGCCTAAATTTGGGGCTTTCATGATCCAGCTTGACGTCGTCGCGCAGCAACTTGTCCTCCAGCACAGCGGACTCGACCCAAACTACCATATTCTTCTCCTGCACCAGCCATTCGACTAGTTGCACAAATGGCAACAGCACTTGGGAATCCTTCTTCTTAATTACGAGGACAGTGAGTGGTGGCTTATACCAGGTGAGACGCTGACTTGCGGGATCTTGTATTTGCATTACCATTGCAGAGTTCTTCATAATGCGACCGCATGGTCCAAACTGCTGAACCGGCGAAGGCGCGTTAAGGCTACGCGTTCGCCTGTAATACATAAGAAAACAATATTCCATATTAATAAATGAATTGGTATTTTAGTAAGCCTTTGAATTTATTAACACTAATTCTATTTCGGCTTCTATGGTTTCCGGAATTTGACCTTCAGCTAATATAGTAATTCAGAAGCCAACGTATTTTCTTTTAGCTAACGAAAGCTTCGCCGGAATCGCAGTGAAACATGTTCATGTTGATACCAATAGTACTGATGATTAAACTTTTAAGAACTAATTTAAATTATAATTATAAACGTTCCATTTCCTGTTGAAATACATTTCAGGCTGAGACTCACAGTCCACAAACGTCGCCGAAACAGACCAAAAGTCACGCTTTATTAACTTTTTAACATATTCTGTCAATTTCCCTACGGTATTAATTAAGGGCCGTCTTTCTGTCTTTCGATGAACAGACTGAAAATGTACAGACACATGTAAATTAAAGGTGAAGTCTTCTGACCTGCTACACCTTTGGAACCTGTCACCATTTTTTTTTTTCAATTTATTGCGTTGCCCAGATATCAAACCGCGATAATAAGTTTTATTTATGAATGACGCCTCGCACTAACTGGCACTGATTAAATTAATTGGGATTGTTTCAAATGGAGTAGATTGTAGCCAAAACAAAAACTTTTAAGCCCGCATTCAGATCAAAAAGTGGTTTGAGTGCTTAATACCAATCGACTTTGGTAAACACTCGGCGACATCATAGCAAGTGTCTATGGTGTCATTCGAGGTGCTAGGTGTTAAAACTAGTTTTTAAGTATCCGCATAAAGGTGTTAAGTATAAATATATATATATGTGCAAAAGGGTCAAATACTTATGGCTGTGTTTGCCTAAATTGTACACATAAACAACAAATTCAAATACGCCCAATAATTATTTTTATAACGTTTTAGATGGTATTGAAGAAGACATCTCCGATCCCATAAAGTATGTACACATATATTTTTGATCAACTAGTCCCTCAATTTTGTTTATATCTTCAAGATTTGCTACAGGTCATGCATACTTTGAAGTATAGCTGTCAGAGGAAATATGAATAAATATTATATTATAACCAACTCACGACTAAAACTTCAACTTTTAATTAATTTATAATTTTGATGCCGGCAGATTGACTTCGGTCTACAAGGGTATGTGAACTTCAATGTGCTGAAGATAGCTGTTCTTACTGGTTGATCTTAGTATGAATGTGCATATATAATAAATGCAATATATAGCTGATCTATAAGATTGCATATGACCTCCCATTCTGAGACTTGGTCAAGCGCATTTATGTTTTGTTTAGCTATGTATGAATAAAGAGACGTATTGTCAAAAAATCATATATTCAACCAAAAAGCAGATAATGCGTAAGACACTGCTAGTCAAGGTAGCAGCGTACCACTAATTTAATGAGTATACATATATTGGAAGAATGATTAATTTGACTACAAAACTGATATTTGTAATACTATAAAATTAATACAACAAGCTCCACAATGTTTAATGGTACTGATTGTACTGGCCACATATGTTAAGAAGCCTCCTAAGTGTTTTATTTATGTTGTTTATTTTAAAAACATTTTAAAGTTTTTGATAAATGGTTGTCAAGTTTATTATACCATCGAAGAGGGTGTTATAAATATGTCGTTAGGTTTGCAAACAAAGGGTTTCCAATCTTTTAAGGCACATGTATTCTAATTCAGCATCACTAGTCGATTTGATACGACCATGTCCGTCTGTCTATTGCTTTCAATGCGAACTAGTTCCTCAGTTTTACAGTTATATTGATGATGATCTTGAAATATAAATATATTTATGCTACAGGCAGTAGCGGCCTTGTTGAGAACAACCTGTACACTGGTAAATAATTTACTTATATTGAGTATAGCAAAATTTAAACACTCAGGCTTCAAGCAGCGAGAGAATCCACTTTTAACTAACAGTAAATTATTGAAAAAGCATATTTATAAAGTTAGCCCTTAATCGATAGTGAAATAAAGTATATGTAATTCGGCTGTCAAAGTTATAAAAATATTGTGCGAAATACAAATTCAGATACATTTTAATTGGGGTATTATGGACTACCATTACTTACGGCCAAGTGCCGGATCGTCTCCGTCGGGTCGTGGACGTAAAGTAACTATCATACTCATCCAATCCCTGTTCCGTTATATTATGATTATTTTTGGCAATGTTTTCCTTAACCTTGGTACTACCGTTGATCGCACTTGTGCTGCTGCTGTTGGCTTGTATTTCTATATCGCAATAGATGCCGCTTTTGGCCAAACGCTGTTGATGCTGCCGATTGGCACTCGGGCACATGAGCAGCTCGTTGCAGTGGGTGAGATGTTGTTGCTGGCTGCTTCCGCGGGCACCGCACCAAGCGAGTCCATAGTGCCAACGCTCTTCGAGCCGATGCTGATGAAGAGTGGCCAAGTCAATATCTGATCGGCAGGCCATGGCCAAAAACACACATATGATTCACACTTCAGAGGTGACGATCACAAATTGCAAATTATTGGACGTTGTCAAAGGTAAAATTTGTTTATATATTACTTGCACATTGCTGCAGTTATTTTAGCTAGAATTTAATTAGCTCAACAATTACTTGGCATTGCGAGCAATTAGCGCAATGACTTAAAACGGCCCTGAGGGGTTGCTATTTTATTGGTTAAAAGGGTAAACAGACTTAACCTTGATCTCTTTTTTTTAAAGGTGTTCAAAATTCGGAATATGTTGCCACAAATTATATATGCTTGCTACACTTTGAACTCTCATTTATTCAGGCAGCATACCAACCATTCAAATTTGTTAGCCCAAAAAAACCGAAAATATGCTATGAATCAAAAAATGCTTAAGGAAAAGGGGTTAAAGTTAAATATTTGGTAAATATTAAATCAAATTTGTATACAATAAATTGCCTCGATAATAACGAACTGGTTTTTAGAACAACTTTAACAAAAACCTTAACGTTAAATTTGTAGCTCCCGCTTACGTACACATCTCCGTCTCCGATCTGCTCTTAGTTCCGGCTCTATCGTCAACTAATTTGCATAGAAATTCCAACAAAAAATCAAACTGAGCAGGAGAGAGGGAGAGATAGCATGAGAGAGGGAGAGTGAGAAAGCGGGTGAAAGAGGCCAATATAACAAGATGCTTCCTAGGCTTAAGGTTTAATTTGTCAACAGAAACAAATGGCCGTTGGCCGCTTCTCTTAATCGAGGGCGGAGAGGAGAATCACACGCAGTCAACTTGTAATTAATAAAAATCCAATGACATATGAATATATATATATAATCATATGTATTTTAAATATATGCAAATATAATATTTCAATATGAAAGTTTTGAACACAAAATTTACTGTTGAGTAATTTGAGAAGCCTACGATATTATTTAAAAAGACGCTATGGAGGAGATTACAAGCACAATCCTGCAAATGTACATTTTTCAAGATCAGGTCTTTAAGATACTTGAAAGGGGAATAATGAGTAAGTTTCAACCATGCCTGCGGCCACAAAGGGGCAATCCAGCACAGCAGGAATTATTTGAAAAATTTTAAGAAAAATAATAATTAAATATTTATTTTTAGTATATAATTGTGGTAGTGTGTCGTAAACAAAGAAAGCTTTACTGCGTGGGACAATAGACAGATGAGAATTTAATGTGAAATTCACAATGATGATTAATTGAACAAAGAAAAGGTACATATAGGAAACAAGTTGTAAATCTCAAGCCAATTGTCTATACTAACAAATACTCAAGTGATTATCATTGCCGGAATCGCTCAGGCCATTTGAAGCCAGGCTGATTCTCAAACGCACGACTAAACGCCAAGTCTTTGGGAGCTAATAAAAAGTTTCAAACGAGAGTCCTCTAATTACATGTTATATAAGACAACGCTTTGAGCACAAGAAACATGGAGTCCGAGCTTCAAACAAAGCCAACGACCGACAGAGACAAAAATTACAAAAACTCAACGCGAGAGTAAACGTAGAAGTAGGGAGAAAAAGAGCGGTACAGAGAGAAAGATAGAGAGAGAGAGAGAGAGAGAGAGAGAGACAGAGAACGCGTGCACACAGATTTAACCAAACACGACCGCACTGTTCGGTGAACAAGCGATAACTGAACTGAACTGAAACACCAAAAAGGTGATTAAATTGTAAATCTTTGTGCGATTTGAAAATTAAAGTTTACGATCGTTGTCAGTTGTCATAGAGCGCACGCCAGCGATCAGGTTGTAAACAACAGCTGAGCACTGCACAGTTCGACACGCGTCGCATAATCAATGGACAGCGAAAGAGTGACCAAAGCAAACAGGTGCTAACTTGTATGTAAAAGAGCTGTAAGCTTGTTATGCAAACATCTCTGTAATTGTTAGCTGCTGACAGTCGAGCTTAAATGATACTCACATTCATTTCAAATCAGCTGATGTACACTGCTACTAGCAAGCACTTATGTTAATTGAATATGACTTGGCACTATCTACACATACAGAATGCATACCTACATGTACATATATACACTGTACATATGTGCACTGTTAATGTTACTTACCACCACCAACGCATTTCTATATCGCTAGCTGTGCCATTCGTAAGTATACCAGGACCAGGCGCAGAGGATGCGGATCCATTGCTGGCAAGCTTTTGGCGTGCGTTGTTCACATTTAGCAAGTGATTCTCTTGCTCATCGAAGTAGCTGCCGTGATAGGATGGACCTGATGTCGCCTCTGCTGCGCTTGCACCTGGCACAGACTGCGCAGATGTCGCCTTAGTAATGTCATGGGGGGAGGACATGCTTAACAATTTCGGATGCGCGCATAAGAAATTTGGTCGCCTTGGTATGACACAATTGTTGCGAACAATTATCTTTCTAACATGTTACTATGATATATTTTGCAGTCGCGGTCAAACGTGCTACAATCGTGCGAACAGTAATTTATTTTACACAGAGTTTATTGTATATACGACAGTTGATTGAATCGCTTGGAATAAGTTCAATTAACTGACTCAGTAAACTAAAAAAAAAAACTAATTCCGTTGTTCCGGGCGCTGTTCATTTAGTTCGTTATATTGGCATAATTTACAAGTCACATTTTGAACTTTATTAACAGAGTAAAGCTGTTGTTATGAATTTAATTTGTTTTATAGTTTTGCAAAAGTATAACAATAAAATGGCTACTCTTAAACATAATATTATAAGTAAAATATTTTACTAAACTGACTGAGTAACAAATGGAACAGAAGCGTAACATGATGGCGCTGTTATTGAACATAGAAAATATTCATTTTGCATTTTTTGGATCAATAAAATAATTACATGTTGATATTGAAATATAAGAGTCGAGATAAAATATTCTTTCTATTTGGAAAATTCAATTTTATTCAATATATCGATAGCCGATATTATAAATTTAACGCATGCAGAGTGACAAAAGTTGACTGCTATAACACTAAGGTTTCAGTTATTTTCAAGTTCAAACGTGTTTGCTCTTGTTCAAGGCTGTTAATTTGTTGTAAACTATTAGAATCACGATATTTTCAGCTTACCGAAATTGATTTCGCTTGTCCAGCAGACTACCCACTAGCGTCTTTTTTACAGGGTCCTTTGGGAGACAGCACCAAGTCGCCGCTTCGCCTTTAACAAGTTGCTTTGCTCGCTCCATATCGCGTACATTCATTTTAATATTTTATATTAATTAAATATAAATTAAACTATATACATTTATGTGCATATAATAAATATATCAATCACACAAACACCGCACAACCGTGCGCTGCCAACGTACAGAGTCAACTATTGCACACGCCCATAATCCGAGATTTTATGCACTTCATATGACTAGATAAGCACGCACACCTGTCACGATGCACACACACACTGAAACTCACACGCATGCGCCTTTTGATATTGATATGCACACCTTGAATTTGTTAACAAAAAAGGTAAAAACAATATAAAAAAAATAATAAAATAAAAAACATGAAACATGAAACAATAGCATAAGATCTGAAGCGTGTAACTCGTCGTGCATCTCATGTACGGCCTGAGGGCAACATTTTCTACTAGCAACGGGGCTCGTCGTCACTTTCAATTTCGTTCGTTTCGTTTTCTACTCAAATAGCCTTCTAATGATGCTCGATAAGCCCAAGTGCGTATCGAAGCGCTAACAGACAAAATCGAGGTGAACAACATGAACAACATGTAACCAACATGTAACCAACCAACGAGCAGCAAGTACTTCTACTACAGTTCTGATTGATAGATGTTGCATATATATGTATATATACATCTATTTTATAATGATCACATAAGCACAAAAGCTATTGGCTGCTGCTGATCTGTTATGAGTTATAGTTAAATAATATAAATGACCAACGATTTTAATTGACTGTGCGCAACGGTGATTATACAAACTATCAGCTAAGGAAACAAAAATATTCGAGTTGCTAAAAATAATACCATAAGATAACATTGTAGAATGTTAAATTATAATCAACATATGTACATATGTATGCAGCAATTACTTTGTTTGACTTGGTACACTCACACATGCATCTCAAATTGGTTAAGCTCTTTCTTTGACTTACGCACTAAACGTCATATAATTTTATATTTTCAATCTCATCGAAGGTCTCCTCGGATCCAGATGCTGTTAAATCTGACAGCTCGTCGAGGCATTTCTGACGCTTGCGCACATTCCAATGCAGTCCATCGGCCAGCGAGGCAAACCAATCGGATATTTGGTCCTGGGCGCAAATGCTGGGCACTGGATAAATTGAGGTTGTCACGCGTAGGCTGTCGCCGTGAAAGATCTCCTGACGATTGCGACCATCAAAGCTCACCCAGGAAGTGTTACGACTATCAGGCGAAACGGAAATCTATGAATCACCAAAAGTAAGTTAGCTATGTCGAAAAAAATAGTTTTGTTATTACTACTAGCCTTCAGTTCAACACCAGCGGGCACAACGATGGGTCTAAAGCTGAGCGAATGTGGACAGATAGGCGTCACCATTATGGCTGGCACGGAGGGATGTATCATGGAGGCACCAGCGGCAACGGCATATGCTGTGCTGCCCGTCGGTGTGGATACAATCAAGCCATCGCCCTGCACGGATGTAATGTACTTGCCATCCAAGAACAGATCAATATTGCTCAGATAAGGCGATGGACCACGATCGATGACCACCTCGTTCAGCACCAGAATGCTATTAGAAGCGGGAGACGCATGTGCATTTAACTCGACAGCCTGTTTGACCTCGTACCGCTTCTCACTCTTACGATGCATCACACAGCGTAGACGGCTACGCAATGTGAGCGCTGCATGACCCTCCAGTACGTTGGTGAGCTGTTCTTGGAAATTGTCGAAGCGGAAGGGTGTCAGAAAGCCCAATGAGCCTAAATGGAAGGCCATGACCGGCGGCACCGATTGCTGGAACAGAAGCGAGGCATACAACAGGGTCCCATCGCCTCCAAGGCAGACAATAAAGTCAATGCGATCAGTGAGATCATCGCGACCATCTCTATGGGACAAGAAAAGTAGACGTAGTAGATAATGTAATATTAAAGTTGAAACTCACTTGAAAGTCACCAACTTGTCGCGAATACCTCGAAACTGTATGTCCTCGTTGAGAAGTGCATCGTCGAGCACTGCAGACTCCACCCAAACAACCATATTCTTTGCCTGCAGCAGCCAACTGACCAGCTGCACAAATGGCGCCAGCACGGAAGCATCGCTAACTTTCTTGATGACCAGTACAGTTAGCGGGGGCTTGTACCATGTTAGACGTTGACTGGCGGGATCCTGAATTTGCATAACCACCGCCGAATTCTTCATGATGCGGCCACATGGCCCAAATTGCTGGAATGGCGACGGTGCGTTTAAGCTGCGTGTGCGCCTACAAATAAGTAGGCAGTAATAAAAATCCATTGCGAAAAGCGAATTTTACTCAAATATTCTCAGAATGGACACGGGTCAATCTATCCAAGTCGATTTATCTATTGGACATAAGTAATTACAATTATAAATAACAGTTGCCCTAAGTTGATCATAACTAGTGTATATGGTTTGGGTGCTCGCTTCATCATTGGCCATCATTGAACATCAATAAATAAATGCTGCGCGTGCGTGCACAAGGCAACATAATTAGCCTATTAAAAGCCGAGTATATTGTTAGAAAAAAAAAACTTAGCAAAAATGAAGTTGTTAAAAATATGCTGTGTACAGTTTGCATTCGCAGTCGCAGTCTCAATTGATGGGGCAGATAGACGATAACGCTTACCACCACCAACTGCTGCCGATGCCGCAGATTGGATTTGACATTTCGTTGCCATCAATTCTGTCGTTGTTCTTGTTCCCGTGGCTCGCCTGTGCTTGTGTCACTGATGATTTGTGGTTGTTAGGGGATTCTAACAACTTGGACATTTTGAAAGTACTAGTACACGGAGCCGAATACGGAGTCCGAGATCTCCAGGCCTTTTTCTGTGGTGCAACCAGTTCTTCAATCAAAAGTCTTATTAAGTGTGACAGTATACTGAGACGAGCAAAATACTGATAAAAGTATACTCGCATATCGCTGCCCTTGCCAACAAATAAAATACGTAAAACTAAAAAAACTTGGAATACCTGTTTTTCGGAATTGCATACTTTGCTACAGTTAATAGTAATTGCCAAGAATAAATTTGCCCTTTCTATATTAATGATATTTAACAAAAATATATTGCTGCGTTCTATCAGCTCAAAATTAATTTTCTATTGCAAAATAGAAGTGCTACGCAATGAACGATATATCAATTTAAAAACCGCAGAAAAATAAAAAATTATTAAATTAATAAATAGAGAGTGTTATCCAATTACGTGATAAAATGCATACGATATTTTTAAATTACATGTAGTTACTTAAAAATACCGCACACATACCTATTTACATACTTAGGCAAATGTATTCAAATTTTACCATACATACGTTTGAATTTTTAGTAGTCAGTGTGGTGAAATGTATGCATTTATGTGTATATGTGTAGATTGTGTATATCTTAAAGTATTTTTAGATTTTTTCAAACTATTGCTCTGATTGCTTACCGAAATTGTTTACGTCTCTCATTTAAATCCAACACTCGAGCTTTTCTCAACGGCTTTGGAGAATTCTCGGGGGATGCTATAGACGCGTCATTATCGACTTCACCCTCTACAGATATCGAATTGGCAACCATTTTGAGAGCCAGCTGCATATCCTCGTCTTTCATTATAACAGGATGCCTATGATTGGATTTTAATTAAGCTGTGCAAGATTCTAAATTTGTTCTCAACCGCACTGTCGCAGTGTTAAAATTCAACTAAATACTATATGCCTCTACTTCTAAAACAGTTCGATTTACATACATATACATATATGTGAATATATACATAAATACATACATGCGAGGATGGATACACTACTAGGTTTGAATGTATTTGCATACACACGCACATATATTGAATAAGATACTGTATTGAATGAGCTCACATACTCGTAACTTTGAATTTCTTCAGATCATTCTCTAAGCAATTGTACAACACCCATACAAATCAAGTAAAAATGCCCTGCTTCAGACTGCCCGACATGGATATACCCCGCATCTAATCCTACCCACACACAAATCTAGTATGCAGCTTAATAGTTTGGATGGATTTGGGTGCATAAGCAACATGATTATAGCCTTAAATCCATATTTATGGGCTTTGAATCCGCAAAAAAAAAAATTCAAATCTTTCATCGCAGACTTCTACAGTTTTGGGCGTATAAGTATTAAAGATATTTCATGTCTATATTATGTTTTTGTATTATTAATTGCTTTCTCTTGGCGACAAGTAAGAGCGTATCAAATTAATAGAAAACAATGAGTGTCATCAATTAAGCCGTGTTTATCGCACATATAATGATGTGCATGCATTCAACTTTACTTTTTTGATGTTATAGCAAACTTTTTTTAAAAATACCGTTTTTAAAATTCTACGGCTAGTTCTACTAAAAATTTTTTCATTTAATAATTTGCCCAGTTGCCTGTTCGAGGGATGTTTGGGTAGACAAGACACCATTGGCCTCGAATTTGAATTACCGCACGTGACAACAACAAAAAGCTCAATGCTGCGCGTTTCAAAATACCAGTTTAAATTCAGTATTTTGTATATCGGTTACGATCTGAGCTCTGCAGGAAAACTATTTTCATCGATTACAACCTTCGATTGATTAGTAAGCGCTGCGGCAAAATTTATTTCTGGGAATTTTTTATTCAAAGCAAGTTGTTAGTTGCATACATATTTAAATATAAACGAACGTTTCAATGGCATCAAAGGCTTCTCTACCCCTAAAAATGCTTTTAAATTGTTTCGCCCACATTAAGACCGTGGCTGGCACACAAAATCTAAGGTACGCAACGGTTCTATCCAGCGCGCGTCTTATTCCGTGACGTAACTATATCCAATTGGACGCATGATATTTTTTTCCCTTTAACAAATCCCAACAGATTGCGTTGCAATTCCAAGACACAATTTCCACGCTGCTATACCACAGAGAAGCAGCAGCAGCAGCCAACGGGTAATGAGGCGATGGAGGGGAAATCGCCACTATCGCCGGAAATTGATCGGCTGACGCAAGAGTTGAGCACGGCTAAAGAGCAAAACCGTGAACTACTAGACAAATATAAGCGAGCGTTGGCCGATGGCGAGAATATGCGCACACGGCTCAATAAACAGATTAGCGACGCGAAAATCTTTGGAATACAAAGTTTCTGCAAGGATTTGCTTGAGGTGGCCGATACACTAGGCCACGCAACGCAAGCAGTCCCCAAGGATAAGGTATGCCATACATATTGTGTTATCCAGATTGTTCCTAACTTTATCAAATTTTTTTTTGTTGGTGTTCGCGTACTTAGCTTAACGGCAATGCAGATCTAAAGAATCTCTTCGAGGGGCTCTGCATGACACGGGCATCTCTGCTACAGGCTTTCAAGCGTCATGGCCTGGAGCCTGTCGATCCAATCAATACGAAATTTGATCCCAATATGCACGAGGCATTATTCCAGAAGGAGGACACTACGGTTGAGGCCAATACTGTTGTGGAGGTAACCAAACTCGGCTATAAGCTGCACGAGCGTTGCATACGGCCAGCCCTAGTGGGAGTGTCCAAATGTTGATAGCATCTTTTTGTGATATCCCCCTCAAAATCATATTTTGTGTACTTGCTGAAAGCTCCATTTACATAGCCATTCTCCATTTTTTGCAAATTTGTCTTATGCTATGTACGTTACTATGTAAATATAAGTTTGCCAATGTATAGACAATTGCATAGTAGTTAGTGAAATTAGAATTCACTAGAGTTTAAAGTGAGGCAACGTTAGATTTTAAGTGCTCTATGGTTCGTTCAGAAGCAAAAACATATTTTTACCACAGTTGTCTGTAAGAAACCAGACCTTAGGGCTTTTGCTTTAATAAACTAATTAGTTTTTTTTTTTTAATGCGATGTGTTTGATTTTACTTGATTAGTTCTTATAATTCATAACTTTTTTTAATAATTTAAATTTATGACAATTATCACTGTAAATGCATGCTGAAATTCTTCCATGAAATATCGCATTTAAGAGTGTCATCTAGTTTTATATTGCATTCTCCTCCTTGAATACCAATCAAGTACAAATTTTCAAAACCAAATTTGGTATCTGGATGAATAATGCATTTACATTTAGAAAATTATCATTATTCGTCTTTAAAGTTACAAGTCTTCTACTAGCAAGGTAAACAAGCCAAACATGTTTTTTGACTGCCTCCTGAAGCGAAAAGAATACAAATAATAATACGGCTCTGCGTCCTAATAAAATCTCGAAACACGAAACCCCTGAGCAAGCATAATAACACAGGTACTTGGTGAAAATTCAATGGAAATGAGATTTTGTGAACTCTGCAGGTAGAAAATCAACTCATAGGCCTATTCGAAAATTCGTGGAAACAAAGAGAGTATATTCCATGGAGCTATACCTAGGGCCGGTTTCAGTTCGTCTTTCAGTTGTTCTTTTAACCTCGAAATGAGCACAATGTTCGCACGCTTACTGGATTTCCTTTTGTTGCATTTGGCTCTCGTGCAGTGCATTAGCGGACGGTTGTCGCCGATTCCCAAATTCTACTACGGCCAGGACAGTACAATAATTGTGAATACTGAAAAGCCCAATCCAAAATTGATTCCAAAGTTGCAGAATGCGCTCTATTATAATATACCCGTTTACAAAGTCATAAGTCCAATCAGTGGAGTGCCAAGAGCAACTGCAATCTCAACTACGCCAGCACCAAGCCTTGTCGACGAGTATCCCAGGGATTTACTCTATATCGCACGCAATAAGTTGGGAGTAAAGCGTTTGGACCAGTTGCCCAGCATCGGTGAGCTTGGCAAGATGCTGGGCACAGGCAACGCCTTTGAAACCATTAAATACGTTCGCACACTTACTTCCAGTGACCAGGGCATATTTCTGATGAAGACCTACTTGGAATCGTTGGACTATGATCTTGCCAATTCGAGAGAAGAAGCCACTCGTAATTCTCTACCTGAGCAAAAAGATAACGATGAGGACAATATTACAAATAATTCAGATATAGATGCAGACTATTATGATACGTCCGTCAAGATAAACGAGCCAACAACAACAAAGAAAACAATTATATCACCACACTTAGATTGGGGGGAAGAGCGCAGCTTAATACAGCGTCCCAATGATTTTGAGAAACAATATAGTGTGGCTGGTTGGTCAGAAAACAGCACAGCGCCCAAATCTATGCTGGGCAAGCTAGTGCTGGTGGCACACAGCCAGGCAGCCCATCAGCAGGGTGCGGTGTCGGTTTTACCTCCCGTGCTCGTACGAAAGCCATTGCCATATCACTATCCGATTCCATTGCGACCTGCACTGGGGCCTCAAGCTGCAAAGCCCATGCCAAGGCAAATTATAGTCCCCACCGTAAATCCAAGCCGCCCAACAAAGAGGCCGATGCAGACCCAACTGAACATACCCAAAGAACCGTCGACGACGTCATCAGCCACCCATCAACGTGTAGCGCCGCATATTCAGCAGCTTGCCCAGATGGCCAGCATATCACCTGAGGTGCTTAATGATTCCCTGCAGCAGCAGCCCAAGCTGGCCGAGTTGGCCAAACGCATCAGTCGATTGCCGCTGGTCCACCAACATAGCCAGGCCATTGACTCACAGTTATTTATGGCCGTGAAGAGAGCTCTGTCGCAGGACGAGAGTTTAAAGCGTTTACTTGGAGCTACGCAGACATTAAAATAGATGCGCAACTGCGTCAATAAAGTATAATTAAATTAATAAACATACACACTTAGTCTGTAGCTTTACTTGAAATAAATCAAAATTGTTTACATGCAGCACATAACCCTATTTCGAAACATGTGGCGACACCTCAAAATGCAAGATCTGAGTTAATCGGCCAATGCATTATTAAATGTCGTCATCTAATTGGTCTAGCGTTGCCTTGCATAATTTTCGCCTATCTACAGTCATCGAAAATTTACTGTCGAACGCACAATGCAAATTAGCCTAATAAACAATATATCATTTATTTTACATTTAAATTTGTTAGTCAATTCAAAAAAATGATGCACCCAATATTAGTGCAGCACTTTGGTAAGATTGCTAATTTATTCTTTGTCCATTAAAAATAGCACTCGAAAGTTCTAGTTATTAAACAAACGAGCGTGCATTGGACAGCATAAAATATTCGTTTTAACAAATTATATAGTATAAATAGCTTCCACCTGTTAGCAAACCCGTCCTCGTCTGATTGACATAAGGAATGCCTGGTAAATGACTTTTTTCATTGAATAACATAACAGCGTGAGTTGCATTAACATTAACAGCTGAGTTAGTTATTTGACCAAAGGGACAGATGATATCGATACTAAATTTGAACCGATAGATCCGACAATACGTACCTTCGACTTGCAACGGCCGTTTAAGTGCCCGCCTAGTTCGAAATCATTAAACCAAAGTGCATATTGGATTGTCCAGATATAAACACGTTCATGAGTAACTATAGATTTAATATGCATTATAAATATGGAAAAGTTCACATAACATTGTTAATGAAGTTCATTAAGACATTTGAAGGCATTAGAAAAATGCGACTTAATCGATTACGTATCGAAAAATTAAGAAATACCCTTAATATGGACATATCGAAGTCATATCAACCAACTTGACAGAGTTGCTTTTGAATAAACTAAACAGAACATACACTTCGTAAACGTCACCAAAAACTTGGGAAAAAACAAATAATTGACAAATTTGGTATATATAAAATGTTTAATTAAACATACTGTTCCGTACACATTTGGTGCGAGTGTGTGTGCCTGAGTCTGAGCGTGTATATGTAGCCTGCCTTTGCTGTGTCCAACTGGCAGTAAAAACATATGCACATATGTGAGAGAAAAGAAGCAGCGGGTTTTCAATAATTGTTTGTTGCGTGCCAAATTCTAAAAGGTGGAAGCCAATTAGGTGCAATTATAGAACGCAGCTCGACAATCTGGACGCAATGTCACTCCCAGGCAACGGCATTTATGTGGTGCGCGGTGAAATGGCTACGCTAGTGACGGCCATGCGACGTGGTACGCGCTGGAATGCAACAGCCTACGTGGTAAGTGTCTAATACATATATTTATATATATATATATATAGATGTAGATGTAACGAGATTTGTGAATCAATTCAGGATGATGACAAGGACGCCTTGCTGAAACTTTTCATCGATCTGAAGCAGGTGCTAAACCGCATTGAGGACTTGCGTTTAATTGAACCGAATGTGTTCCTAGCACCCTTTTTGGAGGTGATTCGCACTGCTGACACCACAGGACCATTAACTAGTCTCGCTCTAGCCTCGGTGAACAAATTCTTGTCATATGGCCTGATTGGTAAGGAAGACATGTACATCAACCATTTAACATACCTATATAAATCAGTAGATGAGCATCTGAGAAAATATTCATAAGATTATATATTTGCTTTGTAAAGGAATCGCATGTACATATATTTTATGCTGCTAAAGGCGTTAAAGTATTTTTAACCTTCAGATCCCACGACTCCAAATCTTGCTGTGATTGTCGAGATGATTGCGGATGCTGTGACGCACGCCCGCTTTATGGGAACGGATCAGTCATCGGATAGTGTAACATTTATGCGTGTCATCGAAGTGTTACACACTCTCATCCGTAGTCCGGAGGGTGCCGCTGTTAGTAATGAGTCCATGTGTGAAGTGATGCTCAGCTGCTTTAAGATCTGCTTTGAGCCACGCCTTAGCGAGCTGCTTCGTCGTTCCGCCGAAGAATCACTCAAAGACATGGTGCTGTTATTCTTCATGCGGCTGCCACAGTTTACGGAAGACCGCAGCGACACTGTGTTGCAGAAGCGCTTTACCATCTGTGATGCTTCGGCTGGTGCACCTACAGAAAAGCATAGGCGCAAATCACATACCGCTCTGGCTGTGCAACGTAAGTCATCCACATCCGATGAGCCGCCTCAGACTCCGCACAGCGCGCCGATGGCTCCTACGTATTTGAAGGCGCCCATACTTGCCACTACACCTGCTTCTCCCGCAGGCAACATTCTTGATATGCAGGGCAAGATCACACAAACACCCACCACAACAATTGTTGGCAATACTTCACTTTATGTGCCAAATATTCAGGTGGAGAACGACAAATCTGATCTGATGCCAGCTGATGCGGAAGAGGAGCGAACAACACTCCCGACTACTTCGTTGACCGAGGCCAACAGCAGCGAGTATATCAACTCTGTGGGGGTGCGTTTCACCCAGCAGTCATCTTCACAAGATGCGGCTGCCTTGTCAACCTCACTGACACCATATGGGCTGCCATTTATCCAGGAACTGTTCAGGTTTCTCATTATACTATGCAATCCGCTAGACAAGCAGAATTCAGACAGTATGATGCACACTGGTTTGGGTCTGCTCACAGTTGCCTTTGAGGTGGCCGCCGACAACATTGGCAAATATGAGTCACTTCTGGAGTTAGTAAAAGATGAATTGTGTCGAAGCTTAATATCGGTTAGTCAACCATATTTTAATGATGGGTTACATAGACAACCTCCGAAAATCATTTGCTTAAATATTTAAATTTAATTCTTTTCAATAGCTACTGAGTTCGGAGCGCCTCAGCATATTTGCCGCTGATTTGCAACTTTGTTTTTTGCTCTTCGAATCACTGCGCGGCCACCTGAAGTTTCAGCTGGAGTGCTATCTAAAGAAACTAAGCGAGATCATTGCTAGCGATAATCCAAAAACTCCCTACGAGATGCGCGAACTGGCGCTGGATAATCTGCTGCAAATGTGGCGTATTCCCGGCTTTGTCACTGAGTTGTACATCAATTACGACTGTGATCTATACTGCACGGACGTGTTTGAGAGTCTTACCAATTTGCTAAGCAAATACACACTCTCGGCCACCAATGCTATCTACAGTACGCATATCATCGCCATGGACACGCTGATTAGTGTGATTGATTGCATCGAACACAATTGTGCTGCTGCCAAGAACAACAACAGCTCTTGTAACAACGATCTGGTGCAGTCATCTCCGGCAGGCGTTGGTGGCAGCCGTCATTCCCGTCATAATAGCGGTCTTGAGGGCATTGTTATTGATAATGGCGAGGAACCTGTGGAGAACATTGCGAGCTTTATCAACAATAGCTCACAGCGTTTGCGCCTGCAGTCAGGAAGCGAGGGTGGCACCATCACCAGTGAACAGCTGGCGAACGTTAAGCAGAAAAAGCAACTGCTGTCTAAGGGCACAGAGTGGTTCAATCAGCGACCCGACAAAGGCATTCAGTACTTGCAGGAGCACGGCATTCTGCACACTCAGCTTGATCCTATGCAAGTGGCGCTTTTCCTGCGCGAGAATCCAGGCCTAGACAAGAAAATGATTGGTGAATATATATCGAAAAAGAAGAACGTCGATTCGAAAATTCTCATCAACTTTGTGGACTCGTTCGACTTCACGGGGTTACGCGTTGATCAAGCATTGCGTCTCTACCTGGAGACCTTCCGCTTACCGGGCGAGGCGCCATTGATATTCCTCGTTTTGGAGCACTTCTCCGATCATTGGCATGTAAGTTAAAAATATACGAGTGCTGTCAATTTCGTGAGCCAAATATTTTAATTATTCAATAAGTTTTAATAACGGAGTCATTACTTTCAGATTCAAAACAAAGAGCCGTTTGCGAATGTTGATGCCGCCTTCCGCTTGGCATATGCCATCATCATGCTGAACATGGATCAGCACAATTCGAATGCCAAGCGACTTAATGTGCCCATGACGCAGGATGATTTCACAAAGAATTTAAGAGGTTTGAATGGAGGACAAGATTTTGATCAGGAAATGCTGGTCCAGATATTCAATGGCATCAAGTGAGTTGCAGTTGCGATTAAAGTATATTCGAATGTGCTTAAATATGTGTATGTGCTTACAGAAACGAAGAGATTGTGATGCCCGCCGAGCAGACGGGTCTCGTACGTGAAAACTATTTGTGGAAAGTGTTATTGAGGCGTGGCGCCACCCACGATGGTCACTTCCACTACGTCAACGATGCCGCCTACGATAAGCAGATCTTTAACATTGTGTGGGGCGCCTCACTCAGTGCTCTGAGTTTTATGTTTGACAAGAGCACCGAGACGGGATACCAGCGCACTTTAGCGGGTAAGAGAACTACTACTACATTAGACAACTATTGTTTTAGTTCAGCACTTAAGCGTCCAATTTGCACTTGGCAGGATTCAGTAAATCGGCAGCTATATCAGCACATTATAATCTGAATGCGGACTTCGATGCGCTTATATTGACCCTGTGCAAGTTCACAACGCTGTTGAGCAGCGTCGAACAGCACGAACCGGCGCCGGCGAACAATGAGATTCAACAGGCTGTCAACTTTGGACTGAATGCTAAGGCGCAGGCGGCCATGCGAACGGTATTTCTGTTAGTTCACGGCTATGGTGATAGTCCGCGCGACAGTTGGAAGCACATTTTGGATCTGTTTCTGCAGCTGTTCCGTCTGAAGCTGTTGCCCAAAACGCTAATGGAGGTGGAAGACTTTTGCGAGCCTAATGGCAAAGCCACGCTAATATTGGAGAAACCGCGTGAGAAGCAAGAGTCGGGCCTCTTCTCCAGCCTCTACTCGTTCATCAGCTCTGACGGCCAGCGAGAGCCTACTTTCGAAGAGCAGGACTTTATCAAGCATGGTCGTAAATGCATCAAAGAGTGTCAGCTGGATCAAATGCTGCAAGAGTCTAAGTTTGTCCAGCTAGAGTCATTGCAGGAGCTACTCAAATGCGTACTGTTCCTGTTGAAGGGGCCAGACACACCCAAGTCTACTGGCGGCCAGGCCTATGCCGAAGATATAACTGTCTTCTGGATGGAGTTTCTCGTCAAGATTGTCGTCCATAACCGAGATCGTATGATCCCATTGTGGCCAGCTGTGCGGGATAAAATGTTTCAGCTGCTGTATAGCAGTGCAGAAAATGGGTATGATTATTTGCTTAATCGTTGCATTGTTGCTATGCTGAAGCTGGCCATATATCTGATGCGCAACGAAGAACTCTGTCCCGTTGTGCTGCAGTCGCTCAAAAAGCTGCTTGCACTGAAACCGGCACTCTTGTTGCGCATTTCAAAGCAAGTTTCGATTGGCATCTACGAGCTGCTAAAGACTTCAGCACAGAACATTCACTCCGAGCAGGATTGGCAGATCATATTCAACTTACTCGAGTGCGTTGGCGCTGGTGCTGTTCCGCCCAACTTCGAAGATGGATTACAGCTAACACTCCCAACAACCAATGACCGTGGTACATCCGATGGCACACCGAGTAGCGAAAATGATGTAGGTACTTCTCTTGAACGCGGTTACACATCTGACTCGGAACTGGGCAGGTCTGCGACTGCCCCACCTACGTCTAGTCCCAGCGTTGAGAACTGGATACTGGTTAACAAGGATAGCGAATTGACCACAGCATCTAGGTGCGTTTTAAAGTGTTTCTATCCGTACTAAACTAACTATCTGTACTATCTTATCACAAATCTTCTATTCTAGGCCTCAGTCGCCGCCCAGCTCCATCACGCCCACTGTAAGCTCATTGGTGTTCAACTGCCAGCTGCTGGACCATGCGCCCTTTGCACTGTTCAAGTGCTGGGATTCGCTTGCCTTTATCGTGCGCAGTGTGGCTCATATCACACCGTATAACTTTGAGGCGTGCGTGCGATGCATTCGGATATTTGTGGAAGCGTGCCGGGATGGTGGCATACGCCAGCGACGAAAATTTGAAGCATCAGTCAAAAAGCGTAACGTGAAAAACCGCCAGGAGAACACACGTGAGCCAGTCGTTGACCTGTCCACGGCAACCGGTAATTTGACTTCGTCGCTGGTGAGCGATGTTGGGGAAAATCATCCACCAAATGCCGCAGAGCAGGAGGAATTGGCGCAGCGTTACGAGCAATTATCAATTCAACTACTCGACCTCATGTATACCTTGTACACGCGCACGGCACAGATCTTTCGCTGGTGGGCAGAGGAAGGCTGCACAGTGCCGCAATCCGGTGCACTGTGGACGCCCGGTTGGTGTCCGCTACTCCAGGGTATTGCCCGGCTGGCCATGGATCGGCGGCGAGAGGTGCGCACTCATGCTATATCCTGCCTGCAGCAGCGTGCCCTACTTGTGCACGATTTGCAGACCTTGTCCGGAGCTGAGTGGTGTTCCTGTTTCCAGCATGTCCTCTTCCCGCTTTTGAACGAGCTATTGCCAGAGAGTGTCGCAGCTAGTCAGCTGGACGCCTGTCTGTTGGAAGAGTCGCGCATACGCACGGCCACCATTATGTCAAAGATGTTCTTGCAGCACTTGACGACGCTGATTGAACTGGGCTCCATCTTCAACGAGCTATGGCTCGAAATATTGGACTATATTGAGCGATTTATGAAGGTGGGCTCGGACACGCTCTCGGAACAGATGCAGGAAATACTCAAGAACATGCTGCTCGTCATGCACTCGGTGCGAGTGTTTCACAATCAGGACGGAACACTCCAGCAGGCTCTGTGGGAGCTAACATGGCGGCGCATTGGCGACTTTCTGCCAAACCTCAAAACGGAACTGTTCCACGATGAAGGTGCGTTTAGAGTCAAATGTAAAGCATAGCTTTAGGGGGGTAACACGTTTCGCATGCAGCTTTGCTTTCGCCAGCTATTTCGTCGGCAAAGAAGAAACCATGGACCCGTTTCCGTGTCAAGTTCAAGTTGCTAAAGAGCCTGGACAAGAAGATGAGATGATGCCTTGCCATTGCTGCTCGCATGTCTGTGTTCGTCATTGATCATTTTTATTTCTTGGCATTCATTTTCATATATAGAATTGAAATTTCCTACTGCACCTTTTGCAGGCAAGCGAGCCCAAACGTTAATAAACGCTGCAGCCGCTGCAAACGTTCATCAGATGATGCCGTCTGTGGCCATTATGCCCAGTCAAGCACAACAGCAGCACACGGAGTTGATTGTCAGCTCTGGTGTTGGTGCTGGTACTGACCATAGTGATCTGGATAGTGGTGCTGCCACACCACTGGTGTCACCTGTTGAATCACCCCGGCGCAGCATCATTCTGCAGCCGCCTATGACGGAGGCACTGCAACAAGCGCCAAGCTTTACATTTGCTCAAGTAAGCTTGTCTTAATTTGTTTGCTTTCTCAGCTGATTTGTATTTGTAAAACCTCCATAGCCCATACAGGTGCCTCCCCAACAAGCCATAGAACTGCAGACTCCAACTAACAATAACGCGTTGCTGCCCGATTTGATCAATGAAGCAGCCGCAGTGGCTGTTGCACATAGCACAACCACGTTAACAACACCCGTTCACAGCCCTCGGCAAGTGGAAGCTCCAATTGGCGCACCCGCACCCATCACCAGCAGTAATAGCTACGCTAATGAGGTGCCAGCTACGTCGCTAAATTTAGAGGAGCACCAGCAGATGCAAATGTATCAGCATCACCATTATCAACATTACCAGCAGCAGGCGCAACAAACGACGCAGACACATCCGCCAACGCCAACAGAAAGTGTTGTGCCACTCAGTCATCTGTTGACCAAGATGCCGAACACATCCATTGTGCACAGTTATGTGCCGGTCTACGAAGCTCCATCGGCGGTACAGACAGTCAATGCAGCTGAAATCTATCAGGAGTATGTACAGAATCCTTACAACATAACATTGCAGCAGGTGCCGCAAGATCAATCACTACAGAACAGTCGTCGGCTGAGGTGCTCTTTCCAGCTGTAGCCACGCCAGCCAACTATTTTAATGTTAATGTCGATCCTAGCACCATACCGCCTGGCTCTGAGATGCTCTATGGACAGCAGTAGGTAGCGAACATGATGGTAACCTTTGTTTCACTAATAAGATGGGAAAACGCTTATTTTATTTTTATGAATTCCTGGTCAACCAAAACTTCCAGTTTTAAATATCTTTTTTAGTATACATTTTAATAAACGCATTCCGCGAGCGCGCACGTTTTATGATTTTACAATATGACGAGTAATATTAAAAAAGGCTCTGTAATTATTCGAACCAATTCGATGGGTATTTGCAAAACGATAAAGCTTTATACCACTGCTTTATTAACGGAAAATAGTTTCAATTACAATAATTAGAATGCTATTTATATGAATATACAATATGTATGTATGTTATTCAAGACAGCAATTGTAAATAATCAAAATCTTAATCGTAAAATATACAATAAATGTTGCATATGCAAAAGAAATCCATTTGTGAATGAAAAAACTGTCTTGGATTCCCAAGCTCATATGCTTTGAATGATTCAATAAAATATATTCAACGTACAGACGATTTCGCATTAAGCAAAAAAACAAAAACCAACCCGGGACTCCGTCCGTGACAACATAGGCTCCAGCAATATTGCCGTGACCAGGATTCGAACCTGGGTTACCACGGCCACAACGTGGGGTCCTAACCACTAGACGATCACGGCTATGCCTGGGCGATGCAAGCCGACATTCAAAGCTCTAAACATTAGCAGGGCGACAAACCCATGAAATATACATTAATTAGCAAATGTTCACCTGTACGTTTTTTTAAACTGAAGTGTGTATAATCCAAATTAAAATATTAATTAGATGTTGCATCCCAAGAAAAAATCTCTGTCAATTCTGCATTGCGGTGCTTAATCAGTAAATGAGTCTTGCAAAATGTACCCAGTTATCAATTTTATTTATGGTATAATATACTGGTATATGATAGTTATTGTTAATGCTCTCAAAAAAAATTTAAAATTCAACCAGATTCCGTGACAATGTGCTTCGAAACATTGCCGTGACCAGGATTCGAACCTGGGTTACCACGGCCACAACGTGGGGTCCTAACCACTAGACGATCACGGCTATACCAGTTGTTCGTGAATGTTGCCCAAATTTCGGTTTTTACAACTAATGAAAAATACATTCTTTTGTGTTCTCCTGAAATTATAATTGAAAGACAGGTGGCGCTTAAATAAGTATTGTTTCGTATAAAAATGTCGATATAACAGTTGGCAACAAATATCGAAAGATAGATGGCGCTTGAAAAGCTTGATAAATAAGAAACTGTCAAATGGTATTAGCATTGGAAAATCGTTTAGTAATAGATGCCACACAAATAAAACAGCTTAAAATAATAACATCCGTAATTAAAGTTAAAACTATTAAGTTAAATTTTCTGTTCGCGAATAATTGCCTTACGAATAATTAAATATAAATTATATTAAAGAAGTTTTTCGTTAAAATAATTTGTAAATTTATTAGAAATCGAAACTTAAGAAAAAAATATTACATATACATCTACAACCTGACTTCGTGACAATGCTCGCCGAGAACAATGCCGTGACCAGGATTCGAACCTGGGTTACCACGGCCACAACGTGGGGTCCTAACCACTAGACGATCACGGCTACACCAGGTTGTCGATAATTGGCGTCCAAAAAGCTGTTTTTTAAGAAATCTTACAAAATAAAAGATATTGATGCATATTTTTCCTTTCTCTTTAGGTGAACCAAACTTACACACAGCTTAACTAAAACGCAAACGATTGCTTTAAAAATCAGTTTGAATACATAATTTAAAATTCGTAGCAATCGGTAGCCCAAACACAAAATATAACTAATGTCTTAAAGAGTTGTGGATCATTGCTACATCAGTTCATAAATGTGGAGCAAGAGCCTTAAGTTGAAACCCGGCGTTCAGTAATCACAGCCAACTGCAATGACCCGTTGTGGTTCGGGCGCAGCTGCAGCAGCATCACAATGAAGCATTGTTGCAAATGTGTAACCAAGTGTAACAGTCGGCTAGGCGAACATGTCTTTAAGCAAGTGTCCTGTTTAGATGAACAATGCGCTGCTGCATTTGCTGTGAATATTTATGTCGATTGTGAACACACACATGCATATGTGTATACATTTAATATAATAATAAATGACGACTCTAGTTTTAATTTTGTTGTGTATTTAACTAGCTTACTTTTACCAGGAGCACAGTGTGAAACTAATTTTAATGCACAGCTAATTATTTCTGTAGACAGCTTGCAGTATGTATATACATTTATTTATTCATAACGCTATAAATTATCGCCCAACAGTATGTTGTTTTTGGGCTTCCATTAGGAACGACTATTAAATACATCGATTTTTTTTACTAGTTCATAACAGGTCAACATATATAACAGTTGGGATAGGCAGTTGCCTGTTGCGATTTTGTTAGAAAATCCTATAAATACTTTATGTGTATATTGGGTTCTGAATGGAACTATATTTGGAATTTGGAAAGGTCGTCGAAACGTTAGTTTTAAAACAACTTACACACAGATGGCTTAGGGATGACCGATTTGGCAAATCATCAGCAGAGCTATCAGAGATTTTCTTGTTGAGAATATCAGAGTTTTCCAACAGGGTTTATTATAGGTTGAGTGACGCTTCATTGATTTTTTGTTTTCTATTGCTGACGCATTATGCATGTGTCGTTAAAATCTTCTCAGTATATTTCTTTACGCTTTCTCCCAATTTTGATAACCTGCTGTTTTCGTCGATGTTGTTACGCTTCATTGATTTCCCATTCTGATGCATTAACGAATTGCAATTTTTAAGCATACCAAACTGCAAGTTGATCAATGAAAGGGTCAAAGATTTAACCGGTTGCATTCGAATAGGCACTCAGAAAATCAGCTAGGTATGCTTTATCCCCTGACAATCTAAAATGAAACCAGCCACGTACCCAGAGAGCTCATCGCGCAGGTAGACTATGGAACTTCTCCTACTTAAGATTTACCAGATGCTGGGATAGAAGGATGCTGAATACCTGTCTCTTTGTTCAGCTTGATTGGGTTTTGAAACCGCAGATCTCCACTCCACCAGCTGCGTTACCATCTGATTAATGTTGTTGTTTTTCTTTTAATTGATTTTGAACAGGTCAGCAGCAAACGAATTTTTGGTTATACCTGATTTTCGAGATATGTACGTACATAAATGAGTTTAACGATCAGTTTTTCGCTGTTCTTTGTTACACTTTTCAACTCTATTTGGATTTTAAATTTACATGTTGAAAATGTTGCTTGAGTTGTTGATGTTAATAAGGCGAGAAATAGGCAAAGACATTCAGAAAGTCATAAAAGGTGCTCTATTTAATGTTCCTATGAATGTAATTTAATCCCATACAATGCTTGCTTAGAGAAGTTCCCGCATTTGCTGTGCTCCTAAGCAAAAACATTAAATGATCGTGACGAGAAGCAGCGGTAATTGCTATATAGCAATGCTGCCAAGCACCCTGGAGCTCAAATTGCCTTATTGTTTCGTCAAAGAAAAGATCAAGGGCAGTTTGATCAGTTGCACCTAACGCAGTGTGCATTAGAACATATATGTAGGCAGCCTGTTGCAAACTGCTGTTTACCTGGCCTTAATTTGCCTCAGGGCGTGGAAAATTCTCACGCGTACCATCTGAGTTTTAGTTTTCGAACAGCATCTTGAATAGTCAAAAGCAAGAAGCGAATAATACACAACACACACACACGCAGAAACTTAAAGCCTTCAACATTCAAAATGCAGATTAGTTGAAAATAAGAAAAGATCGAGAAGATTCCATTAAGCGGCTCATCGTGGGAAATTTGCTCTACACTTCTCTTGCATTTCTGTTTGCTAGCTTGTTCAGAGTTCAGCACGTTCTCTAAAAGTTCTCACAAATAGAATCATCAATTTATTTAAAGCAAAGGTATTTCCCTTGTGCGGTAAATGTTGGAAAATGCAGTTCGATTTCCTTGAATTTTTTGGTAAACTATTACTATCCCTTTCCTACTCAGCTTTCAAATGATCAAATCTAAAAATCCGAATTGTTAACCTTCAATACACCATAGTTTCTGTATGTCTTCCTTTGGGCTTACAAATATTCCGTTTTTTTTTGCAGCATTTTCAACCATTCTTTGAAACGTGTTTTTGTTGTTGTTTTTAATCCTTTTTAAAAGACACTGTCCCTTAAAAATATTTGCCTGATAGCACCGAAGATGCTGCATTGTCGATTTTAACTTTTTCATTTGCTTCAGGCACATTCACTGAATTCAAAATAAGCGAGATTAACAGATGAGACAGACACTTCACAAAACTACTGCTGCCACAGCACCCATTAAGAAATTTATTTTCAAGTCTCTAAAGGTGTAGAAACTCGTTTGTTCAAAAAGGAAACCTTAATGAAATTATAGTGGTGGCTTTTCATATCTTATCAACTTTCTCCACAGGTTAAAAAATAATGGAGGTTCAAATTCCTGCCAGGAAGCAACGTGCTGCTCGACCTGAACGCCTATTGTGATATTTTATTAATTTGATGCTGCCTATTTATTAAATTAGCATATTAACGTTTTCTCGTTGATCAATATAAATCTGCGTGTCAAAATTTCAATTGCATAATTCGATTTATTAATGTTTATAAATGTGTATAATTCGATTTATTAATGTTTATAATAGTATTTAGTTTACTTTTAGTACTTAAACTTGACCTCCAAGCAACCAATCTTACTGTCCAGTCCAAAGAAGGGATTCACAATAGTTGTGTTCTGGAAATCACTCTCTCGTAAAGCGATTATCATATGATTATTACAACCCGTATTGCAGGCTACGGAAGCGCAGGCCATCTTATTGGCAATGCAATCGTCGATCAGACGCATGGACTCTCCCAATATTGAGCTGGTGCTAAATACAGCGGCAAAGGCACAATCCCAGGCCTGTGTAATGCGCCCATCGGCGGCGCACTTTGCTGCTTGCATGTAGGTGTTGAAGGCTTTCAGGGTCTTCACCGTGAAGGCGTTGGTAGTGGCCATCTAGTGCGTGAGTCGAAATATTTTTAGTTTGTGTTGCTTTGTCACTTCTTTTAATAAGTACTTACAGCAGTCGTAATGCAGATTGTGTAGTTCAGTTGCGAAAGGGAGTTTCGTTTCTCACAGTCGACTAACGAGTTTTTTAAATTGCTTGCGTAATAGCTTTTCAGGCTGTTGTAGGTGTTCTGCGTATTCGTTAGAATGCTGTTCAGATTGCTTTGGGCCGTATTCGAGCAAGTGGTTAGAGCGCTTCGCACTGTGACAGCCAATGGAATAGATGCGCTATAATTTTGGACACATTGCTTATGCCACAAGTCGATCAGCTCAATGGGATTTAGACGAGCTTTGGCCTCTTCCAGCTTTATGACAAGCTGATCAGCCTGAACAGGAATGACTCCCAGTTCCCGGGCATAGACATCTCGGAATGTGGCCAAATCATGCTCAAGCTGACTGAGCTTCGCTTCGTATTGCCTCTGGTTTTGTCTTACATAGTCCTCCATAAAGACCGAAACATTGGCCGCAGAAAATGTACCATAAACTCCAAGGCAGATTAAAAAACTGAGCAGCACGAAAATGTTTTGCATCTTGGCAGCAGTTCAAATGATTGTGTCGCCCATCGCTGGGTGCTTGTGTTTTTATATAAATGCTGCTCTTTTTTTATTTTTTATCAGTAATGTGATTCCCAGACCCAATCTGCAATACTTTCTGGGAAGAGCTCTTTTTGCAATTCATTACTAGCCTTGCCCAGTAATTTTATCAGTGTTTGCTTAATTTTTTAACTATTTCTGTAAAGCTACATTTCCAGGAATGTATTTCAAAGACAATAAAATATATGCATACAAACATTTATTTTTATGGTTTATTTAATAATATTTGAAGAGTATAGATATATAACACAGTGTTGTTATCAGATAGCTAATATATTTACATAAATACGGGTATAGCTTAAAGTGCGTCTGGACCTAAGCCTGGTATATTTTTCTGACTTTTTATTTTAGTTCCACTCGATAATGTAGTTAAAGAGATCTACGGGCATACTGGCATTGTCCAGTTTCAACGCGAGTGCATAGTATCGCTGTCGCAAGAGATGAGCCACAGCTTTGGGTTGTCTGTCGCGCGTGAAAACTCCCTTTTTATTACCGCCCACGCGCGTGATGGCTGCACATAATATTTTTAAGATAAGCTATTTATAGGTCATATCGCCAGTGGTGTTTACTCACTCTGTTCTGTTTTAAAGTCGGCAAAGTTCCACACAAATTCACCCATGAACCATTTGAGCTGTCGCAATTTATCAAATGCTTGGAAGTGCTTTGAGAATAACGTTGTCTGATATTCCTCTGACCAGATAAAGGCGGGCAGCTATATATATATGTAGAATGCCATTAGTGCAATATCTGATTAAATGTCCTACTGGTCTTACTGTGTGATATCCTTCCAGAGTATCACCGCCATATTCAAAGACAATGATCGGTTTTTGATAGCGCTCTCGCCAATATTTTGCCTCCTCATACATCGGACTCACAATCATGTCGGTGCGTCCCGCATTGTGATACCAGGCGTTGTAACGATTGAAGCCAATAATATCCAAAAACTGTGACATCTTGCACTTGGAAGGCGAGTCTACGTTACTGGCAGCCGTTAGCGGTCTTCCATGTGCGATACCCCGCGTATAATTGGTCAAAGCGCTGTCAGAGAACAGATCACACTATACTTTTCAGCTTCTCAAGCTTTATATTTGAATTCATTTTACCCAAAATATGCTTCTGCCGTCATCTTCTGAGTGCGCGGCTCGTTGGCTATCGACCAGGCAATCACGGAGGCGTGGTTGCGATCGCGATGAATGAGCTGCTCCAAGGCAGACATGTGGTTAAGCAAAAGTTGTGGTTCGAATAAATCAGTATTAACACTGGGGCACTCATCGATGATCATAATGCCGTGCTTGTCTGCAAATTGCATGGATTCCTCAGAATAGGGATAATGTGAGGTGCGATATGCGTTCGCACCGATCCACTTAAGCAGATTAAAATCTCGCATAATCATCGCATTATCCAGGCCCTTTCCGCGAATCTGGCAACAAGTAAGAATTTATTATACATCAAATGCTATTAGGATGATATAGAAATTACATCGGAGTCCTCGTGCTTGCCGAAACCACGTAAATAGAGCGACTTGCCGTTGAGGTACAAGCCATCGTTGTTCCAGCTGAGACTGCGTATTCCTATGGGCATTCGATAGGCATCTATCAGTTGACTGTTCGCCTCTGCGTCGCTCTCATCTGTTGAGAACAACAGGAATTCCAGGCTGTACATATAGCCGGGCACGGGATCCATTAGATAGGGCCACCAGGGCTTAACATTCGTTACGAGCAGAGTGCCGTTTCGAAGTTCCCGATTTATTTGATGAGCGACCACAGTGCCTGTTTCGTCACGCAACTGCACAAGCACATAGTTGGAGTTCCTAGCCAAGGAGCCCTCGTTTCCAAACCACAAACGATAATCAATGCGGCCAATTTTATTGATAGAAATCAGTGTCCTCAACTCCACGTCGCTAATGTGGGTTTGCGGCGTTGTATAAAGGTGTACAGATCGATGAATGCCGGCGTAGTTGAAGAAGTCAAACGTATATGTCTGCACATAGACGACACCGTCATCGTTAGCCTGCTTGAGCACTTTGCCCTGTGGTATGGTGCGATTGTTGAGCCGATTGTCGACCATAATCGTAATGCGGTTCTCGCTGCCGTACTTCACAAAACTGTCAATCTCCGCTTCAAATGGCAGATGACCAAAGTTATGACGTAACGCAGCCTGGCCATTGATCCAAACAACAGCTTGGTAATGAACGCTACCAAAACGTAGCCAGGTGCGTAGCTTATCCGTACGCCAACGTGTGGGCACAAAGAACTGTCGTTCATACCAAACTGTGCCCACATGATCACGCAATTGCTGGTCCACGGTCACATCGTTGTAGGAGGCTGGCACTGGCATCAAAATTGTGCTATGGTTCGTCGCTCTAAGGCTCTGGTTGTACCACTTTTCGCGTATGCCCTGCAGCGGATCGCTGGCATTGCTCCGTAGCAGCAACCACATACCGTCCAAAGAGCGCACCTCCCGTGTCTCAGACTCCCGCGGATACAGCAATCCCACTGTGGCTGGTGGCTTAATATTTGAGTAGCTATATTTGATTTCCTTAAGTTTTTGCTGTTCTTGATGTTGCTCGGGCTCAAACTCTGCCTCAAATTCCTGCTGATAGGCAAAGTCATAATTTTCCTTTGGACAAGCTGCGCATCCATTGAAGAGAAAAACATTGAGCAAAGTAATCCAAATGCATGTCGAATTACGCATTATGTCGGTAGGATTATGTTTATCAAAGTAAAGTAAAAGTTTCTATAACATTATATGTGTAATGTGTTGAAATGCCCGTATCGCTGAATTCCTCTGTAATATTATTCATATTACATTCAACACACATATATACGCTGATGGAATGCTTTCTGCGATAACAAACGTTCAACTGGGTGGCAATGAAAGTATTTGTCTCGCTCTCTCTCCATAATATGGTGACATGACGATTGTGCGTCTCATTTTTGAGGTACCAGGCTTAACATATGTTAAGCAGCTGCTGTGGTGGTTGGCCGATGAAAACGATTATTTTGGAGAGATATTTTCCGTTTTCCTTAAAGCATTTAATAATTTTTTTTATTTAAGAATTTCTTTCATTTTTAAAATTGCATTTAAATTTATAAACACGATTCGTGGGTTGAATTAATTTTTGAATTCTATCCTAAGTATGAGTTCTCTAGTCGAGATTATATTTAAATATACATTCGTGGTAATTTCTTCTGCATAAGTATGCTAATTGAAAGAACTTGATTTTTGCCAACTACGGGAAATCTCGGAGAATAAATAACGTTTTATTTCTTGCATACCATAAAAGACCACTTGCTCAATTTTATTATGTAACCCTCATGTACATTAGCATATAAGTGTAGTCAGGCAAACTCCGAATAAAAATAAAGCTCTCACAGGCACAACATTTAGAAGATAATTCCTTTTCTTCGACATTAAATCTATCAACGTTACAAGCGAAACACATTTTATTTAAAAAAGGGCATTGCCACTAAAATGCATTTGTGGTCAGTTCAAAGTTTAACAATGGCTATAAAAACAGTAAAAATATTTACAATAATTTCCTTTCGTATGTACTTAGGTATATATGATTGTACTTTCTATCTGCTTTTAGTTTAAGGGTTTCGCAGATGTATCATCCCATCAGCTTCATAGGTCACTGGAATCGTGCTTGACACTGTTACCCACATCAGCAATGTAGGTGAACAGATCATCTGGCAAGCTGCACTGATCCACCTCGCGACCTAGAGCAAAATATCTCTGGCGAAGGAGGTGTGCTGCTGCTTTGGGTTGGCGGGCACGTGTAAAGACGCCCTTTTTATTCCCGCCGACTCTGGTGTAAGCTGGTGAAAAGGAAGGAGTAAAGAAAACCAGGAAATGTTCAGAATGCCTTTAAAATAATTACTATATAATTGTACGCACATTGCGCCGTCTTGAAGTCTGCAAAGTTCCACACAAATTCGCCTATAAACCACTTTTTGCGCCGCAAGGCATCGAAAGCCTTAAAGTGTTGTGAGAATACCGCGGTTTGGAACTCCTCAGACCATACAAAGGCTGGTTGCTTTAACAAGAAATAAAATCTACATTTAAGTTGCAATTGTGTTATTCGCTACTAGTAATCTTACAAGATGAAGACCTTCTAGCGTATCGGCGCCATACTCAGCCATAAGAACGGGTTTGTCATACTTTTTGTTCCATGCGGTGGCTTCTTCAATGACACGCTTCGTTACCATATCCAAACGACCAGTGTTGCTATACCAAGCGTTGTAGCGATTAAAGCTGATTATGTCCAGGTAACGTCCCTATAATTGGACTAGCTAAGCATGTGAATTATACTTCAGTAAGCTACTTACCGCCTTGTCATCAGTTGAAGGTACTGCGATAGCCGCTGTAATTGGTCTTGTACCATCCAAGGAGCGTGTGTAGTTAGCGACAAATCTGTGAGAATATACGCACAATAATTTATTATATAAAGTTATGGGCATATAATAATACTTGAGTAACTCACTGGAAATAGGTGTCGGCATTTAATTGCCCCGTGCGCGGTTCATTAGCAATCGACCACATAACCACGCTTGGATGATTACGATCTCGGTGCACGAGCTGCTCCAGAGAGGATTTGTGTTTGCCCAACAATACCTGATTGAAGTTTCTGCAATTGCCAAAACGTTAGATAGAGATTTAAGCTTATTGGAACTGCTCGAAACCATACTCAGTATCCACGCTGGGGCATTCGTCGATGATCATAATGCCATGTCGATCGGCAAACTGCATCGATTCTTCTGAGTAGGGATAATGCGATGTGCGGTATGCATTGGCGCCAATCCACTTAAGCAAATTAAAGTCACGTGTCATTAAGGCATTGTCCAGGCCCTTTCCGCGAACATCGGCGTCCTCGTGGCGTCCAAAGCCACGAAAGTATATCGGCTTGCCATTAATGAGGAATGTTGTGTTATTCCAGCTTAGCGTTCGTAGGCCAACATTTAAACGGTACACGTCCAATAGCTGCTCATTGGCTGCATACAGCTTGATCTCTAGCTTGTACAGATATCCTGGATCAGAATGCATAAGATACGGCCACCAGGGGTTAACATTCTCGACTTGCAATGAACCAAGGAGCTTGCTGTCTGAACGAACATTGGATACAAGATCACCCTCCCTGCTGTATAGCAGCAGTCGTGCATATAAAGTGTTGTCCGCCTCATTAGTAGCGGAACCATTCACAATAATACTGTAATCAACATGGCCCACTGGAAAAGATATACGGTTAGTTATGTTCCATTGTGAGTTGTATTTGAATCTTACCGCTGTTGTTATTGGTCAGATTCGTTTTGATGTCGACCTGCTCGATAAACGTTTTTGGTGTAGTGTACAGATGCACGGAACGATGAATACCCGCATAGTTGAAGAAATCAAATGTATAGCTTTGAATTATGGTAACGCCACCATCGTTGGCCATTTCCGATATTTTCCCCTGCGGCACAGTTGTCTGTATCAATGCATTGTCGCACATAACCGTGATGCGATTTTCGGCACCGTATTGCAGCAAATGTGTGACCTCTGTTTCAAAGGGCAAGTGGCCCATCTCGTGCTTTACGACCAACTGACCGTTCATCCACTTCAAAAAAATAAAAAAATGGGTCAACAAAACATTGTTATTCCGCCTTTTATTTTATCGCCAACGGCTTACCACAAATGCCTCATAATGAACACTGCCAAAACGCAACCACACACGCTGCTCATGAGCCCACGATCGAGGCACGAAAAACTTGCGATCGTACCAAACTGTGCCCACATGATCCCGCAACGCCTGCTCCGTTGTGATATCATTGTACGACGCAGGCACAGGCATTGGAATGGTTGGCCTGCTCTTGCTCAAGTCATCCTTGAACCAACCATCACGTATCCCCTGCGTTGGGTTCGACTCGTCTGAGCGCACAAAATTCCAGATCCCGTCCAGGGTACGCACCTCTCGCGTCTCTGACTCGCGTGGATACAGCATGCCACGTGAAGTCTGTACGTCCTTGTTGAGTATAATAAGCGCTAAAGTTAAGTTCAGAATATAAAAGGCAAATACCAGAGATGTGAGTGAGAGAGCTGCAAGTAGAAGAAAGAGCATATTAAATGTATCATATGTCATATGCCGTTATTGCCGCAACAAAGTGACAAACGACAAGAACTACTATCTGAATCAGGACTTGAGATAAGAGACATAGATAACACAATCAATTTCGCTTTGTTTCGTTAATTAATAAAAAAAAAAGCGGCAAAATCAATATCTGACTTTGGTAGAGTTTTTCTTCTTATAAGCTAAATCAACTTATCAAAAAGTTAAAAATAGAACTGTAAACATAAAACGCAAAATTTCGGAAATTCTTCAAGAAATGTATTATAAGGAACAAATACACATACATTTTATAACTTATAAGTCTAAGTCTACCACTATGTCTTCACACACTTTATTGGGAATCGCCTTCCATGACTGCCGAGTTACAACTCAAAACTCTTTGTTACTCCTTAACCGAGCAGGGCTAGCAGGGCGAGCGGGCTATTTTTTTTTTTTTTTGCTAGCACTGTAGATATGTATATACACATGTACATTTATACATAGTATTCTTTAAAGTCGGCCAGTGCCAATGTCAACGCACATTGTAAGTTGAAAAAAGAATACCTCGCATTGTTTGTCCATTTTTTTCATAATGTCTAAAATGAATGTACTCACATTTGCATTTGTTATGTTGAAAATCAGTGTGCGGAACGTAACGGAATGAAATGGAATCCAATATTAATTGTTCAATCTTACAATAATGAGATTAAAAACATTAGCACTCTTTCGTCCGTTACAGTCGCAGTAGCATAAAATTTATAGCGCTCTTTGGAATTGGAGTATGAACTACAAACACTTAGCACAATGCCAAACAATGCAAATCAAAAGTGCATCAAATTTATGAGTAATAAGCTTTTAACGTTTCAAGAGGAGTAGCTGGAATAAACAGCTGTTCTTAAGCATGCTCACGCACAATAGCTCTCTCTCTCTCTCTTCGTCACACACGGACAAAATAATTTGCTGATTTTTGCGTTCGTACACTGGATAAATCTAAATTTTGTTTAGATTATTAATCACATGCAACGCTACAAACACTATAGACAACATAAATCGAAAAACAAACATTTAAAAAGTCTTCTCAAGCCCATAATATCGTAGTTATAATGATGTGGTGATATGAGAGCTATTCTATTACTCTCTCGCTCGCCCGTCAAAAGCACACTGATGCCGTCATTTGTTAGGTGTTAGTTTTTAGTGCTGCACTTCTACATATTTATCTTCTGATAACACGTTGACAAACGTAAAAGCACAAAAATGTACATGAAAAAGCTATTCTCGGTGGACTCTAAATTTGATAACAGCTATTTGCAAATATCGAAATCAAACAGTCAATCAACCAAACGCAATGGATATCCACTCAAAAATCTAAAATGTTCTTTTTGTTGTAAGTTATTGAAATTAATTTTAATTGTGGTATTCACTAGTGGCTCTAACTTACACATTTCTCTGAATTGCTGAATATTGCGCTGTAACTGCAGCCAGCTTACTGGAGTCGGTGCGCCAAATGCAGCTACATTTAAAAGACCAAAGAGTCGCAAGTGGAGCAATCACTTAAAATGCAAGGCACATCCAATTGCATTTGCATATGTATGTTATAAAAGGCGCGGCACAGCTAATACATTTGCATATGTTTTTTAGGGCTTTAAGTCAATTAAAGTACCAACAACTTACCCCAGATTTCAAGTTTCCGACGCGTTAGGCGTATCTTCAAATGCATTCTTCTAGTGAACTGCAACGTGTGATTGGTCAATGTGAACTGAATTTGAATAAGTTGTCGAGTTCCATCGCTTGCGAGCCCATCAGTGAACATACAGCTAGCTGGATAAGACGAGCACACACAAATACCCAAAGTCGTGGCCGCAGCCATTACCCATCACCCATGCAGTTTATTGCGGCTTCTATAAAAGTCAGCGCAGAACTCGAATCCGTCGAAACGCAGGGCGGATGTGTCATTAAGCAGGGCATTGCTGGGCTATTTAGTAATTCACTCGATTCACTCTTTACATGTAGTGCTGGGCTGGCCTCAAGCGTGTGGCAAACGCGGAGTTCACGCACAACACTAACATACAACCATCAACCACATAAGTCATAGTTGACGGTTCGACAGTAGGCAGCTCTCAATGAACCGAATGTGGCCCTAATAAGACCCCCCCCCCCCACACACACACACGCGCACACACTGATAAGTTGACCATTCCAAATCCAAAACTGTGTTCATTGCATTGTATGGGGCCAACAAAAACCGACAAGAATTGCAACTTAAAGCATATCAGACTGCTTTGATCGGCCAGGCCAGGAACAGGCAGGGGTCATCGGGGTTATCTTTCAATGAATTCAACAATTTATTTTGCTTGTATGCCATCACAATCTACATAAGACTACTTGCTTAGCTGCATCAATTGTTCTTCGATTTTACCTTTTACTAAATCCCAATATAAGTTCTTACCGCTTTTACAATGTTAAATCTGCCAAACTTGTTATAAAATATATATATATGTGGTAATTATGACAAGTGACAAGAGAATGTCATTAATCAGCTACAAAATATATTATATTATATTATTTTGTAGCTGATTAATGACATTCACTTGTCATTTTATAACTTGTCATAATTACCACATAAATATATTTTATAACAAGTTTGGCAAATTTAATATTTTAAAAGCGGTAAGAATTTATAATGGGATATAGTGTACTCTAACAAAAATAATGGCAACGAAAAATCTAAATGTGAATGTTACTGAAATTGATAAATTAAGCCTATATGAAAGAATATTTACTATTTATGTATAAGAAATTACATATTACGTTAACCAATATTAAATTTCAATATAATTATTTATTATAACACTTTACCCATTTTCACTTTTGTTGCTTAAGTGCTTTCAAACTCTTCGATTTTCGCTTCAAATTTTTTGAATTAAGTTTTAGGCGCACTATCTATTGGAATTTAAAATGGTACATATCATATTAAGCTTAGTCTTCTTTAACATTTAGCACTTAATTAAAAACACTTTGCCTTAGGTCAACTCACGACAGCCAAAGACGAAACCATGCATAATAAATGAACAAATAATCACATATACGCACACAAATACATGGCCAAATTTTTGACAGCGATGTCGACGAGATAGGCGAGCGTACGCAGACCGACTGATTGCTTAGCTTGAACTAGGCTTACGGTTATGCCACTCTTGCCTCTAAGTTTTATACATAAACGTGTACATACTACTAATATTACATAGCAAGCCCTCAATTAATGAGATTGAACTAACAATAGGATTTTGTCATTGTTTTTATTGTGTGCATGTCCATTTACGTATCTATATGTAAATGGACTTTTTGATCGCGTGCTTGCCTTTTGCTTACCCACATGGGGGTTATTGTACTCTATAAGTGCAATGTAAACAATCTCAGCTGTGAGATTATCGACAATATGGGCTTACTTGATTTAGTAGCTTGCTAAACTGAACTATTGAGGCCCATTCGGTGGCCAATTTTGATAGTGATAAAATGACCGCTTTGTCTACTGCCACTAAGCTGTTAGTTTGCTTAGTGCTACTATCGAACAAATGTACAGACAACAAAATAAAACTCCACTTAACTAACTCACGTACATATGTATTTGGACTCAAAATAAATATTTCGTAATTAAATTGCTAAATAATTGGTTGTCATACAGTGGTGTAATGCGCCTTACAGTGAACTGAAACACAGGAAAAATGTTATTAGTAGAAGTAATCAACTTATTTATCGTAAAGGACATACCAATGAATTCCGAGACAGGATCGTTGTCACCTTCACCGCGCATTGTGCCAGTGATTTCTTCGTTTTCGACCATCGGCAGAAAGAGCTGCACAAACTCCGCGGAATAGGGATGGGTGATTGTTTCGAGCACTTCGGTAACGAAATAGCGAATCAGGGAAACATCCGTATCTTCTATTGCACAGCATTGTTTTATGTATCGCAGCACAGGAACAACACATCCGCGTGTCAGCAGATTTACCATGCGATCCAGAATCATCTTTTTCATCTCCAGTTGCACAAGTATCTCCAATTCATCCTGCTTGGATTCGAATAAACGTATAAGTAGAAAAAGTATTTGCTGCTGTAATGTGGGATGTACTCCGGCAACTTCATCAAGTACTGCTAAATGTGTGGGGCAACTGTCAGTAGATAGTTTAAAGTAAGATGGTTCCATAACAACATTTTCAACCCAACGGATAACACCAACTCCCACAACTGGAAACCTTAAAACATAAAATATATGCATTTACTATGATTGAATTTCTCCAAGTTAACATGCTTACTTTATGCAGTTGTATAGTGTCTGCAGCTCGGCAATGAGTTCTGTGGAGCCCTGGTCCACATTGCAGATAGCATGGGCCTTTTCAATTGCCTGAATGGTGCTCTTCAGTTCGTCCTTGTTTAGCATTCTCTCAGTCAGGGTCCGCTTCTTTGCTGGCTGATCAATAACAGACGAGGCATACGCCAGCAGAAAAACATACTTGGGCTTATGCTCCGGATTGATTTTGACACCAGCTCGAAAAAGTGCATCGACCAGTAATTCCAAAAACTGAGGATTACGTATCAGATCTATTGGTGGCGGATCTGAGCCCGAATAATTTCGAAATAGTACGGTGATATCTGCTGGATTCAAGGTATTGCGTGTTAACATTGAGGTTAGAGCCTGACACGCCTGCGGATATACCGCCGAACCATTAAGAGCCATTGTGATGGGCGTAACATTTTGATTGCTAAAAATAATTACAGAAACAGGAAAAATGTGAGCAATTAAAAAAAAATTAAAATGTGATTGAATTTTGTGTACTTTTGCAAAGCGTATTTGATGATTTCCTGGGATAGTCGCTTCATATTGAAGCCACCTTTCTGTTCCTGACTGAGCACTTGGATCAGCACTTGCGAGTAGACATACGTGTGCTGGCCATGACATACCATGCGGGCACACTCCTGAATGGCGCCGTGAACGTCATCGGGATTATTTAGAAATTTCACAATTGATGTTTTGAGAACGCGGGAAAAAACTTCAATTTGCTGGGCGGCCGTTGAAATTGATGTGATTTCACTTTGGAATCCAGCATCCGATATCAGCTTAATGGTAAAATTCAACATTAGGCAATCCGGATATTCTTCAGCTAACCGGTATATTAACGATCGCCACGTATAATGATCGATCATTTCTGTTAGCCAGTCTGGCGTCTCGCCCTCCTCGGTGAATATCGTATCCGCTTTTTTCGGGTCAAACGACTTGAGAATCATTTCCTTTAAATGGTTCTCTACCATGGCCTGGACCTCGGTCACCTTGACCCCAGCTAAAATGAGCCACTCGGCAAGAAGATTTGCCATCTGAGCTACCGCTTTATAGTTTTCAGATAACATAGAAATCACTTCTTCTGGTGAGCCACCAGATTGGAAGTAGCGCTTCAGCTGTGTGAAGATGCCTGGCTCCATTATGTAATCGGGCGTTAGAAACTTTTCCAGGCATTCTTGAATCGTCTTTTGTGGATTGTCCTCGTGCAGATCCTGTGATTTGTTTAAAAGACAAGTAAATTGTTTTGATAGGACGGCTACACGTTGAATTAAATGTAAATGGTTGTTTACCTCAGTATTTGACTGTTGTTTTGCACGGCCCTGCCAACCAGACTCATCGTATTCAACTTCCATATTTATAATGAACAAGGCGCATTCACGAATTTAAAACTCAATATATCAAAATTATTATATTACAATTTTATTTTGATTAAAATGCACAACATTAATCGAAGCATCTTTTATATCGATAAATATAAATTCCGATATGTATCAACATGCTTTCAAGCAATTGCTTTATAAATATAGTGTTGCATTTGCATAAGTATAGATAAGCAATTATCGAATACCACCACCAAAAGAGAAA